TTCCGGCAGGACAACGGCTTCGTCCACCGATTCCAAGGCCAGGCAGGAGACCTTCTCGTTGTCGATGTAGATCGCACAGGGTTCGGAGAAGAACTTGGGATTGGTGGCGATCGTGTCGTCGGTGGCGGAAAAAAAGAAAAAAATCCTGGATTTGGTGTCAGAGTGTTTTGAGACAAAACAATTGTTTTATATAAAAACTAAAAAAAGTCTCAAAACACGATTGCTACAGAGTGCTCTCTATAGCCTCTGAACGCAAACCCCCCAAACACAATTCTCCATCGTAGTGGGGGAGGTGGACGGAGCGAAGAACAAAGTGACTATTGAACAAGCGCGGTGCGCGCAGCAGAGATTCCGCAGCGAGTCCTCAACAACAGCGATCGCATATTCTTGTCTTTTCTCCTCTTGACCCCCTCCTCCGCGTCCCTGATCCCGTTCAATTTCTCCAAGTCTTTGCCACACGCTACCGCCGTCGACCAGGAAAGTACCCCGGTGAATGCGTCCGATCTGGCACGGTTTCGAACGCCATACGCTTGGTGGGCCAGATGATGGCCAGCATGGGGGCCAGGGATGCTCGGAAAGACAGCACGGGTTCCATTGACTTCCGCCTGACTCGGATGTTCAAAGCCTACACCCGCGAGGACCCACCGCCTCATCGGGTGAAACCCATCCCAGTCGGTATCATTAAGTATATCGCCAACCAAAGTCGAAATCAATCTTGCAAGGTTCAGGCCACTTCTGACATGATCATCGTGGCCTTCTTCTTTCTCCTCCGTCCCGCCGGCGAATACACAGGCACCACAAACGATGACACACCTTTCCGGTTCCTTGATGTTCAGCTCAAAGTCGGCGTCCACCACCTCGACCTTCTCACTACCACACCTGCTGAATTATGGGCTGCCACCAGTGTTGCCCTTACATTCACCACGCAAAAGAATGGTGTCCGTGGCGAAGTCATCTGTCACGGTCGGAGCGGACATGATGTCCTCTGCCCCGTCCGCTCCATGATCCGCCGTATCCTCCATCTCCGACAACATACTGCAAACATGCACACCATCATTGCAACCTATTTCCAAAACGGCCGCCATTACTCCGTAAAATCGGCCGACATCACCACTACAATACACCAAGCTACAGCCGCCTGCGGCGCCGACCTCGGTTTCCTTCCTTCCGACGTTAGCACCCGCTCCCTTCGTGCGGGCGGTGCCATGGCCCTTTTCTGCTCCAACGTCGATCGCGACACCATCCAACTCATTGGACGCTGGAAAAGTGACGCCATGCTTCGCTACCTCCATGTCCAAGCCCAACCAGTTATGCAAGGCTTCGCCTCCATGATGCTTCAAGGCGGCGAATACGCCATTCATCCTGGCCAGAATCTTGTCCCAATGTACTGATTCCATCCTTTCCCGCAACCACCCCGACACCACCAACGTGGGCAATTGGCGGCGATGGCAGGCCGACCTTCCATCAAACGGTCGGCACTTTGGCACGTGGAGTGGGCTTCAGTAAATAGCCACTAATTACACCATTACCGCCATCTCTACTATCTTCTACATACCCCTCCCAATCCGAGCGAAGGACAAATGAGCTGACGTAGCCGTTGATAGACGTCGTAGTGGGGGAGGTGGACGGAGCGAAGAACAAAGTGACTATTGAACGAGCGCGGTGCGCACAGCAGAGATCCCGCAGCGAGTCCTCAACAACAGCGATCGCATATTCTTGTCTTTTCTCCTTCCTAACGCATCAGGATCGAAGTTGTAAGACACGTCAACGTTGATAGACGAGGAGGTTGAAGTAATCAAACTTTGCGGACAATCAAAAAACTTCTGTTCGGTCATTTTTATTGACCAAAAGCGCCGAGATCCTCGTCTTTCGGGTTCCTCATGCTTCTTCACGAAAAATGTCAACAGTACTGTGCTTTCCGTTACAGCAGTTGATAACGCTAGCGCTCCTTGAAAGTGAAGAGTAAGATGAATAATGACTCCTTGAAGTTGGTAGTTGACGTGTCTTGCTCGCAATCAATCTCGCTTTATTTAACAAACGCATGGCTTTTTTTTTTAAAAGGTGATGTGGAGCGCGCCCCAGTTGATTACAAATTTCCATTCCGATCTCCCTTTCTCACAATCAATCCCGCGGAATTTTGTTTTGTTTAACAAACGATTGGGTCAAGGTGGTGTGGAACCTCCGTTTGTCCGCAAATTTCCAATTTCTGTGCGAAGTTCCTGGGATATCCCGCAGTTTTCTGTGAAGCCAGCTTTTTTCTTTTTTTGGAGAGTCGATGTGGTCATTTTCACCCTCTTCTGCACGAAACTTCAAAAATCGACTTTCACTTATTGCCTGCCAGAAAGAAACTTCTACGACAAGGAATTTTATAAATGTTCACAATGCCGTTAAGTATTCAACTTCATTCGCCAGATTTAATTTTAAAGTTTGTTTTATTTTTACAGCAATTGCGGAACATCTGTAATGACCCCAAAAAAACCTGTAAATTTTTCACAGAAGTTTCGGAACATCTGTGAAAAATTCACAGAGATTTCGGAACATCTGTGAAAAATTCACAGAATTTTTGACTCAGACGATAGAAAATTCACAGAATTTTTGACTCAGGCGATAGAAAATTCAACTCAGAAGACGGTGCCAACTTAACCGTTTTTTTCAAATTTGGTCACGCTTGCTTGAGATTTTGAAGAGAAAACGCGAAGAGAGTTTCAGAATCTTTCAGGATGATGCTTGGAATCGAAGTGACACCAGAACAGGTGCTGATCTACGGATTTGAAATGATTGGGGGTTCACCTACCACAATTACTGATGACAACTTCAAGGAGCATAATATTGGAGTTTTCAAGGCTCATTTTGGCCAACGCCCCAGCACTCTATTCATTCTCTGGCAAGACATTTTGAATTGTACGAACAAAGACTTGGGGCTCCGCCCATCTGACAGGAGCAAGGAGGGGCTTAAGCGATTGCTAGTTGCAATCAACTCCCTTGCCTCAGCTTCTGGGATAAGCACACAACGGGACCAAGACGACAACCTATGGCACTGGGTGAAAGTTCTTTGGGCACTGGAAGCAAAGGTGATCAGCTGGTCGGAGAAAGAGTACAAACAAAAGAACTATGGTCCAGGAAGAAAATTTATCATGAATAAACTAGATCCATACCTTTTTACGTACCTGCGCTGTGTGACTTTGCCTACAATGTGTGACTCTGGTTTTTCTACAGCAATAACGTTTTTCTAACAGCAATCTCTTTCCGCAGTCATTGTTGTGCAAATCGATGACGCATCAAATTGTTTGTTTCGGAACATCTGTGAAAAATTCACAGAGATTTCGGAACATCTGTGAAAAATTCACAGAATTTTTGACTCAGACGATAGAAAATTTACAGACTTTTTGACTCAGACGACCGTGGAAAAAAGTCTACGACTAGTTTTACATAGTGCAGCCATAAATGTCATATTCCTAGCTGAACCCACCATTCGCCACAATTTCGACATTTCGGAACATCTGTGAAGACCCTAAAAAAACCTGTGAAAAATTCACAGAAGTTTCGGAACATCTGTGAAAAATTCACAGAGATTTCGGAACATCTGTGAAAAATTCACAGAATTTTGGACCCAGACGACCAAGCATTGCTTGCGCACAACATTAACCGTTTTTTCCTCTACGGAAGTTGTATGGTGCTTTTACGAAAGGGCATGCGTGCACGCATGTCAGCTGAACCTCTGTTGAAACTTCACGGCAATTTCGGAACATCTGTGAAGACCCTTAAAAAACCTGTGAAAAATTCACAGAGATTTCGGAACATCTGTTGGTCATTCACAGAGATTTCGGAACATCTGTGAAAAATTCACAGAAAATTTAACGAACTACGACCAAAACGCGACGATCACCGACCAAGAATGAATTCCACGAGCAGTGATGATGTCGGATCACAGATCCCCGTGCAGAAGGAGTGAGCAAGCCGGTCAGGCCCCGATTCCAGTTCAGATTCACACCAAAATGCGGAATATCCCTGCTTCACACACGCTCATTGTTCGGCCACAACACAAAACATGACAACTATAGCAGACGACAAGATTGGGCCAAAGTGGTTTGTAGAAGGGTCGCACGGTCGCAAGGATGAATTCCGACTGCTTAGCAAGATTGCTGAAGGGGGATCATCAGCTTGTGTCCTTGTTGAAGGATGCGACGGATCCGGGACAACAGAGTTTATAAATGCAGTGCAATGGAAAGACAAAGAATTGGTCTTTGTCGATGGAAAATTCGAAAGACATCTCAGCTCAGAGCCTTACTCTGCGTTGACTAGAGTTACCGATAAGCTCGTTGAAATTTGGTGCATAAACAATGAAAAATCACCGGATGATTCTAGGATGGGCGAGCTCCTGGATCTGTTAGACAAGGACATGGACCTGTTGCAAAATGTAATACCAGGACTCTTCAGAGTCATCGACAAGTTCACCCAGCGCCTGCATCTTTCCGCATCGCAAACTGAGCTTCAAGCTCAATCTCAGAGTTACCTGTCAAGATCTGAGAGAAGACCCTCAAACATCGACGAGCTCTCAAGTTCACGTCGCCAACGCGGGCCACTTGGAGACGAAACAATCGGAGGAGACCCAGCAGCCATAGCTGCATCATTTCTCAGATTGTTTGCTTCTTTGGGTTCCACCAAAGGTATCGTCCTTGCCTTCGGTGACGTTCACTACGCAGACGCTGCGTCGATGGAAATTTTCAAACTGATAGCACATACGGCTTCCAACCATCCTACTACGCAGAGCCACATTCAAATACTCTTGGTACTAACCTACTCAAAATTGCTGCGACGAAACAAGTTTGCATCCGAGACCATCAAAACAATTAAGACCCTCAAGTCGAATATTTACTCCCTGCATCTGAAAGATTGGGATCTTGATACTATCAACGAACTCGTGACATCATTGGTTAAAGCTGAGCCTGAAGAAACGCGACCCCTGTCCAAGGTTATTCATAAGAAAACAGGCGGAAACCCATTCGCAGTGTTCAAATTCCTACGTTTTGGGCGCAAGAATGGGCATTTCAAGTTTTCCTCCATGACATACAAATGGGAATGGGGAGACGTCAAGCTACTGGATCAGTATGCTGCTGTATCAGATAATGTTGCTGACAAATTAACAGCATCAATGAACAAGCTGCCCTTCGCCACTAAACATACGCTGAAGGTGGCATCGTGCTTGGGAGATACAATTCCAAAGGATGTCCTTGTGTCATACTTTTCCCAGGGATATAGGGGTGAATCTCTAAAGTCGAGACAAGAGAGTTTGGACGAACATTTCGATGAAGCTGTAAAGGTTGGCATTCTCGTCAAATCGACAACCGAAGGCGCCTATATGTGGTCCAACGATCTGCTGCAACAAGCCGCGTATGACTCAATGCCAACAACTATGCGGAACGATCTGCACAGGAAACTTGGCAGGATCATATGGAAATTGGGTCGGAGTCGCGACGAAGAATGGATGATATTCATGGCGGCAGATCAAATGAACAAGCTTGAGTGTGACTCATGTTTAGGCAATGAAATAGCCGAGCTGAACTTGCGAGCAGCAACTTTGTCGTTGAATAAGGGCGCAATATATCCAGCCTTGGAACTCCTAGTGAATGCACAGAAACACATGGAACCACCAGCGAATCGATGGCAAGTTTCTTATGAATTGACTCTCGATATTATGACAACATTGGCTAACACCAAACTCCGTGTTGGTGAGACTCAAACTGCCATGGAAATCGCCCTCGAAATCGTTCAGCATGGGAAGACGCACGATGACACATTTCCAGCCCATATCGTCATGTTACAATGTGTCGTGTCTGGAGTCGATCGGAACTACGATAAGGGTGTGGAGAAAACTTTGTTCCTACTGAACTATTATGGCGAGAAGCATACCTGGAAGTTTTATCCGGGTCAGGAGACTGTGGAGAAGGCAAAGCTGCAGAAGAAACTGAAGAGGCTGCTCCCGAATGGGCATGTGGATGGGCTTTTGGACTTATCAAATATGGAAAACAAGGCAGCGTTGAGAATACAAACGTTGCTTGTGAACCATTTAGCCGTGTATGCCTCCCACAGCCCGACGTACAACTCGCTAAGCTGGTTGGCGAGTGCCCGTGCGCTGAAGAGTGCTTGCAAGCAAGGCATTAGCCCAGTCACAAATCTTGCGGTCATCCAGATGGCGACCCATTTGAGAGTTGAAGGGCATTATAAGGAAGCATCAAAGTATGCGGAGGTAGCTCTGACGCTAACTGAAAGCCTGCCTCGGAAGCTTGGATCAGATCACGGTCAAGTGAGAATGATAGCATGTGGGAGCGTCTTCAGTGCTGTAAGTGTTTTGCGTTTTGTTCTTCGGTGGAGTTGAACTTTACTAACGTTTTGAATCAAAATATAAACAGGTGAAATCGTTCAACTATTGCCTAAACGAGTTATTGGAGTGCCGGTCAGATTTTCTGAGAGCTGGGTTTGCGAAAGAATCGATCGGGGTGGCAATCGGCTATGCAATCACTTATCTATGTGTCGGCCTTTCTCTTGAAGCAGTGAAGTCCGACTTGTTAGCGCACACTGCGGACGCAATTCACTATGGTTGTCAATACTCTGTAGAGCAAAAGCTGATGGTTCTTCACCAAGCGATTCTTAATCTTACGGAAGAAGTCGAAACCCCAACTATTCTACACGGTGAGGTTATGGATCAAGACGACGAGCTAGAAAAGGTCGCAGGACTAGGTGCTTTGAGCATCCGAATAAGTATGGACGCGTGTCGTTTGATGCTCTGTTGTATCTTTTGTGATTGGAATTCCGCCGGGGCTTTGATTGACGACTTGGAAGAACACATGGATAAAAAAGGCGGATTTCTGATAAGGGATCATTTCCGTCGGTGCTATTTGGGTTTGGCTGCTTTTGCCTTGAGTAGAAACGCAAAAGATCCCAAGCTTCGAAAGAAATACCTGGCAGAAGGAAAGAAAGTGCTCAAATCCTTCACAAAAGATATGAAGCATGGATCCGTGAATGCGTTTCCTATCGTAGCAATGTTGGAAGCGGAGCAACAACCTTCCAAGGAGAGCTATGACAAGTCAATCAAAGCGTGTGCGCGGCTTGGGTTGGTTCACCACGAGGCGTACATGTGCGAACGAGCAGCCGAAATGTTTCTATCACAGGACGACAGTGACTGGTGCAAGTATTACATTACGCAAGCGATCCTTTTGTATGGGGAATGGGGTGCAAGGGGCAAGGTCGCACGTTTAGCTAACGATTACGCGGAAGTCGTGGAGGGGTCCTCGCCACTCGAGTCGGCAAATGCATCACTGAGCAGTCGCTCACGATATTCACCGAAAGACCTTGAGACGCTTCGAACGATTGATTGGAGAAGTTTCAGCAAAGAATCGGAACAAGCACAAAGAGACTTCAGCTTTAAGACCGCCAGGTCAAGGGGAAGAAGTTCCGGAAGCTTTAGTTTCAATTCAGCGGAGTTCAGATCAGTCAATTCATCGGAGTTTCGTGAACAATAGATCCAAATCTGCTTCTTGCCTATTCTGTAGATACAATTCAGTCACCGTTCGCAGCAGTGTCAGTTTCGTCAAGCCGAGTAAAGACCGAAAATTTGTATATTTCACTGGTGCAAATGATATCTCGTGTTTTCACTTTCGCTTCAGCTCCCAATTTCTTCAAGTACAATTGCTTCCTTCAACCGCATCATCGTCGTCTCTTCCTACTCTGAGCATTGATCTAGGAGGAAATCCGCATATATTCGTTCATTGCACAACCAAGGATGATTGATTGGTGATGATGAAATAAACAGTGTTGGATTATTTGGTTTCACTGGGAATGCAGGCTGTAAACGATGAAAACGTTTGTATCGTTGAACCAACTGCCCGCTGGCTTTCCAGCCACGAATGGTCCTGTATCTAGTCTTCCAATCCCCTCGTATACGTCATCTTGTCCACTCTGGCTAGATTCACTGTGGTACAACTCAATTCGACAATCTGATAGTATTCTTGGTTGTTGCAACATAGTTTGCGCTTGCCATCCCCTAAAAAATACTCACTTCTCATGACCATACAATGAGAGTGTTTGCACAAGATCTTCCCTTCAAAACTCGTCATTGTTTCTCGAGCACTCGTTCAATGTTAGGAGTCAGGGAACCGCGTGTAGATTTAAATGTAGAATTATTGGCAAATCGATAACAAACAGCAACAATGTAATTGGCCGAATTAGCTCAGTCGGTAGAGCGCACGACTCTTAATCGTGTGGTCGTGGGTTCGATCCCCACATTCGGTGTTCCTTTTGGACTCTCCTCACCGAGACCTTTGCTTTTATTCGAATTTCATTTCATGTCAACTGTACTGTATCAACAGCATCTACAGCAGTCATGATACCACGTTCAGTGTTTGTTTTGGACTGTCCTCACCGGACCTTTTACTAGCTCCAGTATGGCCTTACATGTAGCTGTATTCGAATTTTACTTCATGACAACTGTATCAACAGCATCTACAGCATCTACAGCATCGTGCTACCAATGCCAACCACATGGATCAAAATCTAATATTACAAGAGTTAATATCATTGTGCTAAGATATCATCCGGGCTTTCGAATGCCATCCATTACTTTTTAAGCAAGGTGCTCAAGGATTCCCTTGCCATCGACAAGTTCTTGGGCCAAGAAGCCAGCGGCGGCAAGCATGGCAAGACGTCCGTTTTGTAGCTCCTTTGTTTGCATGGCAAAGAATTCCTCTGGGTCCTCGGGCTTCAAGCCAAGAGGATCGAATCCAAGGTTTCCTGGGATGTACTCCTCACGAAGAAGACCTGGCTTGTCAACAGGGGTGTTCTCAGGCTCGACCCAGCCGATTTCGGCGCGGTCAAGCTCGGCACGGGCAATACCAACACCAAGGATCAACCAGAAGGTAGGGTTGACTTGGGCAAGGTGGGTGATGGCTGGGCCAGTGATCTCGCCGTTGAAAAGGAAGGTCTTGGACTCGACAGCTTCGCCAACGAGGAAACCGACGGTGGCAAGCATGGAGACACGTCCATGGGTAAGCTCGGCTTCCCGGTATCTCTTGAGGGTGGCTTCATCGGCCTTCTCGGCGAAACCAAGAGGGTCGAAAAGACCAGTGGGGTCGATGGCTCCTGGGATGGTATCGACGGAGAAAGCTGGGACAACAGGTGCTGCGACCTTGGCTGGTCCCTTGTTGAAGAAGGCAGCAGCTGGGGTGGCAAGAAGAGCAAGACTGGCGGCGAATTTCATTGTGTATTTGTTAATGTCTGTTCGTTGCGAAGTGTTCGAATTCAAAATTATAAGACATTTTAGCGGAAACAGGAATTTCAGATGCTTGCTTGTTGGCGGTGATGTGTTTATTTTTGTGTGTGGTGGCAACAACCAGCTAAGTACGTGTACCTGGATAGCGTAGAAATCAACGGAGATGACGTGTGACACATTTTTGGCTCTGATGTCATTTTGGACCGACACAGTCTTATTCACTTTTTGTTATTGACTCATACTACAGTATGCGGGTAGTCAGCAATTTTGACATATATATAAAAGGGCAGCTGCCGTGTTGCGCGTCGACGTCGTCATATTGGCGTACATAGCATTTGCAATCGGAAGTGTTGACATAAAAGCGCTGCCGAAGTGTTACGCGTCGACGCCAGATCGGTGTTCTGGCTATTTGGCAAAAGATGGCTGACGACGCCGTCTGGTTTGAATGATGTGACGTCTTGAGTCTATTATAGGATACTTCTTTTCGATAGTATTTTAAAATATGACATTCATGATGATGATTCACTATGTTGACAATTTTTTACAATTGACGGTTGTGCTTTGATCCGGGATACTGTTCCTGTCATGACCTCGACTTCAATAAATAGGATGGTTTGAGGTGCTCCCAATAGGGACATCACACGCTGTATTGTCTGCGCCTATGAAAACGTGGAGCTCTTATCGTTCTAAAAGATTGTGAAGACCAAGTCAGCATAATTAGATAGAAGTCAAAGTTACAGTAAAATAGCATGATCGTTATCGTGGAAATCATGCACGCCAGCACTTTTGTTGAACTTGAACAAAACGTTCGCTCTTGTACATTATTATGCAGTGCAGCATGGTAACAGAATAGTTTCTTCCTTGTGACTGACTGACTCCTCGACGTGTATATCTGTCGTCATCGGTCGACATGGGATTATGCATCAAGCAGTGGATTGGCAAACCAAGCAAACGTCGCCATCATTATCAATGGCATGATGTGGACCAAGATGGATGATTGAATTCATAGTCTCGCTACTGTGCATTGCATCCTTCGTATTTGCATGCTTGACAATCAAACTCGGTTGAGTTCGGTGCAATGTAGGCACGATACAAATGAAGGTGTGGCTTTTTGGCTCTGTTTACATAATCCTCCAAGGCAGTAAAATATCGTGTTCTCGTTTGGTTGGCAATTTCGCGGGCAATTTCTCGCTTGGTAACATTGTACATTGGCAATGTTTTGGAATCCAGATGCTCCACTGGAGTGGATTGAATGACCATGCAGGCATGTGGGTAAGTCTTCTTGTCAAACTTGTCATAGTAGTCTTTGCCTTGTACTAGTTTGCCGTCCTTTTCCATCTGATTCCTCAGGTATCTGGGCATATCACAGGTATTTTTAGCATCCGTCCACCGTATCCTTGGCCGTTGCCAATATCGTTCTGTACTATTGACTCCGAATAGTTGCCTATCCACAATACTGCACCAGTACATGTCGGGACCCCAAGAACTTGTATAAATTCCCCATTCAGGGATTCTTGCCGTGAGCTCATTATGCACAGTTTTCCATGCAGCAGCCTTGAATATTGGTGTTTGAATCTCGATTACAGAAACATCCATTGCGACAACTTTCCTGAAGACATGCTGTTTCTGTGAGAAAGACGGGTCCGTATAACAATGTCCTGGATGTGTACTGCCTGTATATATTTTCCGTTCTTCGCTCTTTTGGCTCAAGCTAGACATGATTGCAGGCGCAAAAATTGCTGGTTTGAATATGGATACCGTATTCCAGAAACAATCCCAAGACATATTTCGTAGCCGAATGTCTCCATCGTGGATCCAAATGTAGTCAATCTCGTTGGGTACTGATTCTGGGTTCATATGTTTGTACCAAAAGGTTGCCTTTGCTGATCCTTGTTCATGATGTACTTCTGCACGTAACTTTTCTTTCCATTCTTCATTGCTGTACAATTCCATTAGATAATCGTTTGTTTCGTGATTGTAGCAAAAGAGTCTCCATCGTAGCTGATATTTGGCTGGGTCCAACTGTTGTCTCAGGGCCACCATGTCCGCAAGCGTATCATTCACGTCCTTTATTGATATCGTTTTGGCCATTAGCAATTGGATTGGTTTGTTGCCTTTTAACTCAGTGCCAACTGCTTCCAGAACATCCACACTGGGAGCTTCCAGCACTCGTATTTCATGGCTCAATACAATGAGGGACTGATTGACAATCAAGGCCATGGAAATTGCCAAATAGATTAGCAAACAGTAACTTTTCGCATTTGGACGACGTTCTGATGACCTCGGAGGAAATCCTTTATTGGTCATCGAGTGATGTTATGGACGAGGGCATGGGGAGGGAGGGTGCTGAAAAAGCTGGGTTTGGTATCGGTAGTCTATGGTTAAAAGGTTGACTTTGAAAATGAGACCGTTGCATGCAACCTCATTGCTACATGAGCGGTGGACGATGAAGCAAGTTTTATAACGGTCAAATGTTTGACTCGTTTGACTCATCAAAATACATCGCATCGCCCTTCCTCGTATTCATCATCATCTCGTCAACTCAGGTCGTATCAATACCATCATTCTATCCATGGGACGAGGAAAGCACAAATTAACCATCCGCAAGAGCGTGCCATCAAACAAGATCTGTGTGATGCTGCCCGCGACGGTGATTTCCGAGGTGTCCAAGAGTTATTGTTGCACAAAGGGGCTGACATTATACTCGAAACTACCGATCTCTTGGGGTGGACACCCCTGCAACTCGCCTGCAGGAATGGACACGTTCTAATTGTAGATTTACTATTAGAGCATGGTGATGATTCCAACAAGAGAACACCATACACTGGATAGACACTCCTGCACGAGGCATGTGCAAACAATCATTTAGATGTGACACAACGATTATTACGCGAGAAGCAGCTAGGTTCTTGGATGATAGAGGCCAAGGATACATTGGGAGACACGCCCTTGCATTTAGCGTGTGAAAATGGACACGTTGACATTATCTCCTTGCTATTGAATCAGAATGCTGAGCTTTTAAAAGCCAAGGGACAGGATGGATGGACGCCATTGCACACCTCCTGCGCACATGAGCAGACGGATGTGACACGAGTGTTGCTGGAGGATTTCAGTGCCAATGCAAATGCTCAGGAGGAACGAGATGGGGCCACGCCATTGCATTTGGCAACTTGTAACAATAAGCTGGAGATTGTGCGGCTATTGCTAGATCATGGTGATGCAAATGCCGAATCCAAGACGAACGACGACTCGACACCGTTGCATGAATCATGCAGATGGAATCACTTGGGGCTTTGCCGATTATTGTTCGACCACAATGCTAACGTGGAAGCAGTGGATCACAAGGGATGGACACCGTTGTATTTGACTTGTAAATATAGGTGCTTCCAAGTAGCAGATGAGTTGGTGCCAGCACAATTGCCAAGACGTTTGATGGGAGGGCATCATTGTCATTGGCATGTGAAGATTCCAGTTGGGAACTGATACGCTTGCTGCTAGTTCATGGTGCTGATGTAGAAGATAATGGCAAATTCCAGATGAAAGCATTGCATCAGGCGTGTGAGACTGGCCGTTTGGAGATTGCAAGGCTACTGCTTCAGCAAGGGGCAAATGTAGATGCACAAGTTGGCAACAACGGATGGACACCGTTACATGTAGCCTGCGTGAAGAATCAATTACAAATTGTAAACTTACTGATTAGTAAATAGGCTTGGGTTGAAGCACTGGATGATTTTGGGAAGACTACATTGCATTTGGCTTGTGAGAGAAATCATGTCGAGTTGGTATGGACGATGATTCAACAATGCCCTTGGCTTATTTTTGGAACATCATAATATTGGATGAGGGTAAGAAACAAAAATCATAAACGGATAATCAGAGGGTTGCTCTATGTTTATTGGTACAGGCTATCTGTTGGCCAACTGAACTTCAGCCGTGATTTCAGGGACTGGCTTGCGCACGGAGCAAAGGGATTGAATCTAAAGATTATGGCCGCCAAGAATTCCGAAGCCACCATTGGGAAAAGGATTAGCTCCAACGAAGTGTCCTCAAGAAAGAGAGAAGTTCATGAATGCGACGAAAACACGTCGCCGGAGTGACTCGCTGTCCACACCATGCGGAGCGGTGCCCCGCCTAGTTGCTGTCAGTGTCTGTGGTCAGTCATGGTGTGACGGTGGCTCACAATACTCACAATATAGCCCCTCGGAAAGTTCTTTCACATGGGATCACGAGCATTGGCACGGGGGGGGAAGGGGGGTTACCCACCAAAAAAACAAAGAAAGAGGCTACTTCATCTGCAACTTTCAACATGTCGTAGTAAGAGAAAGAGGCTACTTCATCTGCAACTTTCAACATGTCGTAGTAAGATACATTTTAACATATATCAAAACCGACAATATCTGAAACACCTTGGGGCTTTTTGTCCCGATTTAGATAGCATCTATTAGATATATAAGTCGCTGTTCCAGCTCAGAGTATCAGGGTAAGGTAGCGGTAAATACCAAAGATGGCTACGAAGAATCGTCTATTCGAGTACTGGGGTCCACCGAAAAAACCAACTTCGCCTGCAGCTTTCAAAATGCCGGTAGTAATAAGATACTACATATATATATCAAAACCGACTACATCTGAAACGAACCTTGAGACTATTTTTCCCGATTTAGATACGGTAGCATTGCTATTAGCTGTGTCCCTGTTCCAGCTCAGAGTAGGTATGGTACCCAGTACGTGTACCATACTGTACCTAAGATGGCTACAAAGAATACGTCTTTTAGAGAACTGGGGTGCTACCAAAAAGCCGCAGAACGAAAGTCTCTTGAACTTCAACTACGCGTATCGACAGTATGAGAAACAAATCATCCACGATGCTTTTTTGGCCTGCTTTGAATCGGATCAGCTATTTTCTGCTCGTAATACGAGTAGGTGCAGTATGTATCAAATAATAAAATAATAAAACTCAGGACTGGTTGGCGAATGCTTTCTAGAAGAAAAAGGATTCGTAATATTTGTTTATATATTGAATATAATATGTGGGTGCCGGTTCAACACAAAATTTCCACGCTTCATAAAGGAATTCAGCCGCGCGGAGCTTGAAGAATTGCTCTTTGGTGTCGGATCGGCATTCCGCAGAGCAAACGATGTAGTACACCTCATATATACATGTATTTCGCCGGTGCAACAACCAGTTGCTTTCATCTTTAGCTCACAATTGATTTTCCAGCACAAATAAACATGAACGGAACCCCACTTGAAAAAAACAGCACATCTGTCGAAACGGTCGACACTGTTGAATATAACGGGAGCTTTTCAGAAGAGACGGATGATTGGAGTGTGGTCTCTGCCATCACCTTTTTCGACGATGAAGAAGAAGATGATGGTGAAGAAGAAATAGTACTCTACACCTCCGATCGAAGGCAGTACAAAGAACGAGTATGGTCATCCCCGGATCCAACCCTCGCATCGCCGGATTCTCCTCGCCGATTTGATCGGTTCTCGAGCCATTCCGATCACGGAGACGAAGTGCCATGCCGCATGCCTCGACGAAGGTTATCCACAGGATTTTCAAGCCCAGCCCCCAAATGCAGCAGTGGTAGCAGTTCTTCTTCTTCTTCTAACAGCTGCGACAGCTTTGACAGCTTTGCCGCATGCAGTGAAGCAGCATCGTCGTTAGACCTTGCTGACATCATTGAAGATCGATTTGCAGATCGATACAATGTCTCACGGTTGTTGTTGGTCGGGCGATGAACAAATACCAATGCAACACATTTCATCGTATCCAACAAAACGAAACCCTTTTTGTATATCATACCATAACATAAAATTAGAAACATACCAACTACATAGCTAAATGGCTTGAAAAGTAGATTTTTCATATCACCACGCAAGAACAGGAATCAAGTAGCAGGTTCTGATCAGCTACCGGTACTGATGGTTGGTTTGTTTGACAGACCTCACAGCCATCGCATGGACATAATTTTTAGTTCGTTTTTTTTTTAAAGGGTAACTGTGCCTCTACGAGTACGAGCAAAGGTACGTCATGCAGGTATCGTACTTCAGACTTCGAGCAAGGTTATCGCCGAGAGTTGCAGTTCCTACGTTACTTCAAGTTGGAACTACCCATGTTACATTATCCGAAACGAAGCCTTAAGATGCTGTGAGCTTAATTGTCCCTCTTCCGATCTGATCAAGGTATCTTCTGGTCGTAAAATAAACTCACAGAAAAAGTGAAAAAGGCGTCTGTACTTTGAATATGGGTGCCGGTTCTCCACTGCAGTTGCTCCGTCACATACAATAACTCTTTTAATTAGCGTGGGACGACTTTGTGTCCGATCAGCATTCTGTAGAGCAAACAATGTAGTAGTACGAACTGCAATAATGGTATAGCTCACAAATTGTCACAATTACTTGGCCGGTCCAACAACGAGTTGCTTTCATCTGTTTTGCTCACAATTGACTTTCCAGCACAAATGACGATGAACGGAACTCCATTTCAAAAAGACAGCACCACCACATCTGTCGAAACTGTCGACACTATCGAATTCCACGGAAGCTTTTCAGAAGCGATGGATGATTCCAGTGTGGTCTCTGCCATCACCTTCTTGGAAGAAGAAGAAGAAGAAGACGAAGAAGAAGTTTGCACCTCCGATCGAAGGCAGCACCATTCTTGTTCGCTCGAAGAACGAGGATGGTCATCCGATCCAACACTCGTTGCAACGCCGGATTCTCCTCACCGATACGATCGGTTCTCCAGTCGTTCCGACCATGGAGATAAGATGCCATGTCGCATGCCTCAACGCAAGCTATCCACCAGGTTTCTCAGCTCTTCCCCAAGAAACCTGAGAAAGGTTGCTGCACACCATGGTAGTGCCTCTACTAGTAGTAGTACCTGCAGCAAGAGTGAGGGCGATGGCAGCAGTTCTTCTTCTTATGACAGCTGCGACAGTTTTGACAGTTTTGCCGCCTGCAGTGAATCAGCATCATTAGACCTTGTTGACATCTTTGGAGACCGATATGGAGATCGATACAATGTCTCACGAGTATTGGTGGTCGGTCGTCGAGGATGAACCAATAAGAAATGTGAGCGCTTTTATGTACGTATTATACTGCTAGTACTACATATAACGCATTTCGACGAAGCCCCTCAGATATAAACTACATCTATAAACTTAGAATCATATATTTGCACACCATCAGCCAGTTGCTTTCTTAGTACAAACTGTAGTAATGACAACATGATCCATACTTGCACGGATACTTTTGATAATAGTAGTGGCGCTGATGAGAATCATCGAATAGGCACATGCAATCCTTACTTGCAACTAACTAGCTGAAGTACAACTACAGTTTGTAGCATACTGTTGTTCCTGTACTGGTAGTTGGTGATGGAGAAAAAGAGCTATGCCCCAATTTGAAAAAGGTACATTTTGAACCCTAATTTTTTAAGGAGTTAACACGAATGACATTGGCCGAATTAGCTCAGTCGGTAGAGCGCACGACTCTTAATCGTGTGGTCGTGGGTTCGATCCCCACATTCGGTGCAATAAGCTTTTGCTGGCCTGGCCTTCCAGCATGTAAAGATCCACTTTTTGCTCCTTGACACACTTTCCTGTTGTACCAACAAGATGGTACATTTACCAGGTAAAGTATTGGTGCATTCATTCTAATCAGAAAGTATAATACCTACAAACTAGCTAGTATTGCAAACGAATCAATCCTCTCGCCACAATGCTGCTGCTTCCGCGTAGGTGCTAGCTACTACTAGGAAGCAAGCAGGAGCATCCTCATTCCACCAACCTACATTTCTTCTTTGGCGCAATCGAGCGATCCAAGGAGTCCTAAACTACAGTATACTATGCACATTCTATTCTGTCGCCCAATTCTAATACCTTCTGCCCATAACACCAAAAGGAACCCAAGATCTTTTGTCAAATGTACAAGAATGAATCGTACAATCGGAGGCTTCCCCAAATTCAGGCACTCGTTCAAATTTTGGCATTACCTAGAGCAATGATAACGGATGGAAACACGCCCGGCGCACACATACAACATAGTAGGCGAGTTTTGGTACAAAATTGTCGGAGGAGTCGTACCGGGTAGGAACACGCAAGGCAAACTCCCACCGTGGTGATGAAATGCACAATCATATTCTTTTCGACAGCTCGTCTCAAGTCCCACAAGCTAGAACTGATACGCAAGACTGATCTTTTTCCTCTTTGACAGCCTGTATCCAATCCCCCCCACTGATTCTATTCCATTCCATTCCAATCATCAGCTACAAACTACCATGTCCCGTGTTCCTGATTTGAGCGATCTAGACCTTCAATTGGAAGACGTTGAAGATTACACCTCCGAGTACCCCACAGGAGAAGCTGATATCCGCAATTCCGCCGAGAACGATGTCGTCAAGTACCGCCGTGGCGTTGTCACGGCATTTATCTTTGAGAATAAAAAGCTGGTCATGATTGCTGGAACGGCCCTTGTCGTCTTGATTGCCATTATCTCCATTGCTTCTGGAAAGGGATCGGCGCCCGCTGCGGTAGACGATGGACACGCCCCTCTGATTTTGACGGACGCTGCCATTCTCGACGATCCCAAGACGGATGATATCAAGAACGAATTGCAAAAAATGTACAATAACAACGACATGGACCCCATTGTGTTGACTGGGGCCGATGGCGATAACACTCCTCAACGACGCGCTTTGAGTTGGTTGTCTCACGACTACGAAGAAGATATGGATCACGCCACCCGCATGACTCGTTACGCCTTGGCCGTCTTTTATTACTCAACCAACGATGTCCCCACGGAAGAGACTCCGGAACCCAAGACTTGGTACGAGGCCGACAAGTGGCTCACCAAGGAACATGCTTGCGAATGGCAAGGAATTGAGTGCAATGAGCGCTTGCACGTTGTCGAAATTGATTTGTCTCGCAATAACTTGTCGGGCAAGATTCCCAAGGAAATTACTGCTCTGGACGAACACTTGACAACTCTTATCTTGAGTGAAAATTTCATTCTCATGCACGAAAAGGATTACGATGCCTTGATGCCATTGACTAATCTTGAGACTTTGTTGATGGATGACAACTTTTTGCACGGCTCCAATGGATTGCCCACTCAATTTGGCTCTTTGGTCAGCATGAAAAAGCTCAAGTTGTCTTACAACTTGTTCAAGGGTAATATGGATTCGGCACATTCCAACGCCGTCTTGGCAAACATGAACCAATTGACTCACTTGGAAATGGAAGCCTGTTACCTGACAGGATCCATGCCCCATCACATTGGACGCATGTCCAATTTGGTGTACTTGTACATGAGACGCAATGCCATGAAGTTCGATTTGAAATTTTTGACAACTGGACAGATGACTGATTTGTGTAAGTAAATGATGGACTATGGGTGTATGTCTCGATTGTTGCAAGTCAAGTTTGCTGACATGTTACTTTCTATCTCCTTGCAACAGTCGCTTTGTGGATTGACGCAAATGAAATTACTGGAACCATTCCAAGTGAAATTGGTCTTTTGGAATCCATGGCATCCTTGTCCATGACCAACTCTTCCCTGACTGGAACCATTCCTTCCGAAATGGGCAACATGTCCGCCCTACGAAGACTCTGGTTGTTCAACAATGAACTCACGGGCTCTGTGCCTGTCGAACTCAAAAAGTTGAGCGATTTGGAAATTTTGCAAGTCCACCACAACAAGCTCAAGGGAGAAATGCCCAATGGTGTCTGTGAGAATATCCACAATTCTGGATCCGATGTCAAGTCCTTGACTAGTGATTGCGGAACCAACCAGATTTCCTGCAGCGACAGCTGCTGTACTCGCTGCTTCTAAACTCTTATGTCCTGAGAGGAAGATTTTACACATACACACATTCACACAGACACATACCTCGTTTGAATAGCAACAAGGCGATTGCACAAATCTTTGTCACTTTGACACCTACATGATAACAATAAAATTTGTAATATTTGCAAAACAAGATGAGCCGATTTTCAGACTAGGATTAGCAGTCGTTCTCACATTGCTACATAGCTACTACTTGTTGTCACAATTTGTCCTCGCTCATTGAACTCCCTGTAGATGATCGTTGTTGAAATACCATGCGCTTGTCTTTGGTTATATAACTTCCACCATCCAAATGGCCCGTAAAGAACATTCCCGAGTGATCATCTAACAAATAGCAACCGAATCGGGCATGCCCTTGGACCAGACCCATACGTTCCACAGCCTTTTTGATTACCGGAGACAACTTGTCTTCAACAAAGCCGCCTCTGACTACCATTTTGTACGGTGGATGAAATACAAAATCCCGATAGTGAGCCGTCTCGCAAATGTGGACATTGTCGTACCAAAAGAAAGTGGGAGTCAATGACAATTGGGCCTTTGCAGATGGAATGGGATTGGAGGCCAACCACTCTTGGTGATCCGCATGGCACATGCTAGAACGATAGGTTTCCACCAAGGCTTCTAGATTTTGTCGGAGTCGCGGTTGGCCACCATAGTCCATATTGTCCAGGTTCGCTCCTTCTGGGCCGTAAGCGGTCCCGTCCACCTGCAACTCGGGAGGTCTCAAAATGCAAGTCTTCATGGCCTCCATGTAAGAACGACCGTATTTGGATCCAAACTGATCACGATACAACAAGTTGGATCGCATGCTCATGCCCACGTATTTTATCCGATGATGATTGTGCCACATGGCGCGCAAGGTCGCTTCAATAGGTGTAGGTCGCATAAAGGTCCGGTCGTGTTGAATGACAATGACGTAGGGCGTCGAAACACACTCCTGCAAAGCGTGTCGTAGAGCAAAGCCATAGCCATGTCTCGTGTCTAGCTCTTCCACACTAGTGTTCCAAAATGCCGAGTCTTGTTGGGCTGACTCGCACAGCTTGCTTAAATTTTGTTTGAATTGGGTGTAATTTTCATACTGATCGTCATTGACAATGCCATTGCGCATGGCTTGTTTGAAATTGTTGTGTTTCTTGGTTGTCTTGGCGTCTCGCTGTCGGCAACCGTCGCAGACAATGATTTTGCGGCACTTGTAGGCAAACGAGTCTCCTCCATTTGGAAAGGTGTCAAAGACTCGTTCGAGCAGCTCGGTAGAAGGATTGCTCTTGATGGGCGATGTCGTCACGATGACTGTCAAAATGTCTTCTATTGGCGGCATTTTGTCTGGTCGGTCCAACAAATCCTCTGAAGGTCTGTAACCAAAGATGGAATCTTCGAGTTGTTCCGTTTCGGACAAATTTTCTGGAGGAAGGAAATAAAACTTTACAAAGAGTATCGGTTGATCTCCCCTCTCATCTGGACCCAAGGTACTTATGCGACTACGCCATTCAAATAGATATTCATCCGTCTTGACATATAAGCACCGTTTCTCCAGCAAAATGCCACTGCAGTGCTGTTCCGAATACAAATCCCAACAATCAGGTTTCCGTATCTTGGGTCTATTAATGTATTCGACAGCCGATGCATAAATAGGAAGAATCGCCATGAAATAATCGTTCTTTTCTTCTTGATAGTTAAATTTGGTAGAGGCTTCAAAAGTGGAGACTGTCGCCTTGTCGGTATTCAACAGTTTGTGGAGTTGGTTCTTTGGGTATTCCTCCACAGCAACCTCGGTTGGTTTTCTTCCCGTCTGTTGAATGAACTTTTGCACCAGATTTTCAATCCCACTTGGCAAGCCACCACCATTCAAATCCTCCTCCTTGAAGCGCGTAACTTTTCGCCGTTGCTCAAAGCCTGCCCAAGTGAAGCTCTGACGGTCGAATCCTGATAGCAGATCACTTGCATCTTCTTCCGTGATGAAATTGTCGATCTTCTCAAGCCCCTTTGGAACAACCAATGATCCATTCGACACTGTTATAGAAGTATCAGTTTCGCCCCCCAGGTCGATGGTGTTCCAGTCAATACTGGCTGTCATTAGAAGTTTCTTCAATGTTTTGAATTTTTGGTTTGATGGTTGATGGATGACGATTAATTGATTGATTCATTCGAAAGGTTGAAAAATGAGGGAATACGTACGCCGCACCGACAGCATGATAGTTGTTTTTTAAAAAATGTATTAATGCTGAGTACCGTACCAATAATGAAGAACACTCATGAACTACTACTCGTAGCATTGCATTGGCAGAACAAATCATAGTCTTTTCACAAAATGAAATCGTTATAGTATGACAAGAGTAATAAAAGTAATGAATAGGTCATGGAATTAGCGACTTTTTCGACTCGGCGGCAGGAGTGTCCGTCCAGGAGGCAAAGGACCACTCGTCTCCCGAGCAGACCGTGGAAGGTGTACCTGGTTGCGATTTTTGCCCCAGCGGTGGGGGTGGCAGCCAGGAATCGAGACGTCTTGGTGGCTTGATTACTGCTGTGGGCGATTTGTTGGTAGGAGAGGAAAACACTTTTCTTCTCTCGGAAACAAGGTTGTTCTTCTTTGTGAGTGGTGGTGACAGTTCTCGCTGACGTCCAAAACGAGCTTCTCGTCCCGTCCTCGTTGGCGACAACTGCGATTGTCGACCTGCTGCAGATCGGCGAAACACGGATGTGTTTGATACATCAAACTGACTTATTCGAACCTCCTTTTGTAGAAGCGAGGTGGTATTGCTGGGTAGGTTGGGAAGCGAGTGCCGTGGCCGACGCATCGATGGTTTGTTTGCAGTGGTAGTGGCTGTAGTACTGGTAGTGGTTTCAAGTTGGATATGCGATCTTGGGATTCTCTCTAGTTTTGCCATCCTGGGCTTTTCTTCTTCTTCTACAATGGAAAAAATATTGTCATCATCATTTGCATATCTGCGGGCTTGCTTTCCAGCCATGGAAACCCTGGCTGTAAAGACTCGTTGAGGCTTCTTTGCAGGGCCGCGAGCGTCGTTATAGGATTTTCTTCTGTAGGTATTCATGCTGGTTTCACCTTGGACGTCCTCTTCTGAAAAAATAATGTTTGGAGTGGGTGGTTTTACAGCGGATCGCTCCCACGAAAATGTGTCGACGGGTGATTTTGGAGAGTTTGTGGTGCAACTGGAGTCGTGAGCATGTTCCTCATGCGGTCCTTGGGTGGATGGAAGCTCCATTGTCCCTGTTGTGATTGATTGGTCTAGGTCAACGCTTGTCTCCCTGTATGTGGGAAGCGGTTTCAAGATTTCGAGGAATTTTCAGTGATTAATTAGTATCTTGCTTGACAAGAAAGTGGCCCAGAATCGACTCCGAGCTTGGATACGACCAAGATTGAATCGTTAAATAAGGGCGAGTCCCTAATCAAACTCCCATAAATCCCAAAATCCCCAAGATCTCAATCATGCAGTCACGTTTCAAGTAGGGGGAGGGGATTGTTCTCTTTCACTTTCGTGGGGGATGATATCAAATCACATTCCATGCGTTTTGAGAGATCTTATTTTTTTGAAACGGTATCGTATGAATGGTGGGAGCATTCTGAAGGCACATACTAGCAATCACTTCCACTTCTTCCTTCTTGGACTATTCACCTACTTGGTACTATCTGTGGATTGCTTCTCCGCCGAAATGTGTAGCACTACTAGACCGTCACCACACGTCCAACGACTGTTTCGTTCCATGCACAAGATTCAAAACAAGCAAAAAGGCGCCGAAATGAAAAAGTATTTGAAGGATCACTTTTCTTGTCTGGGAATTCAACGGCCAGCACGGAATACGATTCAAAAGCCCTGGTTGGCGGTCATCAAGGCGGATTTTCAAGTCGATCCTTGGGATTTGGCATGGGAGCTTTGGGAACAAGAACATCGAGAGTTCCAACACGTTGCGATTGATTATATGAAAACATTTCCCAAAAAGAGCTACAAAAAAGACGACCACATCAAGATTGAGCGATTTATAACGTCCAAATCGTGGTGGGATACCGTTGATTTTCTGGCTAGTCATGTGGCTGGAAATTATTTTCAAAACTGTCCAGAGATGATCGAATCAGTCATTACAAAATGGCGCCATAGTGACGATATGTGGCTAAACAGGACGAGCCTACTGTTTCAATTGAGGTACAAGGAAACGACGGATTTCGAATTACTCAAAGGGCTCGTTCTTCAGTACCTGGAAGTAAAAGAGTTCTTCATTCAAAAGGCGATTGGATGGAGTCTAAGGCAGTATTCTCGAACCAATCCAGATGCTGTGAGAGACTTTATAGCAGATCTTGAATTATCAACTGTCGCCAGACGCGAGGCCATCAAGTATATATGATCTTAGTTGGAACTTGGTTGGAAGGAACATATTTCAAACAATCTGCTATTGGCTTCTTGCCGTATAGCTAATCAATCCAGCTAACCAAACAGCAGGAATCACGAGCCAATTCGAGGACCAAGGCGCCAGTCTAATCATCATCTTTGGGGCTAAGAAAATTCTACTTCGCAATCAATCAGGGATACCAAGTGTGAAAGATTGCGATCTCCAAGTCCCTTTAGCTGACACTACTGTGTATGTATGTCCTTTTTGGGTGCTTTCGATCGAAGTGATCGAACCTTCGGAACGTGCAAAACGCAACGTTATAACGCCACGTCGGTCGACCATCGTTCTGATCAGAAAATTCGCAAGTTTCACAACCTTTGGGAGAAAGGATACAAAAAAGGTTTGAGGTATTCCTTCCAATAATGATTGCTGCAACTCGAGGAGGTCCGATGAGCCGTACAGTAGCTCGGCGTGTTGGTTACCAAATGCCGCGTCATTCAGCGAACGCATTGTCTACAGCTTGGTCATCTGTAACGCCATCATGCTCGTCTCGACGTGAGGACGAGGAAGATGGAGTCTCACAGAGGCGAACGTATCACACCACAACACCATCGTCAATTGCTCCATTTCTTCCTGAGATTATCATTGGTGGTGGGATTATTGGTGGATGGGCCATTCATCGCATTTCGCAGGGCAAACCGCTCACTCCCGACGAAGCATTGGAAGCTCAAGAATTGTACAGGCGCCAAGAAGAGGATCTGAGAAGACGTCAACAAGAATATCAGCGCCAGAAGAAGCAGCCTAGAGAAATGAATTTTAGTAAGCGTTAAGTTGGGAGTGTGAGATGATAGTGCGAATGAATGCAAAAGAGAAATGAGTCATCGGCAGACGAGTTTAGCATTACTCACTTGAATCAATGATGTCCACATCTGTTGATATCCTTGTGTCAGCAGCAGACACCGATGATGACCATGCTTTCCGTGATGACGGTTGAACAGCGCGACAAAGAGTTGTAGCGTAGTAACAAAGTAGGAATAGGAAAGCAGCACAGCGCTTACAATACTGTAGTTGCATGATGATTCCAAAACATTTGAAGATTCTTCATGTTTTCAATCACTATTTCGATATCGCCCTGTTCCCCCAAATACGGTACCCCCATAGTTCCGCTTTCCCAAAAGTCACCATTCAACTGGCGGCGGCAACTTTTCAACAACTTCTGGTTGCGAAACATTTTGTGTTGATGAGGTACAATCGTTGCGACAACCTTCATGCTCTGCTATTCCCATCGTTCGTTTCGTTGTGTAAGTGGAATCGTTTTCTGAAATGAAACAACTGTGTATCTCCACACGTTCAATCACTCATGCTGGAGCGTTCTTACCACGAACATCGAGAGTTCCAATAGGTACGTTGCAATTGATTTGATATGAAAACGATTCCAAAAAAGGAGTACAAACAAAATGATTATATCAAATTTGAAAAGTGTATTACTATCAAGCCATGGTGTACTGTTGATGTCTCTTTGCTACCTGTATCAACATTGTTGGGGCGTATCAGCCATACCCAGAAATGATCCACACCATCATCAAAGAATGGAGTCGAGGCGATAAGAACATGTGGTTCAACAGGAATTGCTTTCTGTTTCAATTGAGATACAGAGAAAAGACAGGCTTCGACTTGCTCAAGAAACTGGTAGTTCAATACATGGATGTGGATGAATTCTTCATCCAAAAGGCAGTTGGATGGAGTCTTCAGACATTATCACGTACCGACCCAAGTGCCTTGAGAGAGTTTGTGAAAGACTTTGCTCATTCTTCCATTGCCAGGTGCGAGGTCATCAAATATATTTAATATTCTTCTTCGTAAGTGGACCACATCATGCAACCTTAATTGCTCATTTACGGTGTGGAATCATAAGTCCGGCTTGGCCAAAATGCGACCTAGTGCGAGTTTCAGTTCGTGAGCCTCACATGGGAATGGCTTGAACATAAACGCGTTAGCACCAGCTTGAAGATATTCTTCCTCCAAGTCGTTTGCAGATAGTCCGCACATCTTGGACGTGATGCCAACGTTGCGCAGAGCTGAGACTGTCTCAGTTCCGAGAAGTTGTTTTTCCACACTCGCCATGTACATGTCCACAAAAATAAGGTCGAACTCCTCCTTTTCTGTTATCGCTAGTGCGCTTTCTCCATTGCTTGCTTCTCGTACTTCCCATTGCGGAGCAATTCTCTTCACTGACCGCTTGAACAGCTTTCGCAAAATGGAGTCATCATCCACAAACAACACCCTCAAATTTTCTGGTAGGTCATCAGCTTCCGAAAGAGGGTGCAACTCCTCGTCAGTAGCACCAGGAATAGCAAACATTACCTCTGTACTTCGGAAATTATCTTGCGCCATGGGTGGCTCGACACTTGGAGCTCTCATATCAATGACAAAACTGGTTCCTGGGCGGCCTTCAATTCCGCTATGATAATCGTTATCCAAATAGATTTTTCCGCCCATTAGGTCAACCAAGCTCTTACAAAGATAGAGACCAATCCCCTGGGAGTTACAGATCATTTGATTAGTGATTGATACCTCTCGGCACATAACACGTTTTGTAGAAAAGTACTTACTGTTCCTTGACTCAGAACGTCGAGACTCTCTTGAAACTTGGCGAAAAGACTATCACGCTTCTCTGGCGGAATCCCAGAACCGGAATCATCAACAAACAACTTCACGTTGCCATCAACTTCCTCAGCCTTTATTCGAATGAAGCCCTCTTCAATAAACTTCGAAGAATTTCTTCCCAAGTTCAGAATTACTTGCTTCAGACGTAACGGATCAGCATTGATCCACAAGTTGTCTGGACATGCCACAATGACCTCAACTTTACTACCCCGTTTGTGCAACATTCCAGCGACTGGCTCGATAACATCATGCTTGAGATCGGTTGCAACCATGTTCACTTGCAGCTGTTTGTTACCAGCACGGTGCATGTCCAACATATTTCGAAGCAAATCATTCACAAACTTGAGCGCATTTTCAATTACACTCATGTCACCCTGTGCCACCTCCAATGCTTCCTCTTCCACGAATGGTTTCGGTTTGTTCAGTTCCGTTTGAACAAAGTTGCAGGCTGCCATCGCTGCTGCGACTGGGTTTCGGACTTCGTGCGCAATGAAGTCGTTTAATTCCCGTTCTGTTTTGGTGGCTTGCCGGGCATTCTTCAATATCAAAGCAGCCTTTTCATGACTAGCCTCTACTTTCAATTCATTGTACCGCTTGGTCTTCCGTGCGTCATTTCTTACATAAGCTGCCAGTGAAATCGCAGAACACAAGATAATTGCTCCACCCAGTATAATGAATGGCAGATTAAAGTCCCACCATCCTTCCATGTCAACCACGGTGATGGTCCACTCCCGATTCGCAGCCTTGATTGTCTGTTGGTGAAACAAATTCTTGTCGACAAGGCTGGCGAAGGAATCACCGGCGATCATTCGCACAAATGGTGCAGCACCGGTGGTCTTTCGTATTTCTGCACCTCCCAAAAAGACAGGCTCGCCATTGCGAACAGAGGGATCGGAAAGGTCATGGATGAAAATCTTGGAATCCCTCCCATCCGAGGTAATAGACCTTTCCAAAAGGTCTCGAATACAAATGACTATGGCTGAGATGTCTCGAGGCCATATGTCCGGTTGCGTTGTGAGGTTGACGCCTGGATGCATCAAGACGACGCCATAACCAGCAGATTTACCGGATGACCCACACCGCAGTTCTTTTGTGCCTTCATTCACCAACACCAAGCGATCTGTCAGCGCAGGACCTGCAGAATTGAATAGGGAGTCTACAGTCTGTCTTCTTGATCCCGATGAGTAGTAATCCAAATCGATGGCTGCTTCGTTACCGACAATTGGCTCTTGATATTGAACTGGAAAATAGAAACTCTGATTTCTCCATCGTGGTTCCAAACCGGAAGTAGGCGTGTTGAAGCCCTGGAACCCAGTGTAGTTCACATTGGGATAGTTATCAGCGTAATAAGCTTCTGCCTCATCTTCGGCATCTTGTCGTTCCGCGTTTGTCACGTTGGGAACGAATTGAACCGCCTGAAACACGAGACCAGAACTGTCCAGGTATTCGTACATTTCTCTGAAATCAGTTCTGGTGAAATTATGACGGCAACGATTGTGGACTAACGAAGCTGCATTCAGATAGTCATCCAATGCTTCAGTGACTCTGTTTTCCGCAAAGAGGGCACTTCGAATAAATTCATCTTCCGTCTGTGACAGAGCTCCTTTTAACCCAATCCACAAGAACCCAGCAGTCGTCAAAGCACCCAATACCAGAATCAGTCTGATCAGATTGTCAGACTGATGTTTCCGCAAGTTTTGTAGACTTAATTGGGACAGACTCCTGTTGCTCCCAGTACTACCTGTATCCGACTGTGGCGCACGTTGGTACGGTTCGACGACATCAACAACCCGTGGCGCAGAGCTGCTATGACCCTCCTCCTCATCTTCATGATTGCTGGACGCGGTATGTAGTTGGATGCTCCCCTCTATATGCGACTTGATCTCCCTCAGGGTCTCGCTTTTAGTTTTCCTCATACGGAACTTGGAAAACACCATTGTCTTTCGTTTATGCTCTTGTACCGGTAGTGAGTGGTGACAAAACGACGAAAAATTGTTTCAGAAGACCTTTTCTTTGTGCGTGCCCCCTGCGGAGAAACCCAATACTGTACGGTAGGTTAATGATGACTCTTTGATGGAGAACTCGTGGTTGACACATTAATTAGAAAGGTCGTGGAACAAACAAAAGGCGAACCTGAAGAAATGTCTCAAATCCAGTGATTGCTCAGTTAAAATCGTATTACGTAGAAAAAAATTTAGCTGCTGAGAAACTCATACTGTACTTCAAACTTCTCCTTTTGAAGTCGGCGGATTATGAATGACACAGGCACAGCTCACAGGAGCACCTCCTCGAACCAGAACAAGTTGAGCCTTTTGTAGTTGAGTCATTTGTTGGAATACTTTTCATTTCGTCTTTTTCGATCTTCCTCCATCTTTTCGTACGCGGATTGACTTTCTGACACAGACTCCGGTTTCAAGGGCAAACCATAGTATTTTCGGTAGCCAACATACCCAAGAGTTGTCACAAGAATGATGGTACCGTAGAGAACCATTTCATTATTTGGGGTGGAATGATAGTTTCGCCGTTGTGACTGATATTTTTCATCATCGGAGAGAAGCGCTTTTGGTTGCTGAAACGACGAATTAAATGTACTGAATGAGTGATGTTGATGATGCCCATATCGTCCTCGCTGCTGTGATCTCCAAAGATTGTGTGATGCTTGCCTACTAGACTTCTGTTTTTGATGAGCAAGAAATCCTGTTTGCAAACGTAATCGGCGACACCGCATCGTTATTCTCTGGGCCTCGTATGTCATCAATCTGAAATCGTTATCTCTCTCAGCTGCGATCTTTCCTTGCAATTTTCGGTTGACGGTTAGACTGTGTTGTGAGCATGTAAACTTCATGATGAATAACTCCACTTGCTTGACAGCTGCTGACAGCGGCATTAACTGCACTAACATACGGAACATTTAACTTTGCATTTTGTCTTACTTTCCATTATCTTTATTATACAGATCCCACGCTCAAGGGCTTTCTATCTCATCATAATATCAGTTCACATTTTCGTCGACTCGTTGGATTCCTTGCAAATCTCAGGTTGAAACCAAGCACAGTAGGCTACATTCATTCCAAACGTTATTGTTCATCTTCACTTTTTGCTTGCAACGACAACTGCCAAGCTGATGACTTAGCAACACTGTTAAGATATCAACGCAATGAGGCAATATAGAAGCCAAATTTTGTTCTATATTGTCTTTCTGGTGTCCTTCTGTTGCTGCGACTTTTCCGCTGCCAGAACAATACAAGTTGTAGACAACACTTCCACGACACAGTCGACAACTGCTTCCACATCTGCTCCAAGACTATCACAAAGATGGAGGCGGAATCAAGAGGCAAGTAGCAATATACCGACTACTACAAACATAGAACCCGCTCGAAATGAATCACGAAAGGCAAGGACAGCTCGATCACAAGAAAGAAAGGATTGCCAACAGTTCATTCAATCCCAACAAGATCCATATCTCGAACGCTTGCTCCTGCCGGTGGAGCATTACTGGTACCAAAAACGAAACCCCAGTATGGCCTATCAGATGGCATACATGGCACATCTATCGTACTGGGAATTTCACAAGCACCCAATCTTGCCAGAATCATGTCAATCCCTGCAAATCCAGCGGTCAGTGCCACGGTGGCAAGTCAACGATGGCATTCGGTATCATCTTTGTCACTTCAGCAACTTGGCAGCGGATACTATTGCTCAGAGTAATGTAGCTCTGGTCAATTTGAATGAAACAGAGTCCAACAATACTTGGGACGTTTGCCGGCGTGACCCCACCACTCGAGGCACCAAGCGAAAGTATAGTTTGCATTATTACTTTTACAACTGGCACGAGCTGGGGGTAGCTGGTATCAAGTTCCATGACACCGATTTACTAGTATTAACTTCCGATGATCACAAGGAACTCGTCATTGCATTTGCTGGTACAGCTTCCCCTGCGGACACTGTGACTAATCTTCAAACCTTTGAACCAGCGAATCATTCCTCCTTTTTCACAGGAACCAACAAGAATAAACCGCCAATCCAGGGTTCTTTGCATCGTGGTTTTCTGAATGCATATTCAAAGGTCGACCGCGGGTCGGTACTTCGTCTTTCCAATCGAACCATGGGGAAACCGATGGAAAAGAGCATGCGGTTGGCACTCCGAAATTGCAAACGACCGGCTCCAAGAAAACGAAAGAAACCAAGAAAAGGAAAAGATGACTCTCAATCGGATAGCGAGCGAGAAGCAACCTGTGTTGTTGAGGGAGTAAAGTTGGTGGACATTCTTCGTCGCATTGTGATCGCTGCCTTAAAGCGTGGGACTACCATTCATGTCACTGGGCATAGTCTCGGAGGTGGGCTTGGGACACTCTTTGCTGGTGACATTCTAATTAACTTTCCCCAGGTACCTGTTCGAAAGCTGCATCTATGGACCTTTGGAGCGCCGCAAGTGGCCGACAGTATCTTTTTGGAGTCTGCCATTCGAGCTGCTCCCCGTCTTAAGAAATTCTTGCTCAACCGCGGTCATGGCCGGTATCATCGGTTTGTAACACTTTCGGACACTTGCAAGGCAGATTTGATATCGGAAGTCGCCAAGACCACATTGGCAACGCACAAGACCAATCTTCACGGACGGTCAGCTCGAAAATGGGGCGGAGTCCATGGTCACGTTTCGCATTTTGCGGAACCACATTATTTGCTGACCCCAATTCAATTGGAAGCAACAAACAATGCCTCCGAACTCAAGACTGGCACACATTCAACAGTCGCAGCCCACAACTTGAAGAACTACCTCCAAGGGATTTCCCGCGAGTCCTTTGGTCATCCTTTGTCAGTCACCATGCCATCAACGTTGGAAGAATGTTTTGTTGGTAATACATGAACAACGATCAATATGAAGACACGGAATCCCAAACAGCAGTATGGTTCGCGGTGCCAATATATTCGACGAATGCGATGCGAGAAAAATTGGCCGTTCAGGTGTTTCTCAAACTTCCAGTATTGCATTCAGACTTGGATCGATTTCTTGATGTGATTGATGTTAAGGAGTATGACTGGGACAGTACAAGCTGTCCGATTCTGTTGCCATAGAACCAATGCTGAACGAAGGCGACGACTTTGGTTCTATTTCTTTGGGATGAAAGCGACACAATGTCCGGAGAACCTGTTGACGTTTCCATAGCCGCATCTGCAGTGTCTTCGTTGAATATAAATACAGTTAAAACGAGACATCGACTACCAAAGGCAAGGTATTATTTTATTGCGATCACCCAGCACAACAACATCAACTTATTCCATCAAGGGGTAATCCAGATTGAAGATGGGTTCCAAAAAGCAAACAACCATGAATCTTGTGTCTGAAACTTCTTGTCCAAACGGAAGTTCGTCGACGTTGACACCAAATTGGTTGGTGAAGGGGAAATTGGTGTCAGTGCCAGCAATGATACAGTAGTCATCAACAACAATGACTTGTTCGTTAGTGACTTGAGTTTGGGCATACTTTAGAATTCCATTTCCATCAACGTCCCAGGGATCATCGATGCTGTGGTAGTTCAAGATGCACTTCTTCTTCGTCATGACCATGTCATCATCGACATCCAAGAGATCGACGACGCACAGCTTGTTGGCGGGCATGACTGGGGCTGGGAACACTTGACCAGATGGGAACCCGTTGCGCTCAATGACAGCAACCAATCGATCGGATCCTGGAATGGGCGAAACATCGGCAATGTTTCCAGCATTTAATTCGAATGGATAGTATCCAAGGAACTCTGTGAACGATGGAGGGTGTTCAGGGGAGCCATTACCAGGGTCGACCTACAGATTGAGAAATATCAGTCACAGAGTCTTTATGGATCAAAATAATCAGCAGCAGGCATACTTACTCTGTAGACACGGACACCTGGTTCGTCACCAAGAGTGGAATCGCCAGAAGTCTTCTCGAGGAAGGCAGCAATACTTCCATCTGCCAATACAGAAAATCCCTCGTATCCACCAGAAGGATCATGCTTGCGGTATTTCGATGCATCCACAACTCCAGACTCGACTTCAAGGCATTCATTCTTCTCCAAAGCTTCAATAGTACAGTGGACCTTGTCTCCGCGTGTGGAAAGGTATTTGCCGTTGAAGTGTCCGTCCTCATCAATGTCAGGAGTACGGACAAATGGGGAAAGTACTACACCAGTGGTGGGATTGACGGCAAAGATGGCAGGCATCAACTCGTCACCAACAATGGCAAGATTCTCGTTGATAACAGCAAGCCCTTCGACGTCGAAATCTCGTCCAGTCAAGACACGAAGGTCCTTGAACGTATCCCAAGTAGCATCCGGAACGTGGTATGCAACTTGAATATCGGCACCGTTCTCCCATTGAATGAGTCTATTTGGATCATGAATAAGGGCAGTTCCAAGATTCTCAGTAGGTGTGTAGGCATCGTAGGTGCCTTCTCCGTGACGGTATGTGAATGGTTTCTGAATCTTCATGTGAACTATGTTTAGAGCATAGTCGGCACTGTTGGTAGAAGCTCCATAACCATTATCCGACAAGCAGAAGAATTCACCGCGAACGATCTCTCCGTTGGCATAGAATGGTTCAATATCGGAGAATCCAACCTAAAGAATGGAAAGGAAAGAGACAATCCGCATGAGATTCGGTTAGATCCATCAAGCGCAACGAACGGATATCATTCTATCGAACATACCGATGGCACATAAGGGTAAGGAGCTCCATATCCATCCAAATAGGTACCCGATGTGACGCCATTCAAGATGTCAGGAATATCAGCGTTGGGGTAATTCAACAAACCCACCTGAAAGTGACAGCAATCCTTGTGAGATGAGTTCAAGCCATGATAGAGAACATTCAGTTTTCACTCGATCGAACATACCAAGTAATGGTTTTGATAATCAGCCGAGTTGGAAGCGTAAACCTTACGGTGCTTGTCCTTCTTCTTGTCTCCTTTCTTGAGAGCACGGTTGCCTTCTGTCTTTGGGGCTCCACGGATCTTGCTGTCCTTGGCAGCAGCCAAAGTGATGGTGGAAAGCAGAAGAGCAGTAGAGGAAACTTTCATTTTTGAATGCTGAAATTGTGAGACAAAGATCTTCATATCGGAATTGGGTCTTTCCGACGTATCTTTTTCTCATTTTTTTCTCGGTGTCAAATAGATTCCACAATCGAGACAGGCGCTTGATGGAGAGCCATCTTCAAGGGAATCAATAATGCTGTGAACGGATATCTTCTGGAGGGAGAGTACCCAATTTTTTTTGCCGTTTAGGTCATCACCTATCCGTTACACAACACGATTTGAGTGTGACATGGAATCTTTGGAAAACATAGCCAGAATCTTCGGAGTATGTACTGTGTGACGAATATTGGGCTTGGTGGTACATTGGAAGAATCTGAAGGTGAATCTTTTGAATCTCAATACATACCGCGTTGAAACCACAGCCTACAGTAAATCATGTCAAAGGCTTTCTCTCATGTTTCCAAGATACAAGAATCAACCACTGCTACAGTATAGTGTCATGTGAAAAATCGTGGTACAACAATGCACAATATGTGTTGGCAACTGTTATTAATAACTCCGATCCTTTTGAATGACAATTGAAATTGCATGGGACGGTGCTACTCTTATACACCAATTATAATAATCATTCAAGCCCTGATTCGGATATCGTTGTAGGAGTTTCGTTGCTGGTACAGCAATGAGAATAAGTACCGCCGGGAGGTCGTTTTCATTTCTCGTGGGTACATATGCATGGCTGTTGAGTCACCTTTTGGTCGCTACACTTCTGTCCGACTATCCAGAATGCTCTGGTGGTTATTCGCCATGAAGGAGGCTCCTTTTGATGAGTGCTCTCTAGACAGTTTCCTCCTTTCTTAATACTTACGTATCAGTTTCATGCAATAGCCATTGGACAGCAGCGGGAAGGTCTTGTGTGTCTGCAAACGGCGTGACAATGCTCATTTGTGATTGACTCTCGACTAGATTGTTTGCTTTCACTATCATTGGAGGACTTTGTGCCGGCTGGTTGCCCATGAGACCGAATCCATAGCCTGTTTGCACCAGAATCCGGTTGGCGACACCTCCAGCCTTTGCAGCTTGCATATCCGTTAGAGTATCTCCAACAAACACTGCTTCGGAAGCATCTATGTTCCAATTGCTGCAAGCCTCAATCACCATTCCAGGATTTGGCTTTTTTCTTGGATTGTCATCATCTACTGCCGTGCAAAAATAGATCTCGTCCAGCGTGGCTTCGGCATCCTCTTCCTGCAATAGTCGTTGCATTTCCTCATGAATTTCATTCAGTCCATTTGGTTCTAGTAGTCCCATTCCCACGCAACTTTGATTCGTAATGACCACCACCCGACATCCACGTTGTTTGAGCTTTGCAATAGCGGTTCCAACGCCATCGTGCAGTTGAAACTGTGTCTTGGAAATGACGCCTGGAGCTCCGACGTCCTGATTGATGACACCGTCGCGGTCCAGCAGAACGAGCTTTGGAACGGGGAATCGTGCGAGCGCTTGAATACTTATTGATAATAAAGCCATGATGAGAAGGACCAAAATTATCCTTGTTTGTAGTCTCCACATGAAGCTTTGATTGATCGATTGTTGTCGATGTCCAGCAATTGCGGATGGCTTCCAGTCACGAATCGCAATCCCGCGAATGGATGATATGTACCGTGCATGCATCAACATCATAGTGTCGACACAACTACACCGCGCATGGGGCAGCAGTGTATACTGTGGTACCGCCCAAATCTACGACATGGCTTCGATTAACTCTTCCTGGCATGTCTTACCGAGCACTACCGGTGTACTGGATACGCATTATTCACAAGATTTACATGTAAATTGACCCACAATATGCATAGTTTTAAAATTGAAGCGAACTCTCGATTTCCAATGGCACGCCTTGCATGATCATCTTCTCATGCCATGACTCTTGGCACGTCTGCTTGCATGTCCTGACAATACCCTTGAGACACTTTGTGATTGAAACATCCACTCAGGGACTTAGCAAGAAAGTCCAACACGAACGCGATGATGCCATACCCAGCACCCTCTCCAATAGATCAGCAAAAGACTGAACATCTCTATCGAAAGATGTTACAGGTAGGAGTGCCATTGGCAGCAGCGAAAACAAAAGATGTCGGTTGACGAGGTTCCACAAGAAATGGTCGACTCGGTTCTGTCGCAACTAACCCATCGTTACAACATCGACGCAAGTCCAGCCTAATCATGCTCCCATCATTATTGGAGAGGACCACACTCTTTCGAATACAATACTTCCATGCTTACTTGCCCAGCTGAATTCTATCGGTGGTGAATATAGTGAGGAATACAGCTTGATGAGAGACCTTGCGCAGAGGCTACAGGAAATTGAAGCACCGCACAAGAGAGTTGAAAGTCAGCTAGATGCACTTGAAAGACTTCAGGATTCTAGCACAATTCCAAAGACCATGGAAGGCCTGCTAGAATCGTCTGTTCTCGTCATTCAATGCTTCCTACGTACTATTATTGCAAGAAAGCGAATGACATCAATGGTGAAAAATAGATGCCGTAGACATTGCGAGTTCCGGACACGATTTGGAGGAGCACATCGTGTACGCGACACAAATTGTTTCATGCAGCCAGTTAGTTGCCAATCGGGAGCTCTCTCTCTCTCGTCGGAAAATGGCAGCCAGAAGGGTGCAGGCTGTGGCTCGTGGCGTCATTCAAATAGGGCCAAGAACAAATCCCATCTTCGACAGATCCAGCCAGATGATTTCTCTCAATCATCTATTCTTACTATTAAAAGCGTTTGATGCGTGCGGCCATTGTGAGGAAGAAAAAGATCAATGCTACAGTACGAAGGAAGAACCTTTGTAGACGTCACGCATAGCCAAAGAATGTGGCGAAGAGAGGAGCTCGGTACGAACCGACAATGGCCCGTCACACGTCCAAGACAGATTCATTCCAGAGATGCACAGTTGGTGGACGATGATAATGTCACACTGGCCCTTGAATGCGAAGCCACGCACACACCATACCTTTGGATAGTAGTCGAACGAGCACCCGCAAGCATGCGGGGGCGGAGTGATTGTATCAAAAGACTACGAGCAGTACCAGTTCACAAGTACCTGTCTGTAACCATCTTTTAGACTAATATCATGCACCAGACATGTCGATTTTTTCGTAGAATCTTGCTCATTCGCCTTGGATCATGTTATCCGTGCATTCTATTTTACATCCTGTCAAAATTTAGACATCATCGCCCATATTGGAGCAATTGTGCTCTGCTTCCAACGTCGAGGGCATAGGGCGGCAATTTGTCTTCCACTCTTTTTGTTTATATACGGTATGTATGTATATATATATATTCAACAATTTCCTTTTCTAAAACATGTTTCCTCTCCTTCCTTCACTGGAAAAATCTTCGTCGCTTTCAACGCCCATTGCTGCCATGCTGTCTTCTTGTTCTTTTGTGAGCTCGGCGGTGAATACTGCAATGGCTTCGTCGTCCGGATCGGAAGCGTCAGTCACAGCCATGTCTGCAACAACAACCAAGGTTTGTTCCTCCATGATGGATGCCTTCTCTGTCAGTTCTACTTCTTCCATGACCAAGAAATTATTGTTTGCTTCTTCCACAGCTGTGGCTTGTACCAGCAAGTAGGTTTCACCTGGCGGATCGGCCCGTTCCCTTTGCCGTGAGGCCAATGCTGCAGTAGTTGTAGTAGTAGTTGTAGTAGTAGTAGTAGTAGTAGTAGTGTGCTCATGATTCTTGTTGTCATTTACGGTGGGAGCTTGCAGCACGAGTAAAACTGTTTCCCCCTGCGGACCGGTCCGTTCCCTTTTTCGTGCGGCCAATGCGGTTGTATCTTTATTTGCGTTATTGTTAGTGTGACCGCGGGTGGCTTGTAGAGCAGTATTTGTTGTAGGATCCGCAGCCATCATCACCAGTTGTTGTTGTTGTTGTGGATGATCATTCGTTGTTTCCTCGTCGGCACCATTGGCAATGACTAGATTAGCTGTTTCAATGGACGAAATGATGCTGGGTGGAAACGTCCTGAATGATAGCGCCGATGCGCCTTTGGAAGTCGTTTCCATGGCAATGGTATCTTTTGCAAACGCTGGCATTGGTGCAAGATATGAGGATCCTGCTGTCAACGTTGTCGTAGCGACAGCTGCAACCATGGCAGATTTCGTCAGCTCCCTTGTAAACGATTTAATGGTTTTTCTTGCTGTTGAATGTGGTGGGAGAGTATCCATTGGAGGAATTTGTTTCAATGCATCGCATCCATCCTTCCCAACAAACAAACAAGGCTTTCGTCGACAATAAGTCGTCTTGGAATTCTTCCACGACGAAAACGAAAATCCATTTCCGACCGCGAGGATGGAAGCTAGAAGAAAGGCAGTCGTGGTTTTTGCTTGTTTCATCCTTTGTTTTAGAATAATAATACTGTTACGGGATGGATAATGGTCCTAGTCAGTATTGTATTTGTGTTGCAATGCTGTCGCCAACTATGCCTGCCAACAGAAGAAGGATTTCCGAAATTCTGGTCCACGTCGTTCGGTTTTGTATGAGAACATTCGCAAGTAAGGCGAAACATCTGTCTCGTGGTCCAATCGAGTCGAATGGGTCAATATACCACATCGACGTATTTTTATTACTATTATTTTTAAAATTAATAAAAAAGATGCCAAGATTCTATTTTCAATTTGTACGTTGGCAAGATTCGTTCCATATATTGAAAATATAACCGCGACCAATCAATGTGTGACATCCCCTGTCATTCATTGATCGAAATTGCAAAACCAAAACGACGACACCCTTTCCAAAAATCGAATCAATCGGCATTCCTCAACCAACATGATCAATTATAACAACAACAACAATAACAATAACAATGCGCTTGAAAGGATAATGATTGATAGACGATTCGTCTTTCTTCTTTACTCGGCAGTCGCTGGATTCATTTGTTATCAGGCAATGATGATGGAGGAGCATCCTCGTGACCACACCACCAGCGATGACATCACTGATGAATATCCTGCGATTCATCGATATTTGACAATAAATGGCAACAGCAATTCCTCGTCTCTCGAAGGAGTTAACAAGATGGAAGAAAAGTTTGAGGGCTTTATTGGCAAGACTCCCAAAGACCTCATGTACGAAGAAAATCACAATCCTTTGTTTCCCTTGGACACGCGAGATACAATTGGTTTTTCGTGTGCCATTTTGGGCCTCATGATTGCGGCGGGAGGAGGGATTGGTGGAGGTGGCATTCTCGTGCCAATTTATATTCTAGTCATGGAGTTCAGCCCCAAACATGCCATTCCATTGAGCAACATTACCATATTTGGTGGCGCGATTGCCAATATGATGCTCAATGCACGAAAAAAACATCCATTGGCGGATCGACCACTTGTCAATTGGGAATTGATTCTCGTCATGGAGCCTCTGACGATTGCGGGAGCATTGATTGGGGCCTTTTTGAACAATTTGATTCCAGAGGTTATGCTAGCCATTATGCTTGTGGCGTTATTGTCATTCACAGCCTTTAAAACACTAAAAAAGGCAACGAACATGTATCAAAAGGAATCACTTGCCGAGATGAATGCGACACAAGCAGTAGCAGCAGCAGCCAACAACAACAATACCGAAGAGACGCCTATCAAGACTAGTATCGCGGGTGCAACAAATTACGATAGTGTATCGAACGAAGAGGAGGGGAAACCGTTGATCCAAAACGGGAATTCCAAGGAATTGGAAGCAATCCTCGAAGCCGAAAAAAGTCCTCCCATTCACAGCATTCTTGTGCTGCTATTCATGTTTGTGGTAGTATTGGTTATTAATGTACTCAAAGGTGGAGGAGCATTTCCCTCGCCGTTGGAGATTGAATGTGGGTCCAAAGAGTTCTGGCTGGCCAATGTTTTCATGCTGGGATGGATCCTTGCCGTTACTGCCTACGTGAGATCCATTCTTGCCAAGCAGTATCAAACGAAACAAAGAATTGGCTACCAATATGTGGAAGGGGACATACAATGGGATGATCATGCTCTCGCGTACTACCCATCTATTTGTTCGTTGGCGGGCTTCTTTGCAGGCATGTTTGGCGTCGGAGGTGGTATCGTGAAAGGTCCTTTGATGTTGGCCATGGGAGTGTAAGTTGCATGAATGAATCAATCAATCAACCAATGAATGGATCCGTCGTCCGCTCTAACTTTTCCATCCATTCCTTTTCATTCCAGACACCCATCGGTTGCCTCTGCTTCGTCGGCGTGCATGATATTATTTACCAGTTCTACAGCGACAACCTCATTCTTTGTATTCGGACTGCTGGATCGTACCTATGCACCAGTATGCTTCACCATTGGTTTTGTATCCACATTTTTTGGTCAAGTCCTTTTAGGTATATTGATGAAACGCACCAAACGAAATTCTTATATTGCCTACTCGATTGGGCTCGTGGTACTCCTTTCGGCCATTATGATGACCATCCAATCACTCATTGCGATTCATAAAGGGGAGCACCACAAAACTGGAGGCATTTGTGGTAGTGATCAAGACTTTTAAAAAAAAAGTAAAGCAGAAACTTTTTTGGTCTTTTTTTTGTTATACGCCATGGACGTGAACATGGATTTTTATATGCTTGCTGTTGCGTTTATTTTATTCTCGTGGCAGTGAGTAATATAGGTGCTCGATACATGCCTAGCTTTCGATGCTCGGAAACCCGAAAGGTTTGTTTTGCCTCTCCCTCACTGACAATTCGTTCCATGGCAACCACAATCATTTCCATTGTTTCTTTGGACAATTGACTTTTAGATGGCTGTAACTTTTCGTCGTCACTTTCGTCGTCGTCGTCATCGTGTACTACAGTATCATCATAAATCTCATCCAAGAAACCCCTCCACGTCTGAACGTTACTGGACAACAAGGCCAGACATTCCAATAGTACCCGGACAGCTAAATCCTCTTCTTCATTTGTCGCTGGATACGTAGTGACACTTATCATTCCACCGATCCGAATCATCAAGGCTGCATCTGTAAGAGATTGAAGGGTAGACTCCACCTTGGTAATGCAGTCCTTGTTGCTACTACTAGTCGTGGTGGCTGCTTTCTTCCCATTCTTGTTGTTGTTGTTGTTGTTGTTGTTGTTGTGATTGGCATTGGGAAGCCAGCCTAGATTGTACACTATTAATCCAACATCACCTCCATCGGAGGGAGTTGGCAAGGGTGCGTGAGAAGTCTGCCGTACTTCGACGCGATGATCCTCCTCCAAAATGCTGGGCCCAAACCTTTCTCGTATCGCTTTGGTTGTACTTTGGCAGGCCCGTTCTTGAATGTCCAGTGCCAAGAGCTGAGAGTAATTTTCATGTTTGTTGTTGTCCTCATGATCTGCGGAAGGAAACAAAATTTCGGCCATGGCAAGCGTGTCGTGGCCATTTCCACAAGTGGCATCAATCGCCGAGTCTTGATTGGGTTTCAATATCTCCCTCCACAAGGAATGCGCCAGTGCCGTATTGGTAATTGCAGGGTTGTCCCTGTAGGAGCCTTTGGAAGTTTTTTTTGAATTTTCTTTCTTGGGTTGCTCTTGGGTTGGTGGTTGTTGGTCGAAAGCAGTAGGAGTAGAAAAAGATGATGAGGTGGAAGATGATGTGGAAGAAAATTCTCTAGTTTGTTCCAGAGTAGATTGTGCTCGGTTGAGTGCTGATGAGAGGAGTCCTTCGAACATGGCATTTTTATTGATTGTTTGTGAGTTGCTGTTGAATTCTTGCTTGTAGACATCGACATTATTATTGCTGCTGCTGCTGCTGCTGCTGCCAAGCGGATTCCATATTCGACGCCTGGTATCAGTAGCTAACGAAGAAGAGAACCGACCACAACGATGCTGCATATGAGAATGATGATGAAGAAATGCTGATACTTTGCTTGCAAATAACATTGAGGCTATTGTTATCGTAGCCGTCAGAATGATTGTCTTGGATGTCGACAACATTGGTCCTGCTGAGAGCTTTGTCTTGCAGGATACTTGTACAGTACTGCAATGAGAAAAGAATGTCATGTTTGATGGCAGTCGTTTGATGCGTGGTGACGTTTTGGTCGACTGAGTCAAAACATAAGTCGACTTCATTGACTGACTCAACCGCAACCCGAACTAAATTCAAATATTTCTGTGACCAACCAACAATGCATCACCGACGCGGCAACAACTTCAAGTACCTTTGCCTCCCAGCATTGGCATTGGCATTACCGTTATCACTCTCAATTTCATCATAGTAAAACATGAAGAAAGGCAATGAGGAAAATGAACCACCGTCGACTCCGAAAAAGTTGGATGATTTCGAATTGTCAAGTTCGAGATTTCAAGCATCGCCCTCACCAACAATAAAATCAAAACCTCAAACACCACAATTGCCAGCAGTACCACAGGCTCTTTTCATCACTTTATCGAAATCATCGGAAGCATCGGTGGGAACTGCCTCCACTTCATTAGGCAGGTCAATACACAACTTAAAAACCGACCGATTGCCTTCTCGGCAGTTGAGTGTGACAGTTTCTGCCAGAACCATCCTTTTCGTGATAGGGGTTGTTGCTTTTTCATTCTATGGATTTTTCTATTCTTCGGCCATCCTTCAGCCGTTTGGACAACAACAACAACAAGAGCAACAAGAGCAATCATCGAACGGCAAAGTCAGATTCAGAATGCAACGGTCACTAGAGCAAGAGAAACAAAGGCGACAAATATTGCACCAAATAGAGGAAAGTGCACACAACATGGTACCATGTCTCTTTGATACAAATGCTGTCTGTCGATTTGATTACATTGGTAAATTCTTGGAAGATAATCCTCCAATACCCAACACGGTCCATCGCCTCCTTCGATCGGTACCGTCCTATCGGCGAATCCCTCATGACAAGGCCAACGACCGAGACTACCAGGCCCAGCATCTCACCAATGATCCAAAGGATCCACAAGTACTAGACGCAACAAACGCCACACTCAATGAATACAATCCTACGATATTGCCGCTGTACAAAACAGTGATTAGCAATGGAACAGAGACGCTGGTATCCAATCTAGATGAGAAACTTTTGGACGAGCTAACAGGGAGATATCACCCCAGTTTTTCGGATGCTCAAGCAGATGAAGTGAAATATTTGGCGATCACTCGGTCTACCAATCATTATCCTCGTTGTATTGGTTTTCAGAAACACGTAGACAAAGGATATTTTTGGGTCAACTATCCGGGTTTGGTGCTGCTGGACGAAAACCTACTGCCAATTGACGGTGCCGATGTCCTCATTGATCTGGAAAAGTTTTATTTCACAGATCGGAATACTCGCGTATTTCAAGACTTTACCTTGTATGCCGCAAGGACCACGAAAAGTAATTTGAACAAGGATCAGCTCTTTCTCATTACCAATGGAATGTTTGTGGTGCCCATTGACATTCGAAGGGTTCCCCTGGAAACGAGGGCGGGCGATCATCCGGAATGGACCACCAAAATCACAACACCCAACGTCGGGCCAGAATATGTATATGGCGCTGGGCTCCAAATTAAATTGACTCGGTCCCGTGGAGTGGTTCCTCATAAAGTGTTTCTTCGAATGAATCCTTCCGCAAGAATCGTCAAGGGCAAGAATGTGCACTTTTTCGAATCGTTGAGCGGAAAGGATTACGTTGAGGTGTGGCCTTACAATGAGCACTCGGTTCAGGAAGTCGATTTCTTCATTGACAACTTTACCACCTTTTCACATTACGCCTGGACGATAAAAGGAGAAGTCAGTAAACCGGATGAAGACAACCGTCCATCCTTTGTTTCCGAAGCAAAGTTTATTCCCATGAAAAATCCAGTAAACCGAGGGACAGGGTGTTGTGCGGACCTCACACTTGCCGATGGACGCCAGGTAAAGGTTGGAGTCGCGCACTCTGTTCTTAAGGAAGGGATTTACCTTCATCGATTCTATGCCTTTGTTCCAAAGTACCCTTTCAAAATTGTCAAGTTGTCTGGTCTATTCTGCTTGGGCCACATGCTGGAAACTGACGGAGACGTTCAAAATCATTGGCTCTCCAAGAAAGAAGGGTCGTTCGACAAACGGCACACTGAAATGGGGGGACCTACCTACGATTGTCCTGATATTACCTTTGCGTCGGGGATTACCAACTTGATTGGCCATGGAAACGACTATATCATCATCTCGTATGGTGTGGACGACTGCTATTCCAGATCCATCATCGTCCACAAGAAGAAGATTGAGCTGCTGATGTTCCAATCGAAACCAAATGCTACCGACGTTCTATATCAATAGAGATATGATATATGTAACTACAGTAGAAGCAAGTATAATATCATTCCTTCGACGACATTGAACATACCGGTATATGAACCCAATCAAATTTCAAATTTCAAATTGGATGGTTTTGATCCATGAAGTCGAGTCGACTGTACAATTCGCTTTTGCACCGGACGACGAAAAATCGTCAGCAACCTAAAACACACAACACATCATCATCATAACACACTCGATCACACGATTCACCAACACTCTTCTTTCAACAACCAAATAAGCACACTAGTGTTGCAGAATCCACCATAATGGCTCACAAATTGAAGAATATGCACCCAGATGTCGCACGAGAGCTTCTGAGGCACGTCAGACCAAATCCACGTCTTGCCAAGACTTCCAAGAACAATAGCAAATCGTCATCGTCAACCAAGGTTCTTCTCGGGTGCACTGCTTTCGTCGCTTTCGCGGGATCCCTGCCCTACTGGGCGACCAAGACTATTGGGAACCTGACTGAAAAGGAGGAGGCTCTATCGGCGGCTCAAGTGAGGCGTGGGGCATTCATGAATTCAGGCTCTAGAGATGCGGGGAAGGACCCAAATTGGGATTGGAAAAATGGCAAATATGTGTATCCCAAGGGGTTTGCAGAGCATTTGAAGAGACAGAATCCGAACGAGACAGACCTAGGGCCAGATATTGGACCAATGGTACGCGAAGAAAAGGACCGAAGGCAAAGATAGTTCAAGTTAACCATTTATGAAAAAATTCTTGTAGTTCAAACCGATGCGTAAGATTAAAAGAGTACCGTACTGACTACTAGATAGATTGAAGGGACAATGTTGACCAGCTGAAACGTATGTGCACGTACCCCATCTGTCGAACAACTAAGCAAAAAAACACAAAAGAATACAACACCTGGGATTCCAACGTGGTCCCCCACCGTAGTACTAACCAGGCCCGAACATGCTTAACTTCGCTGAGCGGACGGGAAGCGGTGCTGTCATGTTGATATGGTCGTATCCGTTCGCTACAGCCCAAACAAATCAATAGGAATAGAGTATACTAGTCCTCATATTCAAAGTCCTCATAATCAATTTATGTGCAACGATGATGATATTGTGCAATATTCCTTCGATTTTTCGGTCACCCTCATGTGGCATTGCTTGCGTATCCGTTTCAACTGATGCATGAATGTGTATCATGAGAGGAAAGGAACAAAATTTGCATTATGCAACGCTTCAAACGGTTTGTTTTGGAACCGAGCACAATATCAACGTTCCACAACGAATGTCTAATCCAACACCACTCATCAGTTTGTGGTGCAAATCAAAGTTGAAAGTGTATCTCATGGGTCCATGCGTTTGTATTACGGAACGAAGATGAAATTTCGGCGGAGTATAATAGAGGACGCTATTCATGATGAAGTTGACACTCTCAAGCTCAATGTTGTTTCTATGATATTCACCAATACATTCCATACAGTTCTAATAACTATGTGCCAAAACACAAGTAAAGTTTTAGCTCTGTAAGTCAAAGATACTGCTCGTCGAATACCTCTGGATACGGTCACGGGGTTTGGTTTGGTCCAAGAAACAGAAAAAGACTTGGTGGCACCACGATGGGATCAAGTGGCGGAGTTTGCTAAGCTCTTGACAGCTGCGGCAAATAGCTTCAATATCTCCTCCCAATCGCAGACTTCCCTGGACTATGTACTGCCGACTCGGATATCTCGATTGCGGCAGGATTGCGCCAGCTCCTTGCAGGGAGACGAAGCAGCCAACACCAATTGTCTGTCATTCAGAAAGTCTTGGACAGCGTCTCCTCCACATCAATAAGCGGTGCCGTCAGTACCAAAGCAGCATCGACTTCGGCGCAAAACGAGATCAATCCAACTAGCACTGTCAGCAGCAGGATGCCAGCGTCGTCAACCCAAGACAACAACGAAACATATGCGGGAATAAAAGGTTCTGGCTGTGTAAAAGTAATGGTCGCACTCTATCCAAACAAGGAACGGCAATTGGCATGCAAGGCTTGCGAAGTGGCAATTGGCATCAATGCGAATAGCTGCACACCCTTTATGTAGCTCCAGAAGCGAACTAGCTTGCAGGCAGTAATTATATTGTAGAACTCCGCGATGTGTGCCATTCCTGCGCACATGATCAGCGCCGTACCCAGTCAGATGTATTTTTCAGTACCTGGCCACGGAAGCTGCTTTTTCATGTGCTGGGCTGATTATTCTCCTGACTTGAGACCATTTCTATTTCTTTGCAACCATCACCGCCACCACTCACCTCCCGTCGACACACTGGACAAAAATCTTTTCGTTGATCGAAGATCCATTGTTCGATGCAAGCCTTGTGGAACAAATGATTGCACGATTTGACAATGCAGAAAGCTTCGTCTGAAAAGAAATGGTTGCAGCATATTGAACATTCTTCGTCCTTGGCGGGCTGTCGTGGCTGAAATACAATGGCCGACGAAGTGTTTGATCCTGCCTGCAAGGTGGCATCTACTTTGCCGGAAAACAAATTCGCTTCTATTGCTTCGCGACGTTTGGGATCGGGTGAAGCCAAAGCAGAAGGATCATCTGAGGTCTCGTTGGATCGAGAATGGCCGCAGCGACAGCTCATATTCGCCGCGACGCATACAAACAAGAACAGAACAATCATCCCAAAAATAATGGGAAGAGAACTCTGCTGCTCTGTTTCGGAGGGCAGGGAGCCTGGTGGGACTTGATCTAAGAAACGATGCATTGTGGCAGAAGAATCGTCATGGAATCGTAAATATCGAGACTCAGAAAGGTCCATCTTTAATTGATGATGTAAATTATGCGCTCGTATGAAATGTGTGGGTATCATGTAGTGTTCAGAAAGCTAAGTTTCTCGTTCCGTGATGGTGACGCGTTGCCAACGGTACTTGAAAAGTTTCTTTTGCTTTCAAAAATACTCTCTCCTTTCAGATGAATACCACACCCGCAAATAAGGATGTCCACAATGCTTTTGTGAAATACTTTTGATGCGTATTATCTCTCAATGACCTATACAAGTATACCTATATAAAAGCCGTTTTCGCCAAGGTCTATCATTGATTATTGTAGTTGGAGTCGAGAAAGGCAAATTGTTTTACTACTATCAATCGAAAAGAAAAGGCATATGCTCTCAGGAACCTGTATTGTCGACTCCAATCATTCTTTGTGTCCTATCATCCACGAGAAGTGTGACGGGAGCATGAAAAAATCAACCGAAACCGTCGAGCCCGTCTCCCGAAGAAAACCAATCACACTCAGTATCACAATTGGAAGCTCCACTTGCCACTCGACTGGACATCGATCCACTCTTCGTCGTTTGGTAGTTCTTGGAACAAAAAAGGACTGATCTGTCACTAGAGCGTTGACACTTCTCCTCCATAGCGCGAGCTCCAAAAGAGGTATCGCTTTGTCCTTGGCGTGAAGAGATAATATTTCCAAAACCGTGTCCAAACAATTGCGTCAGGCCTCTGGACTCTGGATTACTATTCCAATGCTTTGGCTCGATTCGTGTCGACAGCTCAACCGCCCGTTGCTCCATGCCAAGCTGAGTCGTTGCTTCGATAATTACCTTTTGAAGCAAGAGCTTGAAAAGTGGAACCGCTCGTGAAGTTGAGTTCATCAACAAGTACTCCAACATAGTCCTGCCCCTATTTGCGTCTGTGAGAAGAGCGTTCATAGGAGATATATCCAGAAGTACTTGGAATTAATCGAGGCGAAGCTGTGATCCATCGTATCGGGCTTATGGCTACTGTCTCCATTTGAAAATGAAAACTCCAAGCAAAATTGGCGCCAGTAGGCATATTCATGGCGCGAATGTCCGTGCTGCATGTCACTGACATTCATTCTTCATATCAAGTTGCTTTCATTCCTAGAATGACCAACAATCACGAAACTTCTAGTGGACAACGAGGTAGTGCATAATGAGGTACCAATTGACGATACATCATGCATACTATCACAAGTCACGTGGCGAAAAAGCAAAAAGTTTTGCATTGCCACCAGTCCTCTACTAGCTAGTGACCCCTCAATTCTTCGTATTCTTCTTCATCTAGGGAGAGTTCTTCTAGCTGAAGTCGGATCATTGCCTGTATGTCTTGTCTTGTGCGTTCTTGGTCGGCAAGGAGTACAGCACAAGCACTTGTATACCAGTCTTGATGCTCCAGAACCAGGGATCGAAATGACAGCGCAACTGGTTGCTTATCCGGAAGCTGCTGATCTTGAACAAATAGTAGTACTTGGTGCCACAATCGAACCCATTTTTCAATTGCCAAGGTACGCGCATGAAATCCATCGTCCGATCTTTTTCGAGTGTCTTGCTCTTGATCCATCACCAACGAAAAGAGTTGTTCAATGGCAACGTCCAAACTGTTTCCCATCCAATAAGAATCCGACCCAACATTTGATGGATGAGTTCGCGTCCTCAAGACATCCATTCCTGATTTGCTCGTCCCAATTGTGGAGAGGAATTGAATAGCATCCAAGTACCACCCCTTGATGACATAGTAAGTCGGACGGCGAGGTCGGTTCCTCTTATCGTACAAATGTTCATGTTCCTCAAGCATGTCCAGGACAAGAGATACCGTTCTCGCTCCATTCTGTTCCATGAACCACAGTTCCAATCTTTCGACAGTTGTGGACGGAATCAGTGCATTCCATATGGACAACGAGTGTGCCAAACTTTGCTCAACATCACCAATGTCTCTTGACTCCATTGACAACTCTTCCACAGGCATGGCTTCGAGTCGTCGCTTTCGTGCGTCTCCCCTTTTCTTGCTCTTGGATGTTAGCCTGCTTGTCATGATATCGTTTTGGTTGTTGGCAATCTCTTGCTTGATCAACTTTGCCATTTCAAACATCCATTGTCGGTACAATCCCTCCAATACTTGCTCCATTGGCTGGCGGCAGATTTCCCACAAGGCGGTCTGATCGTGTGTGTCGCTGCATTCTTCCAAGATCAACTGCAGTAGCCGCAATGCTTGAAATTGGTTGTCTTTCGTTTTGATTGATTCGACCAACTTTTGGATCCATGTGTATGCCAGCAATGGTGAAATGATCGTGGTCAGATCTTCCACCACCGTTTTGGGTTCTTGAACGAGTCGTAATGCAGCATTGGCCTGAACAGAGGCCATGGATGTGTGATCCCACCATGGATCCAATAGACTGTTCAAAATGTTGGTTTCCAGCGACGAGTCCAATGCTTTGGTGTTCCCCCCGGGTAGTCCCAATCGTGTAATCCTGGAGCCTTTTCCAATCACATTGTCATCACCATCTTGACCATCTGTCATGGAGGAAGAGTCTTGCAACGTTTCGTGTCGTTGGACAATGGCTTGCAAAAGTTGTTTTCGCCCCAAACGACTCTTTTCCAAGGCTGGGTACCAGAGTCTCCAGGCGTGGTCCAGTCTCAGGATGTATTCCACCAATTGAACTTCGGACCAGGCTTGTCCGTAGCCACTGGAAATGTCAATCAATACACGTCGGGCTTGTGAATGATCACGACTGGCGACTCCTTCTTCCTCTTGTTGCGGTGAAATCTCATGGGCCATTTCAGTATCATTATTGTCACCATCCACATTGTCATCATTCTCCACTGGTTGTTGTTGCTGTTGTTGTTGCTGTTGTTGTTGTGTACTCGTTTCCATGTTGTTTTTATTGCCACTATTGGCCTTTGGATCATTGTCACTCTTTTTTGCTTCATCATGTCGCCTTCTACTTCTTCTTCTTATTGAAGAAGAAGAAGAATCATCATCATTATTATCAATGAGGGACTGCAAAATGTGCTGAGCCAATCGACTGGCACTGCTTCTGGATGATGATTCAGCAGCAGTATTGGATGTTGTGTCTGTAACGACGGTTGGCATGGGCGAGGATGTTGTTGTTGTTGTGGTGGTGGTGTTATCGGCCCTTTTGGCAATGGCAAAATCCGGTGGGTCGTTGAGTGCTGATGCCGAGGAGTTGTTCTTGTGAGGTGGCGTTTGAGGAGGATCTGACCCAACAAGGACGGAGTCGTCTGCATTAGTAGTAGTATTAGAAGTAGGTAGGGTAATGCTCTGCGGAATGGCAGGTGCTGCTGCTGCTGCTGCTGCTGTCATTCCTGCATGAGCTTCCAAACGCTTGGTAAAGACAGACTGGCTGGCGGGTCGTTTTCGCACCGGCATGCTGTGTTCTTGCTGCTGTTGCATTCGTTGCTGTTGCTGTAACTCGAGACGACGAGATTTTTGTTGTTCCAGCCTCAGCAAATGCTGCAATTTGGAAGTTTCCTCCTTGTGTTTTTCAGATGAGGCCGAAATGGAATGGTCCATCTCCGCCTGCATGGTGGCGATCGTGGCATTCAACTCAAAATTCGATTCGGATTGTTCCAGGACTTCTTGTTGCAAGGCTTTTAATTGTGCTTGGAGTTGTAGAACTTGTCGATTTGCATCGCTGTTGTTGTTGTTGCTATTGTTGTTGTTTGTGTTTGTATTCCTGTGATGGTTGGAAGTATTAACGTCTATAGTCATTTCATGCATGTCATTTCCAAGGCCATTCCCATCCTGTCCACTGACTCCTATTCGATCCACATTGCCGTAGTTGTCTATATTGTTGTATTCATTATTGTTATCATTCATTTCATTGGTAAGATTGGACGAGTGTGTCGTCGAATGAACGTGGGTGGTATTAGCGGTTGTGTTCAGCAGTTCTTGCTGTGGTGGCGGTATTATTCCTTGTGGCGATGCAACGTGAAGCGGTCCTGCTGGCATGAGAGACAATGCCGATGTTCTCCCAAAGTTCCCATTCAAATTGCCATTGTTGGCATTGCGATTACGATTGTTGTTATTATTGTTCCTCGAGGCATAAGGATTGACAATGGGCCGTGCTGAGGACGGAGCTGCTGCCTGTTGTTGGCGCCCATTGTTGCGCCGATAAGGATTGTGCGACATTGGGATAACAATAACAATAAGAGCTCCCGTGCTATTCGTAGTTCTAACTGAATGTCAGACCGAATCAGGTGACGATGAGGAACAACTGAAGGATCATTGCAATGAAAGATGGTTGGTTTTTGATGAGGTACGAGTTGGTGTTACTTTCTTTCATTCGGGGACGAAAGAAGTCGTTGGAGTCAAATCCCCTCATATAAAAAATATTTTGAAATCCCCACCAAAACCAACGTCACCCGGAATTCAGCAACTTAATTCTTCTCCCCTCGTCATTTATCTTTTGACGAGAACACCAAATTTCAAAAAGTACGAGTAAGAAGAGCCAACAAATTCAGTCAGAAAACGGAACACGGCAGCAATTAAAATATGGAAACAAAGATCAAGTTTCCCACTGGATCTGCTAATGAGCGTCACAGCGATGATCACGACAATCACAATGGCAACAGTCCCATCACAGTGGCAAAGTCAATCCGACGTGTGTTGACCAAGTCGTCATCCTTCCCCGAATTTCCACAAGAGCCGGCTTTGACAAACAATGATCATCCGGAGGACGGTCGAGGTTGGAATCATTTTATCAGTACACTGGCTGCAGGAGTAGGAAGCGGAGCATTGTCCTCTACCATTTGCGCTCCCTTGGATCTAATGCGAACACGAATGCAAGTGTGGGGAGACATGTCCTCCTCCTTTCAAGGCGAAAAAATAACGCCGACGCAAGTCTTTCAAGAAATTTATCAAAAGGAAGGGCCAAAGGGCATGTTTCGGGGTCTCGGAGCGACACTTGTCACGGTGCCACTGTTTTGGGGGGTGTACTTTCCATTGTACGATCAATTGAAATACGAAACCCAACAAAAGTATCCCGACATGAATATTTCGCTGGTACATTGTGGATCCGCCGTTGCGACGGGAGCCGTAGCCGATCTTATTTGTAATCCGCTATTTGTCATTCGCACCCGACTGCAAACGCAAGCTTTGCATCAATTGGCGGATGCACACGCTCATCATACGCAACCAGCTAACATTTTGGAGAAAAGTGGTATTCTGCAGACGGGTCAACAGCTTTTTCGACAACATGGTCCACTCATCTTTTGGAGGGGGATGAGTGCCAATCTTATCGGATTGAGTCACGTGGCGGTTCAATTTCCAACCTATGAATACTTGAAAAAATGGTGCCGGGATCGCAAGGCATCTGCCACTGGACACCACCAAGCAGTAGTCCAAGAATCTCCCTTGGAGTTGTTGGTGGCCAGTGGGGTCGCCAAAATGTTTGCGTCTCTGTTGACCTATCCTCATGAAGTCTTGCGCAGCCGCATGATGGATTCCCGGCAGGCCACGGCGCCCACCTTGAGAGGGACGGCCCGCCATATCTACAGTCAAGAAGGATTTGCAGGATTTTACCGTGGATTGCCCGTCACTCTGATACGAGTCATTCCCAATTCGTGCATTACCTTTTTGTCGTACGAACTATTACTGCGGTGGACCAAGGAGTATCTGAAGGAATCATCATCATCATAATGATCATAAATAGAAGGTACAATTGTACGGTAGTAATTGTGAAAGGGTAGCAATACTTAGTGAAAAAGGCTGTAACCTGTAGCCTAATATTAATGTTATGGAATGGAAAATGAGGATTCATGACAAACTTTGCGATGAAATGTAGTCGAACATGAAAACATTTACTATTTATATATCTAATGTGCCTATGAATATTCATCGAATGGTTGTTGCTTGCTTGACAAAGGAATACAGTACCTTCATCAAACACATGCTAGTTCCCAGCAGTCGTACATGGTTATGGATTGCCCGTCCGTACTGTTGGTCCCAGTGGTGTCATAGGACTCCACAGAGTGACCGTCAGTATTGTCGTAATAGTCGACACTGTTCGTTTGCAGGTCGTTGAGAAACTCAGTGCGCCATTGGGCCGAGTCTCCTTCTTTTTTGGCAGCAGCAGCAGCAGCAACAGCTGGGTCGGCGCTTGCTTGAGTAGTTTCGTCCTCATGCTTGTCGTCTTCATCATCATCATCATCAAGATCCACCAGTGTGTTGATATCAATCTTGCGGTTCAATTCGATATCATCATCACTACTAGCAGGCGCTTCGTGTTTCTTGGAACGGAACGAAAACCGGACTTTTTTTATGGCAATGTCCGTGGCTTGCTTGAGAGCACTCTTGGGTGTATTTCCTTCTCGTACTTGAAAAATATCATCCTCCAAATCGTTAAGATCCAAGTTGGCATGTTCGATAGTGCTGATGGGAGGACCCTCTCGGACTCGAGAAATTTCATAGTCCAAGTCCATACTATTAGTAGGAGTAGGAGTAGGAGTAGGATGAGTAGGAGTAGGAGGAGTGGTAGGGTCAGCTTGCACTTGTTGCTGGGTGATGGTTTCAGACGAACCCTCTCGGATCAGCGAAATTGCATCGTCCAGCGCTGAAATGCAGCTTGTCTTGGATTCTGCGCTGCTCTTGGACTCTGTCTCTTTGCTGCTGCTCGTCTTCTTCTTCTTGTTAGAACCTTGGAGGAGTTTAGAAATACTGACCTTTTTCGACTTTTTAGTCTTGTCGCTGGATGAATCCACCTCGTCTTGTCGTTCATCTAACGATGGATTTGGTTTTTCGGTCGTTAGAAGCTCTATTGTTGTTGTTGCTGCGACAATTGTTGTTGTTCGTGATGAAGCGTCGCTCAATGGCCCTGTTCTGGACTCTTCTTCTTGTTCTTCCTTTGTTTCAGAAGGAGAAAAGAAATCACCAGCACTGGTTCCATCTGAGAACACCAATACTTCCCTTTCATCGAACGGCATGTCTTCACACTTTTGCGCTTTGGTAACAGCATTACTATCTACCTTCTTTGTCGTACCTTTCGGTTGACTAGAGCTATGATCTAGCTCCTCGTCACTGTCTCCTCTTGCCTTAGTTGTTGTCTCCGTCATAGTCTTTGTTGTTGGAAAATATCCAGTCTCGTCCGAACTCACAAGCGCCCGAACGGTTTGTAGGATCTATGGATGTTTCTTGGAGAAATTCGCCGGAGAGGTGAGCGTTGAGTCATCATGGTGCTCCATGACTATGGTGCATCTTGCACCCAAAATTGTGAAGATCGAGCTGCTCCAAAAGATACCCGTCACAAAACGTCACACGAACGGCATCAACCCCCGAATCGTTCTCTGTGTTCTTCCATTCAGACTAGTCGAATCGCATTTTTGTTCATGCGTCGCATCCGTCCGTCGTGCGGTACATCATACCAATCACAGCACTTACAAACCAAACCAAACCAAACCAAACCAAACCAACGACAGATACAACCAACTCGGTCCAAAAGACACACCAGCATACAATGAATGAAGATCCAGAAGCTGACGCTACAGACCTAAAATCAGGACCATTTGGTGTACTGTATAACGCGGTTCGAAATAATACGCAGGTGCTTGTGAATGTACGAAACAACCACAAGCTGCTGGGAAGAGTAAAAGCATATGATCGGCATATGAACTTGTGAGTCGGTGATGATCGTGCGGTAGCCCACATCTACTGGTTGGCTTGTCGCTTGTCTTGATGATGATGATGATGATGTATAATTTAAAACTCACAAATCCATTCTTTTTCCGCTTTGGCTTCACCAGGCTGTTGGAAGATGTTAAGGAAATGTGGACGGAAAATTCCAAGGGAGGCAAGGGAAAGACTAAGGGGAAAGCCGTGAATAAAGACAGATATGTCAGCAAAATGTTTCTGCGGGGTGATTCAGTTATCATAATTGTCAGCAACCCAGCGAGTTTAGCAGAAGGAGAGCAAAAGGATGCCTCGTCATAAGGTTGTTGAAACATATTATCATAACCCCAAAATAGAATGATCATACAAGCACTGAACAGCATTCTCAACCAAGTAGCATAGGTGTTTTGTGTCGACGTAACACTGCATACTATAGACTTGTTTTTTTGCGGAGATGTGAGTCTATTGTCATCATGATTAGCAGCCCGAACAACGTCGCCCAAGAGGAATCGCATGCTTGTGCTCAATATTCAGCAGCCCCAATCACATGCCGAGTGGTGAACTCACTGACGTATCGGCAATCCTAGAGATACCGGTAGGCAAAAAGCCGTCCAGGTACAAACCATGTCTTAACAAGAGTGTGATCTCAAGCAATACTACATATGACTGCAGATGCTCACACAACATAATGGAGCCCCAGCAAGAGTACCGATACACATGGATGATACTAGAAAAGGCACCATAACTAAAGCGGATGGTGTAAAAAACACAAACTTTGGCTTTGTGACTTTCTTTTCTTTACAGTTTAGTGGTTTATTTACTTCTTCTCGGCTGCCATCTTTGCGGACTTGCGAGAGGATCGTCTCTTGGAGATGAGGGAGCGGCGGGCTTCTCTCTTCTCGGCAAGTCTTTGGGCGACAAGCTTCTTGTATGCTGCGGCTTCCTCCTTGTTTCTGAGGACACTGTTCATCTTCTCTGCCTTGCGAGCGCGCTTGCGTTGCAATGTGAGGGGAGTTACCAACCGTTGGATCTTGGGTGACTTGCGTTGTTCCTTGCCCTTCTTGTTGGTGTAAGTGCGAGCAATAACGTATTTGCGAACATCGTCGTCCTTGGTCAAGTTGAAAAGGGCGCGGATCTTGTTGGCACGCTTGGGACCAAGACGGCGAGGAGCAGAGTGATCGGTCAAGCCCTCGATGGTTTGTCCTCCCATTTGAGTGACAACCAAGTTCAAGACGGCAATATCTTGTCCGACAATGCATCCACGAACAGACTTGCGCTTTCTCTCACCAGCACGACGAGGTCTGTAGGCCTTGGCTCCCTTGGAGCACAAAAGCATGACACGAGTGTTGGTCAAAACACCTTGACGCATGGGGAAACCTTGCTTGTCGTTTCCTCCAGAGATGCGGAAGATGAATCCCTCGAATTCCTCACCAAGAACGCTTCCGTCAATTTCTTGGGCCATACGACGCTCGTAAAAAGCCTGAAGACGCTTCTCGTCATCGATTTCGATGATCTTTTGAAGGCCGGTACTGGGGCATGCAATATTGATCTGGGAAGTTCAAAAGAGAGAGAGAGAGAGAGAGAGAGACGAGAAGTGAGAACACCGTCACACCAATTGTTCAAGCGAGTATTGGGGTAGCTAATGGTTGTAGGAGGCATAGTCCAACTAGAATTCATCATTCGGATGCCATTGCTCAAGTTGGAAATTCCCACTTCAGGAACTGGCATTCCATCCATGGAAACAGCACTACGCCCACCACTACAAAGTATCATGTATATTGCGTGCCGCCATGACTATCCCCAATATCTCTACATATAATTTCTTCTTTGATGCATACCTTCATCTTTTATTGATTGTTTGTTGAGTGCTACTGCTCCTCAAAGACGGATGCGATGATGCGACGATGGTGATGATTGAAAACACAAAACAATTTGGGAACGATGGACGGACCGGACTGACAAGTAAAGCGGTAACCAAAGTTCAAAGTTCAGTTTCGTGTCCGTTTATGGAGTTTGTTGTCGGACACCACTGACCGAAGAACGTGCAATATTTTCAATTTGAGATCTCCAAAATCAAGAAACACGAACTGCATAAAAATACTTCCGTGAGATGAGTGAGGGAGTGATACCACCACAAGAACCACAAATAATAATAGATACAGATGATGACAGCGCATTAACGCAGGATCAGCAAGATGAGAGGAGGATGTCGGTATCCGAATTGTCCTTACCATTTCTACTAAAGGGCCTCTTTGGTCTCAATGGATTGACACTTGCTCTGCAATCGTTGTCTCTCATGTACATTGTCAACACACAAGTGGCCATGCCGGTTTCGCTACTTCCAAGTTATGGTGCAATCGCCTTTCTCCCATGCTCTCTTAAGTCAATATATGGATATCTGAGTCAATACGGCGAGAGGATGCATTTGTTTGTCGTGTTGCTGATGGCCAACAGTTTATGTTTGGTTTGCACGGCTCTGATACCAGAGGGTGGCGTCTTTCTTGCATTCCTCTGGGGCTTTCTTCGTGGCATTACAGATTCTTGGGCAGAGTTTATTTTGGGTTTGAGTTTGGTCGATCATGCGGTGAAGCACGGCACGGACGATCCAAAGACGTTTGATTTGCTGTCATCACAATTTCAAGCGGAAGCATCCACAATGAGGAATCTTGGAACAATGTTGAGCAGCATTTTTGCATGTGCTCTCTTTCTTGCACGACAACTGTACTCACCGGAACAAGAGCAACTCAGTGGCAGTGTCGCCAAAGGGCTGTTGTATGCCACTGCTTTGTTTCAGCTCACGGGAGCCTTGGTCGCCTGTTCTTTTTGGCAAAACATGGCGAACCATCTACCAACTCCGAACGACGACTCTGGATTTCATCGAATCAATCAGGTAGATGACAGCTTTCGACAAATGGAGGAAACGACAACTGATGAGGCATCTGCGCTAATGGATGAAGAAGGTAGTTTCCCATCCTACACGAGTGAGAGTACTGATGGAGAATTCCATGACGACGACGAGGTTGAGGCGATTCCTCGGTCTTCCATTTTCAACTGGGTCCTAGTCGCTCTATTACAGACTATCATACTGTGCATGGGTCTAAAGGATCCCATCATTGAGCACACGTCTCATTTGATATGGGCTTTCTTTGTCTCGGCGATTTTTCTACTGATTGTCATGATGTCCATTGCAATGTACTCTCAGAGCCTGTGGAAAAGTTCTCATCGCGTGGGACTATTCTTGGTCTTGCGGCATGCCATTCCGAGTGATGGTATGGTACTGGGTGCCTTCTACTATGGCGTGTTTCAGTCAGCTCCTCTATTGTTGCAGCTGTTGTCTTTGGTCAACAGAGTAGTCTCGACACTCTCCTCGTGGTCGTATGGAAAGTTCTTTTCGAAATACAGCAGTGGGAACAATTTCTTGGCTGTCATTGCCGGAACTACACTTTTGGCAGCAGTTGCGAACTTGACCAACCTTTTCGTCTTTGAAAATGTGACTAGTGCACACATTTTCTGGGTAGTGTTGGCTGTGCAAGCAGTGACAACCTTTTGCAAAAATTGGTCATTCTTGCCCGATGTGGTACTTGCCACCAAATCATTGAGTGGTACTGTTTGCGCTATGGATTCTTCGGAACCAAGACTGGAATCCAGAGGTCGACAAGACAAGAAACGCTCCATGAGGATTGGTGTCGAATATGGAACCCTCGTCTCTTGCATCGACTTTGGAGATCAGATTGGAGCAGTGGCTGCGGGACCAATGGTGGCAGCCCTCGGGGTCAGTCGCGAAAACGATTGGAGAAACCTGGGAAGCTTCATTGTGTTCAGTGGTATGTTCACCGTGGCTTCCATTGGATTGATAAAGCTAATTCATAAGCGGGTCCCTTGATGATGATGATCTAATCTGAGAGGTTCACCACACGACCGAGAAATGGTATTGGTAGGAGCTCCATCGAAAAGGTATCTCAGTTATTTTCGGTTGCAACCATTGAATTCAAGAGCCCTGTGGGTCAAGACCTTTTTGAAGTGGACTGCACCAACCCTACCTGTAATTTTCATCAAAGGCAATGCTGCAGGAGGTCGGATACCAACGAACCAATATGAATTGCCTTCGCTACAAACAGCTTTTAGCTAACCACAGACCTTCTTTGCGAGGAAGATTCTTGTAAATTTGACATACAAAACAATGGGACAAACGATTTCATAGTTCGTGGCCTCTCCTCCGCGAAGTGTAGGTGGTGTAAATTAATAGTATTCTAGTGTATAACATCTAATATATATGTAGTGTGAACAGGTTTTGCAAGACTTAGGCCAATTCACCTTTAGGGCTTTCAACCATTCCTTCGTCTTCTTCGGATGGGCTCTTGCCACCCAACTGTTGTTGGGACTTGGAACCGGTACACGTAATGGCGCAACAAAGCAAGAGTGTGAACAAAAGCATAGTCGGGATTGCAACGTAGAGAGCGACGGTGTCTTTTTCGAAATGAGGTTGAAGCTTTGCTGCAACGTCGACTGGGTCACTAGTAGGGAATGTAGCTGGAATGTAATTCTCTGGAGAGCTTGTAGGCTCGCGTTGTGGTGGTTCTGAAGGAGAATCGTCTTGTGGGGCAGACTGGTTTTGAGACAATAGTTGTGGCGTTGAGGGTACTATCGGCTCAACGACTTGCGCGCTCTTCGTCTCGATGATACTGTCGTCATACTTTTTGCAGAGGAAACACGTTACACCTGCTGGAAGTCGCGCCGCTGGAACAAAGGTGCTGTACGAGTCACAACCAAACTCCGAGACGGCACAGTAATATTCACCGTTGCTCTCGCACGCACCGGTAAGAGTTTCTTCACAGGTACATTTGCTATTTGATCCGGCTGATATCCATTGCATGCCATCACTTCCTTCAGTATCACAATCAGCCACGGACCAGTAGCATTTGGTAGGAAAGGGGAAAGCAGGATCGGTGCATCCTCCAAAGTGAGTTCTCTTTTGCTTCCGTTGAGGACTTCTGTCAACCAGCATGCTGCAATCATCAGAGACCGGTTCAAATCCGTCTTCCTCGGCACACGATCCTGCATCACTAGTACAGACGTAACTGGAATCATTTATGCAGCGTCCAACACGCGTGTCGATTGCTCTGTCGAGGCAGATGTATCCTACAGTCTCCGACCCCGCCAAGAGCAACTCACGGCTCGAGCGAAATATTGCTCCTTCGCAGTCCGAAAATTCGAATGCACAGCCGACTGCCATGCCGAAGAGTCCTGGTGCACCACCGCTTCGAACACAAGCTCCTGCTTGAACGTATTGAGTAAGATCGGTCATGATGGTTTGATCAACGATGAAGGTCTTTACAATAACGACGGAACAGAAATAAGGAGCGTTTGAGTTTATTTCGGGTCTTGCCTCGCTCGCTAATGTGAACCTTGTGCGCACTTCCGCGCAATAATCATGGGAACATCGAAACGTGCTTGTCACGCGACCAAAGAAGTGATTACCTGACCTTTTTAAGTCGCCACGATTCGCACGTTTCAACACCTACTGTAGTCTCAAAGATCGTACTATCATAAAACGTACTTTCAGAAAAAGATCAATCATCAGAAGAAGAGCAAAAGCAATCAACACAAATGCCGGCTCAAAAAAAAATAAAGCTTCGGACTGCTTCCGACGTCCTATCGAGATTAAAGTGGTCCAACGATGAACAAATGAATGCACAAAATACAATTATGGGATATGACTGTCGGATACACGGTCCCTTGGAGAAGTGTGTGGATGATTATTCCGGAATCAACGAAGGCGGAGACATTCCAGAACATAGAATACAGTACTTTCGCCTGGCGGGTTCCAAGGATTATGAGAAATTAATATTCTGGGATCGAAACGGGAGAGTGGATCGTCTGTTTGGCTCGGGAAACCCCGACGACCCCATATCACCAATGACCGTCCAAAATGTGGCCAAGGCCATTGCTACCATGAAAAGCATCGCTGAAGAAAAGGCTATTCGAGCTCAAGAAAAAGCAAAACGAAAGGCTCGTCAACAGGCCAAGAAGACACTTGCCGCAAAGTTTGCATCGACCATGTCTTCCTCAGCAACAGAGTCAACCGAACGGAGGCCGCTCCAAGAATCGTCAAAAAGGTCTCAGCGACATGTATGGCAAGAACTTGACCGTGTATTCGTCTTTGATTCTTCCAAGTGTACTTGGGCTCCAAAACGATCTAACGGATTCAAAAGTCAACAGTTCAACCGGGATTCTCGCGAACTTAAATTCATTACATGGAATGTTCTGTTCGATTTGCATCGCAATGAGAGTGACGAATTGGTTCAAGGCGATGACACCTTGTTGAACGACCAAGACAGCACAACCTCCCGATGGCAAAATCTTATCGATGACTTGGAGGTGGAAAGCGCAGATGCCATTTCCTTGCAAGAAGTGACTCCACGATTTGTCCAACAGCTTCAACGATGCCAATGGGTGCAAGATCTATATGCTCTTTCTGCAGAGTCTAAGGATTTGCGTGGAGTCGAGACATATGGCAATTTAATTCTTTGGAAGACCACTTCCTTTCAAGGATGCAAGGGATTGCACTTGTGCGTTGACCAAGGCCGCAACCGGGGAATCGTTGTCTCCTTGGCAAGAAATAACACTGTCTTCAACGTGGCCAATGTTCACTTGCCTGCCGACCAAAGAGACAAAACATCAGGTGAAACTAGAGATCGGACAAAAGCGAGGCAACGAGAATTTGGTTCGATCGTAGGAAAGCTTCAATTGTTGGAGCAAAACCAACGAAAACAAAACCTCTATCCCGTTCCCGTTGTCATGGGAGACTTCAATTCGGGCGAGAATGAACCAAATATTTTCAAAAGTGAGCACTTTGTAGATGCTTGGTTACATCCTTCCAACAAGATTGAGAGTGAGCATAGCTTTACCTTTGACTGGAAGCGAAACCAAAGGGCTAACAAGACACGACAACATGGTCACCAAAAGCGAGATCCTCGAAGAATTGATCGCATCGTTTTGGGAAGTCAAGACGATATTGTACCAACTCACTCTTGTTTGGTTGGAGACTCCTCGGTTGGTCTCCCAGCATCAGATCACTTTGGAGTTTCTGTCACCTTTGAAGTCAAAGCTCCCAGACTTAACATGCAACCAATCCTCTACACCCCAAGCAGAGTCGAGCACAACGTTTGGGCAGCAACTGCCATTCCTACCACAGACTCTTTGCTTGCACTGTTATTTGAAGATCAACAGAATGATTCCTTGCAACTCTGCGATCCTTCTTCCACGCTTCCTATTACACATATTACGTTGCTGAACGGCTTTGTAGACTTGTCTACATCTGACAATCAAGCCTTGGCTACCCAAGCAGTGAAAGATGCCGTCCACCAAGCTTTGTATTCCTCTAGTCCCTTGCAAGAGTGGGCCCTGGACATAAATGACAAGTCACTCAGTGTCTTTGAGCACCGAGAGTCGGCCACACTCGTTTGCACTCCTGACAAGACCGGATGGCTGAACCGACTGTACGAAACTCTTCGAGTCACGTTTGAAGGTTGTGATGAGCAAGAACGAAGATTTTCAGATGGATGGACGCCTCATAGTGAGTTATTTCCTTTTGTTCGGAGCGAAAATTGACAGAATCATCTTTCTAACCTTTCCTTTCGACTTTGCTTTTGTAGTGAGCCTTGAAAAACATGCCACAACCACAACAGCCAGAGCCCAGCTGGACCAGCTGCTATCCTCGGGTGCTTGGAAAGGAGGAATGTCCTTGAATGGTTTTGGAATTGGTCTCTTTCGCCGGGATATGGTGAGTCGGAAGTTCTTCCCTGTTGCCACAGTCCCATTGGTGAACCGTCAGAATGTTGCCGCCAACCAAACCAAACTCTTTTTGCAAACCGCCGGTCTACCTTGGGCCCGTTCCTTTGAGCGATTGTCCCAAATCGTCTTGCGAGAGTTAGAAAGCGCTTGTCAACACACGATTTCTTCGTTGTGTCAAGGAAGCTTGACCTCCACAGTATCCTTGTATGGTTCGCAAGCCCTCGGTGTGGCTCTGCCCGGCATTTCGGACATTGATGCTGTAGTGCACTTGCAATCTTCCAGTGATACAAGTGAGATTCAGAACATTAGCGGATCCAAGTTTTTCCAGCTGGTCCGATCTCACTTGGAAGACCTGCATCTATCATGCAAGGCCAGGCTACGAGTATCCAGTCTAGCCGGATTCGCTCTTTATGTGCTCACCATCAAGTTGGCTCCCAATTTGCCAGCGGCAGATTTGTTGCTTGCTCGGACTTTGAAAGGAGAAACAGTTGATGTTGCAAGTCGACAAGCATTGGCTTCGATTGATGATTCACAAGTCATTTTGCAACGTGTTCAAGAACTCGGAATGAAATCAGCAGTTTTTCAAGGAACTCTTCGGATGATCAAACTGTGGGCGCAACGACGAGGAATATATGGTTCGAGCATGGGATACCTTGGTGGAGGTGGTTGGGCAGTGCTGCTGGTCTGTGTATTGGAACACAAAACCGAGTGGAATGGTTTGATCGACACAGCGAATGACGCCGCAAGTGCTAGCCAGATTGCCACTTTCTTCTTGTGTCACGTATTGGAATATTGGTCAAATGCTCGAGTGGTGACACTCCAAGGGACCAATAGTACTGAATTGAAAGACGACCAACGCAACAACATAGTGGTCTTGGCTCCCAAAAGCGGTGGCAACTTTGGAAGATCTTCGACTCGATCCACCACCCAGCAAACTTGGAATGAATTGAGAAGGGCAGCACAGCTTTTCGATGGAGAAGCGAACACTTCAAACCTATATTCCCATCTCGAAACATGTATGCTTTCCCACATCGTTGGTGGGGGAGTTAGTGACAAAATATTGGCCTTGCAAGTCCCAATCCCGATCAAATCGGCCTCATTGAAACCCGCCGAAGTCAAAGCTCGCGCTACCGTGATGGGACTATCGACCACGGTCGCACTTGAACGAATCCTCCCAGCGGATATCATTCGTCCTCATTCCCAAGTTGTACGAAAGAATGGGGCGTTCTGGCTCTTGCTTGAAGTCCAATGCTCTGAGAGATCAACCAGCAAAGCGCTTTCCGCTTTTGTGGATGCTCAAAACGAATTGCTGCAACAACAAATGAATCTCGGTAGTTTAACCTCGCAGCTGGTGCAGTTCTCTCCAAAGGAGTTTCAATCGCTATCGATGCCGTTGTAACTTGTTTTGCTGTCAATAGACTTGTTGAATATAGATGATGGAAATAAAACGATGAAAGCTTTCTTTGAAGTCAAATCTTTTTTGCTTTGTTCATTGCAATTTTAGGTTAGAGCTTTCTGAAACCTTAGCACTCTTCCGAGGAAGTTTGTAGGTTAGATTCGACGTCTGTCTCACTTTGCGCCAGCAAAGGTTCAGTCAAATCATTTTCGGTCTCGACCGAGCTGCTTGATCGTTGATGCCCTCTCGCTGGTTGAACCCGATTCAGCCCAATCTGTGGTGGTCGATAGAGACGTAATGCAATGGAACTCAAGACGACACTGATGGAGGACAATGCCATGGCAAGCGCAGCAGCTGTTGGCGGACAACGGGCATGGGTCATCGGATAAAAGACACCTGCCGCAATCGGGATACTAAGACAGTTGTATACCAGAGACCACATGAAATTCAATCGGATTCTTTGTAGAATAACCCGGCTTAAATCAAGGGCTGTGCAAACATCCTCCACATTTCCCCTGATTAGAACCATATCACTTGCTTCACATGCAATCTCCGCACCAGTACCGAGACTCAGTCCAACATTAGCTTGAGCTAAAGCCGGACTGTCATTGACACCATCGCCAACCATCGCAACGATACATCCCTGTTCTTGAAGCTGTTGTACCTTGGCAACTTTTGAGGCTGGAAGAGCTTCTGCGATCACCCTTTCCATGGGTAAATCCAGTTGGCGAGCGATTGCTCGAGCGGTGCGGCGGTTATCTCCCGTGACCATCCAAACATCAATGCCCATTTCGTCCTTTAGGTACTTCACAGAAGCCGCAGCTCCAGGCTTCAGCTCATCTGCGATGCCCATCACTACGCAAATTGTTGAATTGAAGGCTGCAAGAATCGCAGTCTTGCCCTGGCGCTCCAAACGTTGCATTTCATGCTCAACTTTCTCATTGATTTTAAGGCCTTGCAACTCGCCGAATGCTCGGTTGCCCACAGCGACCTTGATGTCACCATTTATTGTTGCTGAAGCACCTCTACCAGTCAAAGCAGTAAAGTCAGACGGCTGCTGAAAGTCGCAATTGTCTCCCAAGTGCTCTTCGGCATATGCCACGACTGCACCTGCAAGAGGGTGCTCAGAATTACGTTCCAGCGAAGCAAGCAACCACAAAACACAGTTTTTTGTTGTATTGGATGGGATGTCAATCTTCTCTTTTAGATCATTCCAAAAGCTTTCATCGATCGACATGATATTAAAGTCCGTAACTCCTGGTTTCCCAAGTGTTAAGGTACCAGTCTTATCAAAGACCAGGCTGTCAACCTGAAAGATTTAAAAAATTGAGTCAAACACAAAAACCATAGTGTGTCATCCCTCATAAACACACCGTTGGTTTCTTACCTTAGCACCTGACTCCAATGTCTCGCCTCCCTTGAACAATATACCATTCTGTGCCCCAACTCCGGTTCCCATCATGATTGCGGTTGGAAGACTTAATCCGAGCGAACAAGGACAAGATATCACAAGAACCGCAATCGCGAACAGCAGTGAAAAAGTAGAAGGCGATTCGTCTTCAGGCAATAACGAGAGCGGCACAACACCTCCTTGAATCAAGGCATACCAAACCATAAATGTAATTGTAGACAAGGCTACAACGGTCGGAACAAATATGCCCGAGACCTTGTCTGCCAGGTTTTGTATCGGCACTTCTCGGTTCCGGTTTTGAGCGTCCTGCACGAGCTGAACGATTTGGCTGAGTGCTGTGGATGCACCCACCCCCGTCACAGTCACAAAGGCTGCTCCAACACGCTGGCCACTCTCGGAGCAAATGGTACCTCCTAATACGATGGATCCCTCCGTCTTGAGTACTGGTATGGACTCTCCAGTAATCATGCTTTCGTCCACGCTCATTTCCCCAAACCGAATGGTACCGTCCGCTGGAATAGAGGCCCCCTTAAGTACCTTGACGAGATCACCAGGAACAATGGCTTGTAGAGGCACGACTTCTTCCGTGTATGCACCGTCCAAAGGACTTGTCGCTCCAGCGGCTAGAGTGACCTTGATTGCAGTTTTTGGCTGGAGGCTTAGCAACTTGGTGAGAGCTGCCGATGTCCTTCGAACCGCCAAGGACTGTAGGAGCTTTCCCAAAAGGACAAAACATATCAACACGGTAGAGGTTTCGTAGAAATGGTACTCGATCGAGTTTGTAAAAGTAGCCCAGAGAGCGTATCCATAAGAAGCTGTGGTTCCCAAGGCAACCAGGACATCCATACCAAGAACTCCACGTTTCAAACCATAAAAGCTTTGTTTGTAGAATGGCCATCCGCATCCAAACTGCACCGGAGTACATAGAACAAACAAGATGAGAGCTTCCAGTTTTACCGTGCCGCCTCCAACCGCAACATCTTGTTGAAGAAAGGATTTCAGTCCCTTCATCCATGGGATATGAGGGAGCACCATCGTAATTAGCAAGGTTGGAAGAGCTCCAACCACCGATAAATAGAAATTTCGTTTTTTCTTTGACACTTCTTTCTCCTGTTGTTCCAGCATGACATCCAAGCGATCATTGGCCATGTCTGCATCCGCAGGAACCGAGATTAAGGAACACTCATATCCAATATCTTCGACCGTTTCAACGAGACTTGTTGGTTGCACTATTATGGAAGAATCAAACTGCACTCGAGCCGAATTGGTCGTCAGAGAAACCGCGACTTGCTCCACACCATGGACCGCCAACAGTGCAGTCTCAATGGCTTGGGAACACATGGTACATGTCATGCCCGAAATAGAGAGCTCGACAGTGCTAGAGGAAGACTCTCGGGTCACAGTCTCGTAGCCAATCGCCTCGATCAGATCAATGAAGTCGCTTCTTCCTACAATAGTACTGTCATACTCGATACGAACTTGGTGAGTTGCTAGTGAACAATTCGCCCCCTTGACCCCATTCAGGCTTTGAAGACCTTGTTCCACGGCACTTGTACACATAGAACAAGTCATGCCCGAGACTCCAATCTCTTCTACTGGCCAATTATGTTCGTTGCTGTTGTTGCTGGTGTTTCTGGCGCCACTCCTGATTCTACTGCCACTCAGAGAATTCAGGACCGACGAGGCTTCGCATCGACAGAGAGATTCGGTACACTTGCAATTTGGTCCACAATAACAAACATCGCAAGCACAAGAACATCCTGGATTCCCAGTGGCCTGGTCATTTACTTCATTCATACTTTCAATAGATGATTCAACGGAAGAGGTTGATAGTTTTGTAAGGCTACAGTTTAGATTCAATAACGCAAGATTCAATAAAGTTTGAGGTTCTTGGCTTGTTTTATGATGGATGGTACAAAAAGTACTAGGAAAGCTGTTGTTTTCAGTCGAACGGGTCAAACCGAACCTCAAAAAATGCACCGAAAAATGGTTCAAACCAAAAAAAGCTCTTCTTTGCCATCATCGTAGTTCATTGCCTTTTGTGCATCGTCTTCCACCTGATGGTAGCTTCTGCAAACTGACTACTTAATCCAGACGACACCTCCAGCGTGATATTTGAAAGAAGCAAGGAAATCGCACCTCAAAAAACGACAAAAGCCATGCCCAAGTTCTTTTCCATTGCCGGCATCCGAACTGTCGGCAAACCAAATCCGCAAGTTCCTTCTGCGAGTCAGAACAATCAAAATGTCAACCTCAACGAAACGAACGCGACAAAAAGCAGCGATAATGAGGGGACCACAGCTGCCGCAAATGCCACGACATCTCAATTCAATAATCACGCTACTGCCACCAAGAATGCAAATGCAAATGCAGCATCTAACCCGTCCAACCAAGAACCGCAACAACCACAAAGTCTCTTTCACAAATATCCCGGCAGCGGCAAGTTGACCATTCAACAGAAAAAGGGCAAGACTGGTCACACCAAAAGCGTCATTCGCCGCGTCCCCATTTACACGGAAGACTACAATTCCTCGGACGATGAAGACATGAATCAACATCGTGCTGATGTGCATATTCCCCAAAGTCTTTTGTTGCAAGATGACGAGACTATTTTGTTGGATGAATTGGACAATGAAATCACTCGTCAAGAAGAACAAGAACTGTTGGATGAATGGAATGATAAAATAACTGCCCAAGAAGAAGTCGATTTGATGAAACGACTCTGGATCAATATTGAACATGCTGCTTATTTGGAACATTGTGCGGCCAAGCCATCGGCTGTTTTGGTGGTGGAAGATCCGTTGTCCTATAACAATGATCGTCGTCCATTGCTCTCTGTCAAAATGCCAAAGTCCAAGGTTCCAACCCAATTGGTATTTCCTACCGAAATCACTGGAACGGTTGACTTTTGCAAAGCATCCATAAAGTTACCAAGATATTTGGATCAAGAACACAAGATTCTTGCCTTTACCAGAGCTGAATTCTACACGGGGGTATTTCTGCCATTTGAAACAGACCTTTTGGGCGAAGCATACAAGTCACTTAATGGATGGGACGCGAGCCTCTTGGTCTCGGAGGAAGACCCCTTTTCGTATGTCTTGCAAGCCAGAGCAGAAAGGGGGGTTTTGGAAGAGTTGAAGAGACAGGCGGAAGTATGGGTTCAAGATCGGATACGCATGATTAATTCCTACTTGTTGCTACGAGATGGAGCCAGTGTTGTTATCGATAACCTGGTTCAGCCACGGCTATTCGAGGAAGCTGTAAAACAAGAAAAAAAGGCATTTAAGAAGAATGTGGTGGGTGTTCTCGAAAAGAACTTAGGATGGATTGAGAAACATGCAAAGAGTGAGAACCGACCAGCATCACTAACGGGATGGAGAGTGAGTGTTCAATTCAAAATGCATCCTCGCCCTTGTACAATTGATGCAACTGGCTCTGCCGAGGTCTTGGCTCAATTGGCCGAGGCCACAAGGGATTGGGTACAAACTCAAAGTCTGTACGCAATTACAGATTCTTTTGAATCGTCTCATTTGACGTCGTCGACAAGAGGTACTCCGAGTAAGCGAATTCGAATGACTTTCCGCTACCCAAGATGTGTGCCACTGGGCTACGAGAATCGAAGCCAGGAACTATCCAAAACGCAAATTCCCGTCCAGTATGCGAATTGCGGTGTCTCGCTTGCCGGAATTAAGGAGCGAACTCTGTTATCATACATGATGGGTGGGCCTGACGCCTTTGAGAAAGGTTGCACCTTGCTCACAATACATGGGAACGAATGCAACACACCGAATGACCTTCAGTGCATTTATTCTCAGGCTCGAGAAACGGACAGAAATTTCGTCAATTTGACTCTGTGTCTCTCTAGATATACCAATTTTTTGGCCATTCCCGAATTGATGGATATGAACCCAAGACGCCTCGACAGCAAACCATTCCAGCTGAGCGACTACAAAAACCCAGATTCCATTGAAGCGCCAATGGGGCAAGTGCAGCAGCAGAAACCGGCTGGGGCGGAAGGGCCACCTGTTGCCGAACAGCCATTAGCTGTTTCCAAACAGCCAGCTGCTGTTGTTGAAGAGAAGGAAAGAGACGGTAATTTTAAACAACCAGAATTTGCCGCACCGGACGAAGATGCCCCACATCAAGAGCAACCAAACGTTCCCGAAAAAAATAAATTGAAAGAAAAAGATCAGGAAAAGTGGATTCTTCGACTATTGGAAAATGAAAAGTCCATCGAGATGGATGTCATTTTTTCTTCGGGAGAAAGTCTGGGTGCTAGTTGCAGCCTTTGTAAAGTGAAAGGAGGAGGAGTGCTCTTGTTCAACCCCAAAAAGGACGGCCAACTACTGAAAGTCCTTGGAAACGCTTCGAAGTCCAACTTTGTCTTGTGGAAAGTAAATGGATCCATTGTCAAGCATTTCGATCACCTGAAAATTTTGGTAGTAGCAGCCAAGAAGAGCAAGAGACCTTTGCAATGCGTTCTGGTGATGCACGAAGGCACTGATCTGAGTCAAATCGATAAGTCGAAGCTCGTTCTTGGAGACACTGCGAACCCGCGCCGACGCAATGGGGACACTCATTCGCTCGAAAAGCAGCTGCGACCAACAAAAACGAGTGTGGCCGCAAATGGTAGCAACACGGCGTCTCGCAAGGATGAAACTGAGGGCTCCGAAGAAGAAGCGGACTATGCAGCTGAATGGGATATTGATGACGACGATTCTTCCGATAGTGATGTTTCGGCACTCATTAGTTTGAAGAAGAAGAAAACAAATATTTCGAAAAAGAAGAGTACAACATCCAAAGCAAGTGCATCGAAACCTGGCGCCTCCTTGGAGGCAACAACTCGTCAGAAGGGAAAAGGGAGAGATACGCTGGAATCAAACCCCTTCAGTGATTCCGATAGTGATAGTGCCGAGCCGACTCGTGCAGACCTGAAAAAGAGAAAACGGGTACCCAAAAATAAGGATTCGATATCCCAAGGAAGTGCAACAAACGCTACGAGTACATCTGGCAAGCCTGTCTCTCAAAGTGCAGATTTAGTTGTTGCCGACGAAGCTCCTATCCCCAAAAAGCGCCGAACCATTCCAACCACGAATATCGTCTCGGATAGATCAACTTCGACTAGTGGTTCACAAGCTCTTGCCGATCCAAACTTCACAACGAATTCTAGCCAGATGAGAAGCAAGGTCAGCAGCATTGGAACATCCGCTTCTCAAAAGACGAATAATGCATCGCTTGCTACCACATCTCGTGGGTCGAACAATACAAATTCATCTGGTCGAGCCACGTCTACTGGCGCAACATCCGACCCTCTTGCAGAGCTTCTTTTAGTGCCATCAAAACCGAAATTAAAACAAAAGCGAACACAATTGACGCAATCGAATGAAGAACCGGCTGGAAAGAAACTCAAGGGGAGTTCAGTCGTCGAAGCTCAGAGGAATGCAGCAAAACAAGTGTCGGAGCCACCGATACCGCGTCGAAAGTCGCACGAACCAAAGGGTTCGGCACTAATGCAGGAATTCCAGGTCGAATTTGCATCTTTACGGCCAATTGGGGCATTCTTTAAGACGGAGGGGTCAAAGTGCAAAGTTTTCTCTGTCTATAAGAAAGGGAATGCGAAAGAGGATGGGAAAATCATGCCTGGTAAGGGAAACAAGCTTTGGCACTGCGATCTAATTGTTTGGCTTTATTTCGTTTTAACTAATTGTTTTCGTTAGGGTCCATTGCCGTGGCTGCGTCAGTATCAGGAAGGCGACAAGAAATTTCAAGCCACGAAGAGTTGCAAAAGCTTTATATTGAAGCCAAAAATCGACAATCAAAGATACGTATATTTTTTGTAAACACCGATGTCTTTGGGCATAGAATGGATATGCAATCGGACCGGGATTGGACAGAATATGGAGTTTGGACGAATCGATATCAGGGTGGCTGGGCAGGTGGTGCAAAAACAAAGAACGGAGTTGTCTACATGGCAAACAAGCTCGCCAGCAACAGAGAGTCTTCCGCTGCCACTAGCATCGCTTCGAGAACGGAGAATGATAGAACCCCTAGAGAGACTAGTGGTCCAGAAAGTTTACAGCTGCGGGGTGATAGCTCAACGCGAAAAAATCCTCCAAGTGACCCAAAACCGCAGAAACGACTTGGACCATGTAGGATAAAGAACCCTTCCGCTCCTCGTGAACGACGGAATGAGAAGGTGAAGTTTTCAGACGACAAGAATGAAGTCAAGTATTTTGTTGTTGGATCGGCGACAGATCAATATCACGATGACAGTCATGCGATCTCAAACGAAATGACAATCGAATCGCAACCGTCATCTCCATCAGATGTCCTTAAGGATGCAGTGACGAATCAACGGTACACAAAGTTGATTGAAGTTCTTGAAACAGGGGCGCCCTCTGCATTTGAGGACACCTACAGAGCTCTTGCGAATCACCACGAATATGCCAAGGTAAATGACATTTTGTATTTCGTTTCCACTCTGTGCCTATTCATTTTTCAGCTGACTCTAAATGAAACTTTGTGTCGCAACTGTAAAGCGAGCCATCATTGAAGAAAATGAACATGCGCGAAAAAAGGATATGCAAGCGAAGAAAAAGGTTCTTGGTATTTATGTTCCTATATGCCTATGTATTGAACAGGTAATGGAATTGGGACACCTTTCAGACTTCACTTTCTGTGTAAAAACAGTCGAGCTCAAGAAGAAACCAAAGAGAAGAACGGTGGGAAGAACAGAGAGCCTTTCTGGCAAGGTGTCGATAAAGCGCGGGGAGCATGTGCACGAACTCGGCTCACTTCACAAAACCAATACCAAGGCTTTCATCTCCTACGGTGAATCCGAGCGGAGATCCTTTCGGACCACTGCTAATGCAGAGCTCAGGCTTTCCACATGTTATCTTTTCATCGACTTTCGAGAAGGAGTGTTTGAAGATGCAATCCCTGCTGCCAAGCTTGGGAACGTCATGATCCCCCTCAGTAAGATCGGCCGTCGATGCCCCATTAATAAGCCATTGCATGTTGAAGAAGATTTGAAAGTGAAACCTGATTCAATCCTTTCCAAAGGAGCTGTGGGAATTGAGATTTCTAGGTTCAAGGCCAGTAGAGATGCCATCATAAAGGAAAAAGAAGAGCTGACAAAGAGACTGTATCAAGAAATATCATACATTAAGAGATTCAACGATGAGTTTGGAGGAGGAAGGATCAGGCTTTCCGGAAACATCAGAAGCATGGGGAATGCGACCTTGCTTCATGCAGCAATACATCTAGGCGAGGAAGAAATGGTGAAACGACTCTTAGATCTCAGGGCTGATCCACGTATGAAGAGCAGTCGATATGGTACCCCCATCCATCAGGCGATGAACTTGAAAGATCGCTCGCTCGAAAAGCTTCAAAACCTTATCAACAATGGCGACCCACCAGAAAGGACTGAGCCAGTACAGCATCTTTTCGACGTGTATTCTCGAATACTCAGGCTTCTGAAATCGAATGAAGAAGAGGAGCTCCCTGATGACATGAAAGGAATTTCGGATGACTCTGATGAAGATGAAGATTATCCGGGTGATAGATCACTTGGCTCGAAAAGAAAGGGTGCTTCCGGTACCTCAGAGGCAGACCAGAAAAAGCGACAGTTTGAAATCATGCAAGAGATTTTCAGCAGAGCTCCAAAAGCAGCAGGGGGTTTAGAAGATGGATTGGAAGCCAACAAATTTTTTGTTAGTGGCATGCTGAGATTGCATTACAGCAAAGAGTGTCCAGATGTACCGGCCATGGAGAAGTTTGTAAAAGAGGCACAAGATCGCAAGGTCTTGGTCTCTATTTCTGAGACGAAGTTTAGGCTTGGTGCAGCAACTGGTAGTCAAGAATCAGACATTTTGACGAAGGAAAAAGAAGTCCCTTTGCCAGAGACGTCACTGAGCTGGCTGCATCATGGGAAGGTAGTTTGTGATCATTTCGGGACTAGTAGAGGGTGCAGGTATGGCCATCATTGCCGCGATGCACATGTCTATCACTATCCGACAGACACGAAATCGCGCCTCGTCCTCGAATCAAAGGAGTTACTAAAGGAGAAGAGGGAACGTTTTGTACTGAAACCTGAGTTTTTGAAAACATTGCGCCTAGACGGTTGGTTTACGGCGGGCTACTACAACCCGAATAAGAGCAAGAGCTTGTATTTCCATGCCGAAGGTGGCAAAGGGAAAGCGAACAGATTTGGAGTCAATTGGTACGTTTCTTGGCCACAGCGTTTCGCACGGAAAATTTGTCGCGATCTCATTGTATCTCATCAATTTGCAGGTATCCGGCGCTTCATGAGGCAAAAGAAGCCCTCCAAAGAGTGATGACAGCGAAAACACTGGGCCGCTATCGATACAACAATATCCTTTCTCATGAAGAAAACAAAGCCCACCGCGCACAATCACAAACCGAGGCTTCGTCACAAACGAAAGAAGGAAATCGATCGTTGCCACTATTGAAAGATAGAGACTGGATGGACAAGTCTTTGGAATTTCCCAGATGTCCCAGCGGTGTCGATCCGAAGAGCTGTCAGAATCAAGATTTCTGGCGAGTTGAAGGTATGTGATACCGCTATCTTTTGAATTTATTGTGGACAAAAGCATGGCTCATTACGAAAACACAATTTTCTTGCTTCACCAAAGCTCGTTTCGGGGACACGATCGGACATCAGTTGAAGATATTCCTCGATCCAGATGTAAGTTCCAAGCAACTTGGAAAAGTGTGGTCCAGTCAAGTCGTCTCACATATGTGATTTTACATTTGCTCCAAAGGATGTATACCCCTTGGAAAGGAACGGCTTCCATACAGCAGCATTTGCTGATCGCCAAAACAAAAAGATCATCTACGTAGAAGGTGGGAACTCGAAGATAAATATCCAAGGTGTCCATTGGTATTCTTCAGAGTCTGAAGCAAGAAATGCGTTGGAACCAGTCGTAGCAGCATCTCGAACACGTTCGGCTGGCAGCTAGTGCCTTTCTGACTTCATTCGCTTGCTAGGACTAGAGCATTCAGTAAATGCATTTCCAAGCGAATTGCGAAGCCATAGCTACATAAACTTCGCCAAACTTCTCGGCTTCAAGATTTCTCTACCGCCATACTCAATTTTTTTGAATGCGATCGCGATCTACCATTTACAAATGGGAAAATTTTCTTGAGACAGCTCTACTTTGGAAGGGTCCGCTACCCCTTCCACGTAGGGCTTCCATAGTTTACTTTGCTGTGCTTCTCGAGTAAACTTCACATTGGCCGGCACAAAGTGTAATCCCAATCCTCGTCGTGGTTTTGTCTTGCTTTGGTTCTTGTTGGATCCATGCCAAATCTTGCCGTGATGAATTGACAAACTTCCTGCTTTGATTCCTTTCATGCTAATAATGGTCAAGTCATCCATAGCTAATCCTTCACAAGAGGCAGCTGACTGAAGCAAATTGTGAACGTTCGACGCTTGAAAGAATTGACTGGCCGATCCTACCCGACCGTCGCCCCATTTGTGACTGCCTACAACATATTCCAGCGGACCCAACTCTTCCAACATGTCGTCCAGGGCAATCCATACCGTGACCACATCGTTGGGGTCAAACATGAAATAGGGCGAGTCCCGATGAAAGACCAGCGGTGGTGCTCCCGGTGGTTTCGCCCAGACTTGATCTTGGGCCAAGCGAGCGCCTTGAGGCCATTGGGCTAGCTGTGCCACCAAGTGCGCCAATTGTGGGTTGGTTTCCAGTCTCCGATACAAGGAGTCAGCCTTATGGATGTTAATGATTTGCAATACTTTGACATTTTGATAGTTTCCCGAAAACCCAATGGGACCAACCCAACCTCCCTTGCTCTTCTTTTTCTTCTTTGACCCAGCGTTCGTTGGCGTATCGTCTTCGTCTCCATTCTCGCTCTTCTTTTCCTCAGCGTCCGAAGTTTTCATCGGCGGTTTTGGCGTTTTGATCTTCTTCGGAATCTTGTCTGGAGCCGCTTTGCGGTCATATTGCCCTTTTGCAAACAAAGAGTAGATGTCATTGACTGGTATGCTACCATTATTGGCACGAGATTGTGACATTACATCGTACCTCGCAACACATCTTCCAATCGATCGTTTAGTGCATGGACATCCTTTAGCGAAAGCACCTCAGGAAAGACGCAAAAACCTTCGCTCTGAAAACGTTCAATCATACTTGGTGGGGCATCTAACAATGCTTCTGGTATGGCAGGAGGAGGCTGGTTTACTGCATCAGCATCGTGCTGCAGTCGGTGGTAGCTTTCTAGCAAAGGTACCCGAAACAGAAAGCTCTCTTCTTGCGAATCACATTCCACCTCATTCTTATCGGTATCCGTAGCTTTCTGAATTAATTCATCTGTGGATGTCATTGTATTGACGACCCTATCACTCTGTCGATTGTTGTTGTGGAATGGAATGGATGCATGATTTTTGAATTTGATGGCCAGGCGTCTGTCCATCGATTGATTCCTGCCACCAATCACTCACTCGTCCTCGACCACGTTAGTAGACTATAAAATGTAATAATACATCACTAAGTTTATCAAGTTGCTATTTCATCTTGAACGGTACGGTATATTGATACTCATCGGCTCGCTGCGCCCGACCGAGTGGCCCACCCATACCGAAACGCAAGGAGTGAATGAGAGTTTCGACAAGAAGGCTCATCTAGCAATTCAAGCACTCCATCTAGTTCCAAAAAATCCTGATTGTGGGGGTTTATATCGCCATTCAGTTCTCTTCGACCATTTCTCAGTCCTCTTGCGATCCATCATCGTCATAGTCGTCGTCACTGTCATAGTCATTGTCGTCGTCATTATCACTGCCATCGTCGTCATTATCACTGCCATCGTCGTCATTGTCACTGCCATCGTCGTCATTGTCACCGTCGTCACCTTCGTCGTCAGACTCTTCTTTGAATTTTTCTGGTTTGAAATGCTCGGCCGCGAAGAGAATGTTCCAAGATCTCAGCCCGAAACCCATTTCTTTTGCAGCTTGCTTCTCCTCTGGTGTTAGATCTCTCCACATTCTCTCCTCATTTTGCACAAGTTTGGGGATGCCCCATTTCTCTTCCGTCCAGTCCAGGGTTTCGCATGCGTTCTGTTGTTCCTCTGCCAATTCATCAAGAGTTGAACTTATGTGTCTATATCCACTAAATGTATCATGCCAAGAGTAGCCGTTGAATCCTAGCACCCGAGCTGCTTTGCGTTCCTCTGAAGACAGTTCATCCCATGTCCTCGTGTCTGCTGGGTACCAAAGCGACGATGCTGTATTGACTTCCCAACCCAAGGCATTGACTGCAGACTTTGCGTCGGGTGGCACCTCTTCCCACGGCATGAATTTGTACCACATTCCATTTAACACAAAATCCAAGATATCTGCCGAGTCAAAGCAGTGCAAAGCAGTGAGAACACTATCCACTTGATCGGCACAAGACCCGAATTTCTTACCAGTTTCAGTTCCTTTCGTATATTGAGCTCCAATCCGCACCTTCTCGCTCTCAAGACGATCATACTCAGCCCCTGTGAGTTCGTCTGAATTATCGTCAAGAGTCACCTGGATTACATCCAACAATGATGCTTCCAGATCTAAAAGTGGCCGTGTTCGTCCCAGCACAATAGTGTAGGTCTTGTAAAACTTCTCCACGAATTGAAGAAACACCTCATCATGCGTCTCGTCAGCTTTTTCCCTTTCGATTGCTAGATCCAAGCCACAGGTAAGTGTGACGAAATGGGACTCCCCAAGAACGCTAATTGCCTTATCATATGCTGTCTGAAATATCTCGATATGCCCACCATGGTCGAGCTCCAACAGCGCTTGACCAAATGCATACATGCATTCGATTGTGGCTTCGTCGTCGGCACCAAAGACATCGCTAAAGTCGTCAAGGACTCTCTTGAACTCTGTAACGTCAACGTCTTGAAATTCCGTTGCCTTTGATTCCGCCAGAGCTAGGGCTGAATGATACCGCATAGCTGCTCTCAAAACCTTCGGGTGCTTTGCGTCATTATTGTAAAATTGTTTCGTGTCTGCGTACACAGCTTCCAGCATCTCCAAAGCTTCTAGTGTATTCAGCTCGCCGTCGTAGTAGAAAGTCAAAAGAAGGTTTTCTCCTAGTGACAGCCTGGCGTCCAACAAGCTTTCCTCGGAAACAGGATCTCCATCGTCAATCTTGAGCTTTAGCGCGCGTAATCTACCTCTGGAGCAATCTATTGCAACCTTCATATCTGCTAACATCTTTGGTCCCAAGAGTGTTTCAAATGTATTCAAGTTCTCCACATCTCTGTTTGCAATTAACGACTCAATCATATCCTCTAACTGCCCGACAAAGTCCTTTCCCATTCTTTCTTTCACAAGTACTTCCAAGGAGTCCAAGAGCTTTACTCGGTTTTGAACCAGATCCCAGTCACTGTTATCAAGGAAAGGAATGAAAAACTCGTTCTGATAGTAGAGCCAATCCTTTTCGTAAGGCTTGAGCAAAGCATGATGAATTTTGAGTTCCACCATCGTACTGCCGCTTTCGCCAGTGATTCTGAAACAATATTCGCACACGCGGTAACCAAAAAACGTCTCGTACCCTTCTGCTTTCTCCTGCTGAAACTCATTATGGAAGTGTAACAGTTCAATATGCTCATTCTCGTGCAACCATTCCATAAAGTCAAGGAGACACCCAATATAGTATTCATCGCTCACCGTGATGGAGGCTTTGAGTATTCCCCACACCTCCGATACGGTTTTGTCGTAGCTAGATGCAAACGTCTCAGCTAACTCTCGAGAAAGCAGCGAAGCACCATCGTATTGAAAGGCTTCCATGCCCCCCCAGCCATCGTCTTCTTCGCGCTCCGTTGTGGGATCATCACTCCACTCACGCACCCTGCAATCGGTGTCAGTGTAAACGGCAAGGTTGGCCAACAACTTTTCTGCAAAAGCATCAAGGGCGTCTTTTAAACCTTCGGCAATTGCATATACCTCATCTGCCGATATTTCACTCTCTCCATCAACATTTTGGGTCGTGACATCTGTATCGATTTCAATATTTTCTTGGTCTTCAATCTCCTCGAACAATGGTGACGACCCATCAGTGGCGTCTTGGAGCTCCCAAAACAGCACTATTTTAGCAAGAAACGCCTGCAGAGCCTCGTTCTCTGGATTGGTCATCTCTTGTATTAACCTTTCAGGATCAATACTAAATGGATTGTCTTCTTGAACCAACTCACCCAAGATGGACTCAATGTCAATCGGTTGGTCGTAAGAAAAATGAGGGTTGATATCCAATTTGAAATTCTTAACATAACTCCCCAGCGACGTCAACAAATCCATCCTGGCACTCACAACATCCATGTTGCCCAAGAAAAACTTGCGAAAGTATCCATAATAGAAATGACTGGCGGGTTTGTGTGCCATGATTTGATTCAAGTGAATTTGCAGCTCGACAATCATCTTGCATTCACCATCTTTCGAAGCGACCTCCAAATTAAACAAAGCATCTCGATATCCACTAAAGGTAGGGAGCTTGAACCGGTTCTTGAAACGAATCACTTTGATGTGAGCAAATTTCTCATCCTCACTGGTATGAAAGATGGTGTGTAGCAGTGTTGCCAGCTGCTGCTCGGTATTCACCACAATGGAAGCTCGAACCAAATCCAATATTCTTAAGGCAATTCCATCGTATTCATTTCGAACCTTTTCGGCAGATCTCGCTAAGGATTTCAGCGGCGCGGACTTGTATTTTGGAGAGCGATGATCAGGATCATCTCCACCACCATCATCGTCCAAAGCCTTGAGTTTCTCCACCAACGCTCTTCCAAATTGATCCAAGAGAGGTTTGATATCCGAGTCTGCGATAACTAACATTACCTCCAATCGATCTTCTATAGATGCCGAGGAGGGATCTTCCAAAGAATCCTCCAACGAATCGAGCAGACACTCGTCTTGGATCGGTGTTTCGTCAAGTCCAACAGGGTCATATTGTGAGGCCAATTCTTGTGGTAAGACTGTTGCCGCAACATTGTCAAGTTTTTCCCTGACTCCTAAAAACCCAGCAAGGTTGGTCAAGAAATCTTTTGTGGCCAACCTCATGTCGTTGGATCGTTGCAAAAAACGAGGGAGATGGAAGCAAAAATACAAAAGTTCAAAGTGCTAATGTGTACCAGGTACCGGTAGAGTGAAGTGTTCTGATGTTGATGGATTCGACCCATACGACCCAACTCAAAGATGTCTTTCCAGATGACTCTTTTCACGATGATTTGCGTTCCTCCAGTACCGGTATTAGGTACCAGTATTTGCCCACAGATAGATGTCTTTCCAGATGACTCTTTTCACGATGATTTGCGTTCCTCCAGTACCGGTACCGGTATTTGCCCAGATGTCTTCCAGATGACTCTTTCCACGATGGTAATGTATTGATCCCTCCTCGGGAGACGGTAAGTTTATTTTCAACTGCTCTGCTTCATTTGGTGACTACCTGCTCGCTCGTCACATTCTCCAACAGCACCTACTACTCGTCATAAATGAAGTAGCGACTAATGTAATGACAGATGAATTGCAAGAACGATCAAGAATAGGACGAAACAAGAAGTATTAGCTAGTTGGCATCCACTATCACATATATATATCTATATATATTACAATACCACATATATCCACTCAACCAATATCTGTTTTCGGGATGCTCTCCATCCGTCAAAGGGATGATTGGTGGCAAGCTACAGTAAGTACTCGTCAACAACATCTCACGCACATACAATCACGCCACGTGACACTTTTTTACTGGCTCTCCCTTTCCAAGCGAGACCTTTCAGCTGTTCCTGTTTCAGGAGCACCGGGCGTCTTGACATTCCCTGAAAAGGCGTCAATCATATCTCATTCGTCCAGCCATCTTGCCTCGAGGCTTCACCACCAGCACCCCGTCGGAATAAAAACCTTTTTGATATTCTAGTACGGTACATCCAGCAGAAAGTAGAGCAATCAATCATCGTCAATCGTACCCCAAGGGAATACATCTCTCGTTGTTGGACATAGCCGATTATTCCTCTCCATTATCCGCCAACAGATCGGGAAAGACATGATTCATAGTAATGGGTCGTTGTTGTTGTTGTTGTTGTCGTTGTCGTCTTGTACCCATACCTGCTGCTGCCCGCTCATCATCGTCATCGTCATCACCCTCTTCCATGGCTACAAAGCCCGCTTCACCACTTTGCGAGTCAAAAATATACTCATCAATCGTCGGAAAGGTAATATCAACTCCGCCTTCATCATCTTCATCGTGATGATGATTATCACTGGAACGAGGATTGACACCTCGTCTCCGTGTTGCTCTCGAATATCTGTACGAGTAGCGACCACCACCAGTTGTTGTAGAATTCCTCCAACAACATCGAAACAAGGAACAATCCAGCAATTCACGAGGATTCATGGAGCAGGCAAGAAACAGCATGGCCAACAAAAATAAACCAAGTATGATTCCAACCATCCATAATTCGGCAACCGAGATTCTCATATTTTATTGTTTGTTTTTATTATGACTGCTGTTCTTTTTGTTTGTTTTCTTGTTTTTGATTTGTTTGATTTGTGTTTGACAATTACTGAAGTAAATTGTGGATTCAATGGCTACTTCTGTGATGGTAATTTAGTTGCTTGTAAGCAAAGCTTGTTGTTGTTCTTGTTGTTCTTGTTGTTCTTGTTGTTCTTGTTGCTCCAGTACACTGTAGTTTTGACTTCTTGTGACTTATTGTGTCATCAAACAGAACTCGAAGAGCGTTATTTATTGCTTTGGTCGATTGCTTCGATCCCTTCGATTTGAATCTTTCCACAAGGAGCTTCGCACGTGTCTTCAGTACTATCGCTGTACGACTCCTCTGACCCAGATCTTTGTGGAATTTGGTCGAAGCGTCACGAAGGAAGCTTGTGGTGGCTCAACAAACACAAACACCAACACTTTCAATCTTACGGTACCATACTACTGTTGGATTCTTTTCTGAGTCTCTTTCATTGCTGATTTCATTGTTGTGATAACCTACTCTACAACATACATTCTGTAGCATTCACTTGGAATCTCAGACAAAGCACGACACACAAAAAGGCAACACCAAATTTCATCCATTTTGAATTGCGGAAAAAAAAAACACCACACATTTTCGCTAGGTACATTCAATACCGGTACACAACACATATACACATATCCAAGAAGACACATTCAATCATCCAATCATGCCACTCGAATCATGCATGATCCTCTTGGACAATTCGGAATACATGCGCAATGGCGACTACATTCCCACCCGTCTGGAAGCCCAACAAGACGCGGCCAATCTCTTGGTGGGTGCCAAGACGCAATCTCATCCCGAATCCACCGTCGGCATTAGTGCTGGTACCGAGTTGTTGGTATCTCCCACTGAAGATGTCGGCAAGATTCTAAATGCGCTTCACGGAGTTCCCTTGAAGAGCTTGGGGTCCGATGTCACGGCCAGTGTGCAAGTGGCTTCCCTCGCTTTGAAACATCGACGCAACAAGAATGGTTCCCAAAGGATCGTCTTGTTTGTTGGCTCACCTTTGAATGGGATCGAATCTCGGGCCCTCCAAAAGGCGGGACGTCAACTCAAAAAGAACAATGTGTCCATTGATGTCGTGGCCATGGGGGAGTTGGAAGCCAATGAGACCAAACTTCAGGAACTTGTGGATGCTGCCAATGGCCGAGTCATCGAAGGACAAGAGCGTACTTGTCATTTGGTAACTATTCCTTCTGGAGTCTTGCCTTCAGATGTCTTGGCTTCCTCTCCCATTGTTCATGGAGGTGCTGGGGGATCTGCCTTTGCGGCTTCGGCTGCCGTGGCGGCGGCTCAAGCGGGTACCGCCGGAGGCGGTGGCGGTGGCGATGGCTTTGCCGACTTTGGTGGGGTGGATCCAAACATGGATCCCGAACTTGCCATGGCTCTCCGAGTCAGTATGGAAGAAGAACGTGCCCGCCAAGAACGATTGGCTGCCCAACAGCAACAAGAACAATCCTCGCAAACAGCAGCCGCCAGTGGCAATGGCGAATCCAGTGGGGATGCCGAAATGGCGGATGGAGCTGTTGCTGCCCCTGCACCAGCTTCGGCCGCCATGGATTTGGGCCTGTCAGAGGAAGAAGCCCTCTTGCAACAAGCACTTGCCATGTCCATGAATGAAAACGAACCTGCGGCTGCTTCTTCTGCCGCTCCTCCAGAGGAGGACGATGAGGCCGCTGCCATGCAATTGGCATTGCAAATGTCCATGAATGCGGAAGCATCATCAGCATCAACCAGTGAACAGGTCAGTGAGTTGGTCAGCAGTTTGCCTGGAGTCAATGCCAATGATCCAGCCATTCAATCGGCCCTCAAGAACCTTAAGAAAGAAGAAAAAGATGGTGATAAAAAGGATGGTGACAAGAAGAAGAAGGACGACAAGTAAGCGTGAACTTGTCCGAGTGCGTATGCGTGTGTGTGTTGTGATGTGGTTGTTATGAAGGAAGGAAGAATGATGATCAAAGGGATAAGAAAATATAGAAACAAACATACCAGTAATCACACACGTGAAGTAGAATATCACAAATTATCGCCGCAAATCATGGTTCCAGTAGTCTATAGTCTAGAGCAAGAGTATAGTCTAGAGTAGATGAATGAAATGCGTGTTGGTGCTTTGTTGGATGGGTTGGTGACTTCATTACAAAGTTGGGCTGTTGCAATTGATTGATACCACCTACCTACAGTATGAAATAAGAAGGGTCTCCATCTCAAAGAAAGACACCAAAGGTAGGACGCCAATGGCTGGTAGACACAATTACCAACATACAGTAGACACGCGTGGATGGATGTGCAAAATCATGGATCGGTTTTCGTTGTTTATCTATCAACAAAAACATACCCATAAATCACACCGGGGCATTGTTGCTACATGTTGCTCGATTTCACCGCACATCACGACAGATGGATAAAATAAAATCGTTACAGTAGTTGCGTTTATTCGGAGTAGGTAACCTGTATGCGTTTGGACTGTGGAACAAACATTTTGTCACTCGAAGAAGAAAGAAGGCTTTTTATGCTACGGAAGGAATCGAATACTGCTTGGGTTGTTCTACACCGCTACAGGTACGTCCAGACTTTGGGTACAAGTAGTAATTTAGTAGGCGTCTACTATTGTTATGATAGTGTTGTTAAAAAAGGCGCAAGAGGTAGTTTCAAGTTGCCTAGTGGAGGCTCGTTGAGCGTTCAACGAGGGGATCGTCCAGTCACAAGCTGGAGGAGAATTTCCTTGGTGTACTTGAGACGCTTATTGATTTCGGAGTTTGTTCCGACAAGCTCATCAGTCAAGTAGTAGGTCTTTCGCTGCCTTTGCTTATCAGCATAGGTAATGTGGCGCTCATCCGGCGTCAGAAGAATTTCCGTATGGTCATAAAAGACGATTTGCACGGTGTTATCGCTGAGCCGGAAGAAGATTGCATGTTTGGTTCGTACCCATTTCTTCAGGTACACCATATCCCGCTTATCGGAGTTTACGGGCAAAGAAGGAGTGTTGCTCTCAAATTCATCTGCTTTCTTTTGCTGCTCAATCAAATAATTTCGAAAGTGCTTCAAAAGCGTAACCTTCTTTTGAAGAATATCAGGGTATTTGGCAAGGCGGTGTGACGCAACCACTGGTTCGCCACGACGCGAAGTTTCCACCGAGACCTTGCTTCGTTCAACATATTGGAAGCAATCACCTTCCGGTTCTGAAATGGCTTTGGTCGAATCGTTGAAGTAAACACCAGAACTGTAGAGAAAATAGAAATTAGACATATTCTGAACTTTCACAACAAAAAGAGCAATTGAATTGTTTGCTTACCTGCCGTCGCTTAACAAGAATCCCAATCCATATTTGCTGGTGTAATCAACGTATCTGGATACCCACTTGTCTGGCCCACCGGTAGACATCGCGCGAAGACTGATTGAGTTGACATCCACGTCAGCGTATGAGCGTTTTGATGTCGTCTCTAGCACACTTTCAATCCTGTCGATCATGTTATGCAACACATACGCATCGTCGGAGGTAGGCGATGGTACAGGAGTAGGTCGTTGTGCAACCTCGTTGGGTTCCGTACGAATTGACATTGCAGCAGTACGAGAAACAATCTCCTCGTCTCTATTGCCTTCCGTCTCATCGAACACATTGAATGCACTCTGCTTCTCGGAGTTCTTGGTGCTTCCAACTCCCATTACGGCTGAAACAACATTCTTAACAACTTCTATTGATGGCATATGTGACTTTGCTGCCTTCAAAGGATCAGAATTAACAGGATCAACATTGACATCTCGGTACCCAAGTGGGCCACGAGTTGATGAAACAAGAGGTTGGATTGTTTTCTTGAGCCCATTAGAAGAGTTTTGAACCATGGTAGCGCTGTCCCACTTTGGGGCAACGTGCGTAACACTTTGTGGTAGGGAACCAGGGATGAAGCTGTTGGTGAAGAAAGGATGCATTGAAATTTCATTCAAACTAGGACGGTCCGCTGGTTTTGATTGGAGCATAGACGAGATCAATCCCTTAGCATTCTCGGACATGGTAACTTTTGAAGGAAAGGAATATTCGTTGTTCAGAATCCGCTGGTAAGTAGACTTGACGTCTTTTGATTCATATGGTGGTTTACCAACCATCACTGTGTAAAGAATAACACCCATAGACCAGATATCGACCTCAAATGAATGACCTCTGGTGGCTTTATCACCCTGAATAACCTCAGGGGCAATGTAGTTTGGTGTACCACAAATGGTTTTTCGTTTGTCCTCCGCATTTTCCAATCTCGTAGCCAAACCCAAATCCCCAACTTTGATGTTCATATTTCGGTCTAGAAATAGATTGCCCAGTTTCAGATCTCGATGAATGACTAATTGTTCATGGTGCAAGTATAGCATAGCTTCAACCAACTGTCTCATGAAGAATGCAGCTTCAGGTTCGGTCAATCGCTTCCGCCGTTTGATCAATTCGTTCATGCTTTGATTGTGACACAACTCAAGTAAGATGTAGCAGTTTTGACGATCCTCAAAGAAGTGTTTGTATTCGCAGACATGTTCATGTTTCAGCGTTCTATGAATCTTGATCTCCGCTTGAAGCTGTCCAAAACAAAAGGAGAATCAAATGAGACGCTGGAGTGGTTTAACAAAGCCTCTTTGATTGGAAAAAATGAAACGTACCTTTTGCCTCGCGCGTGCTTTGACAAGATTTGCTTTTGGAACAATCTTGATGGCATACATCTTGTTTGTGTCCATAGCTGTGCACAGATAAACCTTTGCGAATCCTCCCTTTCCAAGAAGTTTTCCTCTCATGTATCGATGAACAGTGAAGCCGTCCCCACTGGCCTTTTTCCTTTTTTCCTCGATGATGATGCCGTCTTCCCCACCCTTTTCAGAACTGGAAGATGAAGATGTCCGTTTGTACATTCCTGCCTTTGGGACAGAAGAGCTAGGGACCCGTTGTTGATCACCTGTTGATGGGGGATCAGCAGCCCCTTCTCTAACCTCGCTGTTCTCGCTTCCCCGACGAGTTTGTAGATATGATGCAGAACTGGTCAACTTTTTGTTCATGTCATTCCCTGATGACTCAAGAGTAGAAAGCCCTGGTTTGGTGACTTCTACCGACGAGCTGTTGGCAGAGGAACGCATCGTGTTCATGTTGCGAGCTTGAAATGGAAGCCTCCCAGCTGAAGAAGAAGTCTTCTTTGTAGGAGGTAACCCAGCGGTTGCTCGCCCTACATTGGGCAAAAGATGAATATCTACTGTCATAATATCTGCCAATTGTCAATAGATGATGATGATATGTTGATGTATCTCCGAACTAAAGAACTGCTGCAATACAATACAATACAATAGAAGCGACCCCGTTCGTCTTCAGATCAATATATGATTTGAGTGGAACAGCCGGTTTGGTTTCGGTTGTGTGTAGAGTTTTACGTTCTCAGTACTTTGACAATTCAGAAAACAACAGTGATCCTTTGCGCCAAAAGCCAACGGTGCCGGAAATCGATCAACAACGATGATGGAACGGTCGCAAAATGTGATCTCGTTAGCAGTCGTGTAGAAATGTACGGGGGCGCGAATTCGAAATCCTAACGTCCGAAACGTTTTCCTGTTTGAAAGGTCGAATTGCCGGCTAGCTTCTTACCAGGATACGTTGGTAGCTAGGTTTCGAAATAATTCAACCAGTTAAAAACAATTAGGGTTTTCACCATTTGGCTGTTGCTTTTTGCCCGGCTCGCGTGTCGTACAAGAGGATACAACGAATAAAAGGGTTCATAATCGAAGGAGTCAGGGCGCGGAAAAATTCAAATGGGGGAAATTGGTTTGAACCCTGCCACACAGGTTTTGTAATCCCATCGAGTTGCCTCCAACAACAGGCCTTCCAACCAAGACAACATACGTATACCCCAGGTCCAGCCCTCGTAACATCAGCAATGAACAGTGCACACGCTGCAAGACAACAGCTTGACCGCATCTTCGCTTTTGATGCGGCATTTTCACTCATCTTTGGGGCCCTAGCAATTCTTGCACCTCATGGGATCCTAACGGCCTTGGCTGGAGGGTTCTACAACCATTCAGTACATGAAACATTGCGGTGAGTTCCCTGGTGATCAGCATGCTTTCTCCTTTTGGTCGAAGTTTTCTCACAACAACTTGATTGAATATTGTTAAAATCATACCTTGCAATCATCGCTACCATCATCTTCCACATATCTACTATTTATTTACAGTCTGTATGGATGCTTGAGGCTGGCCTGTGGTTGGATTTTATGGCATGCCCGTGCTGTGGATGATGGTCGGTTTCGAAAACACATTTGTGAAGCGCTTTTCGTTTGTTATGTCTTGCAAACCTTGGCAATATTAAGAGCGCAATTCACCGATCGGCATTCCCTCATTAATTGGGTTGCCATCCTTGTTATGGGTGTACTCGGAGCAGCGTATGCATCCTTTCGATTTGGCAAGGGAGGAAATCTCATCAAAGTATACGAGTTGCCGACTGGAGCAAATATTATATGACGAACATGTATTTAGTGGATATTTCGAAATGAAGATTCAGGTCGGCTTTTGTTTGTTTCGATGATTGCAACGTACACTTTTGTTGCTTGGCACACTAAAATTACGGTCCAAAGAGGAATCAATTCACTTTCTTGGTTGCTATCATGATATTTCCCTCTGTTTTGAGCAAGACGAATTAGAATTGATTATATACAAACCGGTTGTATATAACATACCGGTACCACAACCCTGTAAACTACTATCTAGGCTTGATTTGATTGACAGATTGATACTTCTGCTCGCTCATGCAACGAAGCTTGCAATCTCATAAAATCAGTAGCACTACTGTAGCAGCCTACCACTGCATCAATAATAGAGTAAAGTATAATCATAAAAATATTACTCCTCACGATGAATTATAATGACAATATTGATAGTGATAATAATATTATGGTAACATTATAGTATTGGTATTAGAAGTTAGAAATAGCAGGACATGGACAAACGCAATCCATTCAGTGTAAAAACAAAATGCACAAGATCCCATTGTCCTTTCGTGTTTTAATGCCTGGTGGAAAATAAAATTGGTCACGATGCATCATATGTGATGATCCTATTGATTCATGGTGGATGGATGGATTACATCATGTACAATACCCCATCGTCCTTGTGTAATCTTCCATCGCTGACCAAAGAATCAATGAGTTCTTCCAAGTCTTCCCTATCCTCCAAATCTGTGCACAAATCTTCCATTTTGATCTCCCCATCGTGCATTTGGATTTCGGCAAACACTCGACTTCTCAATTCTTCTTGATTGACAGTACTGGCACTAGTACTAGTACTCGTAGTAGTAGCAGTCTTTTGCTTTTTGGAAGCTGGTGGGTCCAAGTCTGCTTCTTCCACTTCTGAGGAATCCGAGACAGCCACTGGTGTGGTGGAAGCAGCGTCATCGTCTTCGGATACTCCTTCATGTTTGGGACTGTTGAGACCATGTACAGCTTCTCCGTGTTCGTGATACAGGGCAAAACTGAGAAGGTCCATGGCCACTTTGCAATCGGGTTCGGCCTCTACCTTGTCGGATAGCCGGGCCTTGGCGTGAGCACTGGCCAATCGAATGACGGTTTCCAAAGTACGTGCCGTGACGGGCAAAGTTCGTTCGTCTTGACGACACCTCATTTCGGCGTACCGATTGGCGATGAATTCTCTGGCACCGTCTGTAAGTTCGAGGGAACGACTGGAAGGTCGGCTCTTGGCAAAGTGCAGGTATTTCCGCAAAAAGTCGTGTTGCAAAATGTCATTCTTGGAAGTAGAATAGTTCGGATCCAATTCGTCATCCTCCTCATCATCTTCAGTCGCATGTCGATTGCGTTGCCACACCGAATGCACTTTGGTACTTTTACCCCCAATGTTGTCTTCTTCATCATCCGAATCATCGTCGTCGTAGTCCGAATCGTGTCCCGCCGCACCATGTTCCGGGCGATAACGATGGCCAAGTATGACATGGTTGGATATTTTTCGATCCGTTTCGGGATCCATTTGATCGAGCACCACAAAGAGCAAATCAAACCGACTCAGCAAGGAATCCGGCAAACCAATGTTTGCTTGCATGCGTTGAGTTCGGTCGTATTGTCCATAGACAGGGTTGGCAGCCGCCAAGACAGAACACCGAGCATTGAGACTGGCATGAATTCCGGCCTTGGCAATGGTGACAGTCTGTTGTTCCATGGCTTCGTGAATGGCCACTCGATCATTCTCTCCCATTTTGTCAAATTCGTCCACGCAGACCAATCCACGATCGGCCAAGACCATGGCACCGGCCTCGAGACGGCGTTCATTGGTATCCGGGTCCGAAGTGACGGCAGCCGTAAGACCAACACCGGAAGATCCCTTACCAGTGGTGGAAACTGCCAGTGGGGCAATCATCATGGCCGATCGCAAGAGTTGCGATTTGGCCGTGGATGGATCACCCACCATGAGAATGTTAATGTCACCACGCAAATGCGTTCCATTTTTCAGATTCTTTTCACATCCACTGAGCAATTGAAGGGCGAGTGCCTTTTTGATGACTTCGTGTCCATGAATACTAGGTGAAATGGAGCGTCCCAGTATATCTAGAATATCCTCGCGCTTGCCCAATTCCTTGATGCGGCGAACATCTTCTGGAGAAAAGGTGAGCTGAGAAGAGTCTCGGCCAAGGATTTGGACATTATTGACCAAGACCACAGTCTTGAAGACTCCTTGATGAGACTTGCGTCCAGTGGCACCTCCCGGAGCCAAAGCTCGGTAGACCCCCACCACTTGCACTCGGTCTCCAGGCTTGATCTTATCGACCAAATCGTGATCTAGGACAAGTTCTATAGAGCGTGGCAGTTGTCCCATAGGTGCCTTTTCGGGCATTTCTTGAAGGGTAATGGTTTGATGATCCTTGAATTCGGAAAGACCAAATTCCGTTTCCAGAAGGTTTCCATCCTTGTCTTTGGTGGGGTAGACAGAAGGCGTAATGTTGATTAAGCGATCGGGTTGTTCGCGGCCATTGTTGTCCACGGCGTGTAGTCCGAGGTGCGGATCCGTGGAGTCCACGTAGGAACGTTCCGAATGCTGTTTGGTAGCAGGGCAGTAGTGGACCGACTTGACGACCTTGGGTTTAATGGCAGAAACCTTGGTAGCCACCCCTTCGACTGCAACAAGCTGACGCAGCATGGCCGAGTTGAGTCCTCGCGGTGAGAGTGGCTTTGCTCCGATAGGCCCGGAAAGAGCCACCTTGATTTGGATCCCATTCTTGTCATAACCGGGTCTTGATTCTTGTGCAATCTCGTGACAGGCAGCTTCCAGAGCACGCATGTGACGAAGAGGGTCATGTCTCAGTCGTTTTGACAGTTGTTCAAATGATCGTAGTTCCGACATGCTAATGTTGACTCTTGGACATCCCCATCCTTCCACTTTGAGATTCCTGCTGCGATGGGCGTAATCATCAATGGCAGTGCTGATGCGATCGACGTGACCGTAACGCTGTGAGTGTAAAGGTGATGTGTTTGTGTTGTTGTTGTTGTTGTGCGATCAAACAAGACAGTGCGGAGAATGATAATGATGATTGAGGAAAAGGAAGGGAAAGAAAACGCCAATGACAATGATGACAAGAAGGAAAGAAAAAGACAAGTGGTGAGCATGACAGTGTTGATGGTTATGATGATGATGGTTATGATGGCATGGACGACAATGATCATGATGGTCGTATGCCCGTAGATGGCAGAGTATTCAAAAACAAAGATAGCATCAACCAACAAAAATGATAATCCATCGCTCACCTCTTGCCGCAGAAATGAATCATATTCCCCCTTCAATTCAAGTAAGGTATCCGCCATCTTGATTGACTGTGTTTATTATTTCCCTTTGTTGTGTTTGGTGCGAGTGTGCGTGTGTGTGTGTGCGTGTGCGTGTTGCTGTTGCAATTCCCTACAGTACAACAATGTTCACAAACAATTGAATTCAATTTCAAAAAATACCAGTGTACTATTTTGAATCGAATATCTCTTTCTTTTTATATAAAAGCAGCAAAACTGATAACGACAAAGCTGATAATGAACACTGAGAATGTTGCTGTTGATAGTTTCAGACTCCGAAATGCTTTGCTCAAGGAAAGATGTGATGCTACAGGTATGGGTGCTTGATGTCGATGCAACGAGCGCAACGGCGGTCCGAACCCGAGGCGGTTGCGCTGGAAGGAATTCATCCCGCGGCAAATCGATTTGAAAATCGCGAGCGTTATCACCCCCTGGAAAGGGTGCTCCGTTTTGTAGGTACCTAGCCCTAGTGTCGTCGCAAGTCGTCCCTGGACCAATGCTCAACTCAGTACGCGGTCTACTTGTCAGTACGTTGATTTTTTTTGGGCGCGGAGGGAGCCAGCGTACTGGTTTAGCCTCAAAGCAGAACGAACACACGAAAGATGCAACCGGGCGGGAAGGTACATGTACCATGTACAACAAACTTTGCTTCTCTCTCTCCCCACCTCAATCAATCGACTGCACTTGATTCATTCATTCTACAGTCCTCGATGGCCACTAGCGACCCTACTCTCACCAAACGACCCAAAACCGACAATGATTCTGTTGCTGTTGCTGCTGTGACAACAGTAGTATCATCACCATCATCATCATTACCATCATTACCATCATCATTACCATCACAAAAAGCCACTCCCAGCATCACGACGACGACGACGACGACGACAAGTCCCCGTTCCATTGTCACTTGGAATTGCAATGGGTTCGTCACGAGATGCAAATACAATGTTCCCGAATTACACTTGTTACAAAATAAGACCAACCAGCCAGACATGATTTGTCTGCAAGAGGCTCGATTGAAAGCAAAATCTTCCACCTGTCGGGGGGAACCCATGGCGTCAGAACTCAATGGTCCCGTCGAAAATGTTTTGAACACTGTGTTTAACGAGTACATTCCCTATTGGTCCTTGGCGGATTCGCGGTATGCGGGAACCTTGACCCTCTTGCACCACAAGTTTCAAACTAGTGTTCAAGTGGCGTATTCCTTGGATTCGGCCATGGATCTCTTGCTGAAGCATTATGAGTTGACACGAGACCAGGTGGTTGGAGTAAAGGCTAGCATTTCTTCATCCCAAACAAAGGATAATAATAGTGCAGGTGCTACACCGAAGAAACAGCAACAACAACAAAAATCCATTTCGTCCTTTTTCAAGGCCACGGCTCCTTCCTCCTCCACAAAACGACCATCGTCCTCCAACAAACGGCCTCGAACTACTTCAAGAAAACAGCAGCAACAACAACAACATCAGGAAGAAGGACGATTTCAATTCTTTTTATTTCCAGACAAGGATATTGTTCAAACCTACGTTCCCAATCATGGCATGAAGATGGAAAAGTGGGAAAAGAGAAAACAATGGGATTTGGAGGTTTTGGAATTTGTCCAACAGCGCCAACTGATACTGGACCATGTCGCCAAGACAACCGACAACGACAACAACAACAATCATCATCATCATCATCATCATCGTACATTGCTCTGGTGTGGCGATTTGAATGTGGCGCACACGTACATGGACGGGACCGATTGGAAGAAAACACAGAATGGTGGTGAATTTTATGAATGGTGGACGGACGAATCCAAATGCATCATCAAGAATAAGAAGAATGTTGATTACTATGATGATGATACAAAGTCGAAAGATCCACAATATGTCGGCATGCCCAGTTTTACTCCGGCGGAACGAACACGGTTCTCTCGTTTTCTACAAATAGGCAAGTTGGTGGATGTTTGGCGGCAATTGCATCCACATCCTTGCGAAAATTGGAATGCTCCGCATTGGACTTGGAGGGGACACCCGGGGCCGAAGAGTCCTTATGCGAATCGAGGCCAGCGATTGGATTACTTTTTGTTATCCGAATCAGATACAGAACGAGTCGAATCTTGTCGTATCATGGGAACGGGAAACCACAAGGGATTGTTTTGTGGGTCAGATCATTGTGTATCTTTGCTTGTGCTCAAGGAGAATGAATGAATGAATGATTGGTTGGAGGTCGAGAAACTTCTACCTCCAGCGCTCCAACAGCACTATCATAACACAAATAGAAGACGCCTCCTTGACTCAGATTCACAAACAACTTTCCATCTATCCGTTCATAGACACAATCGACCAGCGAAATCGAGTCGCACGCATTTTATATTTTAATAACAATAGCAAAGGCGTCTGTGTGTGATTCTATAGCTTCGTGATGATAGCAAAGGCGTCCTGTGTGATTTCGTAGCTTCCTAATGGGTTGAGGTACCATGAGCAAAAGTATGACCAAAAGAAAGACGACACTGATAGGACTCGAACCTACGCGGGATAAACCCAAGTGATTTCTAATCACTCGCCTTAACCACTCGGCCACAGTGTCATACACTCCAATGTATATTTACATTATCTAAATAATGAAAGTATGATATCCTAGATCGGTATTCGCACACATCACAGAATTTGAATTACATAGAAATGTTTCGGGGGGAATGATGCCGACCACTGGCACGTCCATGGTCGATATGCGTGAAAGGAAGGAAGGTGGATTCTAAGAGTGGTGGATTTAGGACAGGAGACTGGGCTTGAAAGTGGTGAGAGAGGAACGAAATCCTTCATCAACGAGTGAAACTACGTCCAAAGCTTTGTGTGGTTGCTGTGGAGACTGTACTGTACTGAAGAGGCCATGGTTTCCTTATGGGATTCGTCTTTGTAACGATGGCAATTGGACTCAAAACTGGAGCCCCTTTGCATTCATCTCATCTAACGAAGTACCAGCACGATCTAGTAGTTTTGCGCAAGGGTTTGATGTTGCAGGTCCTGTATCGTCATCCAATATTTATCTCCCTCGTGTATAAAGGAGTAAATGACCATTGTTTTTATGCCGAGATTGGTTGTTCAAGAGGCTCGAATTTGAATTTTGCCAGCAATAAGCGGCATTAATTGGCGGATGGATGTAAGGTTGGAGAGATATGGACGATACAAGGAGCTGGATTAGTGAATGTGAGTATGCCCATATGGCGCGCTCGGGTGCGAAGGCTTGTCTGGCTTCCAAGTTGACTATCATTGTGGAAATCGCGGGTGTGTGATGTTGTGATAGTGTCGGTGTCCACTTTGAGCCTTTGTGGAGGGAGGGGTCCTTGGATTCTGGATGAACTATTAGGCTGATGGCGTAACAACGAGAAACTTGCAATGCACTGGGCCCTGATGGCACTGTTTTTTAAACGATTGTTTCCCTATATTCTAGCATCGTTTTCAATCTCCGGTTTTTCCTGAACATACCGAGCACTCTTGGATATTGATAGAGATGGCTTCGAATTGAAAGTACCCACCAGTATGCGCAATCCGAATGATACTATGATTCACTACCATCAGGAAGACATTCCACCTATTTTATTATGTTTTCGTAGCGCCAAGTCTCCTTCTAGTAAAAGCCAATCATCAACAGGAGAGACCACGGGTAATTTCCTTCAAAGCACCCTTCATCCAGGATGCATTATAATCCAACATTGAAATTGCAGCATGACCAACTGGTAGCCGATTAGAATTATTTTTGCCAACACCGCTGGGATTACCACATTTGCCCCACACGTCGTTCGACGGCCCTCGCGATCGATAACTGCTCGCTTCGTCTCCGATAGGTGGGCAGTGTTCACCTTCTGCTTCTTCCAAAGGGCAAGTTCCAACACCGAAGTCACTTGGATCATTCCATAAAATTCAGATCTTTGGATGATGCTTTCGAGAACATTTTGTCTGCTTGTGACATCACCGTCCCATTCCGCAGATTCGATCCGCCCGGTCAAATCCATCCTCAAAATTTCAACGCCCCACATACCCAATCTTGCCAAGAGCGTCTTTTCTAGGATCATCTTGATTAGTTCTGCAGACTTAGGCAAACGATTTCGCAATAGATAGTCTATCATGGTGTTGCTGTGATTGTCTTTGCGGGACAAAACATCCAATGGGTGGGTAGTGGTCCAATAGAGCCTGTAAAATGTCCGTTCGCAGGTTTCTCGAAGTGGCGACGATATGAAAGGGTGCCATCCCAATGATGTCCGTCAACCCAACACTATCAGCAGTATTGATTCGATACAAAGATCTTCGATGGCTGTGGTGGATGCAAGATAGCATGCTTGATGGGATGGTAGCTCATCGTATCGATCGGGCATAATGTTACACCAATCGCAATTTTCGGACATTGTCAGAAGCCTCCAGCATCAAACAAAGTCGTTGAGGACACTAGACGAGGACTCATCCAAGACATCAACCCGACGGTATGGCTGAATGTTAATCAGCCACACACAGCCACAAAAGATTTCGGCAGCAAAGTTTACATTTGTAATGTTCGGAATCTCAACGCCCAAAAGGTTTCTACAATCCGGAAATGCACCAGAACCGATGGTATTTTTGGAAGCTGGGATAGAAACAGTGGACAATGTCTCACACCCGATTATTGCTCTCTCCCCAAGATTGAAGATTCTTCAATCACTCGTAATCCTTCTGGGAATTTCACATCTCTCTGGAACCGACAGCCAACAAAGTCCCTGAACCCGATTTTTCTTCAATGTCGAAGGCATCGAGACGAGTTTCAAATTAGAACAGTTCTGGAAAGACCATTTGGAATCTTTTGAACTCCACCTGCAAAGTCCACTTCCTCAAGGTCATTCCTATCCTCCAAATTAAGCTTGTCAATTACATCGCCACTGGCTTGGACAGTAATATGACTTGTGCCTTTGGGTACAAGCAAGCGGCCGATCGTATTGTCCATGGTAGTCATCTCACTGCCTGTTGGAGAAACGCAAAGATTCCATTTGGTTCAAAACTAGTTACATTGTAAATTACAATTTTGGCAGGCGGACAGAAGACACTGTGGCCGAGTGGTTAAGGCGAGTGATTAGAAATCACTTGGGTTTATCCCGCGTAGGTTCGAGTCCTATCAGTGTCGTATCTTCTTTTTCTTCGCGTCATGATGCCAGAAACGTTCTTTTTTGGCCAATGAAGGAGATGAAAGCACATGAACATTCAAAATCTATTGTTAGCATCTATTTTTGAATAAAGGAGATAATAAATACCTCTCCTTTCTATGACGCAGAAAACTGGGTGTCCGCGCAGCAAGAAAGCGTTACTCCTTAATGCTCTGGTATCTTTCCTCTGTTATGTTCAAGGCACATCCTTTCAATTGCCACATTCAAGGTCGGGTTTTCGTGATAAGGTTCAAGCGGCTAATTCTGACGCATCCTCCTTTCTAGAATCATCGATGAATAAACAGCAGAATTCATCAACTTTAGAATCAGCTCAAGGTGAAGATGTAGAACTCATCAGAACAGAATCTATGGCTACCTCCAAGTTAGGTCGCTCGCCGGAGAGAAGGATGGAGCTCATGTTTTGTGATGGTGATATATGCAAAGATGCAGTTCGGCAACGAGTCATTGGCAAGCACAATCAGATCGTCCTAAGTGGACCAGCGACAGGACAGGTTGCTTACACATGGAGTCAAGATTCAACAACAAACAATGCGAATGGTGAAAGGTCGAATGTCACACGTTCCAGTGTATTGCTTCTGGTTCGTCCCAATGATGAAAATCTTATTAAGAAAGTCGCAGAAGTGGTTCCAAATCTTACACACGCTGGTGTCAAAGTATTGTTGGTCCCTGACTTGGCTGCGAAGCTCAAGTTTTATTATGGTGTCGATGATGAACGGATAGGCTTGTTTGAGGCGTCGATGGAATTTGAATCGCGCAGCAGTAAAACCCGACATGTGAACGACAGCGAAGATGAATGGATTGAAGACGTGCTGATAGAACCATTTCCTGATTTAGTTTGTACTCTTGGTGGCGATGGACTCCTCATGCATGCTTCGATGCTGTTTCAAGGACCAGTCCCTCCCATCATATCCATTGCTGGGGGTTCTTTGGGTTTCTTGACTCCTTTCAAAGTAGAAAATATGGAAGATGCAATTTGCATTGCATTGGGCATGGGTAATATCGAGGAAACACCCGACACAGACAAGAGATCAACACATGATATTCCTGTTTTCCCTCCAAACATGGAGTCTTATCCTTTTGATAATCCGCTCTCGCAAGCTAGCCATCCGAAGTTTTCGTTTGGAATGGATGAATACATCTGTATGACGATTCGAATGCGGCTAGACTGCCGCATAGTGAGTCCCGAGGGCGTAGTTCGGAGTCGTTTCAATGTTCTAAACGAGGTAGTGATTGATCGCGGTAGCAGTCCCTACTTGGCAGCACTCGAGTGCTTTTGCGACGACATCCATCTTACGACAGTCCAAGCGGATGGTGTCATTTTTGCAACGTGAGTACAGCAGCTGCGATCAAAAGTGCAGTAAAATATCCTAGCGCATTGTTTCTAACCATTCGTTAATACAGCCCAACAGGATCAACCGCGTATTCTATGGCTGCTGGAGGGTCAGTTGTTCACCCTGCTGTACCCAGTATCCTTGTCACCCCAATCTGCCCCCATGTCTTAAGTTTTCGGTCTATGGTATTTCCTGACCATGTCGTATTAAGATGCTACGTTCCTGATGATGCTAGGGCCACGGCATCTGTGGCGTTTGATGGCAAACATCGAAGAGAGCTTCAACGAGGAGACAGTGTTCAGATCCAAATGAGCAATTATCCTGTTCCAACGCTAAACCGTGGGGATCATTCATCCGATTGGCTTGAAGGTCTCAAACGAAGTTTCAACTTCAACACTAGGCCACGTCAACGTCCGCTTTGATAGCATGGAATGATACCACGGATATGATGATACTACTACTATGATGACATCCTTTGCTATCTTTTCACATGCTGTAACGCAGCACAGAAAATCAGAGACGAAGCTTCCACCGCCATAATTGCAAATTAGGAAGCGTGCTTTGCGCATATCCAGATTTCGACCTGCTAATCGCCGCAAACTATCCGGCTTCGTAGTATACATGCAATATCTTCTTGCCTTGTTTGTATAGCCGTTGTGTAGTCCAACGCTGTCAAATATCTCTGGATCCAGTTTTGGATTTTACGGTCATTTTGAATCACGAACGATCCATAATTTGGGGTCCCGCCAAGAAGCAGCAGATCCAACATCCAGTCACAAGCCGTTCGTAAGAGTTGTCTCGTCCCGGCGGTAATTCCATTGCCCCCACGAATGTCAAAGTATGGTATTATACATTATAAACATTCTATTCTTCGGCATATTCCATTCTCTGGTGATGGGCGCCACTGCTGAACCATTTGTCCAGCGGACCTTAAAAGACTGCAATCATCAAGATGTATTTCACATTCAAAACAGTGGAACCCAACGATGTATAGCTCTGAAAAGTCATGCCGAAGAATCTGGTCGTACAGAACTACGAGCCATCATGGAAACTTGCGACGATGTGGCAAAACGACAACAATGGACTCAGATTGCAGCTGACTTTTTGGTGCGGTCTCATTTCGATTCTTCGAAATGCTTATTTCCGTCCAAAAGTTCAATAGTGGCGTTGGTTGATTGTGAGGACGAGAACTGGATGGATGCCTCTTGGGAGAAGTACAGTGACAAAACCATAAGGAATACGGATCACGAAGATGATTGCTGGGACGAGCATCATGGCAAATACTTGGTCCTATCAGAATGCGTTGCTAATCGGCAAGAACAGCTGTGGACATCCTTTTCCTCTGACCCAAGCTGTCCAGATACTGTCATTCGAGACAAAAGTCGTGCTGGAAACACTACCGATTCCACGAATAACACGAATATTGCCAGTACTGACAATTCGACTGACAGCAACAGTTGGTTCAATCCTCAAGCTATTGAAGACCATGTGAATGCGTTGGGCCCTTGGGGGATCTACTATTTTGGACTTGTCTACGTGGCGATTGAAATAGTGTGTATTCCCGCCGTTCCCCTTACAATTACAGCCGGCTACTTGTTTGGTATTTGGAAGGGATTTGCGGTGGTCTTGATTAGTGCCGGGACAGCCGCCGCTCTGTCCTTTACCATTGGACGCACCTTGCTGCGAAGCTACGTCTTGCGCAAATTGGAAGGCTATCCCAAATTCAAAAAGCTGGACAAGGCGCTGGGGAAAGAAGGTTTTCGAGTCATGTTTTTGATTCAAATCTCGCCATTCTTCCCCTTTGCGATGGGAAATTACTTTTATGCGACTACCTCCATCAACTTTTGGTCTTTTTGGTTTGGAACATTGTTGGGGATTTCTCCCGGAAGCTTTGTATATTGTTATTCGGGACATGTTGGCCAGACATTGCTCAGCGATGCATCAGGAATGATATATCCTTGGTATGTTTACATTCTTTTTCTTTTGGTTGTCATCGTGATATTGCACTTGATTGCAACTACAGCCAACAGAATCATTGAGGAAATGAACGAAGAGGAAGAGGAGGTAGATAATGAACATCTCGAAAAACTGACCCCAGTCACATAAGACTGGCTTAAGAGCGCTCTGAATCAAATCCGTCCCAAGCAACAAGTGGACACTCCAATGTGGCTCAGAGAAGACATACTAAGGAGTGATTCCAAGCTAGTGGGCCACACTGTCGCACCATGCCAGCTTGGAGTCAAAGAATTGCAATTCTTCGCAATATCTGCGCCTGGAACGAAAACTTCTCTTCGGCATTCGTCGGTAGGACACTTCTTGGACTTGAATTCAAGTTGGCATGGCTATCTCGATGATTTGTTCTATTCGCAACAATCCTCGTCTCGAGTGAAGATCTGTCATTGCCTAACAACATATCACTCTGAGTCACCTAGTATTTACCAGCTCTTCTAGAGTCTCTTGAACGTCATGCAGAGTTACTTGGAGTAGAATCCGCACGCGCAAGAACTTATAATTGCTTCAACAACTTTGAACTTGGTGGTTGGAATTTGAAATTTCTTTCGCATCGAAATATAATAACAGATTCACAAGAAGACATCCGGGCTGCTAATGTAGAGGTTTTTATGTTTATGCATGTCGAAGCTTAGTTGTAGAGCTACCAGGGACCTACTTCCACATTTTGATACCTAAACAAATAATACGAAACGGATCGTATTTTCGTTTTGCACAAACCATTTTGTTCCATGCCTCCCTCCATAAGTGACCTTCCATTCAGATCCTATAACCTCACTTGTTACTGTGTCGTGGCTGTAACGTTTGCCCCCAATCTTCTGAGACAAGCAAAATTGCTGGTGGGTTCTGATGCCTTCCATTTCTTTTTCTCCACCCTGTAAGACGCTGCGTGGGAAGGAAAAAGTGTACTGTAGATTGCCAGTCGGAAGTGGAGACAATGGTACATCGTATCCATTGTCGAGCATACTGCTGGATCTGACTGGCATATTCAGAACTTCATTTCCATTATCATTGCCGCTAGTGTTAGAGTCAACGCGGTGCTTCAACAGTGTTGCCACGTTCTTTTCATCCACAAAAGTTGCAAATGAGGGTGAGACACAGGTTGTCCTTGGCTCTTATTGGTTTGAACAACAGGTGGGTCGCGACGTAGATACGAGCAGCAGTCATTGCCACTGGCGAAAATTTCGCCATGAGGGCATCTCGCTTCTATAGAAATGGTGACTTTCATGTCCAACATGGTGTCGATACAATGCAATGACGCAGATGAGTAGCATCCAAGCTCAACATAGAAGACAAGATTACCACCTTCCTTGATCGAATTCTTGAATTCGGCAGTAGACGCAGAAAGCGTATCTTTTCCCAAAATGCTCTCTAATAATCTCACGGTACAAGGCTTGAAAAAAAGCGTGAATATGGTCAATTTCCTCATGTTCACTGGATCGCTTCATAGCGTCCAAAAAGGAAACAACAATGAAATTAGCGTCCTCGGCATGACAGAAGAGCTTGAATAAAGCAATTTGTTTGGAGCAGGCACGAGAGGCAATATTACCAAAGTGATAATACCTCACTGCGACATGAAACCCACTCCTCCCACCCATGCTTATTGTAGCCGCAGAGTTCAAGAATTGGTCGTCATTAACAATTGGTGGCATCGGCAACAGCTCTGGGGATGTCCACAATTCCAATAGGACAGAGCGCTGGCTCAGGTTTAGACCCAATTGTCAGTGCGAATAAGTCCGTTGAAAAGTGTCAAAAAGCTCCCCTTGGCGCAATATCTGGCCATCGAACGAAAACTTGTTCTCTCCGGCATTCGTCGGGAGGATACTTTTTGAAGTGACATTGTAGATGAAAAAGTGGTAGGCTTGTAGTTCGTGATGGACTAGATCAGATATGATATCCTTCTCGTCCCCCTCGAGCAGTGCCTTGAGAAGATCCAACTCAAGCGAAATATTCTTTTCATTTTCGCCAAATAATTTCTGGCAGAAGGATGGGGCACCAGAACTCTGATCTCGGTTTGTTACAAATTGCTGATCACACTCCAAACAGCAAAAGGAAACCACGTCATTCCTCTCAGACAAAGAGACCCGGACTGTATCACCCTCGACACTGACACCAAGAACACTGGAACCCAACGAGATGAGTCTCAACAAAATCTTCTTTCTCCGTGGAATATGATATTGCTCGATGTCTTGTCCACTTGATCAAGTTCAACGGCGATTAAAGGAAGTCGAGAACTCTGTCTCTGATTCATTGAACGCTGACGACTAGTTAACCGCGTTGGATTGACCAAAATTATCATCTTCTGGCATAACAAACTCAACTTGATAAGAAGCAAAGTGTCTTGGAATCAGAACGCAGGAGTGATTCTTTAAATTTAAGAACACTCTTGCTTCACCCTCTTGTTTCATGGAAGGTGCTGGAACGAAGACAAGTAGACTTGGGCCTCCAATCCATTTCCATCAACAAAACCAAGATGCACCCTGTCCTCCCTCAACCCATTCAAGAAGACGAAATTTCAGGACAGAGCAAACAAATTTGACTGCTTTATCCATCTTTCCAACAGCTTTCTGTATCGCGGCAATAGAACCTGCAGAAACATCATCGGAGTTACGAGAGTCAATATGCAGGACATACTTTTCTTTCTTCGTAACAAAAGCTAGCCGAGCCGACATTCGCATATTGAATTACTGAGCTGGACAGTCTTTTTCATGTTGTTAGAGGTAAAAACATTTTCATCAAGTTCGCTTGACTGTGAAACACACTTAAAGGGCTACGCCGTTCAAACAACTCGATGAAGGATCCAGCATGCTCTGGGGCAACGAAGAACTGCTTCAGCCCACTGATAAGATCAGTAGTTTCCTTTCCGTTCGCAAACAAAGGGCGTGTTTGTGTAAGCTTCCTGAACTACAGCATAAAATGTAGGATTTTGATGCACTTACCTTATCAGATGTAACGGTGATATTAAATTGCTTCGTCCCATCGAATGCAGCTGATGCCTAATCAACTTCTTCCCCATACAATCTCATGCACTTGTGAAATCAGCCTTATGTGACTGGGGTCAGTTTTTCGAGATGTTCATTATCTACCTCCTCTTCCTCTTCGTTCATTTCCTCAACGATTCTGTTGACCGTAGTTACAAGCAAGTGCAATATCACGATGGAAACCAAAAGAAAAAGAATGTAAACATACCAAGGATATATCATTCCTGATGCATCGCCGAGCAATGTCTGGCCAACATGTCCCGAATAACAATATACGAAGCTTTCCGGACAAATCCCCAACAATGTTCCAAACCAAAAAGACCAAAAGTTGATGGAGGTAGTCGCATAAAAGTAATTTCCCATCGAAAAGGGGAAGAATGGCGAGATTTGAATCAAAAACATGACTCGAAAACCTTCGTTCCCCAGCGCCTTGTCCAGCTTTTTGAATGTGGGATAGCCTTCCAATTTGCGTAAGACGTAGCTTCGCAGCAAGGTGCGTCCAATGGTAAAGGACAGAGCGGCGGCTGTCCCGGCACTAATCCAGACCACCGCAAATCCCTTCCAAATACCAAACAAGTAGCCGGCTGTAATTGTAAGGGGAACGGCGGGAATACACACTGTTACAAACGCCACGTAGACAAGTCCAAAATAGTAGATCCCCCAAGGGCCCAACGCATTCACATGGTCTTCAATAGCTTGAGGATTGAACCAACTGTTGCTGTCAGTCGAATTGTCAGTACTGGCAATATTCGTGTTATTCGTGGAATCGGTAGTGTTTCCAGCACGACTTTTGTCTCGAATGACAGTATCTGGACAGCTTGGGTCAGAGGAAAAGGATGTCCACAGCTGTTCTTGCCGATTAGCAACGCATTCTGATAGGACCAAGTATTTGCCATGATGCTCGTCCCAGCAATCATCTTCGTGATCCGTATTCCTTATGGTTTTGTCACTGTACTTCTCCCAAGAGGCATCCATCCAGTTCTCGTCCTCACAATCAACCAACGCCACTATTGAACTTTTGGACGGAAATAAGCATTTCGAAGAATCGAAATGAGACCGCACCAAAAAGTCAGCTGCAATCTGAGTCCATTGTTGTCGTTTTGCCACATCGTCGCAAGTTTCCATGATGGCTCGTAGTTCTGTACGACCAGATTCTTCGGCATGACTTTTCAGAGCTATACATCGTTGGGTTCCACTGTTTTGAATGTGAAATACATCTTGATGATTGCAGTCTTTTAAGGTCCGCTGGACAAATGGTTCAGCAGTGGCGCCCATCACCAGAGAATGGAATATGCCGAAGAATAGAATGTTTATAATGTATAATACCATACTTTGACATTCGTGGGGGCAATGGAATTACCGCCGGGACGAGAGCTTTGTTGCAACACTGGCACTTTTGGGAGTACAAGTAGCTTATTATTATTGTGACTGGTTTGTCCCTTGGCGGGACCCCAAATTATGGATCGTTCGTGATTCAAAATGACCGTAAAATCCAAAACTGGATCCAGAGGTGTACTGTACAGTATTTGCTCGCTATACTCACCCAGTGCCGCAGCGTAAGACCACACAATGACTATAACAACAAGGCAAGAAGATATTGCATGTATACAACGAAGCCGGATAGTTTGCGGTGGTTGGCGGGTCGAAATCTCGACATGCGCGAGGCACGCTTCCTAATTTGCCGTCATGGCGGGGCAGCTTCGTCTCTGATTTTCTATGCGTTACAGCACGTGGAAAGATAGCAAAAGATGTCATCATATTCGTGGTATTATCGTATTCGTGGTATCATTCCATGCTATCAAAGCGGACGTTGACGTGGCCTAGTGTTGAAGTTGAAACTTCGTTTAAGCCAACCGGATGAATGATCCCCACGGTTCAGCGTTGGAACAGGATGATTGCTCATTTGGATCTGAACACTGTCTCCTCGTTGAAGCTCTCTTTGATTTTTACCATCAAACGCCACAGGTTCTGTGGCCCTAGCGTCGTCAGGAACGTAGCATCTTGATACGACATGGTCAGGAAATACCATAGACCGAAAACTTGAGACATGAGGGCAGATTAGGGAATCACTCGAATACAACACTCAGTTCAATCCTCAAGCTACAGCCGGCTACTTGTTTGGTATTTGGAAGGGATTTGCAATGGTCTGGATTAGTGCCGGGAAAGCCGCCGCTCTGTCCTTTACCATTGGACGCACCTTTTTGCGGAGCTTCGTCTTACGCAAATTGGAAGGCTACCCCAAAAACTAAAAGCTTGATATGGCGCTGGGGAAAGAAGGTTTTCGAGTCATACTCTCCGGGAAGCTTCGTATATTATTATTCGGGTCATGTTGGCCAGACATTGCTCAGCGATGCATCAGGAATGAGATATCCTTGGTATGCATTCTTTTCTTTTTGGTTGTCATCGTAACATTGCACTTGGTTGCAACAACAGCCAACAGAATCATTGAGGGAATGAACGAAGAGGAAGAAGAAGTGGATAATGAACATCTTGAAAATCTAGCCCCAGTCACATAAGGCTGAATTGCGAACGGCCTGCAATAAATCCGTCCTGAGGCAATAAGGCGGCACTCCAGTTTGAATCAGAGGACGCGGGGAATAATTGCAAGCTGGTTAGCAGTACAATGACGACGAAGGGTGACGCCAACAAAGTTGGACCTGCACGCCAAAATTTCATTCCATCATCATTTGCCGAACGAAGTTTTGCAGTCAACAAATTGCATCACATCGATGACAGGTTTCGAAAGGAAAAAATTGTGTAAAAGACTTGGATGCTGAAGAAGATAAGAATAAATCATCTTTCAGCGAGCATGGTCGTGTCGTAGGCTTAAGTCTCAAAACTTTAGCGTCCCTCTGCCGGTTTTGGCTTGATCTGCTCACATTTACGAATTCGTGCCATGCAAACTCGATGGACAAAGGTTGCATCATGTTCAGTGTTTTCGTCTTCCATTCAGGATCAATACAAGCTCGATGTAATGTTTATGGCCACGTTTTCTGAAGAACAGTATCACAGCGGTCTTCAATCAGATCTTCGATACACTCGAACGGATCGTTCGAGCAAATCCAGCACACACCGAGAGCACAGCTAGGATGTAGCGATGATTTGGAATACAGCCGTTGATCAGATTGAGTATCGCATGGGATCCAATAGATCCCATCATTCCAAGATGCTGATAGACTGGTGCAAGACAGATCAAGGACAAAACCAAGCAATGCTGTGATTGGAACAAGCTGCAGAGAAGAGTATGCTCATGTTTCCGGCGCATGGGGTACTTGTGGATATCTTTTCTTCCCACCAACCGTAAGAAGATGAGAATACTATCCCAGAAATACTTTCTATCGAGAGGCATCCAATTGTCGACATGCGCCACTCCGAAGAGAACACTACTCGGCAAGATCCACGATTCCGTCAAGTCATCAAGATCATCCCACTTTCGACGTGTAACTTCCTCATCTGTAGTGTGGGACTTGAACCTTTCTTCTATCAACTTTCTCAGATGTGTCACCTGCATCCAGATTTGACGAAAGAGAAAACGGAAGACGAACTCTTCATAAATAGGTGCCGCAACGACTGCATCTACCAATTCTACAAATTCGGATCGCAAACTGTAGCAATAAAGGCCCATTCTAGACGCATATCGCTTGCTTCGTTCTCCGCGAGGTAAAAAACGATGGCAAAGTAGCACTGGAAAAAGGTAAAGGAGCGTTTCTTCAAATGCAATGGCCAGTCTATTCAAACTCAAAAAGCAAGAAAGAAGGCCATTTCTGAATATCCGATAGGCAGATGGGCAACGATGTGCACCATGCTCCAGAAATAGTTTCACAGGAGTGTGGACAATCTCAGTTCCAATCGACTCAAGCGCCCAAAGTATTCCATAGTTTTGCAAAACATGCAAGACACCTTTCCAAAAGCATCTTATTCCAGAAATCATCCACGAAGGGTACCAAGGATGCCGCTTACGGGGCTCTTCGTTGGAAATTGGCTCAGCCGTTTTCTCTTTTTCGAATAAGAGATCTCGTGCAACTTTTTCTCGCCATTTTCTGAGCCCGCATCCTGTCACGTTGAGAGCGTTTTGAAGTCGGGTAGGGGTTTGAGTAGTGTTTGTTTGCTGCATATCAAAGCATAAACTTCTGGGGGACCGGGGTCTAGATCGCACATTCTTCATTGTTGTTGATCGAGGACTATTGACGACAGTTCGCGGTGGAATGGCTCGACGGGGGCTCCATCTCGCACCAAAGCGAGGAGCCCCGAAAATGCGTGTTACAAACAGACCAATCAAGAGCACCCGGTATTTTACAAAGATATTGAGCTGCAACATTTTCAAGGATGTTGATCGCACCGATGCAGTTGTTGCCAATAATGGTTGGCGTGAATTTTGAGGCACTGAACTAGACTCAAAATCTAAAGTTCAACGTAGGTTTTGAAAATGAAAGGTTGCTTTTATCATAGTCCATATTGTACTCTGCCTTCTGGAGAAACAACACTTAACTTTGACCCCCCAACCTCAGATGTTTCTAGGAGCGGGTTCATTTTCCACGTGTAGTCAAAGAAGGCGACTGCTTTGCCATTGATTTGTTGCCAAAGTACACCTTCTCTTGAGTTTGGATTGGGGGTCAAGTACACAGCCACACGCGAGATTGCATTTACAGACCCATCGCTTTGAGGCTGGAACTCCGTGATTGTTTCTTGATCAATTGCAGTCACGGTGCCCGGCCCAACAGTTACAGCACGACTTCGTTCTGCTGCACAAAACGATCCATTCTCAGCTAGCTCCGTTTGTCTAGCAGTCAAATAAACTTCTCCTCTTCTTTGCCCTAACGGTCGCATATCATCAGCGAGAGGAGCAGCCGAAAAGCGCAATGACAACCTCGTGGGATCAGCGTTGTAATCCCAAACGACCTCTTCAATAGGCGTTAGTTGCTGGTACGCTCTGCTCATTGATATCGAATTGAATCTTCTATCGGCTATTATTTTGTTCTTGTCCATTCCCAAACTCAAGTCTACTTTTGGACCATCAGCTGTCATGGAGAAATAGTGCGCTTGATATTTCGTTGAGCTCCCGAGTTGCTCATTGCGATTTCGAGGCGATCCTTCAATCAAAGACTTTGACGGAAGAAAGTCTGGACCAAAGGGAAACACCTTCTGTACCAGAGTAGACTCTACCTCCCATGAGCCAAATAAAAATGAAGGATAAAACACATCCTGCGCCGAGAATGGCTTCTGTTGGATTGGTGAGACAGAGCTAGATCCTATCCTGGTCATTCCTAATTTCGTGGTGAAGACTGGCTCTTTCCATCCTTCTGACTGTGAAACGAATGGTTGCTGTCGCAAAGCCCCACTGCCGACAGGAATGAGTGCGTTCATAGGATCGGCATTGGCAGGATGATTGGCACCCAACAGAGCAGAGATGATGGTGGTGGTAGCAGTTGAGGTCTGGATAAATTTGCGTCGCTCCAGTTGTGTGTTTACGTTTAGTGTAAGAGTATGGGTTGATCCTGCCAGCAGCAAAGCGGATATGAAGATTGTATGCTTCATCATGACAATATGCACAATATCAGAGGATGATAGTTGGAGAATAAAACAAATGTTTTGCTTTTTAACCATCCGTGACTGATTCCAGAGTATGAGACACTGTGGCCGAGTGGTTAAGGCGAGTGATTAGAAATCACTTGGGTTTATCCCGCGTAGGTTCGAGTCCTATCAGTGTCGTCTTTTTACACTTGTACCTACACTAAGAGGTGTTACTTTTGCTTCGAGCTGGTTACAGTACCGGTATTTGTTCCAACTTTGGCTTCGAGCTGGTTAGTTATGCACTGTGTTGAATACCGTCGATGCCATGGTTCTTTTAAGAAGCAAGGTACTATCAACTCCTCAAACCTACCGCATCATGTTCCATGTAAGCAATGTTACCCACCGCCATTGTCCAAAGAAGGACCATCCTGATCTACAGTCATAGTGTTGATGATTCCGATGGATGGAGACTTCTCAATGCAACAGTCGTGCGCTATAGACGCATTCCAAAGCAAGCAGTGCTCGGCAACTATCTTTCACTTATAGAATACAATTTGTGGACTACTAGAATGTGCTGGCAACTATTGCTTGGCATCTTCTCTTCTGGACGAAACCTCGATGGCAGTGCTTCACAAAGCGCTCACAATCAGGGAATTAATCAGCAAAGTTGCCATCCAATCGTCATAGTAGTTTATTCAGTTTCAATTTTTTTATTACAGTTTAAAGAGTTCCACGTCCCTTCTTGGTTGGAACAACCTTCTTGATACCCTTAGCGCGTCTGTTTGCTTGGTATACCTTGGTGTACTTTGCAAGAGCAGCGGACTCAAGATCCCGGCGGTAGAAGTTGTTAACGGTGGTCTTTTTGATGGTGCTCTCAACTCTGCGGAAGTCCTTGTTCATGGGAATAGTGGCGTAAGCCTTCTTGGGTTGGTTTGGCTTGGAAGCGGTCTTAACAACCAATTCAGCTTTGTTATCCTCAGTGCAGTTGATTCCGGCAACCTTTGTGTTGGCAAGTCCGGAGTACTTGTGTAGGTTAAGGTTGGTCAAGTTGGCCTTCTCAGAAGAGAAAGCAATTTTTCCAGAGCGCTTGGTGTGCCCATTCTTCTTCTTCAAGAAACAGGAGTTGTTCTTGGTCAATTCCCAAACCAAACTATCAGAGCATGCAACCATTTTAAATTCTATTCTACTACAAAAAGGCGAAAAAGATAGTGAGGAATTGGCAACAATGTTGAGATGATTGTAACCATAACACGACAGAATCAGATGATCTTCGGAAGCTAATAGCATCTCCTTTCCCTCGCCAAATCTGCATCATTCTAGCCAATTGAATACGGCTAGCATTGCCCTCTGAGCATACGCTCTTATATCTCTCCAAGATCACAAATTCCATGGGTCAAGCTCATGCTTACCTCGTCGTTGAAATGTTTCATGGAGATGTGCTTCAAAATGTGGTAGTTGACTAGTTCGAATGATAGACTCAAGTAACCCCGAGAAGAGGTAAAGCACTATTTAGTACTTTTTCTACGTACGGCTGGTGCGACAACACCCAATCTCCTTCCACATTGTCCATATTTTGTTGTCAAAACAAACCAACGACTTAACCATGGGAGCCTACAAGTATATGGAAGAGATCTACCGCCACAAGCAATCGGATGCCCTCCGATTCTTGTCTCGTGTGCGCGCTTGGGAATACCGCCAACGCCCCAACATCTTGACTTGCAACCGCCCAACAAGAACCGATAAGGCCCACCGTCTCGGATACAAGGCCAAGCAAGGATTTGTTATTGTCCGTGCCGGTGTCCGCCGTGGAGGACGCAAGCGTCAAAATCACCGTGGTATGGTTTTCGGTAAGCCAAAGCACCAAGGTATCAACCAATTGAAGTTCGAGCGCAACCTCCAATCTGTTGCTGAGGAAAAGGCCGGACGCCGATACTCCAACTTGCGAGTCTTGAACTCTTACTGGGTCAATCAAGACGCCACCATGAAGTACTATGAAATCATCATGGTCGATCCTAACCACCAAAAGATCCGCAACGATCCTCGTATCAACTGGATCGTCAACTCTGTCCACAAGCATCGCGAGATGCGTGGACTTACCAGCGCCGGACGCAAGGGACGTGGTCTTCGCAAGAGTGGACACCGTGCCAATGGTATTATTGGTGGTTCTTACCGTGCTGCCTGGCTCAGACGTAACACCATGAAGCTTAAGCGTTACCGTTAGGCTAAGAGTACTTAATTTTTTTGGGTTACTGTCTGCTCAACTGATCCTACTTTCATAGTTTTTTATTGCGATTTTGTTGAAACGCTTGATGACGTTGCTAGAACGGAACTGTTCTTCTGTCGATGTACCTAGGTACAAGGAAAGAAGTACAGAGTAGGCTAGCTTTTGGTTCACAGAGCAGCTCAACCAAGATGTAACTCAGTAGATGTAATGTCTAGAACGATTCAGAGTCATGATACCAAAGAGTCCTCTATATAGTGCATACGTAAGCAGCCAGAGGTAAGAGATGGATACCCCCGTAGACAAAAGGATGATTGTCTTGGGTAAAGGAAAGGTTCTTTTTTTTTTGAATTCATCTGATATTTGGAGTGTGGTTTTCGTGCACAACACCAACTAATCCAAAATTTCAGTCACGAGTCGTCATTGTTTCTCATTTCAAATTTGGCGTCAGTTGAAACTCTATTTGCACAGAGTGACAAATTTCGACTGTCACCACCTGGAGACATTTACAATTGCTCACAATGTCCTTATTAACGGTACGCTATCGATACTATGATGAAATCCATAGAGCGCCACGAGGCTGCGATGATGCTTGCAAGTCATGGTTTCGACGATGTGTCAGAGGATGCTATTCAAGGTGACGAATGGAGACGCTATGGAAAGATCCGTAGGCTTGAACTGTTGAAAAAAGATCGACAAGCTGGTGAAAATATCTTTCAGATCAATCCCACTGTTAGGATTGACAAGTATTTCCAGGTGATATATCGTGTAAGTGAATCAAGTTTCCGGTGAAGTTGGACGTCAGAGGCTCACGAAACCTCCCCTTGTTTAAAAAAGTCGCTGGATCAGTTCCATGCCATGTACAAAGACAAAGAACACTGCAATTTAGAGGAGATTTACGTCATGGGTCATCGAATCCAGCGATTCTTGACAGAATTTGTCCCAAAACATCCGGATTATGACAAGCCAAGATCATGGAATCTTAGGAACAAGAGCCGACGAGAAGTAAAGACACTTTTATTTTGTTTGGAAGACATTGCTGTTTTGATCGATGAGCGACTTTGCAACGAAGTGGTTGACTTTGCGCCTGAATTTGATGGACTATTGTTACAAGATCAAGAGAGTGGCTTCCAAGTCAAACCATCCAACAGCAGTAATTCGTCTGGCAGTTCACCTTTTGATAATTGGGTCGCTTTTGGTGGATGGCAAAAAGACAGAGGTACCAAAGATGAATCATTGAACTCGACCCTAGATACTACGGGATCGGAATCTATTGACAATCTAGTAGACTCATCAATTGACAGTGAATATGAAGGCACGTTGCCAAATTATGATGCAGGTGGGTGCGACGAGAGGCCAGAAGAACATGAAAGCATGGCCAAGGCATCAAGGATTATCTTCCCACTTAATCTTTCAGAGTCAGCGGAAGAAGACCATTTCTTGAGTACAGTTGCGAGTCAGAAGTTTTCTTTTGAACTGGATTCGGATGCCTGCGATAGTTGGGCACAGGATCACAGTTTGCGACAGCAAAAGGCAAAGCATAGGGACGCAGTCGGCAAATACACATGCGACCCAGCCGAGATCATGTTTCGACACGTTCTGAAAGCTGGGGTCGCAAAAATGAAATCCGCTGGTGCTCATTCCGTGAGAGCAACGAGGGACGAAGAACGTGGAGAGTTTCCCATTGGCGTTGAATATGGGCCCAGGATGACCATTGGATCTGCGTTGGAGAGCACCTTTGATGAAGGTAGAGTCAATATTGTTCGTTACAGCTATGGTAAAGACGATGACATTCGATCTTCGAATGGAATGAGAAGATTCAATGATCGCACTCCTCCAAATCCAGCTGTTATTGACAGTACTGTCCGGTTTGAGGACCACTACCTCGTCGCAGGCGTAGAATCAAAGTCTGAACCGACGCCGATAGAAGTTGAATCTACCCGGAATCAAGCACTAAAGTTTCATAATTTTGGTCTCAATGTACTGACAGAAGACGAGTGGATTGATTTTGGTGACACTGGTATTGATTCATTCTGAGCTATTTCGTTGTTTGGCAACACAGATTAACCTTCTAGCCATTCCTTTTTTCCTGCTACGTTGCGTCTTGTCGATATAAGTCCAAAAGAGGCTGGAATCTTCTGAGTTGACTGGTCCAAAAGCTCAAATGTACCACAACTGCGGTTGGGTGGTTTATACCAAAACTAGGATCATCTTCCACCCGCAGTTTCCATCCCTCTGGTGTCGATCTCCCAACTTGCTTGAGTAGCATTAAAATAATTTCCGAGGTCACTTCGTCATCGTCTTCGTACACCTGTTCCAGTCTGAGACGGTGCACGACCTCAATAGTCTGAAATAGGAACAGCACGAAAGTTCTGGCATGTGCAATGGACTGGCTGAACGACAAAAGTTTGGATTGCAGCACAAAGTTCCCTCGGACCAAAAATGCACAACTCGCGAGCGCTTCAATGAGCATATTTTCCGAAATTGACGACGAGAATTGACTCTTTAGAATCTTGTAGGGAATTGGCCAGCCCTCTTGCATGAGATCCACCAATTTTGTAACGACAGCTGCAGCATCTACTTCGCCATCATTTTCTTGTTCGTTGTTTCTTCCGGGCAAATAGTTCAAAGTTCGGATATATTCATCATTGAGTGGCCCGGCGGCACTGCTTGGATTGGTGAGAGTCATCAAGTTGTGTTGGGAAGTACCCTCTGTAACCTTGTCCATTGTTGATTTGGCTTCCATGGATTCACAATCATGTACATTCAAGTTTTGCCACAGCTCTGATTCTTCACTCATTCGTTTGTATGCATAGGTAGACTTTCGAATCATTGCGGCTCGTTCGGATTCCTTCTTTTGGAACGAGAGAGGTTTCCGTCCAAGACTTGACAACTCTGCTTCTGCGTTAAGTGCATCCTCCTCCGTGGTGGCTGTCGCACTAATAGTAGCTTCGTCGACATGCTTAAAAGTCGGTCGCAGTTGAGTTATGCGCGAGAGCGGCACCAAATGCAGACCTTCAAAACCTGGCTTATTGACCATCTTTCCCAACGCCATGTGAGTACCTACAGGAATGGTATGACTGACAAAGCTTCGGGTTGCTATCTGATAGCCCCCATGTTCTCCCACATTCTCTGGTGTAGAATAATCAACTTCCATCATACAATGTTGCGGCTTGATGCGAGCGGCATCTGGAGAGGAAAAGGCAGCCTGCTGCAGAGGGAATTGCATCAAGTGCATTTGATTGGCGAGCTCGGGTGACAGGAAAACATCAAATTCTTGGACAATCTCGTCTTCTTCATTTTGAAATGCCTCAATGGGAAGGTCAATATTTGCGCTAAAGGAATCTTCCACCAAGAATGAGCCTTCTTGCTCTGACTTTATGGTCGCTGCCATGTTATCATGAAGTAGGTGTGGGTTTGCGAAGAATTTTGGGTTTTGGTCGGCTTGGATTTTGCTTGATGGGGAACAGTTTCAGTTTTGAAGCGGTCGAAGGATTGACGGGTACAGGAAGTCGAAAACTAAAGAAGTCCTGTGAAGACGGCAGGCGACACGATCCAGGAGCCAGGCACTCTGTAGTAATCGTGTTTATGTCGCATGACAGACGCTGTCTGTACTTCGTTCTTCCGTAACAGTGTTATGCTTATAACACTCTGACACCAAATCGAAGATACGTCTCAAGCCTCATAACATTAACAGAGGCTTCTAAAAATCCGCATTCCTCGGCAATGACTGCCGTAGTGCGAACTCTAGATCCTTGTTTATATGCTCGTTTGGTGGAGAGGCTATTGGAGAGGAGCGGGATTCTTGTGTGGTCGATTCGTTAAATCATCTCGTTGGTTGGCCGTTCCAGGCGTGACCAAAGGTCGCCCTGGTCGTTGTGGGATGGGCGTTGTTGATACTGATGTCATTGCTTCGGAGGAAAATGAAATAATAATGAGTACTGTATGATGGCATCGGATAATGAATTCGACTCGGGGCGACCATTTGGACTAAAAAGCGGGAGACAATAATTGCACACGAGATGAGTTTTGCATAGCCTCGTCGACCAGTTGGACTTCCAAGAAACGTTGCCGAGAAAAAACGCTGGATTTGGTGTCAGAGTGTTTTGAGACAAAACAATTTTTTATTTATTTTTTAAAAACTAAAGAAGTCTCAAAACACGAGTACTACAGAGTGAGGAGCCAGGAGCTTCCAGGATGCCCGTCCGGGAAAGAAAGATACTGAGGAAAAACCGAACCCAAGATGTTCCAAAACATGGCACCACCAATCACACACATCATTCAAACTATTTCCATTTCCTCTGAATCTCTCCGCTGAGTCTAGTAGAACGACTACCTTCATGACGCCGTCACCCCCAAATAAATCCAATCAAGCACAGCAACAACAACAGCAGGAATCTCCTCTGCTCCTGGCAACCTCTTCCAACAGCACTGCAGCGGCTGGACGCACCAAATCTCCAGCTTGGACGGTTGCCGATCTGTTTGCGGAGCCTCCTGCGCTGGGAATCTTTTACCACCTATGTGGTACTACCTATGATCTTTGTACCCCCGTGGGTACTACCATTGGAGCCGCAATAGCTTTGCCGGTATTTTCCAAAACTCGTCCGTTCTTGCAAGTAGCTGGGACTGGGGGACTGATTGGTGGCGGCCTTGGCTTGATGCTTGGGGCAGCAGCCTACACATCTGTCTCTCAAGGGTTCATGCCCCCCAAGAAAGGTTCTCTCCCATGGGACGAACAAGGGATCCTCGAACGCCGAGACAAGATTGCTACCAATACCATGATCCGATCATTGGATGCTGGAACCTACATTGGTATTTTGATGGGCGCCCTTGCCATGGGCATTGCTGGTGGCCCTGCGGCACTTTCACTGCGTACGGGAGTCTTGGGCGTTGGTCAAGGGCTATCGTTGGGTGCCACGGCTGGAAGCCTTGCGACCATTGGATATCTTTCGGTGCAAGCCAAGGAGGACGAAGTCCAAACTGACAAACCTTGAAAGATGGGTGCGAAAACCATCCTCCTACTAGTGGAATTGTTAACTTGATGATTGCTAATGAGTATTGAATAGTGAACATTTGCTAATTACAAAATCTAAACCCAAAGTTCTTTCATTTTCATAATATGATTGATACGACAATCATTTTTGAAAGTCATCAGAGACTGGGGTTGGTCGATGTTCCAAACCGTTTCATTGGATACATTCAATTCAATTCCAGGAATTGAATTAGAACAATCCAAAGAACTTCTTCTTGGGCTTATCATCAGACTTTCCCTTCAATTGACTGACAGTGGGTGGCTTGTAGTTTTTTCCAAACTTGGGTGCGGCTCCTGGAATGGACTCGGAAGGACCAGTTCGTCCTCGGCTGCCGGTCCAATCAAGACCTTCTCCATATCCGAAAATAGAAATACTTTGTTCTTTTCTGAAACCACCCTCAGAGTAGTCCTTGTCGGACTTGAGCCACTTTTCCCTTTTCGCCCCACGGACATCCGAATTGTCCCATTTTCCTCCTCTTTGCATGTACTGTATAACAAGTAGTAGGATTATTGAGAATCAAGAGGCAATGGATCCTACGTAATCTGCTCCTCTTCCAGATAGACTCAACTTACCGGAATATCTTCGCGCTTGAGTTCTCCGCTTTTGACACGGGCTTCAGCATTCATGACAGGCATCAAGTGGGTGGCTTCTCCGCGCTCCAATGCTTCTTGGAAACTTTGGAAACTTCTAGATTGGAAGCCCTTTGGACCCATGCTTCCAAGATTCTTCTTCTTTGCCTTCTTCTTGGCTTCTTGTTCCTTGAACTTCTTGTACTGTTCTGGGGTGAAGCCAGATGGGACGTAACCATAAAGGCTGGTGCTTCTTTGTTGTTGTTGCGACAAAGATTGCGATTGGAAGGCTAGAGATCCATCCATAAAAAGGCCAACGGCCAACAAGGCGGTGATTGCGGAAAGCTTCATGTTCTTGTTCTTGTAAAAGATATTTGCTTGTTCTTCTTGCAGCTGTTGTATTCCACGAGGTGAAAGCAGGTCAACTTGAATGTTGTTGTTGAAAAAATATCATTTCGAAGTCGAAAAGAAGAACAAAAACTGAGGTGGATTTTTTGCCCACGTCTGTCGACGTCAGCAAAATTCTTACTGTATCATGTGATCGAATGAATCAATCTCTACTTGTAAGAGGTGGGCGGGGGCGAAAAAACTTCAAAATCTACGGTACAACGACAAGATTGTCGTGTCAGTGCTCCCTTCGTTATGGCCGTCTGCAGTACCAGATGAGATACGAAGACGATGGCGTTTGAATGATGTCGATGATGTCAATCATTCTTCTGATACAACTGCCTCCAGCGGGTCCATGAAATTCATAAAGCGGTGAATCCAATGAAGCTCACAGATTCGGCACAAATTCAGCAATTCATTGCAAGACCTCACCATCAGCACTAGGCCGAAGATAAAACACAATCCATGGGACTCTAGAAGATTAAATCAAGCTATGAAATTGATCTCTCCTATGGTATCAAAATTCTTCCTCAGGCTGTATCTTCGGAATCACTATTATAGGGTTCTGGCGTGAGCTGCTCTATTGGTTCGTTCTATACCAAGGACATAAGGGGGAGTAGATGGCCCTGAAATACCAATCCAGAAGCTGCTTGGCTCTGGTGAAAAGGAGAGCATCGAATCCGTCGAGGCTTCTTGTAGCAAGAGCTTGTCTTGGCCAAACGGCCCAATTTGCTTGTCGCAGATGGTCCACCTCCCTTGGATGAGCTTGATGGTGATCACTGATTCTTTTTCTTCCAAAGTTCCGCTTTTCTGGAAGCAAATCTCGCTTTGAGTGAGCAAATTGGGCTTTGTGTCGTAGCTTTTCACGGATTCCAATCCCGCATCAGATACAAGGATTATTGGAAACATGATTGGTACTGGTACTGGTTTCTTCCAGATTGCAACGGGATCTGATCGTGCATCGCCAACTTGCTCAATTGAAAAGAGGGTACATGACTTTGATTTTCAAGCATCTGTGTTGGAATGGATTTGAGATCTAGTCCATTTGCCAAATTGATCAACATCTTTTCATCCACTTCCGTCGAATGGTTGTTATTTTTCAAGTTTTCTTCACGCCATTCCTTGAGGCAGCAAGTAACCACGTATCTCCTTCGACATGCACTGCCTTGATGCCTTTGCTTGAAATGAGCTCGTTCCTGCTTGGGGAGAAGACAAGCTTCAGGATTGATTGTTGGCTGCCAGTTGGCAAAGAATGTTCCAAAATGAGGATCTGATTTCTACTCGCTGACTTTGTGATATCATTACGCACCCCATGTTGTTCTTGTGAAAATATTGACCATCCAATGACATCCAGAACACCAGACTAAAATCAAGCATACGTGAATAGCAATACTTGACAATTACTTTCAGCGCAAATGATAGTCCAGCGTTTCAAAGTCGATATTGCGATCTCGATACTAAACGCCGTGCAACCACATTCTCGGGAAAACAGGACTACAGATTGCCAATACAAATTTGGTCCATGAAACCTCAACGTTGTCATTACCAATCAGACGGACATCATGAAGGGTCTCGTTTTCAAGGGAATCTTGAATGTCGATTATCAATGGCATGATGTCTTGCATTGCTTTGGTGAACAAGACTTGACGTGACTTGTTTTCAAATCTTGTTTTGTAAAACTGACAAGCGAACCCGCCGGCGCGCCACGCCCGTGCCAAAGAACTCATTTGACCCGTATTGCCACAAAATCACGAAAACCTACAGTAACCGAAACCACAACACGAAAGATCCCAAAACATCTCTTTTGCCATTGATTTTCATGGAATCGAAGTAATGAAGGAAGGAATCACGGATTTGAAGAGTGATATGCTTGCGTCCATGAGTGATGAGAAAATGATTGATTGTCATTTGATTGGAACCGATGGGGGAGTGGGAATTCCCTGCAGCAAGTTTGTTTTAGCGACTCGTTCCGAGGTGTTCAAGAATATGTTTTATTCGGGTTTCCTCGAACAGCACGCTGATCGGGCTCCTATTGCTTACCCTTCCAAGATAATTCAGATTATTGTCATGTATTGCTATTCCGACCAGGTAAATCTGGACTCTATTCCTGACGACAAAGGATTGACGGATCAACAAGTTACGCTGCTCGTTCAGTTACGAGACGCTGCAAGGTTCTTTGGCTTAGGCAAAATACAGCAAAGTGTCGAGGAGCAGGTTGCAGAGTTCGTCTTCCGAAATAAGATCGGGGCTGAACACGTTTGTTCCTTTTTGGAAGAAATCATGGCTCCTGGTGAAGAGGACGGGCCATTTTGGGAGATACTCTTCCAGTTTGTTCTCATGAAGCCAGAAGAATGCCTCCATCTTGACCATGGCGTAATGAAATGTCATCCACGCTTGCTTGCAAGATTGCTTGAAAAGATCACCGACACCAGTATTGTAGCTCGGTGTCTCTACGCTTGGTCCGCTCAAGAAAGCAAGGAGGAAGCATCAGCCAGCACGGATCAGGAAAAGGAGATGCTCCTAGCTGTTGCCCGCCGGATCGACTTGAAACAGCTTTCCACAAAAGAGTTATCCTCGATCGGGCATTGCCTTGCATTTTCAAAGGATCGGATGCTAGAAGCATACGAACATCATGGCAGGATTTCACAACCTCAACCCTTCCAACCCTTTCGAACGCCTACCTTTTCCTCGCCAAAAGCTACGGTGTATGTCGCGGGTGCTGGAGTAGCCGGTTTAAACGGATTGTACATGCAGTGCAAAAACGATAAACAGAGATTTGTGAAAGATGGAATCTACGGTGGCCTCCGAAGCGAGTTTGAGATTAAATATCATTCAGCCGATAACAAATGGTGTATCTCAGTGCTACCAAAGACCGAGACAAGTTGTCCGCTACAAATGTATCAAGCATTCGAAAAGCCAGCTGGTGACAAATCCCACGAAATCAAAATACCATTTAATCACTGGGTAGGTTTGGAAGGTGCCAAACCAGCACCTTACACGGCCATAATTCAGCCTCCAAATCACTTCCAACCGCCACTATCAACTTGGGGAACAGTTTCATTTTCTACCGGGGTTTCATCAACTGCACCAGATCCTCAGCCTCAGCAACGTCCACCCTTCCCACCTCTCCGCCGTCGAGGTACAAGAAGATTTAGGTAGCTTCCTAAGCTTTCGTTGTTGAACCTCTGATAAAAACTAGGAGAAAGCATAATCTGCCGCAACTTTAGAATAAGAGAGTACAGCACCGAAGTAACGTTTCTTTACTAAACGATTGTTTGCCAACATGTCAATTGCCATGGACACAGTCTCAAAGCGAACACTGTAGTCCCTATTATCGCGTGGTCCCTATTATCGCGTGAGCTGATGTTCGTTGAGCGAACAAAAGCGAATCAAGAAACTCAGTACTCCCAAGACCTCACCATCAACCTAGCCCAGATTGAAATACCGATCATGACTTGCTTCGTGGTAGTGACCTAAAACCTTCACCGAAGTAAAATCGCTGGCATAATGTATCTTTTTCCACACCTTGGAAGTGTCACCAAAAAAAACCCCATGAGTGTGCTTTGTGAACACTTCCAATAGACTCAACATGACTCGTCAATTTTCTTGGCATCATGCCTCAGCAACTTCATCATCGTCAAGATAGGATGACACAATGCGTCTACCATCAGCTTTCGTGACCACCAAGGTTCCATCGTTCGAGATCTTCGATAAATCTGAAGATGCTTGTTCAGCAGGTGGAGTTTGGATACGAGATGACGAGCTTCCATCGTGCAAGTCGCCGACCCTTGCAAGCTGCGGTTCGGGAATGTTTGCCAAAGTATTGGTTCTCGAACCAAAAGCTCTAGAACCTGCCCCGGGTCCATCCGTGGTCATCCTAGCAGAAAGCCGAACGCTGACCATCATGGCCTTCTTTTGTTCTTTAAGTGTCATTTTGCCATAGCGTCTTTGCATCATCATTTTGGGTATGAAAATTAAAGATAACACAACCATACAAACACCAAACACCAAAAAGGTCAATATCAAATAGAACGTTTCGGGAGTATCACTTGCAACGGCCACGATGGGCAACCCAGTCAGAAACCCTTGTGTTAATGAGAAGACAGTCATTGCAATGTACTTTGCTTCTGCAAACTCAGACTTGATATCTCTCGCTTCGTATGCCTGCCAACATGCAACGGCGAGCACCACCAGATTGACTGCCAAAATAAAGAAAGAAAAACAAGCGCAGCTCGGGATGAGTCTCTGTTCCAAAGAAAAGATGCTTTAACCAAACATTCACTTACTCAATCCCAACGGAACCAAGTAGGGAATGGCCCCATCCTTGGAAAGGCATTGTCCAGTAGAAATAATCTCGCGATTCCACACATCGGTCCCAAGCGCAAACCTCCGGACATACCTCAATGGATCAATTACAGTCCAACAAATCAAGATGATGATGTTGAGAGAAAACATGATAAGAAATGGCACAACGGCATCTCTTTCTTTGACTCGGATACGAGCTCGTGCATTGGCGGATTTGAAAAACTGGTTGACGCGCCATGTTTTGGAAAACATCGCGGAAAAGGTAATACTGAATCCTGTAAATCCAAGCCATGGAATGCTCATGCATATTCCCTTGGCAAAAGAGTCCGAAATTGCTTCACCACTATCATCAAAGGACAACGGAATCATAGCAGAGCCCATTACCAAGACTCCAGAGGCAGTCATTGCCAGAAAAAATGGTTGGCTTGCTTTCACAACAATCTCGTTCCTGTTCAAAACAGTCCACCCCATGCATACAAGGAACCCTACAGCCACAATTCCAAAGCAAATGAAACCGAGCCATTTCATATCTCCCAACAAATTCTGGTCGACCATCAATTCAGGAAGCTCTTCTGGAACCAGATTGTAGTTGATCAATTTCGTTGGCACTCTGTCGGGTACAGAATCCATTCCTTCAGTAAGCATTTTGTACGAGGCCTGCGCAGCTTTGACTCCAATTTCATAGGTTTGCTCTCCAATCAATCCATCCACATAATTTTGTGCCATATAGTTCAAGTTATCAGTTGTACCGTCCACACCGAGCCAACGAATGTTTAGATGACGGTACTTGTCCACAACATCAGTGTAATTTGGATGCGTCATGGGCCAACCATAGAGGAAGACTACAGCATTAGCGCCAGCCTCGACGGCATGTTCCATGGCGTAGGGGATGGTGTCAACAAATGGATTACCGGTGTAAGGATATACTTCTTCGGAATCAGGTTTACCATCGTTGTCTACATCAGTTGGGTAAACACTAACGGCATCAAAAAAGCCATATGCTATTTTTCAAAGACAACAAAACGAAGATGTGAGAAACGCAAATCATTCGAATTTTTCTCTTTTGTTCAGAAAAAACAAACTTACGTCCCCAGCCAGGATTAGTACTATCAGTGAAACCACCGTGGTCTGGTGGATGCTGCCATCCGAGACCAAGCTTTGTGTAATTCACGGGAGCCATTTCCCAATGTGATCTGTCCTCTCGGTCATTGTCCTTTTCAATTTCATGCTTGAAACCATGAAATCGCTCTGCTGAAATCCCGTCATTATAAAATGCAAGATATTTTCCTCCTTCTGGACGCAACTGCTTCAGGGTTCGGGCCATTGCGCTTCCCACGTGGTCAGGATAAGAGCCTACAAAAGTATTGAAATCTCCAAGACCTGCATGCGATTGCTGTCCTTCCATAACAGTAACGGGGATGCCCCTCTCCCTGGCGTCGTCAAACACACGAGGCATCCCATTCCTCCACGGGCATCGCATTACGATGGCGTCAACGTCTCCTCTCCTCAAGAACCACCTGAAAAGTGAGATACATGGCGCAACGTCTTCTGGTTCCTTGGTTATGTTAACCCCAGGCTCGCTTAGTTGAGGTGACAGATCGTGATATGTTTCACACGTAACGTTTGGTCCCAACCTTTGACATTCATCTTTCCAACCCTTCTTGATGGCGTCAAATTGGGCGTCACTTCCAGTGACCATTGCCATGTTCCAGCCTTTGACAGGCATTGACATCAGAACAGTCACTGCCAGAAGGATCAATGTCTTCATTGCAGCATACCACATTTTGTTCTTGACCTAGATTGTGAAGAAGATACTAGGTGATGATGATAACTGTGCGTTATGGCTGAAAATTGGGGAGTGAAGTGTAACACTTGTAGAACACTTTGTTTTCTTTCAATAGTATGCTATTAATAGCAGCTGCAAATATTATTTCTCTACTAGCGGCACCAATATTTTTTACGGTGAGCGTGCGATCTTTCGTTTTCGGGGCGGCGAAATTTTATAAAAAGTCGGATGAACCACATTTATACAACGTGACCTGGCTTATCATTTATATGCAACCATCCACGACCAACTTTCGCAACGGTGAAAAAAGACCATTGGGCCTATTTTTCAACATTAGCTCAGACAAAGGAAAGGAGTCGCAAACCGGTTCTTTTTTGTCCTTACGGTGTTGGTAGGTACCTAATGTAAGAGTGTGGTAAGAGGTACCGGTGTCGAACTCGAGGACAAGTTGAAGGGAAGCATAAAAACTCTGCTTTTGAAAGACGAAAAGCAAAACTTCTCATTTTAGCTGAGATAACTTAATCATGTCACTAACTTTTCAACTACCTTCCGCTTCTGCTTTGTCACTTTCAACGGACTTGGGCGGTTTTGCGCTATCCCTGTTGCGCTTCCTAATTTCCAAACGAGTAGCTTGGTAACGGGGCCGCTGCCGCTGCACTGAAAACAAAACCAGCCACTGAAGGCCCCGTTCTTACAAAGGGTGGAGCAAAGAAGGATGTACCAAAAGATGAACCAGAGGAGGCATGCTCTGTCGCATTTGGAATCGTGTCAGCCGACCCAAAACGAAAACTAGAGCATCTTTTGTGCACTGTCCATCGACAAAGAGTTGTCACAAAAGGTGCTGGTTCGGTACCTTCGAGGCATCCCCAGTCGTTGAAAGGAACGTCTTCGGAAGAGGACGTGCTGGTCCGATAAAGCAGACTGCTCTTTCGTGCCTGAAGTAGGTGCTCTGAATGACCCAGTTTCTTCTCAGTGTACACTGAAATTGACCACCTATTATCGACAGGGTTGAAAGATATCTCGTATTCGCAAAGGACACCTTCGTGTTCTCCCCTTTTGAAGAAGTGATTGTCGCGATACGGATGAGGCTGGTAGAATCCCTCCAATCCCTCCTCACCGGCAAGGGAAACATAGATCACAGACGTAAGGTCCAAAATCGGCACAGGGTCCTCAGAAAGACTCCCATGATAGACAAAGGCTTCCAGGATTCGATCAGCTGGAAAGAATGAGCACGGTTGTATCTTTGATAACTGAAGGGTGGAAAGTGATTTCAAATCAACTCGCTTGGAAATGGCTTTGAGAGGCTCTTGCTCTGTCTCAGTGCTTGTTCGATATATATTAGTTTCCTGAGTTGCCCAAGACTTTATGCACTGGACTATGACATTGTTGTTGTCGATCCCTTCAAGCACCCTAGCAAGCAAGTGTGGTGTTGGGTGGAATGAGGCGACGGACGTAGAGCCCTGAAACTTGTAATCGGGACAAAAGCACGGCATCGGGTTCTCAATCACATAGCGAAAGAATACATCCCAGAAGGGCCCTTCGTCTTCTCCGCGGGATATCAGCTCTGCCAACACGACACAAGCGCATTTAACATCACGGTTGCGAAAAACAACATTCCCAATCACTTTCTCGGCACCTGCTACCACTTCGTCAAGCTGAAAGTATCTCCCAGCATCTCGTAGCTCTACCAAACGATTAATTTCAGTCTCTCTTAGGCCAACTGCATCAAGGATCAGGTTCAGATCCATATCGCCCGAATGGCAAAACTTCACCACAACTCGAATGATGTTGGATGGATAGTTGAGATTGCAACGACCACTTTCTTGTTCCTTGAACTCCCCGAAAAGCAGCGTTTTAAAATATTCGCTTTGCGTTGCCAAAAAGACCTTAACGCAAGGAACTTCCACTCCGTCACTTCCAATTAAATGGCAGTCAAAGAAGGACTCTTCATTCATGGCGTTCATCATTTCATCTTTCCAACTCATAGTTTTTGTAACACAACGAATACAATCTGAACTCGTTTTTCTTGAGACTTCTATTGTGTCACTACGTGGAGAAGAGCGTTGTGTCACATCAGGCCGTGTGTTCGGTAGTAGGCAGACTTGGCACCGTGTTCACAACCCGGTGTACATAGTTGCGATTTTTGTTTCTCGTTTTCTTGTTTTTGAGATTGGTGATTGATTGATTCATTCATACTAGTGAACCAAGTCCTACTAGTCGAACATATAGGACTACTTCAGAGCAGAGAGAACTGTCAAACGCTTCAACAATGCGTCAATGCGAAGACAAAACATCCAACAGAGTGAAGGAAGCATTGGAAGATTCATCCCGTTCAAAAGGAAATATTATCCTCTTTTTTCCTGGGCACAGCACAGCCAGTGAACAGTCCAAAAAGTTTTCATGACGAAAGGCGAGATGCCCATGGCGCATTTTCGATACCATCACAAAGCAATGCAAATAAGACATTACCTGTTGCTAGTGTTGTCTGTATTCGCGCTCCTCTTTGTCTCCGTCCAGGGCGATGAGGCCGACAGCTCGGAGCAAACATGTACATGGAGCGATCGTCACAATTGTGGTGGTGTATATCGAGACGCAAACCTGAAAGAAATGCAAGTCAATCTTGTAGGAAGGGAGCCTGAAAGTTTCTTCGCTTATGTCCATCCGGACATTTCAACATTCTACAACAAGACGGAGGGTTCAATGGCAATCACAGAAACCAAGTTTAATGGTATGATGGGAAAATTTGTGAACATGGCAGCCACGCCTATTACAATCTACTGGAAGTCGCATGATCCACGCCAAGAACCAGTATACATATCTCAGATTGAAGCCTATGGGGCCGCTGGAACTGCAACCTATCCTGGCCACGTCTTCCTTGTCACACCGCTCGGAGACTCCTCTATAGTTTTACATGAATTTCAGGTCGTGAAAGGAAACTCGCTGTACATTTATGATCCAATTGGATCTTTGAAAGAAGCACAAAAAACGTTACCATCACCAGAGCTAGAACGATACAAACTTCAATACGACAATCTTGCCTTCAACAACCTCTACGAGCAATTCACTGGCCGCCAATGGCTAGCTCTTTATGGAAGAAAAGAAGCTCCAAGATACTACATGTGGCCAGCAGAATCCTTTGGGCAAGTGCATACAGTAGTGACGAAGGAGACTCATCTCCTGGAGCTTCCTTCAGATGACCGTTTCGAAAAAATGATCCCACTAAACTGCCACGATCCTGAACTTCGCGAAGCTCTTCAGCAGTACAAAGGATCTGAAGAAACCCTGATTTTGAACATGGTACGTTTGAATCGTCTGTGAGTCCCAGCCCTTCTATAGTTTTGTACTGAATACGTGTGTTTCAACACTAGACTGTTGTTAGTGTGGCACCAAGAGTATTTGAAATCAAGAACTTCCTCTCCCCCGCCGAAGTACAGCACGTTTTGGAAGTTGCACTTGGAATGAAACTCTCTCAATCGACAACCAAAGCTGGCAGTGTTGGACAAGAAAGAACAGATGATGCCACTCGTACTTCCAAGAACTCTTGGCTATCACGGCACCGATCGCCTATCATCGACTCCATCATTCGGCGTTCGGCAGATCTATTGCAGATGGATGAAGCACTATTCCGTCGCCGAAACAAGGACGAAGAATACCTCGTTCCTGAGACAAAGATTCCAATAAGTGAAAGGCTCCAGTTAGTTCATTATGACGTCGGGCAGCAGTACACGCCTCACCATGTAAGTCGAATGGACGAATTTATGGTTCCGCCACACCTATGCCTAGGCATTCAATCAGCCTCACCGACCTTTCATTATAAAGGATTTCTCAATCCCGAGTACAAAACATGGCCAACCAAGTCGTTTTGCTACAATCCTTTTCTACTTGAACGACGTTCAATCGGGAGGAGAAACGTCTTTGTAAGTTTGCTTTGCTTGTTGACACAGGTTCTGTGATAGTCAAGCTAACCCATCTCATTTTATCTCTTGCAGCCCGAGGTGGATGAATGGAGAAAAAAAGGATATTTTAAGGGTAGCACCAGAAGTTGGTAAAGCGGTTCTCTTCTACAATCAACTCCGTAAGTCTCAGGAGACAGAGCATTTCCTCAAGTCATTGTCTTCTATCTCACATCATAATTTGCACCAACGCAAGCGGATGGAAATTACGATGAACGATCGCAGCACGCTGCTCTTCCAGTTGGGAAAGGAGAAAAATGGCTCAGTAAGTCCACCAGAACTCTGCCGTGCAGTGCGTTTTCATTCCACTCGAACCTTGCTTTAACAAAAGTCATCTGAATCAATCAATTCTTCCGCATTCGCAGCCAATTTATGGGTTTGGGTACGTCTTGTGTTCGCGCCTTGGGTGTGTGTTGCAACCGCAGGCTTACAGATCGACTGACGTTTTACTCTTTCTCTGCTGCTTCCAGGACCCTCATATGTAAACGGATATCTTTTTTGTCTACTTGTATCCGTTTGAGCATACTTTGTGGTACAATCTCCGTTTAGCAGGGAGTTCCGACTGAATCTCCAGCCTTCTCTAGCATCGAATTAAATGACGAGACACAACTGCAAATCAAGCTGTTGAATTAGTATCTTCTTATCGTAGTAGTACTAAACCCGCAGAATCTCTACAAAATGTATCTAGAAACATCAGCCTTCATTGTAACCTCCTTCAAACGCTCCTCGACTAGCGCCTTGTTGACAACTACCTTGGACCCTTCCTCCATTTCGGAAGCTTCGAAACTAATTGTCTCCATGATACGTTCCAAAACTGTATGAAGCCGACGAGCACCAATGTTTTCGACAGATTTGTTCAGTTGGGCCGCCATGCGAGCAATTTCTCGAATTGCTTCATCTTCAAACTCAAGCTCGACACCCTCAGCCCCAATAAGTTCCCTTTGTTGACGAAGCAGCTGGATAAGTTTTGGAGGAACGAATAGCAATAGTGAGATGAAGGCACAAATACCAACAAACAAGCCGACTCTACCCATCAACACTTACATTGGCAACTGGTTCGGTCAGAATCTTGTAAAGGTCATCTTCAGTCAGCCCTGCAAGTTCCACACGAATAGGGAGACGCCCTTGCAATTCAGGAAGAATATCGCTGACCTTGACCGCATGAAAGGCACCACTGGCAATGAACAGAATATAATCAGTGTTCACATTTCCGTGCTTCGTGTTGATAGTGGTTCCTTCCACCAGTGGCAACAAATCTCTTTGGACTCCTTCCGCACTGGCATCTGCCGATCGACTGGCAAACCCTTCCCGCGGCGAGCAAATCTTATCAATTTCATCAATAAACACAATTCCACTTTCTTCGACCGCTGTGACTGCCGCCTTGCGCAGGTCCACATTTTCCAACAATCGATCAATTTCAGTTTCCACAATGACCGACTTGGCTTCCGATATAGGCAACTTTTTTCGTTCGGTGGGTGTCTTCTTGTTTCCATTGGTCAATCTTTGCATCAGATCGCTCATGGCCACAATTTGAGGATTGTTGTTGTCAATCTCATTTTGGTTTTGCTTGGTGGGTACATCAATTTCAATCTCTTGATCATCCAGCAGTCCCTGTTGCAGCATATCTCGGAAGGAATCTCGGCCTCTAGCTGAAGATTCGGTTTCGGGGCCTGCCAAAATGTCCAAGATGCGTTCCTCTGCAAGTGATTCCGCCTCGTCCTTGAACTGTTCTGTGTACTTCTTCTTAGCAAGTTGCATGGAAACATCCATCAAATCGCGGATTATTTGGTCGACATCTCTGCCATGGTATCCGACTTCAGTGAATTTGGTGGCCTCTACCTTGAGGAAAGGGGCATCGTTCAACATGGCCATGCGTCGGGCAACTTCAGTCTTTCCGCATCCTGAGTTTCAATAGACAGCAGTTGAATTGAAAAGAACCAAACAAGAAGGGATCACGAAACAACAACACGTGAGTACGCCTTTGCAGAAAGAAACCATGGCTACAGCTGAGCCTCCAACGACGACTCTACAATGAAGACAAAACCCCAAACTGAATGGTTGAATGGTTCCACCATCACAAGAAGACACAGCATATTATACGCACCGGTAGGTCCCACCAGCAAGACATTTCTTGGAGTAACTTCCTTGCGCAATTCTTCAGGCAATTGCCGGCGACGCCAACGGTTTCTCATGGCAATGGCGACAGCCTTCTTGGCATCCGATTGACCGACAATATGACGATCCAATTGCTCCACAATCTTTGAGGGTTTCATACTCTTTTCCAACTCGTCAATGGATTCAGACATAGATTTAGAGAGAGCCTTAGGTGCTGGAGGAAGAATATCCACAACAGGCTCGGGTACCGGAGCTTCATCGTCATCGTCATCATCCGGAGAGGTCGTGGACAACCAGCGCGGAATCTTGTTTGGTTGTCCCGCAGCAGCCTTTGCAGTGCGGTGCAACATTTGTGACTGATTAGAATAGGAACAGCGTTGACCAATTCGTCGAAGGGAGTTGGTTGCGAGCATCATGTTTGTTTATGGAAGTAAGTTCCGGAAGGAGAGAAGGTATTTCTTAAGATTGAATAAAATATCGAATTTGAAGAATGAGCAAAACGAATCAGGTATTGCTGATAGACTCCAGAAGTAAGAGTGCACTGATTGTTTGTTTGGTGTCCAATGTCACTACTTTCGGTTTTCTCGGTTGTTATTCAAACAGATGGAGTGAAAAATGTTACAGTAAAGACACCTTTTGAAAAATGATTCAGGTGGAAGGCCGAAGTTGATGATGGAACCAGAATCAATTCGAAGGTTGCGTGGTCTGAACGAAAACTAAAGTACTGGCATCATACGGTGTCAGCAGCATGTACTCCAATAGGTTTTATTGATTCCTACGACCCATCAGCTTTTCATTTCAAAAACTCAAAAAACCAAACCTGTGAACGCAAGAACAGAAAATAACAGTGATCAGAGATCCATAATCATCATATCAAAGACTCTAGCTTTGTAGTGACGTGAGAATAGATGTAATTGAAACTATATTCACCCTCTGCACCAAAGAGATACATGCGTCATCTTCTAAATTTTGAGGTGGGGAAACATGGGCTGAACAAAATGGTCTCGTCGACGACCTCAGGGCGGAACATGTACAGATGTAACAAATTCAAACCGTGTCGACTTGAAACAGCTGTCTCCCATGGAGCTTTCCGTGATACAGCCCTCTACTATTTTCTCAGCCCAACGGCTCTTCAAGGACATGGTCACAAGTGCAAGGCGCCCTTAAGACCCTACTGGGCTCATTGTAGAGGAATGCATATCTCTGTAGCCGGTGTAAAGGGCTTGAATAGATTCTACGAGCATCATTCGAGACACAGAGCCTTCTGCAGGAAGGGAAAACAAGGTCAATCGGGCAAATCCATGTGGCTCCTTTTTGTGACTGACTGTTTAACCTGCATTATCAGGTGTAACCAACCGTCCAATCTACCCCTATATGGCTCGTAAACTGTCTTAGGACGAGGAAGAGGTGCCATTCAATATCTGGATGTGTTTGGAAGGCACCGAGCCAACATCAATCGTGGCTCCAACCAGCGCGGTGAAAGATCCAAAAGAAGTCCTAGTTTCCGATGGTAATGAGGCAACGTAGATGCTATAGCATGTCAATAATTGGATTAGACTTAGATTACAATTGATTTCTTTCTGGAAATTCTGGAACCTCATCAAGACTCTCGAACAAGACATCTCTATGAGCATCCCGTGCAAGTCCAAACTGGATCTTCATTTCCTCCAGTACTGCATTTCCCTTTCCTGCAGCAATCAATGTACAAAGCATGTGCTCAATAGCCAAATGTTCCGCTCTGAATTTCGCACGGATCAATGGCACATGAGTGCTGTGCTCATCGCAAAATGTTGCCCCTTTACGAAAGTTCTTGCCAAGATACTTCTCTTTGAATTCTTCCTTAAACCCAGACTGCATAATTGAGTTCCTCGCAATTTCCATCATGTCCGTCATGGAGAGATCGAATGTTGCCCGTGCTACTGAATATTCCTCGAGTAGAGCGTCGTCTGACATATGGAACAGAAGTGGGTCATCCGTCGAAAGTGTTACGTTGAGTCCACGTCGGAAGAACTTTGGAAATGGGTTGTTTGCAATCTTTCGAAATAAGAAGTTGTTGGAGAGTGGAGAAATAGAAAGACCAATTTGATCCAAATAGTAGAGGTACTGCAATGAAACTTGCAAGCCGAGATTGACTCCGTGATTGATGGATTCGCAAAGCATGTATGTAGATGCCAAGTGCATTGGATCGCCAGTTTCTCCTGCATGAGGACGGAAGGCGAAGGTATTCAAGCCTCGTGCTTCTCTCAATGAGTTCAAAACTTCGAGGTTTGCCCAAAGGAAGTCTGTTGCAATCAAAGGTGAGCAAAGCGAAGTGAAATAAAATCTGTACCTTGTTCTTGGTGTACTTACATAGTTGCCACCAGTATGCCGGGGTATTTGTCCCCTTCCACTCATGTGGTCGCTGACAAGCACAAGGATCCTGTAAAAAAAGGAAAAGACAACGGTTAGTTCAAGACTAGCACAATGGATCGGACCAACAATTCTTGTGCCGTACCTCTATTAGCCCTTCATCATCTACCGAATCAAAACCAACAATATGCTTCAGTGCCTCTGCGATTTCGGGATGTTCTTCTGGGTGGAGCGTTGCTTCAAACATGGGAGCAAAGATGTTTTCAAGCATCGCTTGAAAGGATGTCTGCTCATTGCCTGGTTTCAACCGGAAGATGCGCCATAATCTAGGAATTTGAATCAACCATCGATTGTGAGTTGAAATGACTGGGCCCGGAAAGTCACCTCCCCAATCTGTCGTCATCCATGTGGCCAAGTCCTTCCATTCGTTTCGCTCCATACCATAAATACTCAAACGCATCTCACAAGCTGACGTATGTCCCTTGGACTGCTCGTGTCGGTCCAGTACTAGCTTCATCAGTTCAGCAAAGTAGCGACCTCCCATGGCATTGTTGGTTTTGAGGAAAATTCTACGCAAATCTGCCATGCGGAAGGGACTGTATTTGGCATTGAAATTGTCGAATCGTTGATACACAGAATAATCGGCCAAAACATTGAATGCATCAATAGTCAAATGATCTCGGTCAATTCCAGCATTCTCAAAAATCTCCTTGAGAGTCTTCCCGTCAGATGTTACGACAGTATCTCCCTCCTTTTCCAGTTTACCAGTGACAAAGTTGACAAATTGCTTTGCGCTGTGGCATATGGAGAAATTGACAGGATTAGTGACTTGAGTCGAAACCCGCCACCAAAGTGTGGGAAATATATATATGCCTTTTGACTCTTACCTAGGAGCGGCAGCTGCGTGAATATGATTGTCGATTTTCAAGGTTCGGTAAAAGTCGGTTCCCAACAAAGTGCTCTGTTCTTTTGCCTCTTGAGGGCCGTTCATGGTGATATGCGTTTTGAATGCTGAACTCAGCAGTTGAAGCCTCTGAAAACAAAATGATCGCATGGCACCTGAATTCACCATCTCTACAAGTCGATGGTAGTCGTCGCGAAATTCCTTGACTGTTGGCACTGTCGACAGATTGGTGTCCGAGTCGGTCCCAGAGTATAATTCGACGACGCCTTCTCTACCGAATCGAAATGTAATGTCGGGCTTCTTTAATGCAGCCATGTTGCGAAATGTGCCAACCTGTCCACAATATCTATCAATTTATAATGGCGCGTTGAGTGAAAAAGTGCCAAAATCAATGGGATTGTCATAAAGATGCTCTCAACAGGGGCACATGACATCCTACTTACTTTTGTCGCATCTGTCGACACTCTTGAATGTCCTTGCAAGCCCTTTCATGTTCATGAGTCACTGCGCCGGAACCGTAGAAAATAAGGGACCGTGTAAACGATAAAGTGTCTCGATACGGCCAGGCTTGGCCTTGGGCTGGACGTTCTCGGGCGGGCGGCTCTTGGACTCGTGTGGGTTTCACTGCCTCGTTCTTCACTCCCTCGTCGTCTCCTCCCGAAAGTTCGTCTCCAGAATCGCCGGAAATTCGACGCAAGTATGCGATGGGATCAGGTGGTCCACCTTGTGCAAAGAGCAGAGAGTCGCTCATAGTAGTTGTTGTATTCTTCTTGTTGTGTTGTGTTGTACTGTAGTTTGTGTTCTCCCTTGCAAGTTTGGGAGGTTTGTGTTGATGGCAAACGTCAGAGTTGCACGATTGATTCTTTTTTTTATGTCACTATTCTTGACACTTCGGTTTCTTCGAATCAAACTGCGTGGAACGCCTTCGAACGAACTTTCGTACGATATTATTAATTTGCTTTCGCCAGAACAAAAACCCGAACGACATTTTGCGGTGTGTAATTCTGCTTACGTCACAGAACTGCCGCACACGTACTGTCACCTTTTACTGGATCGTCCGCCGGGTTGAATATTTGCCACAAAGCGCGAGAGAAAAACAAATCTCTCTCGCATCACTTTTCTATTCGAATGGTGTTCAAGTTATAATTCGTGCCAATTTGTGCGTATGCAATCGACAACTCAACAGGGATATACCCATCATATGTAAAGAAGACTCCAGACTGGATCGGCGTCGACGGCTGCACTTCATAACCCCAAAAGAGAATTATGAATAGTTCAAAGAAAGCATGATTCGTATCGGGCCGATTGTAGCTACAACTTGTTTTAGAGGATCTAGCTCGCAAGTAGTTGCTGCGCGCGAGAAAATCGAAGTCTGGCCCGACTGCGTGACTCGAGAAATATGCTGTCACATGGATGACTGTGACTACTTAGATTGCGGTGAGCTGTGCGGTATAGAATACTTGGACATCAATCAGCAATACATACCCAACTGCGTCGCGCTTCGACATGCGTTTTACAATGGTATAGACACCAGACTTGATCCGATTGTAACATACGACCTTGGGCAAGAAGTAAAAGAACCAGCCGCCTGTAATACCACCACGGTGCAGATACCAACGGCGGCACCTAGTATACGCACCACCTCAGGGTCATGGCAACGAAACACTGATAAACCATCCAGCTGTGAATGCTGAAGCGACTTCAAATAGTGGATGTAGTGTCACCACGTTTAACCAGTTTCTCAAGCTACCCCTTGCAATTGGCTGGGAACCCAACTTTCTTGCTCAGACTAACGGGCGGTCTCCGAAAACATGTCCATAACCTACAGGGCACAACAGATTCATGCCCTGCAAGAGCTTATTTCAAGGACTCCGCTGGTTACCAATTTCATTTATCCAACATGGATCCCTAACCAACTCGCCAAAGGAGTACAAGTAATCGATCGATTGGGGGAATCAAAGAATCTGCCATGCTTTTATTTTTGTCTCTGAGCACTAAAATTAATTTCGGATATGGAACAGATTTTCCTACTTTGACCAATAGCTCCAGCAGACAAATTGAAAACTGAGTCATCTATTATTGTTCTGTTTCTTTCTTACTACTGTAACTAGCGTGCGTCATTATGAGTTCATGAGAGCGGCCAACTCATCATCAGCAGCCTTGAGCATATTTTCAAAGTCCGCAATGGCATCGTTATCTGGATCATAGTCTTCAGTTTCTTCCATCATGATTTCCAATTCAGGATCAGCGTCTCCTTCCATGTCCTTCAAGCCGGCCAAATCCGCCTCGGCTTCCCTCAAAATAGATTCCATATTATCGTGGAATGCTTTGTCGTCATTATTGGCTGCAGACATTCGCAGTTTCAGTAGAACATTTGCTTCTGAATCGAGTGGCACTCCTTCTGGTACGAGTTTCTCCATTTCCTTTGGTGCGTTTTCCTCCTTTGGTTCCTCTTTTGTAGGGACAGTCTCTGGGCCAGCGGGTGCCGGAGCCGCTGCTGGCACTGCTTCTTTCTTTTCTGATGCTTCTGCTTCATCTTCCGACGGCTTGGTCTCCAATACAACGCCCTCCATTTCTCCATCTTCCCCAGCCTGTTGCAAATCCTCTTCTTGGTTGGTAGCTTGATAGCTTCCATCCAAGATGCCAACAGTCAACGGCAAGGCCAAGAATTTTCTCATGTGAGTGACCACTTCTTCGTGGCGAACATCTCCTGCACTCTCAAATCGTTCGGCAGCTTGTCGGTAAAGGTCCATAATTTCATTCACTCGTTCGACGGATGGATCGTGTTTCAGCGCCAACTCCATAGTTTGAATTTCTTGGACCAAATGAAGAGCTTGGTTGATTGCTCTGTGGGTTGCTGCGTTTGTGTGCTTTCCCTTGACTCCATGTCTCTTCAAAACAGATTGAATTTGGTGAACGCAGTCCGAAGAGTCGGGACACATGAAAATTAGGGGATCATCGGGTTGTGGTTTGAAAAACAGTGACAAGGACTCCTGCCGTCTGAATTTAAGCTTGGCCAACATTTCGATTGGAATGGCAAAGGTGATGACGCCTGTACTCAGGTTCAGTTTGTTGGATCTCATTTCAATAATGTGTTGTTCGGTAACCATCAAGAAAGATTCTTCTAGCACCCCACGAGCCGAGTTAGCAATACTACGAAAAGTCCCTGCAAGGGTACCCGCGCTTGCACTGGCGGCCTGTCAAGACGAGAAAGCAACAATGGTTAGAAAACTAGCAACAGAGCAACGACATCACCCAATATACATATACACATGATGCACTCACCGCTTCTGCAGCCTCCTTGTTCTTGGCAGCCTTGGCCATAGCTTCTTCCACGAACGTTGGTCGTCGAATAGCCTTACACGAATAGACTCCTTGACAATCCACCCATGGCGCATCCAACATGCTAATTTCGTCACCAATTCGAATTTGATCTCTCTTTCCTCGTTTCTTTCGCATCGTGCGCTTCTTGGGGGAAGGGGGCTCACTAGTCTTGGTGAGTTTATTGAGCGAACTCTTGGCAGAAGCAGCCATTCGCCTCGCCGTGCTTGCCATTTCTCCCAATGGATCCATCTTTGGATCCTCAATAATGGCAGGATGAAACGGTTCATTTTGAAGAATGCTCTCTTTAATCTTGAGCCCAATATTCAAAATGGCGTCCGTGAGGTGCAAACTGGGAGTCCAGTCCATTTCAATATCAATATAATCTCCCTCCCTAATGGTAGATGCCTTGGGAAAGCATTTCGATCCAGACTTGAGAATGGCTAGAGGCTTCAAAAATGGATAAGCCACTGCCAAAGGATCCAATTCTCCAGTATCCTTTCGTTGAAGCGAGGTGTCTAGTGACACGATGATTGGATTGGTCATGGATTCGTTTGGTCTAACATAAAACGAAACAATGCAGACTCCTTTTTCAATACTGAGTTCGTGATCCTTGACGCTGACAAATTTGGGAAGCACGCTCATAATTTCTTCTTGGGCTTCGGGTGACGCATTGTCCGTCGTCAGAGCCAACAATTCGCGTTGCAGCCTTGTGGACCATATTTCCGTGTTGCGCTCTGCGGCAGACATGATCTATCTGAGAATGGGGATGTAGAGTAGTAGCCTCGAGGGAAAACTAGCCGTTAGACACTGATCAACAATGCGGATGAGGATGCTGTCCGAGAAGCCACTAGAAAAAAAAGGGGAGGCGTGCGGCCAGGCGGTGAGTTGTAAGATTCAAATCTGTATCTGAGTGCAGGCATGGCGTGCGCAATAAATTTGACTCGTTCGATCAATCAATTTTGAAAATGATGACGACGTCTTTGCAAACATCGAAGCGTGCATGAGGCGTTCGTAGGACTTACCGAAGGATATATATGAGGAAAATTTGACGGCAACCGACGAGATCTGAAAGGATGCTGCAAAACTTTGTTGGAGAAATCCCCAACAAACGGTCGTTCCGAAGGAATACTGGAAGAACAGTTGGATGGATGTTGAGATGGGAATCTGAATCTCAGATTGACTCCCAAGCAAGCAGGGCTGCTAGCTGCGACATTTGCTTCCGTAGAAATTATACGATGCTCGCGTGCGAGCCAGACAGACCTTGCTTACGAATTCGGGCTAGTCGATATAATAGAAAATCATCATCAACAACAATCCTCTTGTTCATTCCTGTTGCATCTTTGTGTCATTGAATGCTTCCCATCCAGATAGACGGCGGTCTTGAAGCTTAAACCTCGGAAGAAGAACTGAAGTTTTTTATCTTTATTGATCTACAAAGTTTTAATCAATCCACGAGTCAATCAATCGATCAATCAAAATGTCGACACCAACCGCCGGAACGCCATCCCGCATCCCCATCTCTCCCATTGCCTCAGAGGTGAGTGAGTCGTCACGTTTTCAACGCCAAATGGAGACGTCGTCATGTTCATTGAGTTGGGAGTGTGTCATATTTGGTATCAACGCTGGTTTTGTACCAACTATGCATTCATTCTTGGGATCAAGAAAGAGAGCACTTGCATCAGATATAGCAAGTCATGAACAATGCCAACGAAGTGGAAGCAATAGTCCCAATACCTCTCATCCACTGCCTGTCATCACCGTTGACGGCCCGGATTTTCAGCGATTGTTTATCGCCCGAAAATACCCGCCTTCTAACCTATTCTTCTGCTTCTTCCGTTGTTTCCCCTCGGCGCGGTTCCATTTCATCTGACGACTCCACCTCGGATGCTTCCGTCTTGCATCCTTGGAACCCTCTTCTTACTATTCCACTGGAAAATGAACAGGAAGAACGAGAACAAGCACTTCGTGATTACAAGGTCACTATCGAGTACAAACATTTGAAATCCCATGCCCCCGGTGGTGTTTATTTGATTCCGGCCATCGAGAACCTCAGGAATTTCTTTGGAATCATTTTCATTCGTCGTGGACCCTACACCAATGGCATTTTCAAATTTCAACTCAAGTTGCCACCTAAATACAATGATGCCAATACGTGGCCACAAATCACCTTTTCCAGCTACGTGTACAGTCCCTATGTCGACGAGGCCACTGGAGCCTTGGATATCAAGAGTGCCTACGCGAATTGGGATCCCTCTCGGCATTATTTGGTGACAGTCTTGACATATCTGAAAAAGATCTTTTATTCCAAAAACTTTGCAGACGCCAAGGCCAATGTGACCGCCAAGGAATTGGCCGAGAAGGATCCAGAAGCCTTTCGCAAAAAGATTGACTCCTGTGTGAGAGAATCCCAAAAGAACATGTACACCAATGACGAAGATTCGACGGCCAAGTTTACCGAAGAACAAGTATCCCACCGAGTATTGAGAGATTTGCTCAAACATCACATTCGAAACGAGTCCCAAGTCACCAAGCAAGCAGTGTTGGCGCAAATTGACAAGGCACGGAAAGTGTAAAGGACCATCCATCTCCAATGTACTGCAGTATCTCATATTCTTCTTAGAAAATCAAATTGAAAATCTTCAATGAGGACTCAGACTAGTCGATTCTCAAATTCTGTCGAAGGCCAGACACGGCCCCTACGCCAAGCGATTTTATTGCCTTGTAGCCAATCCTAGATAATATCAAATCAATCCATCCATCCATCCAAAGTAGGAAGCCGACGTATCGACTTTGATAACCACACAAAAGCGACACTTTTATTGGATAGATTTGCTAGAACACCATGTCAGATAAAGCACTGCTAACTCTTTTGGAGTCCGCAGCTGGGTACGCTCTATTCGAGATTGTTGCCTTTGAAGAAATCGGAAGCCTCTTGGAGGGCAACAAGGATACTGTCACGGATCTCAAGAGATTTGGACGTGCCGTGAAGCTAAAGGCTTTCAGTCCATTCGAGTCTGCTCAAGTGGCCCTCGAAAACGCTAATGCAATTTCCGAACACGCCATGTCGGATGCTTTGCACAACTTTTTGGAGATGAACCTTCCGAAGAAGGCCAAAAAGTTTCAATTGGGAGTCATCGACCCTGGTCTTGCAACCGCAATCAGCGATGGTCTTGGCGTTTCCTGTCGCAGTGATGACACCATCCGCGAGATTATGCGAGGATGCCGCTTGCACTTGGAGACCTTTGTTAAGGGACTGGAGGGAGGAGCTGCCGCAAAGGCACAGCTTGGTCTTGGTCACTCGTATTCCAGATCCAAGGTGAAGTTCAACCCTGCTCGTTCCGATAATATGATCATCCAATCCATTGCTCTTTTGGATCAAATGGATAAGGATCTCAATACGTTTGCCATGCGAGTTAGGGAATGGTACAGTTGGCACTTTCCTGAACTAAAGGATATCGTGAAGGACAACATCATGTTTGCTAGAGCAGCAGCCTACATTCAAGATAAAGGCAGTATTTGCGCTAGCGGCGAAGGTGTCGAAGACAAAATGCCTGGTCTTATTGAAATCTGTGGAGATGAAGAGATCGCCAAGGCTGTAGTTGCCGCCGCCAAGACATCGATGGGAATGGATTGTTCTCCCCTGGACATGGTTAACATCGTCAACTTTACCCAACGTATGGTCAAGTTGGCAGAGTTCAGAAAGAACCTATCGAATTATCTGACAGAGAAGATGTCCGTTGTTGCACCAAATCTAAGCGCTTTGATTGGAGACACTGTTGCAGCCCGTCTTATCAGCAAGGTATGTATCCACATAGATATCTTGTTATCTTTCGAATCGAGAATCCTAACATTTTCCACTCATTTATTATCAATATTTTAGGCTGGATCCCTCACAAACTTGGCAAAAGCACCAGCATCGACAGTACAAATTCTCGGAGCAGAGAAGGCTCTGTTCCGTGCCTTGAAGACCAAGGGAAATACCCCCAAGTATGGTCTCATCTACCATTCAACGTTCATTGGGCGTGCAGATGCCAAAAACAAAGGACGGATATCTCGATACCTTGCCAACAAGTGTTCCATTGCCACGCGTATTGACTCCTTCTCGGATGAGCCAAGCAGATTGTACGGCGAGAAGCTTCGAGAACAAGTAGAAGAACGACTAAAGTTCTATGAAACTGGTGCTGCACCTCGTCGCAATGTTGACGTCATGGAAGAAGTTGCGAAGCAATTGAAGACGGATGGCGACGATGAAGAGATGGCAGACGTCGAGACACCAAAGAAGAAGAAAAAGAAGGATAAGAAGCGCAAGACGGACGACGAAGACAGTGATGAGGAAATGGAATCCCCAAAGAAGAAGTCTAAATCCGAAACTCCCAAGTCTGAGAAGAAGACTCCCAAGTCTGAGAAAAAGTCAGCAAAGAAGGAGAAGAAGTCAGACAAGAAGTCAGACAAGAAAAAGAAGAAGAGAAAATCATCGGGGGGAGATTAAGAACGTCGCAAGCTGCTGCTGTATCTGTCTGCATATAAATATACCACTATTATTCCACATGTTGTATAGTTGTTTAGGAGCAGTGGACGAGGGACAAGTGACGGATGCAGGCAAATGGCTCACAGCAACGGGCCGCAGAGTGCGTACTGCAGGAGATATGAGAGATTTTTTGCTTCTTTACTTATTGTTTACAATTTTACAGTACATATAGTTACAGCTCTCAATAGATGTAGAACAAAATTGATACACCGAGCGCAACTGTCAAAGCCGTTTCTTGAGCCACTCGAGAACCTGTCGATTCACTTGCATTCTCGGTTTCCATTTTACCGACAGAAGATGTTGTACGTGCCATGCCCCCAGATTTTTTCGAAGATTTTCTTGAGTTTGTGCTGCTGCTGGTTGGGGTGTATGTTGGAGCCCCTGTTGGCTTAAGTGTTGGTGCAGGTGATGTTGTTGGTTCATCGTTTCCTTTACCGTGACCTGCCATGATGGTTGGAGGAGCGAAGGCCAATATCAAAAGGGTCAGAAAAAAGTTGATGGATCTCATGTTGGACTTTAGGATTTTAGTAGCTGGTAGAGCCTTAATTCTTTCGGATTGTGAGATCGACTGGCGATGGATTTGGGTTTACTGTGCAAGTCTTGTTGAAGGCCAAAAAGTGAGGTTTTTGTTCTTGGTTTCGGACGAAACACGAATACTCGGCCATCTTTGTCGCAGAAAATATCGAGCCAAATCTTTTGCAGACGATTCGGATTAGTCCATCACACTTTGCGTCGTTCGTTAGCGTTTTCATCATAGTAGCCTATTGTAGCTTCTAAAATAATAGTGTGGTACAGTATGTCAGGTGTAGAGCTGCTAAACTTGAAGAGGAACACTATTGCTTAGTAATACTACATTTTGCCACTGTCACTGCGACTGGTGAGTCGCACCTAGCACAGGCAAGTATGTGATGCTTTGGATGAAAAGCAATTTCATCGGCACCACCTGCTCCTCTTGGATTTTTCCCTGATAGGTCTATTTTCCCGACTAGTTCACCTGTGGATGACAATGCTAAATCGATGCTGTCTGCCTGACTATTCGCCAAGTACTGAGAATCATGGGAAAACGCCACGCTTCTCGTGAACTTTTGACATCTTGAAATTGTGTTTGTGCAACTCATGTTTGGAGCATCCCAAATCCCAACAATAGCATCACTCGCACCAGTCGCCATACGTTGGCCATCAGGAGAAAATGCGAGGGTGTAGATGGGACCAGTGTGACCAGGGTATGAATAAGTTTTAGCATTCTCCTTCTCCCATTCCCAAACAGTCACTTCGCCCATACCGTCCCTCGTAGTTGACGCAACCAAGTGATTGCCAATTGGTGAGAAAATGCAGGTTTCCACCAGACATGGATCTAACGAAAATGTTTTGACAATTGCTGAGTTAGTGCTCCCAGATTTGGCATTCGTGGAGGCAGGTGCGCTCTGGGATACTTTTCGCGTGTCACATAGATGCACAGTATTATTCCGTTCTGTAATTGCCAGCATGGTAGATCCCGGCACTGTACTCCATGAAATATCAGCTGCTGATCGGCTTTGTACATCAATTCGACCAAGGTTTTTCTGTGATGCAGAGCGCACATCAAACAGCCGGACAGTCGAGTCAGATGCCGCGGAACACAACAGTGTATCTTGACTTGGGTGAAATCTGACCCTTTCCACTGGCGCTGTATGTTGATTCACGACAAGGACCTCACGCATTCTTCCGTTTCCTTCCAAGGTATATAAACGCGCATTCTTGTCACTTGAAGCAACCCCCAAATATTTCCCAGAGCAGTTCCATGAAATGGAGCGAGACTGTTGGATATGGCAATCACCAATATGTCAGAATCAATAAATCATTTCTCAGCAGATTAAGAATAAGATTATCAGAATTACATACACTAAGTCGGTGCCCACCACAATCGTGGAGGTCCACTTCTAATTTGAAGGATGTTGACTGTGTGGTTGTTTGCATGGTTCTTGCATGGTTGTTGTGAAGTTATTGGTTGGAGGTTGGTGACGAAATCGAATGAATCAATCGCTCCACAAATTGCTGTCGAATGAGTCGCCCCATCGAGATTCAAACCAAAATTTCGAAAATACGAAGGAACAGCTTCAGCTTCCATTTTCCATTTTAGTTGAAAGTGTTAAAGTGCAACACCAAGCAGCATTACAATAATGTCTACACTGCGCTTGTACTATGGTCGTGACAATGATGAAATGATCCGAGTGTTGAAGCAGGCTCAGCAGAGAACTGTTGCAGTGACAAGATTAGAGGTCCGGGAGACTGTTCTGGATGAGGAGGTCGTAGAAGCAATCATTGAGCTTATTTTGACCAGCCCTATAGAAGTTGTTCAACTCGATGACTGTGGTGCTTATTTAAATATGCAAACGATTCGACTGGCGCAAACTTTGGGTGGCATCAGGAGCTTGAGATTATCTGAGCCTACTTTCCTCTCCCGGTTCTTCCTTGACAAGCTCTTGATATCAGCTACGAATTTGACGCACCTGCGAATTCAAGGACACTTGGAACGTGAGCAAATGTTGTCACTGGCTGAAGGTCTAAAGGGAAATACTAGCCTTCATACACTTGACTTGAGTAGGAGTCGAGTGGAAGACTTTTCATCACTTTCAGATGGAGTACGAGGAAACTCTTCATTGCATAGCCTAAAGCTAAGGTCAATAGGTTTGCGTGACGAAAATGTCACCGAGCTCCTAGAATCACTCAAAGGGCACTCCCAGTTGGAATCCATCGATGTAAGTTTGCACCTTGTAACAATCTCCCTGTAGCTGGCGACATCACAACTTATCCACCATTCATCAATCAGTTGTCGTTCAATCATATGCTGCACATGGATCATGTGGCCGACTTTGTGGAAAAGCAGAGCCATGTAACAGAGCTGCTACTTGGGTATCAAAACGTCTGGCAAGCTCCAAAGGTATCAGTCACAAGGCTGGTGGATACATTACGAACGAATATATCTATCAAGACACTGTCACTAGCCCGCAACAAGTTGGAAAACGAAGATGCTGTCCAATTGGCCGATGCCCTCCTCGACAACGATTCAATAGAATCTATCAATCTACGAGAGAATAGATTCACTGATGTTGGCGTTGTGGCTCTTGCTAAGTCACTTGAGAAGGCGAATTCGATTCGGGAAGTGAGTCTTCTGAAGAATGCAATAGGTAACGAGGGCTACAAGGCTATCCTTCGTGCAGCGCAAAGGAATTACGATATTTTCGAAATGGAATTAAATGATGACGGTGCAATTGCTCAACAAATACAACACGAGACAGCATTGAATACAGGCGGTAGAAAGCTCCTTTTCTTAGACCCGCCACTAGCTCTGTGGTCAATTGTACTGGCTCGAGTAAACAAAATCGAGTCCCTGAACGAGCAGCATAATATTTCGTCAGGGAAATGTTACAGTGCGGATGTCATATTTCAAATGTTGAAGGCATCCAACTTATTTGAAGGTATTGTGAGCCGAGATCCCGGTGAGTTGGAGAAGGCCTATCCATAGCAAGATACCTCGACAATTTTGGATTTCAATGGTACAGGAGGACACAAGGTCGTCGCTTTGTTAATTATTGTATAAAACACTGTAGTAATAGAAAGGTAGCTTTTGGATGAATGCCTCGTTAGGATGCTACAGTACTGTACAACTGGGCATGGCAATATGTAACATATATTTTAAGTTTAGTTTCTACGGTGTATACTGTATGTGGATGGTCTCGAGCCAGAAGCTTTAAGCCTGCTTAGACCGGCTTCGATATTATATTGTGTCTTCTTGAGTGAAAAATGTAACAAAACGTGATGGCGCAAGGACTGTCTGATCCAGTCGATCATCCTGCCCTCCTGTGCGAGTGATCCCTGGTGCTTTTCTATTTCAACAACTTCCCGTATCTGTGTATAAGTTCTATCTTTTTTCTGGTACCTCAATCGGTTTCTATTCGGTCATAAACTCTCTGAACTCGCTCATGGGTGCGATGATAGGAGTTCCAAAATCCATGGCTACTGGTACCGGTGGATTCGATGCAGCACGACATGCAGCGGATGTATTCTTGTCAAGCTGCTGCATCCAAATCCTCGTCTTGTACATGCTGAATAAGTCGCGAACCAATTCGCGAAAGTCAACCCTTCCTTCAGCCTCAAAAAAGAACGTTAGCTTGTGTCTATCAAATTGATATTCAGCATCAACAACGTTCATTGGCAAGCCCCTTTGTCGCACTTTGGTACGACAGATTTTTAGGAGCTCGTCTTCTTCCTCTCGTTTCAAGGACAGCAGAGATACTTCATCGTGTGTAGCAAGTCTAATGATCCTCTTCAGATCTGAAGTATTTCCTGCTGTACCCGTAGCTGGAGGCATGATACTCATGTCTCCTCTATAGTTTCGTTTTTCTGGGGATACCTTGCCAACGACAATCCCCAAATCCTCCCCACGATCTGCTTCGACCTTAACGTAGGTTCCAATCTTCAGATCGCGATTCAAACGCGGCCCGATTACAAAACTTCGCTGCGTTCGCTTGAACTTGACAGAATACACCACCTTAGCTAGCGGTAGTGATGCTCCTGCGGTTGGTAAATGCTGCACAGCTTCGGGCATGTAATGCGAAGACTCTGATCCAGATCTTAACGAATGCACTGAATGTGATGATGAATCCAGCATGTATCCACGATCATCAGATGGCACCTCAATGCTCTCTCCAGCAAGAGGGTGGGAAGAATCATCATCCAACGAGGGAACGCGATGATGACGGGGAGGCTGGTTTCCGTACGAGTTGCGTTTGTTACCACCATACATTCTCTGCTCAAAGAAAAAGTGTCAGAAGAATGTCAAGAAGAAAACATACAAATGACAAGCATCATACTTGGACCTACCATACTACCACCTCCTCCCATGGCCATGGGTTGTGCGGACAAAGCTTCCGCATGATGATGATGACCATAATGTTGATGCACGGGGCTGTGCCCCGGTGATACATGACGGGCTCGATCAAAATCGTTCATAAACATGTCGTGTCCTGGAACATAATCTAGAGACTCTCTTCGATCGAACTGATTCTGTTGTCCATAGAATCCACCAGCACTGGGCAGCGTTTGCAAAGAACTGCGTCTGTGCAACTCTGCTCTAGATACCTCTTCTGCAGATCCAAACGAATGATTTCGGTACCGCATTTGCGCAAGACGGAGTCCTTGATCGATGGGCAAAACACCAAAATCAGAAACTTGACTGGTATGGCCCATTGGTGGTTCTGAATGATGTTGAAACTGATTCATGTAGTCCGGAACAGGAACTGGAACTGGACCTGAGAACGATCGCTGATGCCTTGAGACTGGTTGAAAGGATGGTTGATTTGGATTCAAGCCACTTTGCTGCGGGAGACTAGGGAAGGAACTCAGTTTGCTCGATTGCTGCTCCATCTGACCCGGATAAGATGAACTTAGCAATGATTCCCGTCCAGAATCACTGGTGGATCGCTGCAAATAGGGATCACCACCAGAGTGTGGAAGGTACCCGGGGCGAGAGATCGTACTCAGTACGCTGAAATCAGGATTGTAACTTGAAGCTCCTGCTAGTGGTGGACGACTTGGGGGAAGCTGATTTCGGCTACCTCGATGTGCTGATGCTGAACCAAAGCTACTGTCCAGTGACGAAGGGAACGCCATTGTTCCGGGTGCGGTATTCGCTCTTTCTCGAGCGCCATGAATCCCATCAAACCCATCGCCAAACGTGGCTGTTATCCTCGTGGGGAGCTCTTGTTCTTCCTTGCTGCGCCTGTTATAATCATGAATATCGGTGCCAGTGCCATCCAAAGACGAAGTGGGCGTTAGCGTAAGGCTCTGCGATGTAGAAATCGAAGAGCTCTTGGAATGTCCTGGCCTTCCAATTGGTGGCACACCATGCAGTCTATGGGTAGGTATGGAAGGTAGCGGAGACGCATTGCTGTTGTTGGAGCGCTGGCTATGAACACTATCTCCAGAATCAATAATGTGTTTTCTCTGATGTCCACTGAGCTCTTCCGAAAATTCTGATTGCATATCTGGGCTGGCAGAAAACTCCACTGGACTAGTACCAAACGCGGATACAATGTTCATCCCAGACATGGCCATCTCCAAGGAGGTATTGTTCTTGTCATTGGATGATTGCGAGCTCCTGAATTGATGCGGAAGAAGAAGCGCAAACGGACAACACAAAAGGTAAGAGCACGTGTGGAAAGGATTCTTTATTACAAAGGCGTGTCAAAGATGGTCGCACAACGGAAATTGTGCAGTGAAACAAATGTCGCATGCGACATCAGGAGAGAAAAAAGCAAAATACCTTTGCAATGGAGGTGGGATTGGAAATGTACGAAGATGTTGCCATTTAGCCTCCAGAAACAAGTCGATTTCATCCATACATTCCAATAACCTCAGCATTGTCAACAGTATTGCTATTTATGGCAGCTTCTGTTGTCAAATTATGAAAATTCAGATTTTCAAGCCCACAAGAATCAGCATTCTTCTCGATGGGCGTTCGATGCAGATGCGTTTTTCCTCCCAATGCCGAGAAACAAAAGAGCTGAGGAAGAAATACATACCCTTGTTGTGGATCTCCCCATCTATTTGCCATGTTTAGGGTAGGGACGCTACTCGTCGCCATCGTCCCTTGCGCAATCTTTCCAAATCGAGATGTGTAATAAATTTCGTTGATGGCTTGGTGCTGTTCAAAAAGGACGATTTAGATTGGTCTTTCCATGTCGTGAAGACTCGCGTAGATTCAGTACTTTAGAGTAACACACATGGTAATTTTCTCATTTCTACTGCAAAGCGTGTACTTGAGTCCAGTAGAATTCATGTGTGCAGGCGTGCCGAACAGAAAAAGAATAGCATTGCTCCAATATCCGGGTATTGAATTGAAATTTGAGTTCGCAGTTGGACACAAAAAAGTATCTTTTTGCTGATGTCATCGACATGTGACAAATCCGAGTGACTCACACAAGAGGCAGGAACGTTTCACCCTTTCATTGGACAGCTTCGTTTCTAGTCAGAAGATTCACAAAACAAACATCCTATCATACTTGCTATGAAACTGCATCAATCCATATCGATACTGCTTCTGAGCAGCTACTTGACTGCTCAAGTAGCTGCATTTACACCTAATTCCTTTCCACAAGCTCGTACACACCATAGCGTTGCAACATCACGAATGATGTCGGACGACGACGAGGTCGTGGAGGAATCATCATCGACCGCCACCGAAGCACCCAAAGTGCCCAAAAAGAAAATTGCTGTGGTTGGTGGCGGATGGGGAGGCTGGGGAGCTGCCAAAGCTCTTTGCCAGTCCAGAGAGGATATTGAAGTGACACTGTTGGATGCGCTACCCGATCCCACTGGGTTGACACCCTATCTGTCTAAATCAGGAAAGCCAGGTACGACTGACTATAGCTCATTGATGAATATACAGAATCATTGGTAGGAAACTTATTTTTTTCTTTCATGATCATGTAGTTGAGGCTGGAACGCGAGGATTCTGGAAGGACTATCCAAACATCAATTCCATGTGTGCCGAATTGGGAATTGAAGAGAGTGATGTCTTTACACCTTATACAAACTCGTCATTTTACTCACCAGATGGCTTGGAGGCGACGGCTCCAGTGTTCTCAGAGACAAAGTTTCCAACAACTCAATTGCCGTTCTTGTCATCATTTTCTGGACAGGCTGTTCCACAACTCCCCTCCCCACTTGGTCAAGTGTTGGCTACCTTTCCTCTCTTCGAACGCATTCCACTCTCGGACAGAGCATCCATGGTCGGATTGTTGCTCGCCACCGTCGACTGTCTTGGAAATGATGTCTCAGTCCAAGAAAAGTATGATCGCATGACTGCCCACGATTTGTTCATCCGCTTTGGACTTTCCGAACGCTTGGTGGAAGATTTCATCAAACCTACACTTTTGGTTGGTCTCTTCAAGCCACCAGAAGAATTGAGTGCACTAGTGGTGATGGAATTGTTGTACTACTACGCATTGGCGCATCAAGATTCCTTTGATGTGCGTTGGATTGCCAACGGGACTGTTGCGGATTCGTTGATTGCCCCATTGGCTACAAGTCTGCAAGATAACTACAATCTTGAGGTCCTTGGTGGAGCTCGTGTTGAAAAGATTAGTTTGGATGAGGATGGAATGACTTCCATCGAATACTCTAGAGGTATTGTTGGCAGTCTTGGCGGAACCCAATCCATGAAAGTGGACGGTGTTGTGCTTGCCTTGAATGGAAAAGGAATGGCAAGTGTGATTGAATCCAGTCCAGACCTGTCGCAATATCCAACATTTAGCAAAGCGGCCTCCATGAAGAATGGAATCGATGTCATCAGTGTGCGTATTTGGCTGGACCGATACGTTCCAACTCGAACTCCAGCCAATGTCTTTTCTCGATTCGAAGCTTTGCGGGGAGCCGGTGGGACCTTTTTCATGCTGGATCAGTTCCAGAAGGATGCCGAGGAGAGTCTTTGGGGAGGCGATGAAGTGCAGGGATCTGTTCTCGCTTGTGATTTCTACAATGCTGGTTCTCTGATGAGTCTGAGTGAAGACAGGATTATTGATATTTTGATGAAGGACCTCCTCCCAGAGGCTGTGCCCGAATTCCGAAATGCCAAGGTGGTCGACTCCTGGGTGGGCAAGTATCCCGGAGCTGTCAGTTACTTCTCCCCTGGAAGCTTTGATCGTCGGCCTCCTATGCAAGGAGACCCTGACGTACCCCAAATCAAGTTTGCCGGTGACTGGGTTCGCATGGGAGACCAAGAGCATGGGGCCAAGGGACTCTGTCAAGAGAGGGCATACGTTTCTGGCTTACAAGCTGCTAATCTTGTGCTGGACCAGGTATGTGGAAAGAGCCGATTGTATAAGCACCCAGTGATTCCTGTAAGAGACGATGAAGCACAATTCAAGGCCGGAATTGAATTAAACAAGCAAGTCATGAAGGTTCTTCCACGATTCTGGGTGCGATAGATTGAGCAAAAACGAAGGCGGACTATAATTTGAGAATGTTTGTCGCCAGTGACAACTAGAAAATAGAATAGACAAACCACATGCTATAATTCTGAAGGAATTTATTCTAAAGTGTAGACCATATACATTGTGTAAGAAAAATTTAAACATCTAATATTGTCTTAGAGAACTAAATATACATTTGGTGCCTTTCTCGTGTTCTGTCAGAGCGTGAACAGATCGGACCATCCTTGTTCCGAATAAGTCTCGTGTGGTTTGTCAAAATGTACAACATCGACTTTCTTCATATCAAACCGCACTGTAGAACCTTCGCTTTCTGTGGAAAAGGATCGCTGCCGCAATGCACTACCCGAAAACCTTGATTCTCGCATACAAGATGAGGGTGACGAACACGAACTTTCATCTTCCAATCTCGTCCCTGCACCCGAATGGATCCATAAGCGTGAGGGACTACTGGCTTGTTCTACTTCACTTGGTATCGAGGAGGTCGTATATATCCTTCTTTGAGGCAGAATGCAACGTCGGGGAACTGGAGGCAGTGTGAGGGTCATTGTCCGATCCTTGAAATGAGGAGAAGAATCTACGAAGGATGATTTAGGTTGAATGCATCCATTGCGAGGGGGCGTAGTGATTGCAATCGGTAGGGTGATCTTCTTGGGAATGCAACCCATAAGGCCAACATCGACCACCACTGTTCGGTCTACAGTGTCCCTGGAATGTGTCGAGAGCGTCAAGGGACTTGCAGGACGCTTGCGAAGATCAGAACGTATCCTATTGGTTTGTTTCCAGTATTCTGGAAATATAGATCGCTTGGGTGGAGTTTTGCCTAGGCAATTGATCGGTTCGCCCTGTATGGAGAGGGGGCACAAGGTTCTATCCTCCATGGTGCCTTTGCTACCCTCTACCGGTAACCGGTAGTGGTGCAAAGGCATCAAAAAGAACTTTCAGTGGTTTCGAATTGTTTTTCTTTGGTATCCGCAACCAAAACAAAAGGCGAAGAATTCCATCACTGATCAGTCCGACCAAAGCTCAGTCGATGGAGTCGACGGTCGACCAAACGGAAGCAAAATGCAAATCAAAGGAATACAAAAGAATAACAACAACACCTCCATCCTAATCTTGCCAAACAACGCACTTTTGGGCATTGATTGTCGACGCATACCTCCACTTTTGACAATTAATTCAATACCGAAACTCCAGAAAGACGTCTTTAGCTGTCGCCATGATGAGAAAGTCGTTTTCTTCCACCCTATTGATCCTACTGATCTCGTTTCCAACGGTCATAACCACTTCAAGGAATGAAGAACCCAGACTGTGCCATTCTCCCGAATTGTACGATGATTTCCCCATGCTATGTCAAATGCTCGATCGACTTCGTGAGGATGGAGATGCGCTTGCGGATGAAATTACTGCATGGGCAGCAGAACATCAGCTTCTAGTAGGAGAGGGTTGGGATATGACGAACGCCAAGCAGCTTGAGACTACTCTCTCGTCGTCGGCTACCTCCAAGCTTCCAGTCGTGTTTGCGCATGGGATGGGTGACAGCTGTTTCAATTCCGGATTTCAGAATCTTGTCAAGCATACTTCGACACTCTTGAACGATGTCTACAGTGTGTGTATCCCAACGGGGAAAGACAAGTCGGAAGATACGACAAATGGATACCTTCTCAACATGGACGCTTCTGTAGATGTCTTTGCTGAGGGTATCAAGGCTGATACAATGTTGAAAGATGGTTTTCATGCGATTGGTTTGTCGCAAGGTAATAATGTAATTCGTGGATACATTACCAGGTGAGTGATTAAAGGAATGTTACTTTCTTTCATGACAATTGGGGTGCTAATGTGAATCAAATCATCGTGCGCACAATTTATTTTAGATACAACGAACCTTCAGTCAATACCTTCATTTCCATCAATGGAGTAAATGCTGGTACCGGAGCTTTGCCAAATTGCTTCCCTAGTGTCGACAATGAAAATGGTGGCAAGAAAGTAGGCAGCGTTTGTTCGCTCTTGACCGAACAAGCCAGCAAAAGGGCGTACTCGGACTTTTACCAACAACACAACTTTCAAGCAAACTACTGGCGTGATCCAAATCACCAGGATGAGTACCGCAAGTTCAGTCAACTAGCAAGATGGAATAATGAAGGAGAACCATTCAATCAATCTTACAAAGACAACTTCCTCAAAACAAAAAAGTTTGTCTGGGTGAGGGCCACAAAAGATGGCATGGTATGGCCAAGTGAGGGGGAGCACTGGGGTGCCGCGGATCCAGCGGCACCATTGAAGCATATCTTGCCGCGCAATGAAACTGAATGGTATATTACTGATTCCTTTGGTTTGAAAACTGCGGAAGAAGCTGGCAAGAATCATTACATCTCCTTTGAGGGTGACCATCTCCAGTTTTCCATGGAGGACTATACTGATTGGGTCAACAAATACTTGGGAGACTCTGAATCGGTAACGATGTAAACCTAGAAAGTATCAACCAGTCTCTCAAGGTGATTAATTACCAAGCAACTAAGTCTATTTTTTCCCTCTCTTGGCAGTAGTCTTCTTTGCTCCACCTTTCTTGGCAGCACCCCTTCGTCCTTTCTTCTTAAACTTTTCTTGCAGCTTCTTAAGCTCAGCTTCGTCATCATCATCATCCGATTCTTGATCAACGTCACCGTCCTCATCGATGGCATCCAGGTCAGCTGGATCCTTTTCCGCCTTACCACCCTTCTTCTTTCTTCCTGCCGGTCCACCTTGCTCCGCGACCAAGGCTTGACTCTTGTGAGTACCCTTGTTATATTCGCGTGTAAAGGCAGCTTTTTGCTTGCTATCCAAATCGGAAAAAGCTGGAACTTTCTTCCCCATTCGGAACTCATCAATCTTTTCAAAGACATCCTCCCGACTCAATCCATACTCGTCCATCAAAGAAATGATCCCGGCGGCATCGCTGCCATCCTTGAATATACTGAACATGTGCTGTCGCAGCACCGGTAGGTAGTTTTGTCGCAATTCTTGGGTATCACCACTAATCTTGAAGTTCATATGGTAGTGCAACTCGTCGAGTAGCCTCTGTTTCTTTCCCTTACTCGAGTTCTTTCCCAACCAGGCTGTGAACTCAGGGAACGAAGGTAGGAAGCCACCGTCTTCCCCTCCGGCGTGGTAACCAGTCTTGACGGCCAGAACGCTGCAGGCCGGAAGCAAACTCCAATTGAGATCACCAGAACGAATCTCATGTTCACAGACCGCATAGTCAGACATACTAGCGGCAGCATCGTGAACACGTTCCAGGTAAGCTTGCTCCTTGTCTGGGACGTCAACGACATTCTTCCGCTGCCCTGTCAATACCTTCAAATAGTTCTGTTGTACCAAGAGACCAGTAAAGCTATAATCAACGAAGAAGGCATCCGTTCGTCGGTATAAACTGTCTAGTTCCGCTTTTGGACTTGCGCCTGCCAAACCTTTCCGTCCTTCCAATATTGTTTTTGCGGCATCAAATAGTGACACTCGAAGAATTTCATCTTTGTTGATGGAATTTTGCCGATCTTTCATCCCCTTGTAGGTCAATTTATCGTTGCTCCCGTCTCCACGCTTCTTCTGTGCCCACATTTGCAAACAGTTCATAACTTGTCGGACATCATTGCCGCACGACTCTGCAATCGCTTCTGCTGCGTTGCGCTCTACTTCCATACCTTCCATGCCAGCAATCCGAACGATTCGATTGGCCATGGTTGACTTGTTCGGTCTGTTGAATCGAAGATCCATGCAGTAAGGAAGCAGCGACTTCATCTTTTGACTTTGGCGATCGTTGCAAATGCAAATGATGGGCACCTTGGACTTTTTGATCATTTGAATCAACTCTGCCATACCACTGCGATCACCGGCTCCCATACCATCAACTTCGTCCATGATGACACAGCGAAGCTTCTTGGGTGGTGCTTTCTTTCCCTTTCCAGCAGCTGGCCCAAAGTTGAGAGCTTGGGATCCCGTCAAGTCACCAAGTCCATTTTGAAGTGCCTTCTTCGATCGAACGTCAGAAGCATTGAACTCCAAAAGGTCGCGCCCAGCCTCTTGAGCGACAAGGGTGGCCGTGGTGGTTTCTTTGTATAATTGCAGAGATTTGAGAATCCATTGTTAGAATCACGTTCCATCATGCCGACTGGACAAACTGTCCATGAAAGACTAAAGAAACAAAACTTACTTCCAATTCCTGGAGGACCAGACAAGAGAGCTGCTTTCCAGGGCCCGCCTGGCTTTGACCACGTCTTCTTTGCCGCAGCTGGGTTGTTGAATTGCCTTTCCCATGATCCCAACCCTTCAAGACAAGTTGTGAGGAGGTGGGCGCGAGATTTTCCAAACCGTATATTCCGAACAAACTTACATTTCTGCAACTTGGACACTTTTTCCTTATTTCCAAGAATTTCCCTGGTATGGGTTGGTGCGTGTCGATCAGCCCAGAGTTGGTTGGGATCATTTGAGCTTTTGGTGGCCACCTCCGAGTTACTACTACTGGACTGGTCTTTACTACTGCTACCCTTAGCATATGGATTGGTACTGCTGCCTGCTTTCTTGGCGTATGGGTTTACGGCAACGGACTTCTTGGCATATGGATTTGACACGGGCGCCTTTTTGGCGTATGGATTGGAAACCGCAGCCTTTTTCGCATATGGATTGGATGGGGAGGCAGCTTGTTTAGATGGTGCTGGTGGAGCATCCGTAATGCCTTTTTCTTTCTTGGCCCTTTCATGATACAAATGGCAGAGGCCATAAAGCTTTTTTTCTCCCAAAACGACTTTGACATCCTTTTCCAATGCTTTCTCAAACTTGGATCCTTCGGTATATGGTCGACCATCTTCCAACACGGACCCTGCCACTAAATAGCTAGTCTTACTCGAAACAGCTGTTGTCACACGTGCACCCAACATCTTGACAAGATCCATGGCATCGTCACGAGCCACATTCTCCAAGACGCCAGTAAACACAAAGGTCAATCCTTGCATGAATTCAGGCACACGGGAAGAATCGACATCAAACGAATCCTTCTCCAAAGTTGCCTCAAGGATTTCTATTGTCTCTTTCTTTGGTGGTGGTGGTGATGGTTTTGCCTTTTTGACCGGAGGAGACGCTTTCTTCTTTGGTGATGCTGCTCGAGCCCTTTTGGCCGGTGATGATGATGATGATGCGGCAGGAGTTGTAGAACGACTACTAGGTGGCTTCTTCTTTGTCGGTGTGACATCTTGAACCTCATCCTCATAATCCTCGTCTTTATCATCTGAACCATCATCATCAATGTTGACTACTTCCTTCTTCTTCTTTTCTGGTGTCATTGTCTTGATGAATTGGATCGGCTCGTCGTCGGAAGAAACATCAGCTTTAGGTTTTGGTGGAGCAGCCTTTGGTTTGCCTTGAGGTTTTGCAGGCTTTTTCTCTGGTGTTGCTGTTTTGCTGCTTTTCTTCTTCGTTTCTTTTTTGGCGTCTGCAAAGAAATCAGTGGGTGAAATCTCCTTGACCTCGATGGCGTCATCTTCCACTTGTCGTTGCTTTTGTTTCTTGCCATTCGTGGTCTGGTTGGGTGGCGACTTTCGTTTGCTGGCACTCTCCTTTGCCTTAGAAGCGCTACTGCTACTGCTACTATTCTTAGCTTTGGAGCCACCAGGTTTCTTGGCACCAAAAAAGTTTCGAATATCCATTGTCGTAAATTGCTGTATTGTAGTTTCAGATGATTCAGGATTCTTGAATTGACAATGATAGATTTTACCCCGTCGCTCGTATTGATGCTCTCCCTATCCCTATATTTCCGAACTCGAATTGGTTGAACAAGACCTAACACAAAGAGCTTTACTGCTGACTGATTCCTTTGGTTTTGGCCTGATGAGAGTCAGTTGCAAAATGGGCAATGATCAATGATCTCAAAATTGAAAATGGCAATGATCGTCGTTTTTCACCGACCGCATCGCATTCATCGGGGCGCGCTTCATTTTCCACTATTGTTTGTCCCTTTTTCAAAATATCCCCCAAATGTTTAGACATTGCAACATATCGTAATGGCTTCAAATCATCCTCAAGTTGCATGCATAAAGAAGCAATCAATCATCATCAGCAGCAGCAGCATTAGAGAAGCAATTCAATAGTACATCATCAATCATACATTATGTCATCCTACCGAAGAGTATCACAGCACGAAAGCGCACCCAATTCCGATGGTTCCAACAACTTGGAAGGCGGCTTGACGAGGTCTCGAATGGAACGGCTGACAGATAAAGCAACTGCTGGTAAGTTTGCTTTCAAATACTAGTAGATTGATTGAAGATGCTGTCTTGCACACACGGATGTTTTCCCTAACCCCAAATATTGTTTCTTTCCTGTATATGTACTCTCGTTTTGATGATCATCAGTTGCTTGGGTGGTGCTGGCGGTATTTGTGGCACGGTGGACCGGCTTCTACACTACCATTTTGACGGGTGAGAATGCCAATCGATTCTTGTTGAGATTAGCGGTCTTGGGGTTTGGAACAGTGACATCGCTAGTTCTCTACTTGACGGTATACCTGCCGAAAGTGGTTGGTCTCAAGGCGGATTCCAGTGCCTGGAATGTCTATTGTCCCAAGGTCGTTCCTACCATTACAGCTCTGGCTGTAGTATCCTATTTGCTAGCGATCCGAGGAGCATGGCCTGTGTATGGATGTTTGACACCTCTCATCTTTGGGACCCAAATGATGGGGGCACTCATGTCGTTGCATTTCGTCCCAGCAGGAAATTTGTTTTGAGAAGCAAAATAAAGGATAAAGGGAACGAACTCTAAACTCGGGCACATTGTAAAAATGCTTATTTTGGTCTAGTGAATCTCCTGGCTTTTGGTCTATTCAAACATTACTATCAAACACACACAAAGTGCAAATTTTACGTCCAACCAAGAGGATACAGCCAGCCAGTCAATCGTTGGTGACAAGTGTGTTGGTCTATAATCAGTGCCTCTTCTTTCTGCTCTTCACTGGTGTGAAACCATCTTGGTCCGCTTCCGGGCCTGCATAAGGTTCCACATTCCTGTCGTTCATCAGCTTCTCCATTCCTCCCCATCGAGCCGATCCCTTAAGTCTCTCATAAAATAGCAAATAAGCACCGCCAGTGACAGCGGCATCTGCAGTTGTTTCGCCAACGTGCGCATCATTGTAACGATACCATCTACTATCTTTGCAGTTTCGAACAGTTGCCGTGTAGTGCCCGCTATTGGCTGTAGGCCCCATGTGCTCACTTACCCCACAAAGCTGTATTTGCAATGAGTTAGATCGAATGACGTGGTGAGACATGGGTACAACAACGTAATTGCAGTAGCAGAATGGTTCAAACTTACCCTGTATATTGGAGGTGCATCATCATAAGTTGGACCCAAAACATGTTTGCGCAAGTCAAGGCGCTCTATTGGAAAGCGCACAGTATCATTGATTTTGGAACGGATCACGTCATTGCGAACAGCGCAGTGGTCGAATTGAAATCGCTTCAAATGAAGAATGAGAATATCGGGAACAGACCACAATGCAATCATTTTCAAAGCACAAACATGCTTCTTGCAACCTGGACAATACCAAGCGTTGAGTTCGTCAAGTTGCTCGCCTTCTAAGAACTTGTCCACGCAATCTTGAAGGGTCATTCCATTGATATTGGACTTGTCTGCAGTAAGTGGGAGTGATATGGTCGAGAATGCATCGAACTTGACACTCTCTTTACCACACTTTGGACAAGTCAAATGACTTCTATGCATTCCTTGGCACCGATCTACAATGATGCTATCATGCCGCAACAAGTGCTTTCTCCATGCTTCAATTGCAGCAGTTGTGTCTTTCAATCCAATTCCCTCAAGCTCCTCAACATATGGTTTCTCTTTCACTCGGTTGCAGTCCTCGTGTAGCCCATCCATCAAAAACTGACAGAACTCTTGACTGTCGTGTTGGTAGGAGTTGTTAAACTGTGGCGCAAAGCTTGCGACAGTTTGCTTGAGCATTCGAGGGGCCAGGGCAGAGTATTTGTTACTCCAAATTTCCTTAAGCATCGAAGCATACGCTGTTGCCACTCGACCACCGCTACCAAGTGGATTCTTTCGATTCAACTCTTTGGCATAATCTCCATTCAAGAAATACTTGGTCAATGGTTCCATGTGATTCAGACATTGGACTATGGAGTTGATGAAGCACGAATTTCCAAGGTTGTGCATTCCAACAGAGCCTGGGGCTGGAGGAGTCCCTCGAAGAGATTCTTTCATGAAGCCTTGCCCATACATATTATTGAATGACTTCAAGATTTCCACAGGTTTCCGATGTGACTCAACTTCATATTGCAGAGTTGCAATATTTGGTACGTCGTTCGATTTCATGTGAGTTCCAAACTCACAGATTTCTTCGCCGTACAAGTTTACCCATCGCAAGAAAGGCGGCTGGGGTTTAAACGTATCCATCGTTGTCATTGTATCAATCGAGACATCATCTCTTAGCTTTCGTGCAAGGTCTTCCTCCTCCTCTTCGTCTTCCAGTTTATCAAGTTCCTGCGGAACCTCCACCAATATTTGTTGTACTCTGTTCAATAGCAGCAAAGGCTTCCTTTTTCCATCTTTACCAACAATCATTTCCAAGGGTGCACCACCAGTCACTTTCTTCATGACAACTCGCTGTTGCCCAATTCTCTTCACAATACCTTTGTACCACTTCGGTCGATCAACTTTCGAAGACGCTGATCTTACCTCAACTATAGCTCCTTCCGCAATCCTCTCTCGCCACCGTGAGGAGTGTGACCACAGAGGTGCAGCACAATGGAGTTTCTGGTCAAAAGTGTCACGGTGAGACCTAGAGCACTCGTTATCACGCATGTGTTCGATTCCATGCAAACTTACCGCAATGTTGGCGGGAACAGGGCTGTCCTGCCTTCGCCGTATTCTTCCATTCCACCTTGAAGCCCAGCCAAAGAAATGCACGGTAATAGTGTCATCATTGACTTCCTTGACAATGGATTCGTACCAGTTTCCACCTGCATCTTGGGCATCCACAAAATCTCCGACCTGGATGCGGTTTTGTAGTTCCAACGAAGTGCGCAGCCATTTTTCATTGGGCTTTCCCACCTCTATAATTATATCGCAATCTCTCTTTGTGTATTCATAATAGTGCGATCGTAACCATTCGCCGACTTTCTTGCGTGGAGGCTGAAATTCCTTTTCTTTTTCCGGTTCCTTCTCAATCGTTCCATCAAGAAGGTTCGGATCAATCAACTCGTAACCATCCCCGGAAGCAGTCCCGGTGGTATCCCGTTTACTCCATATCCGTTTGCAAGAAGAAGATGTATTTGGGGCCGCCACTTTCATCAACCAAAAGAGCGCATCATAGACACGGGTAGTTTCCGACACCAGCACAAACCCCTCCTTTCTCCGCATATTGTTGCCATCAATGACGCTATATTGTAGTTTCACCGGCCAGACTTCGGCTGTCGGAACCAACTCCGGAGCTGCTCGCTGTTCCTCTTCTTTGAGCAGTCTCGTCATTGGTGAAGATTCATCGATTTCCCCTGATGTCAGGCGTTTTAGTTTTCTTTTCATGATAATTTTCCGCCTGAATTCAAGTGGACGGCAAGGACTCTTTCCAATACCGTTCATCTGAAAACTTGGATCATTCCGTGACATAGGGGCCGGTGTTTCTTTCTCACCATTATACGAAGCCATAGCATGATGGTGTATTAGCGCCCCTTGGTATGGGCCTTCTTCTTGCACAAAAGGTTGAAATGTGATATCCCGACCGTTTACGCAACTAATACCGATCGTCGACCGCAAAAGCTATGACAACAGAGACCATAATCAATGGTGAGACATCCCTAGACAGGTAGGGATAGCGACACATTGTACCATTGGAAAATGAACTTACTTCGTAAAACTTTGCCGGAACCGCACAACATAATATTTGATCCCCATCCCGATCTAGATCTTCGTCTGTTGGTTGTGCCTCAAACTCATCAGAGCCATTTGTATACCCCGGACTTATTGGAAGACTTCTAGCACGAGGGCCGATATTACTCTTCTTGGGTGATTTGATGCCAGATATCGCATTGTCTGACATCAAATCTAGCACAGTGACGTGTGGATCCAACAGAAGAGGGAACCCTTCCAGAGATAGGCTTGAATTGTCGACAGGTCCGGGATCGCTGTATTTAAAACTGACTGCCGGGGGTTGCAGTCCCAAACGTGTTGCCGCTAATCTGATTGCAGTCTGAACTCGTTGCTTCTCCATTTTCGGAACATTTTGATTGTACGCCCATATCAGCCAGTTTTGCATATAAGATCGAGTCATGAGGTAAACGTCTGAAGATTCTTTCAGAGGTGCCAGCAAATACAAAGCAGCCGTCAGCGTCAACGATGTTGGGGCAGGATGAGAGAGCTCCTTGACTTGGCTTTCCAGTGTGGGCGGTTTGCCGCCCATTCCCCAGCTACTTGTGGATGAAACAACATTGGCAACGGCGTTTGCGTAGGACGGTTTTCTTGCATGCATTCTTTGAATTATCTTATGCTGCCCTCAGCGTGGAGATGGTAATTGTCGAGTCTGTAGCTCGAATTTTATGATGGTATTCTTTGGTGTGTTTTCTAGGTTGCTATAGTTGTTGTCGTTGGTAGCGGATTTCGGTTGCGCTGCATTTTTCCAAGCATCGATTTGAAAATCTTGGAAGCCGTGAGATGCTGGACGGAAACCAACGGGTCGAAAGTACCAGACACACGTGTCTGACGGGGTATGCGTCGCGTCCGCCCGCCTAAGGATTGGAAGAGGAAGTGTCACAGTCTGCACTCTACAAATACTACTCCTATTCTCGTTTCGAAGGCAGAATAGCACCTGACACTCCCGACTGTACTACAGTTGGCGGTGAATGTAGCCAGTCGACAAGCTGAAAAGAATGGATTGCGTGTTCAGCTTTCATCTGCAAAATATGTCTTTCGTTGCTCGTAGCACCAAAAATAAGCCAATCTTCTAGGCGTCTCTAATCTAGCAAAGGTACACAAAGCGTTCTGCAATAGTATGGCGAGGTTTCTGGTATTGCTAGTAGTACTGCTCTATTCTGTATACCTCCGTTCCACAAAATACAGATTCTTGTCTAAAGAATACGATCTGTCGGAAAGTTTGGTCCCTAATACCTACGCTGCTTCATGAACTCTTTATCATCAGCTTCCGTCTCGGCTGTTGCCTTGAGTACACTTGCATAAAACAGGAAGAAACACGTCGGGATGGAAAACAAGGCCAACACAGCGGTTTGGGCAAAGCCGAATTTTGGTTCTGGGTTGACGAGCTCAAATGCGGAACCTTTGAAAGGATAAAGCAAGATTGTCAGCGAGTCTGTAACTTGAACATAACACTGACGAACTGGTCTTTTACTCACCAGTACCAACGATTGCCAATATCATGGAGGTTGCCAAGAGAATTGGGGATGGCACATTGAGTGGATATTGAGTCCCTTCAGGTTCACTGGAAGTTGGTGTACTAACGGAACTTTCAGGTAGCGGAATATCATCCCCCAATCCATTATCATTATCTGGATCGGTCGAGAAGATTGGAGATGATCCTCTTGTTCGTTCCAATTGTTGAATTGATGGTAATAGCAGGCTTGTGCTGTGAATGCTTCGTTGTTGGTTTGTGAATGATATTACAGGTGCACTCAAAAGCGAGGCTAGCAGTAGTGCAATAAGCTTATGAATCATCATATTTATCGAATGGAAGCTTTTTCTTTTGGAAGGTATACTACTTTGACAACGGATCTATGTGGGTTGCTTGGTGGTTTGGAGGTTGGTTGGTTGATGTTGATGACGAATGTGATATGACAGCGATATCTCTGACTCGATCGACTTCAACCGTTTCTGAGTCCCGTTAATTTTTAAGTCTACACCGGACACTATTTTTACTTATTGGAACGACATTCTCTGCCGTTAAAAATATAAAAATCAGAGTTTGGCGACCGAAAATCGCCAATCTGGTTCTGAACTTAACCTCTAGTTCAAAACTTTCCCAAACCGATCAACAACTGTGTTTTTACATTCAAGAAGCAGCCAGAAGACAAGAAAGAAAAGGATAACTCACAAAATGGTAGTGACAGCAACAATGGACGAGACACATCTAAAGAGATTGAACATATGCACCGAAATCAAGGCGAGGAATATCAAGTCTCAACGAAATGCAGAGCTGGAGGCTCTGCGAATGAAGGGGCTGGCCAAGGAGCGACGGAACTGGTTGAATGAATGTATGTACATCGCGTAACTATAGCAGCTGCTGCCCAAACAGAATGCTCTGTAACTCAACTTTTTGTTTTAGTGGTGACCTCTCCATTGACAACAGCAGAAGAAGCTCGACAATTTCTTGCAGTAATGAAGGACAAGAGTAGAAGAGAATCGTTTGATCCAAACGATAGAAATAGTACACCAACTCGGCCAAAGACGTTTCTATTGGCTGACGGTGTCGATTCGTGGTTCATGCAACAAAGACATCGCGACAAAGAGCTTAGAAAGCGCCGCAAAGAGGCTGCTCAGCTACTCCATGGATACAAGGGATACTACCCGGACAAGGATGGTGACCTTGACTTTGGCCATTGGTCCCCACGGAACAGTACTACCCCTCGAAACGGAACGACGCCTAAGGGACGATCGTCTTTTGGTGGTGGTGAATGGTCCGAGTCACGATCAGCAAAGAAGGATAAGAAACGGCGACAAACCTCATTTGCCCGACTCGAAAACAATGAAGCTGGCCTTGACGACTCGCGTGATGACTTCTTTCCCAGCCCCTTGCCGACAAATCGTACTGACTTTCTGAAGGATCGCCCTACCTTTGATGGAACAGGCTACGACAAGCCAGAAAATAGTACCGCTTACGTAGAAGGACATACCCTTTTCAAAGAAGCAGAGGATGGTGAACAAGCCGCGAATGTCAGTGAAGGGCGCGATGCTGGAGCAACATACACTCCATTCCGTCACATGAGTGTTGATACTAGTTTCGGAACTAGTGATGGTATGCATGAACAAGAAAATGCAGAGACTGGAAATCGGGAAGGAGTCTTTGACGAACGAGGTCAGGAATCGTCTGGACGTACTGACTATCATGTTCCACAGATTCCAGAACGCCAAGGTGTGATGACAAGAGAGACTCTAGAATCTCGGCGTCAACGTCACTATGATGGTCTTTTTCAACCAGGAGGTGGCAATTCCGCAGCCAAGATTCGTGGAGCTAGTGTCCGCAAGTTCATGGACGGCAAAGTTCAGCCACGTATTGACGAGAATCAGAAACGAATCGATGACAATCAGAAACAAACAGACGAAGTTCAGAGACGAATGCAAGATTCGAATCTGAAAATTGCGGAACGACTCGAAAAGAGATTTGCGGAGACGCACATGGAAAGCCCCCCAATCCCCCCTTCAACTTCTCTCCTGTCAACTTCTACTGATGGTTCGGCTCCACAACTTCCGGAGACCATATGGAGGGACTTTATTTCAGATGGTACGATGACATTAGATTGAGCCGTTGTTGAATTGTTTGGTTTGAGACTTCTTCTTGCTAATATTGCTTATTTGCAGAACCTGGAGCGAGATTTCCACCAGAAGCTGGGCGATACCACTTGTATGCCTCCTATGCCTGCCCTGGGTCGCATAGAGCTCTCATTGTGCGAGCGTTGAAGGGCCTTGAAGATGTTGTTTCGGTCACAATTGTTCATCCGACCTGGCGCCATACAAACAGAGAGGACCCAACGGACAAGCATCGTGGATGGGTATTCGGAGATCCATTTGGAAAACCATTTCGAAACACTACTGGCAGAGGCGGCCCTTTCCCCGCCGCGTACAAAGGTAATGAACCTGATCCTATATTTGGAGCCAGCAGTGTTCGAGAGTTGTATGAATATGCACGAGACACATCTGGAAAGTACACTATTCCGCTACTTTGGGATAAGAAGACGAATACCATTGTCAATAACGAATCATCTGATGTCGCATACATGTTCAACTCTTGTTTCAACAAGTTTGCTGCAGATATCGACCTCGATCTATACACAGAGGATGACGAAGATGGGCTCCACAAGCTCAATGAAGTGAGCCAATGGCTGTACCCCATGATGATCCATGGAGTCTACAGGTGTGGATTTGCTAAAACTCAAGAGATGTACGATAACGCCATCAATCAGCTCACAGCGGCCTTCGATATGGCCGAAGAGCTTCTTTCTAAGCAAAGATACCTCACAGGAGATACTTTGACAGACGCAGATCTTCGTCTTTTTGTCACTTTGCTTCGCTTTGACGAAGTCTATGCATTCTACTTCCGTGCAAACACAAGGCTAGTGATGTTATCACCAGCTCTCTTGAACTTTTGTAGAGAGATCTATCAAATGAAAGGTGTAGCAGAAACATGCGACATGGATCAAATTAAGGCTCATTTTTATGGGTCGCATGCAGAATGGAACAAGTATTCTGTCATCCCACGTGGGCTTGGATTCATCAAACTGCTAGAACAGCCACATGACAGAGATCAATTTGAATGCGAAGAAGCAACTGTGTCCGTGAGAAACGGAAGAGTTTCATTCTAAACTCACCATGACCCACCCGCTACAAGAGGTGATGGTTGTTGAATGCATTTTGGAGTTCTGTTACATGAAATAGATAGAATCAATATGTAATGGTTATGTATGAATATATATGAACTGGAGCGCTTTGCTAAAGAAAAATAACATGGTTCGCAGCTTTTTTCTTCACTTCTAATGTCGTTGTTTTGCTACAAAATTCGAGCCATTTTGTACGAGTCATGCCACACGATGTCGAGTCATATACCACACTGAGAAATCAAAAGGTTGCACCTGAAATCTGTACACGTGTAGTCTGTCCGCCGCTCACTCCCGCTTCAAAGTCGGTGTCATCACCATTACTCAACTGAGGTATCTTGCTGCCATGGACTACTTTGGCAAGGACACTGCATGGTATGGTGGTTGGTGTCGGGGACGTCGAAGCATCAACTGTCAAGTGCGCATAGAAGATGGCTTTTGCGACTGTGTAATTGCGGAGCTTCCACAGGCATGCATGACTGGATGTAGACGCAAGATTCACGAAGGAGATTGCATCACAAAGAACGGCGCTGGTTGGGGCCATGTGGAGTGTGAGTGTGATAACTCTTCTCATAACCACCGGAAAAGACGATCACAACGACGGGGGCAGCACGAGGAAGAGAAAGAGGGACAAGAGCCTCAGTTGAACCAAGACAACTCGTTGGAGGGAATTTTGGAGGCAATTTCGAAGTACCGCAGTCCGTCCCAAAGAAGCGCCCCCACAGCAAACTCACGCCGACCACAGGTACGAGTACATGTAAATGGAAAGAACACTGAAGAGATAGATGGTCACACTGGAAGAAAGCTGAGGCTTAGAACGGTCAAGGCTGAAATCATAGATAGGAGCAGGTTGAATTCAAAAGTATCGAAGATACAGGAGGGTCGTCCTCATTCTGAGGTGAATTCGAGTGTGCCCTCCTTGCCTATTGTTACACCTCAATCAGGGAAGAAGAGACCGAGGGACGAAAGCACGGTCAAACCTAGCAGGCCCAGCAGAAGATTACAGTTTGAAGGCTGATCGACGTCTTGAAACTCAAACGTTCTGCAAACCTCGAAAATTCACGGGTATGAGAATTCTGATCACGCTACATGTTATTCATGATAGTTGAGGAAGCAACATTGAATGTAAATAATTGACGCACATCTGTTCACTTGACACCACAAGTTTTGAGCCTTGACGATTACTAGTATACTACCATTACACTTTACGACCTTTACCAAAAATGCCGTTGGGATGGATAGCAAGTTTCCATGGATAGATATGGCAAGAATAAATGAAGATATGTTGCACTTCTACGAGCAGCGAACCACGTACCTCGTACTGGTATTTACTGGTACCAGTACTCTCGTAATTTCATCCTATCGAAGATAGCCAACTGGCGCCTGCCGCCTGGTTTCTTCCGTGAGGGATTCTTGGTGTGACTCTGGTGGGTTGTGGTGTGAAGCTGGTCTTTTGGATTGCGCGCGAAGCGCGCGGTTCCAAAAGGCCAGTCTTTGATATTCCGCGAAGCGGGATATCAAAGACTTGCTTGCCTACTAGGCCTTACGGAGACGTAGAATGCGTCGATGTAAGGCCCAACAGGGATGTGGAGGGAGGGAAAGAAAGAAATAAACCTTATTTCTTGACGTATACTCGCACACAAGTTCGATAAACTGATCGGACTTGGTGTTGCTGAGCAATGCTGTTGTGACGGTCGTTCGACCGTGGTCAGTATGATGAAAGGAATCCAATGATTCGTTCTCGAGCTTTCGTCTACGTTAGAGAATCTCTTCGAAAACGGAAAATAAACGGACAGTGCCGGACCATACAGAAAAAGAGGAATATTTTCAGGAGAACATATTACACTATGGCCTACCTTTTGCCACACTTACACAATGGATGGGAAGTCGATCAAGCAATCGTCACAGAAGAGGATCGAGTGGTACTTATCCGATTTGGGAAGGACGACAACTCAACCTGCATGGTTCAAGACGAAGTGTTGATGGCAATTGCCGACAAGGTCAAGAACTTTGCTGTTATATATCTCGTCGACAATGAAGAAGTTCCAGACTTCAATAATATGTACGAGCTATTCGATGAGTAAGTTTGGATGGGAGTTTACTGAATCGATGAATCAATCAATCGAACAAGCGAGCACTGATTTCCAGTTTGGACTCACTTGAAACCCATTTTTGCATTCTAGCTGCACGACAATGTTCTTTTATCGCAACAAACACATAATGGTGGACTTGGGAACAGGGAATAATAATAAAATCAATTGGGCATTAGCAGACAAGCAAGAATTCATTGATATTATTGAGATGGTATATCGGGGAGCCCGAAAAGGACGGGGTTTGGTAGTCTCACCAAAAGACTATTCCACGAAGTACCGGTATTGAGTCCGAATCCCTTTTTCATTTGGTAATCGAGAAATAGAAGTATCAGTCAGTATAAATACAACAAAAAATCTATTTGGGATTCTTCTATTATCACAGGCCCAATTTTCGAACAAACTCAGGTCCGAATTCGGGATACTTCATTCGCGCACAACCAAATATTCTTTCAGGAAGATACTGTTCTTCATCAGCTTCCAGCAAGAATCCCATGTCCACCATCAGACTCTTGGCATAGCCAAGGCTCAAACGAATAACCCCCGTAGCGACTTGACTCGATCCACAATCCAAAATGACTTCCACGAATCTCTCTGACCGGGAGTAGTATTGTGCTAGCTTCGTTCCCATAATTGCTGGCGTACTTCCAACTGCTTTACGAACCATAAAATTACCTTCCACAATCTGTGGGATAAGCTTGAACGTCTTATGCCGAAATTGATCCGAATCACCGAATAGGAACTCTTTGCAAAGTTTGGAAGACCCGGTACCATCGGTTCCATCAATAGTACTCATGTCATCCACAGCATAGTAAAATACAGCATGATAAAACGGTGGCCCAGGAAGGACGATATTGACCAAAAAGACAAACGGCGGCATATCGCTCTCTTTGCCAGCACTCAGAAGTTCCTTTTCTTTCTTGAGTGCTCGTTGAATGCGCTCCTTTGGATGAGTCGCCATTCCAGAAAGAATTGGCTGCTCAACGTTTACAAGATCAACAGCTACCAATCGTCCGATGCTAGCACCAGCATTGACTTTCTTCCTGTCCTTCAAGTAGGTAGGCCCGCGCACCACAAAAGAATTAGCGTCCGGTTCTGCCCATTTCTCAACACTCAATGCAGGAGGGTAGTTTTCAAAACCACACAGTGTTCGCAATGAGAAACGGGCCGAAGCATCCACTCGTTCTCTGTCGGCAAAACGCATGTCGTAGCTTATTTTCTCGTTGCTGGAAATAGCATGAACCATTTTACCGTCGTCTCCTTCCAGCTTGGAACCATACCTAGGGATGTTGAGATCTGGGGAGACATCGATAAACCGGTCATTCTCGACGGCGTCTCGAATGTCCAACATTTGAAGCAGTGCAGAGATGCCAAATGCATCGACAAACGTCTGATTTGATAAGAACGGTATTGCCTTGGTAGGAACCCATCCTCTTGGATCGACTTGCACTACGTTTGTAAGCATACATTCTGGCCCAGCTCCCACTTGACCCCTCCGTAACCCGAGAGGCTTTTTAGTAGGAGCCAAGGTTGATACTTGATGCATGATTCCTCGAACAAAGCCTGGCTGCGGTGGACAATCAGGGTGTTCGACTGATTCATAGCAAACAGAGTAGGAACCGTCTGGCTCGTATCGCCAGTAACGGAAGAGAACGTAGTCTCTAGGTTCCGTCCAGGAGGGAAAGAGATAAAGCTTTCGGAAGAACAAATGAACAATGTCGGTGTGATCATCGATCTGTTCAAGCACCCGGAAGGATGCACTGTGTCCTGACTTCGGGACGAATCCATTGTCCTTGATCTCCATGGAGTCTAATCGACCGTTGGACATGAGACACATAAAGGCGTCTAGGGGATGAACGTTGAGAATGACGCGTGCTCTTAGAGGAACGCTTGTGGTAGCTCCTCCAACTGCGAGGCGGAAGATCTTTTTGGATTTTGTAGGAATCTCGACCTTTTGCTCCTTAAAGACTCGGAGGCTCTGAGCTCCAGGACCAAACATGGATGACCAACCGCCTTCAACAGGTTGCCATAACGCACTATCCCCTGAAAACCCACCATAACGAAGAAAGAGGTTGTGCTCCCTATCAGATACGTTTTCTGGGGCGTCCCTAACTTTGTTCTGTAGAGCCATCATCAAGTCATTGTGCTTGGCCATCAGATCAATATCATGCGGGACCACAGTGTCGATGGTTTTTCTCCCTTCAGCCACGAATTTTTGGGCCCAGGTACTACTCATTCGTATTGAATCACTCGCCAAATAAGCATCCAGAGATGATTTCCAAACTTTGGCTGTTTCAAAGTTTGCAGTTGCTACCGTCAAGACACCCTTTTGCTTCTTCAGCTTCCTAATCCCAAAATCGGCGGCACCAGCCGTCCCACCAGCTGCTGCAGCAGCACCCAAGACTACCAGTCCAGCAGCCATTCCTGCACCAGCAGTCAGGACACCAAACCCCACAGCAGCACTCGTTGCAGCAGCTATTTTGGTTCCTTCAATCATCCTCTTGTGCACCTCTTTCGTCTTCCGTTTTTCCTTGTCATAAAAGGCATCTTCAAGAATTCCTTGCTCCGTTGAATGTCGACCTTCGTGTGCCTTCTGACCTCGAGCCTTGGTGTTGAAAGAGTCTTTATGTTCGAGACGTTGCTGGTGTGGCGAGCCGTGCTTTGGGGAATTCCTATTCCTCTCCTCTCCATCGGGCATAGGTTTGTAATCTGGAAATTTCTCTGGTGTATCCATTTTGACAAAGGAAGGGACACGGGATGGAGGCTCGCTCCCTTTGCTTGGTCTGCTAAATGCCAAACCATTTTCCGACGTTCCAGTAGAGGATATACTACCATAATCGGATCCAACTTCTTGCGAAGTTCGGGGTTTCATTTTTTTCCCAAAGAATCTTCGCTTGGGATTCGAAAAAGAATCTGATGAATGAAGCTGCTGATGATGTTTGTCGGATCGACTACCGGTAGCATTCCCACTCGAGTAAACCGATCGAGGAGTGTCTTGTTGTGAACTAGGAACGTAAGATATGTCATCAGGTGCAGTTTCGTCAATCGGAAAGGAGTAATCTGACACCTCGTCACGTTCCCATGTAATGGTGAAGCAATAAAGAAGTTCTTTTTTGCCCCTTTGCTCCACAAACATCTCGCCGATGCGGCATCCCGCATCTTTGGTAATTCGAAAAGTTGCATTATGTCCAGTTGTACCATGTGAGTATGTCAGCGTATGATCATTGGTGAAGGCAAAATGGCGTTCCTGCCAAACCTTCTTTCGACTGAGCTTGAGCAGCTTTCCTTCCAGCAATATTTTGGGTGCAGGACGCTCTTGTGCAAGCGAGACTGATCCTTCAGAAGATTCAGCCTTGGTCATTTTGATTCAAAATGTGTTCTTTTGAGACCAAAATCAAAATGTGTTCTTTTGAAATCAAAAACAGCAGCAGCAGCAAAAACAACAACAACAACAGCTAGAATCACGATGATAATGAAGATGATTGAGGACTAGAAGATTGTCTTCGAGTCACCGCATGCAGGGGGAGGGTTGCCAATCGATTGGGTGATGTACATACACCGGTATACGTACTACTGAAGTGAAGTTTGAAATTATAGTACAACCAAAAACACGCGAATTGAATCAAATCCGGGTGACGAACAATTCGAACATTTTTTCAACGGCATCGAGGTACTACTATAGTGTTTGCTCCAGAAAAATAAACCCCCGCAAATGGAGAGGTAGCGTGACATGTTACATGGTAACCATGCTCTTTGGTGGAATGCAACACTTTTGTAAATGAAGCATAGTAATACATTTAGAACGCTTTGTAGAGTATGTAGAAAAAAAGCTATACTTCTTCGTCGCCCACCACTTTGGACAAAACAGTGTTTATCTCCTCCAGTTTCCGCCTAGCCAGGAACAAGCGTTGGGAGATGCTTGTCATCTCCAAGATGTCCTGTCTTGACAATATCATGCGTTGTGTGCCGATTAGATCACTGTACGCGGACATCAAATCCTCCACTAGAATCCACACTGTGTAACTGAGGCGTCGACTCCGTCGGAGTGCTGGATAATCCGAAGCGGCTTCCATGGTATCCAACTTTATCTTTTTGTCTAGCATCAACTTGGATTTGTTCCGTGATACTAGTGACTGTAGATTCTTCATCTTTTGATTGTATTTGGTCAAGGTAAAGGTCTTGGGCCACGGCTTTGGTGGATCTTTGGGAAGTAGGGCCAATATCTGTGATGGAATAGGCATGTTGGTGTTTGTTTTGGGGTCCAGTAGACGCAAGTAGTGCAGCAGAGTGTCTAGCTGGATCCACACATCTCTTTCCAATCCAAAGGTTTGGATCATCATTGTCGTCTCTTCCAATGGAGGTAACTCGCTAACTTCCAAACTGCCGTCCTTTTCTTCGTCGTCATCAAAACTCAGCATGCATTCCCCTTCGTGCGCATCATCTGGCGATTGGATCAGATATTCCTCCATGGCGTCTGACACCACAGTATTAGAAGAAGATTCCACCTTGGCATTCAACCGAGAGACCCCCTGATCCGCATTTCCATTCTTTGCCTTCAACTTCATGGGTTCAAACTCGTATTCGTGCCATTCGGCCGCCTCAGCTACAGCCCCCGCACATGCTGCCCCCTTTGCATTTTGATTCAATGCCAAGTCAAAGGTTGCAATGGCCTCCTTGGCACTGTGATAGTGGGCTTCCACCAACTCGAGATCCGGCAATAGTTCGACTCCGACTTGCTTCATTCCCGCCACATTGAGAGTCGTACCCTCAATGGCACAAAATCGTCCCAGGGCTTGGACTCCAATCTCCAGAATGCCAGTGGCTTTAACCAGGGAATAATCTGATATTTGCATCAAGGTTCCAATCGTGGAATCCAAAATTTCGTCATCATCGTAAGAATTGTCGTCGTCATAATCACTATCTTCCTTGTTGACATGTCCAAAATACCAGGGCTTTGGTCCAGCCACGATCTTTAGCACTAGATTTATCAGCTGTGGATCCCTAACATCCATTACGCGTTGCAATCCTGGGAGTTCGGTCTGCAATGAATCATCCGGATGATTGAAAGACAACATTAGGCAAATTTCAAAGTGTGACGACAATATATTTGTCCTACTTTGTCAGATGGTGCATACCGGTACAATGCCACCGAGAAGTTGTGATATATATATAGAGAGAGAGAGCACTCACATAGTCTTCCATCCAAAGGGGCAAGCTCGAAAGCACGCCATGCCGCAGAGGTGCGAATCCAGGCTCATTGACATAATAAGACTTTTGAAGTCGTCGCACCGATTCCATACGTCCTTCCTTTCCCTCGGATTCGTCGTCAAACTCCAGTGGATTGTAAAAAAGCGCAGATGGGCGTTTGGGAAGACCTGAAGTCGTCGGGGTGTTAATATCCGGTGATGATTCAGGTGCTGGTACTGGGAAAACGGAAGGTCGAGCCATACATGGAACAAAGGCATTTCCGCCGTTTGGCAGTATCAAACAACATTGAATGAGAAAAAATGTCGGTAGTCTCCGTCGATTCATGGTAATGTTTCTGTCTCGCTTCCCCTGTGATTTGCGAATGAGGTCGGTGTTCTAATATATAATATGCGTGATTGCAACTTGTTGCTGTCGCTGTCGCTGTGGCGTATGTAGTGCCGGCAGTGGCAAGTACTGGTACGATGATACAACGCCTTCCGAACAACATCAGTGCAGAAATGCAGATGCAGAACAGAAGGCGAAGCCGTGACGTCGCGAGATCAGAACTGAAACATGGTCGAATGGGTCGGATCACGAGTACTATTTTGAGGTCACGGGAACGACCCAACATGAAGAGCAAGATAGCACTTGAAAGTACTCTACCGTAAGGCTGTGATAAAGGATTTTTACTGATTTAACTTATTGTAACTCATTATGTTACCTATCACATTTCCCTGGAGTAGCAGCTTCCACGCTTGAGCTGCTTTTGCGCTTTGCATCATCTCCTGGCTGTAACAAATATCGGCTCGCATTCTTGACGCCAACTTTGATAGAAGCAAGCATGACGAACAATGAGGTGGGAACATTTTCGGACATGACGAACATTCTCAACTTTTCCAAATCCATGATCAACTGTTTGACGCGGTCAAAGATGGGTTCTTTGTCTGATTCCGTCTCGTAACCATGGTAGGTGCTAGGTACACAGTAGGTACACAATAGATTGCGTTGGAACAGTGCATGATGCACTTTTGAGGAGTGTTTTCCACAATCAAGCACTGTTCCATACGGAAATACTCTTGTGCCTCTAATGGCAGGTCTTTGTTGTTCCTTACTGTACTTTACGAAGTTCTTTGACTCGGTGACACGGGCATTCCCAGGTGTGCCTAATAGGCGCGGGGTACACGAGTGACTGTAGGGTCCACATCATATACATGCATCACCCGGTGCATAACAGGTCACTGCGAATTGATACTTCATTGCAACTAAGTTTCTAGCGTGTAGCTTGGAACCATAAGCAGCTGTCCAGAGTGCAACACGGTGACCTTGTTCTTGCTTCCAACAACAGCAAGAGCCATGATGGTTGCAAGAATTCAATCGTTCTGGATCTCAGTTGCCACTGATGTATGTGCTCGCTTTCGCCGATGAGCGTCCCACCAATACCAAACACGATAACAAGCTTGTGAGACTGTGATGATGAATTCGTATTAGGTGGAGATGTCTCTTGCTTCTGATGAGTGATTGATTCATTGATTCATTCCCACTGTCAAACGTGCACCCTCGGTAGAAAGCGCTAAGTTAGAACGATTTTGAAGTGTGACTCAGACCTACTGTACGATACCGCACTCTGTAGTAATCGTGTTTTGAGACTTCTTTAGTTTTTATTTAGAAATTTGTGGTGACTCTGAAATCAAACGCAGGGTTTTTTCTCGCGGACTGCTCAACATTTTGTAGACAGTCCAACTGGTCGACGAGACACCAAGGTCCCGTATTTCTCAATCACTCAATGATGGCTCCCGCTTTTTAGTCCAAATGGTCCAGACATAACAGATGTGACTGAGGAGCGAAGTACAGACGGCGTCTGTCATGCGACATCAAACACGATTACTACAGAGTGTACGATACCTTATGTATTCTTGCTCAGACTCGCGACTTGAACCTGTATTCTGTTTAGCTTCGTCTTCTAGCGCTTAAAAGTCCATAAGATCCTGGTCCTGACAGGAGGTGAGGAATCTAAAATGACTGAACTGATGAAGAACTTTTTTAAAAACGATCCAATGTGGGAAAATTAGGTTTCAGCACGACTTTCAAAATCACCATTGGGTGCATCGTCGTGAACTTTTTGACATGTTTTCATTGGAGGGGCATTCAAACAGTTGAAACTCGTGGGGAATGGTAACAATACACCATGGCGTCTCCATGCATTAACATAAGAGGAAACTTGAATCACCCAATTGCCAGTTGTATTCTTGCCCGAGACTAGTCGGGCACTTTGTAGATTATCACTCCAGACGCTACTATCGACACTCCGGGCGCGGCCAGTGAGGGGAGTTTCCGGGTCTTGTGGCTAAGTGGGTGCTCGGCGAAAGAAGACCAAAGTGACAGTCTCGTGATGAAGGTTCTTGATATGACACAAATGGTCACCTTGCTCATTCTGTGTCTCAATCCAATGTGGCGTGCATGCTTCCAAACTAAGCTCGTAAGTCTCATCACGTTGCTTTGCTTCAATACAGCTCATTTCCTGCAGGCAATCGGAAGTGCAAAGTCGAACAAATAGTAATCTAGTGCCACAAATTCACAAATTGCCTTCATCGTATCATTGACAATCAAATGCGGTTTGCGAGGAAAATACGTTGTTTTGAACTCTGTTGCCGATGCGTTTCTTCCTGTACCGAGCGATTCGTTGTATTGAAATCCAACAATCTCCAATAGGCCCGGCAGTTCTCTCAAGTCTCCCACGAGATCTACTTTTGGATCTACAGTACCTTTCTTGGTAATAAGAAAGCTGGCTTGCGGAAAAGAGTGCATGGCACAAGCGCACTTCCCAAGACATGGCGCAGTTCGAAACGCCATGGTCTTTGTCCTGTCGAGCCATTGCTGTATGCGTCTACTGTATGACTTTTCATCATTAGTACCCTTCCCCGTACTTTGATAATTCCATTCCATGTATTCTGGAAAGCGTTCTCCGCATTCTTGCCAGCCGCTCAGAAAGTGTTCCAATGGATCTCGGACTGTTGCAATCATTCGTCGATTGCCAATTGCCTTTCGTTGTACGTGTTTGGACCCCGTTTGCTTTTCCAACGACGTTCCCCCAGTCTTAAAGATATGACGAAACGCAAAGCGATCGTTCAAGATGAGGGCATGCCAGCGATTCCAATATTTCCAAGTAGCGGTAGAAAACATCAATGGCGATGAACCATGGTCTCGTTCGAGTGAGTTCTTTCGAGCGAAGAATCGTTCCTGTTGTCTCATGGAAAGAAGGAGCCCGTGTTCTTCCAATTCATTGGAGTAAGGGACACCATACAACGCAGGTCTCTTGACTTTCTCATCAGCCTTCCCGTCGTTTAACAATGGCAAAGGAGGATCGTTTCGTCGATTCTCTCTATGATTGCTTTGGATTGATTCAGCAGTTGCGCCTTGATGCAACTGAACTCGAAACTGCTGAGTGATCTGCCATATAGCACCTCCTGTGCTCAGAAGAAAGATAAGGCGGACGAGGCTCCCTTTCATTGGGCTATAAAGCACATTGCAGCTATCTATTGGTTGCCTTGTTTTTCTATTGATTGATGCAATGCAATGCAATGCAGTGCATGCATGCGCATCGCATTTCATTCATGCCAAGCGACGACTACTTCGACCTTCAAAATTAAAAATCTATCTTGAATCTACAGTACGAGTACCTGGTACTCTTCGTCAATCGCTTTGAGTACAGCCTGACAAATCTGTTCGATCTGCTCTTTCCTTATCTCTCCCGACCATGCGTCTCGAAACTCAGATTCAGGATCCTCGATGAGGCATCGGAGCAGTTGTTGAACCTGAGCTTCAGATTCTTCTGGGAACGAATGAATAACATAGTCCAACCACTCCAGATCGACATCTCTCAAACCACGTCCCCAAAGAAAGTCAAGACAGGCAAATAGAAACTTATTCAGTGTTTCGGAGCTTGTGCAAACGATAGTGAGAAGCTGCCAGCATGGATGGGAAGCAAGGACCCCTTCGACGTCATGACATGTGGCGTATAGTGCTTGACTCATCTCAATCCATGTTCGATAGTCCATGTTGCTATTTTCGTCTGATTTCCATGGCGTTGGATTCTGTATAATCTCTTTGATCGTTTGTTCGTAGCTTGCAAGTTGGTCCCAAAAACCTTGATTGGGATTCACTTTGGGCCGTCTCTTCTTGACCAAAACATAAGCTTCATCGCGAGTCATGCTTTGATATCTCATGAGATAGGCAATTACGACTGTCGATGATCGGGAGACTCCATATTCGCAATGTACCAAAACCGACCCTTTTCCAAGCATGGCATGTAGAAATAGTGCTGCGCCCTCCAAGTATCGCAGAATATCAGCAGCACTGTTGTCATGGACATTAACCTGGGAGTATTTGAAACCCTCCATGTGGAATAGCGGACCTCGACTTGTACAGTTGACTATGGCTGCAATATTCGCGTCTTGTAAGGCATCCAGTGCTTCTTTACTTGCTACAGATTGAGGTCCCAGATAGATTTTGTTGCCTGATGGCTCCGATTGATAAACTTCGTGAGCATGTCCAAACAAAGTTGGTTCAACAAAACTTGTTACGACCTCAGGTCGACTTTGATACTGACATCCTAAGGTCCTGAGGACGACATAATTTCGAAGTGCGGCTCTTTGTAAAGAATCCTTGTTGTTGTGGGTCATGGTTTTCTTGTGAGGCGGGTGGTGATTATTCGGTTGATGGGTCCCGCACGTTTGGAATCTTGTGTCTGTCCTTCACACGGATTTCAATTGATTCAGAATTCAGAAATTCTTCATTGTTCGTTCATTTATTCACGTCTCGAAAAATAAGAAAACTACACTACTGGCCCAGTAGAGCTCGATGACCTCTCCTTAGTGCACCAAAACTCAATATGATAATGAAAACGAATGCAAAATATTTCTAGTTATGCAATGCGCTTCTACGACAATTCAAGATCATTTTCATCTTCGAATTGATCCTCAAAATCGTCGTCCCGATACACGGCCCCCTCCAGAGTCATATCACCAAGCTGGTCTACGGCTTTGTTGTACCTTTGAGTTTGCGCTCTTCGGCGGTGGTAGCAGCAGCAGACGCAGCTAAGAACGCACACCAATAGAAGTGTAATCATCATTGTAAAACCCAAATAGAATGGATTCGAGCCAATCGTATGGATCTCCGATTGAAGCATGGGTGGTTCCTCGGCAATTCCAGTAGCGCTCGCGTCGCATCCAAAGGCCGAAATTGTCTTCACTTCCAAATCGACCATACCCTCAATGCCTTCACCCCAGAATGACATTGTTTCCATTCGCTTCAACCATTGTTCTGATGGGCAGTAGGATGGATCATCCGAACACTCCACGGTAATATCCCCGGTGGCATCGTTCCATTTATCGCTAAATTTCTTGAATGGAATCATCACAGTTCCGAACTCTCCTACTGCAGGCATATCTTCCAACGCCAATGGCGCTTTATACCCATAGGCAAAGCGTCCCCCCTTCACATGGGCTTTGCCAAAGCTCACTCGATATCCGTTATATTCCGTATTAGTTTTGATCTCGAATTCGAAGCCTTCACAGGTGCTAATATCTGCAAATTTTGCCGGTTTTTGGTAGAATTGGCTGCCTGTTTCCATGGTAATAAAGCCTGGTGCGCTCAGCTTCGGAACAATGGCGCATTTTCCTGTGAACTTGGCAATTCCATCCTCTGTGATTTCAAGGCTACTGTAAGATTCTCCGCCCATCACTGGATCATTCATAACAGTCTTTGTTTGAAAATTCAACAGTTATGTCAGGTCCACACATCCAACAACTATTGACAATGATTATACATCGTTCGTTTCTTACCCATTTGTTCGTTGGATTGGAGAAGTCCTCCAGAAGTATCTTCTTGCCACTCATGGCATTGGCATCAGACTTTTCATCCACGTCGCTGATGGAATTGTTGCTCATGTTGAGAAATAAGAGGGTATCAACTTGTTTTGTCTGCTTCTAATCAAGATCAGGAATGCTTTAGAATTAGAATGCTTCGTGATTATATGTCGATGTGGCATTATGTGTACGCACGATTCTCAAACGAAACTCGTGACGGAGCTTTTGGCGATTTCTGGGATTGGCTGTACAATGGAGAATGGAGAATTTTGAGTGAGGAAGGAGTAATGGAGAATGGAAAGTAGGGGAGTTTGTTACCATTTTTTGTGTCATCATACCCCATTGCTGTCTTCGATACCAACCAAGATGTACTCGCAACGATCATTTAGGACCCACAAGCCATCCGATGGATTATATTTAATTTATGGATACTTGGAGCTGATGGATTCTATGTCCCTGGAGTCGAACCCCAATTGTTTGAACAGGGAGAATCAGTTATACTACGGGTGAATTCATTGACTTCCATTCACATTCAGGCATCGAAACAATACTATGATCTTCCCTTTGCTCTCCCGATGGAGGTTCTAAATAGAAGAGTCAACATCTTGGGGAGTTTCTCTGGGAACAGGATAGAGAGTAGCCCGTATCAGCTTCAAATGAAAGTTGACACTTATTGCCAGATTCTATGGCTAAAGATGAACAAAAATCGTTTCAAACGCTTCTCAGCGTGTGTGCTGGGAGCGGGGTCCAACTGTTTCTCTGTTCATTGGTGGTAACTATACTAGGCGCTTTGGGAATCTCGAATCCTTCGCGTCATGGGCATTTTATTCAATCTTTCCTGTTGTTGTACGTCTTCAGCGGAACACTCAATGGGTATGTCAGTAGTAGATGATTGTACAAGGCGTTTGGTGGAGAACAGAATAACCTGTGTATACTTGCGTCGGCATTTAGTGTATCTGGGGTATCCTTTCTAGTTTTTCTTTTCCTGAACATCTTGTTGGTTGTCAATGGGCCTGTGGCAACTCCGATTTCAGTTGTCGCCATGTTGGCTGTGATGTGGTGCCTATCAGCAGCAATGGTGTTCATTGGAGCTCATATCGGATTCAAAAAGGAAGCGATGACTATTCCTTCCATTGCACGGGTTAACGCAAAAGAAAACATCATGCACCTCTGCTGAATATGTCTCGATCCAAGCTCGTCACACTGCTATTATTAGCTGCAACATTGGTCACCGCTTTGATACTTTCTGAGACATGGATGGACTACATTACTGGGCTTGCGTTGCTGTCGTGGTATTGACATTGATTTGTGCGACTCTCGGGCGTCTACCTCTGTGGGCCAGAGTCATGCCAGCTGGAATTTTGCCATTCGCCATGATATACGTGGAGCTATACTTCATAATGACAAACCTGTGGATGAATCAGTATTACTATGTATTTGAATACACGGTGATGGCCTATATCGCGCTTGTAGTAGTTGTGGCTGAAGTCACAGTACTATTGGTGTACAACGAGCTTTGCTCGGGAACCTCTCGGGTGTGGTGGCCTTCTTTCTTGGCAGGAGCATAGTCAGGACTGTATGCGTTCATCTACAGTATATTTTGGTTTAGTAATCTCGAACATGCCGAAATGATGATCACATATGCAGCGTCTTTTGGGTATATGTCGATTGCCTGTGGAGCAATAATGCTCGTAACAGGTTCAGTTGCATTATTTGCGGCTTTGTGTTTCGTCCGCACGATTGTGGGGGCTCAGGCAGAGTAATGTGTTGACTTCGGAAGAGTTACCCTGTTTCATCCTTTGCAAACGCAATGTCGTCACATGTTTCACATTCAAGAGAGCGAAGACAAATCTGGTGTGCGATGAAGAGGCTTAAGTCCTTTTCCACCCAGTAACTGGAATGCGCCGCAAGAGCTGCAACGTATTCGTTAGCGCTTTCGATCTCCTTTTCTTGAAGCATGTGATCAATCCGTTGCTGACCCATTTTTGATAATTAGATGATGAGATCGGACGAATCGATATTGTAACAATGAGTAGACTCTACTTACACCGCGATTGAGGGATCCCATTTCAACCTGTGGGTCGTCGTGATAGACAGCGTCAATCTCTTCTTCCTCATCGGAGTCATCATTAGAAACATGAAGAAGACCAAGTGCCGCAAAGCCCGATTCAAGACCTTCCAATACGGTCTCTTGTGTTTTAAGGGTTTCGCTGACAATCCTCCTCCACAATCGCTTCGTTTGATATTGGAAACGATAACCTCCGTGCCCTGCAAAGATCGGAAAGTTCGTGAGGCATGGCACAGAGCAGCAATCTTATGATTCTCACAAGACTTACAGTGAGACATTATCCTCGGTTCGATCTCCGCATTTCTCGAGTCCAAGAGTGGCCTGATCCGAGTACAAGAGTATAATGAGTAATTAAGCAGAGTGATAGAGACATCACCAAGCCACACAAGACTTACTCAATCCTATAGGCAACAGGGTCGTAAGCTGAAGAAAACGAAGGGGGTTTGGTGAGTATCTCGCGGAGCAAGGAAATGCCATGGCCCGGCTTTGAACATACGATGAAATATATTGAAGATCTGCGAACATCCACCTAATGTGTAGTCAGAAGAAAGTGGTTTTCGAGGATTTCGAATCATGAGGAACACAGCAATTGGTGATCCAAGCATGAAGGCATTATCCACACTAAATGATAACTGTGGATAATTCGATAGTCGTTGTTCCGTATCTTCGACAAGTGGAGAGACTGACTCAGGATCGTTCTTGAGAGCACAATCCGTCGCACTAGATCCAGAATGTACCTGGGATGGAGATATGGTACGCTCAGGAACATTGTGCAACATTTGCGCAAGCCTATCACCAGGTGCATTTGCATTGGTGACCCTCTGGTTTTCAAGAATATCCCATGTGATGATGCTTCCTAGTGAATGACCAACCACTGAGGTGTCGCCAGTAAATCCTGTAAGTCTCTTAAATCTTTCAACAACAAAATTCATCTCGTTGACAACAATGTCTATGATAATGTCGTGATGTTCTGGTGACATGAAGTATAGGACATCCATGAGAGTATCATTGGCAAATTGACGTAGTTGTGGAATAGTTGGAAGAGCAACATCATTGATTGTGAAAATTGATTCTGTCTGTTCCGTCAAACCAGGTCCGAGTGATCTCCGTTTGGTTTCGATAGAGAACGCCTCGTGCCATTCGATTGGGAGGTATCTATTCGGCATTAAAGCGCACCTGTTAGGTTAAGAATTTCAATCGCAAAAGGACATAATCGTATTTGCAGTACAACAACTTACTCAACGCGACCGCGACGAGAATACCTTGTATTAAGGACTTCAGCATGATTGTGGCGTAGAAAGTCACAGCAGTCAACAATTGTGGGCATCTTCGACAAGCCAAAAATATCAACGTTGATCATCATTTCACCGATTCCATGAACAACCAAAACTAGATGTTCGATTGGTCCCTCGTCTTGCATGGCATTTGAGCTGTCTTCCGCTCTCGCGTTCAGGTCTTCTAGTGGAAAAGCAAGCGATGCTGATTCATATACTGTTTCATCTGATATATCGTTTTCACCCTCGAGCTGAGCTTTATCTACTGATTCGCGTTTGCCCTTCTTCTGTTTGGATTCGAAGTCAGGTCTCAAAAAGCTTGGGTCCGGTATACAATCCTGGAAAACGAACACTTGATCTTGCTCTTGCTCGGCTTCATCTTCCTCAATATCAGGTAACATCAGCAAGTCCGGATCGTAGTCATCCATCGCATTTGTAGCGTTTTCGAGCAAACCAGTATCCTCTGCAACGTCATCCTCGAAATCACTGTTAACTTCTTGGTACGCACCGCGGTAAACACGTCGTTTGAAAAGAGACATGGCTCCTTTCAGGCCCTTGCCAATGGCAGTTGCTGAAGTCAGTGATGAGAACTGTACCAACTGATATTCGGATTCGTCCGGACTGGGGACTTCTACTGTGAGTACGATTCCACCATCTTCCTTGGGTTGTTTGGTGGTCCATTTCAGAAACATGTAGGCATCCTCCAAAACAGCTTGAGCACCTTCCCCGTAAGGTTGCAAGCCGTGTCTCTTTGTGTCCAAGAACCAAACTGCTCGACGGACCTCATCACCAAGACCATGAAAGCGCCAGAGTGTTGGGCGCATAAGGAACGTCAAAGGAGGCGGTAGCTCCAAGGCATCACTCACCCCTGGCTCACGGTGGCAAGGAAATGCGGATACGGCCTAGGAGAAAGTGAGTGTAAACGCAAATGTTGAATGACCGGTTCTCTTTGCAATACTTACATATCGTTTCTGATCCAAGAGAAGGTCATTTTCCACGTCTACGTCGTACCAGTGCGCTTGTGTCTTGTATTTGGTACTCGCTGGTCTCGTTTCATCATTTATTTCTGCGTTATGATTTTTTGCAAATTCGATGAGCTTTATTTTGTCCTCATTGCCTTTCATCTTTTCTAAAGACGAAAGAAAGAACTCTTCGAGAAGACTTCCTTCCTTTTGGCTAAATTGTTTCCAAGGAGTATCTTTGCTTGGTCTTTGTCCATTATAATTCGGCAACCGAAACCAGAGAGGGATGACCTCAGGGAACAGTGTCTTATCCACGCTCTTCTCGTCGTCGTCGTCGTCATTGCGTTGTAGAAGAAAGGAGCATTCCGATTCTCGATACTTTGGTGAGGATGACAGCCATTCATCATCTATTGTGAGTTGACCTCCTCGTTCGCGTAACAGTCCCGTCAGTACAAGATCATGATATAAATGTCGATTGTACGTTCGAATGTGAGCTGCTAGCTCATACCTGGCCACTATACCATCCAAGGAAAAGTACCGCTCACATATATGGTCCAAGACTTCTGACTTGTTCAGTTTGTTGAGTGTGGCGTATGGGCCCGACCCCAATACTTTCCATTGAGTGTGACTGATGGTACGTGTAATATTCGCATCTGCTCGCTTCGCATACAGCATGATTTCCTGGCTACTCTTTGACAAACACCATTTGGTGCCCGTCATGACAAACTCAACAGAATCCCGTACTTGAGATGGTGAAGGAATGGGATACTGAGCAATTTTCCAGGACTGCTTCAGAATTTCAGCTCCTTTACATACGGCCGGTGCAAGAATGTTGTCTCCTACGTATGGAACTTGTTGAATCACACCAAGTCCAGCTCGTTCCAACGCTCGACATTGTTCTGACTGAAGAAATCCTATGGTTTCAACTGCAATATGCTCAACACCACCAAAGGCAGGGAGGAGAACCCAGTCTCTGACGGGAACCAATAATCCGTGTTCCAGACCATTAGCTCCAGCCTTGGCAGCACCATATAATCCACCAGCAGACGCACCCGTCACGTTTAACAGGCCACGCAACGCGTTGTACAACTGTTCCCATTGATCAACAGCACTTTGAGCAGCAACGATTGACGCGTCATTGGAGTCCCATATCTGCTTTTTCGTAGCCAAAGCGGCTCGCTTTGACACTCGCGTAACCTGCCGCAAGGTTGATGGAGCAAGTAGACTCGGTCGATGATGCATCATGATAGGAGGGGTACCGTGGTCATGGTTCAATGCATCTCCTGCTGTAAGTGAAAGTCCATTGTCTTGTCCTTGTCGAGATTTTCGTCTTGGAGAATTATCGTCATGTGTTGTCATTGTATCACTGCATTGGATATTATAATGGAAAGGAGGTATTTCTATTTCAAGTGGCTGAGAAGAAGGTTGTTTGTTGTAGGTCGTCACAACATTTCGTTGTGAGAATTGCACCGTCACCACCTCCGGGTCCTTCGCATCGTTTCAGTTGATTTGGATTGAAATGAAAATCTATCTGGACAGACCCATGATGTTACGATATAGTAATTGATTGTCTTATTAAAATTAATGTTTTCTAACATTGGCATAGACTTCCCTAATATTTTTCATAACATGTCATTTATTTTTTACTTTGTCATATTTATCATTTTCTATTTGAAATACAAGGCCGATTGGTTCTTTGTATCTATGGAATACCGGTTCGTCGCAGTAACACCGCACTCTATTCCAAGTCCTTGAGGAGGAAAGAGTCCTCGAAAGCATATTTTGGAAGGCTTTCGGCCTTGATTTTCCAGCTGCGTCGCTTGGGCTTCTGGTCTTCCGGAGTGTATCCACCGACCCATTCGTCAACACGAAGAGAACGGTCGCCTTGTACCTTTCCCATTTTCTTGGGAGTGGTAACAATAGACTTTCTCTTAGGGGTGGTGGGGTCAGTGCCTGGCAAGAAATCTTGCTCAGTTCCAAAGCTTTGATTTTGTTCAAAGGAACTGCGCTTGTACGCTTTAACTGCTTCTTGGTTGACTTCGTAAACCATCTTTAGTCTTTGATTTCTTGCTTTACGTTTTGGTTTTGTGCTTTATTGTTTTGTGAGCTGAAACTGATTCGAAGCAAGTGTCCATTTGAGAACCTTGATTGTCTTGCCGGTATGGCCAATCTTGGTTGTTTGGTTTTGGGCATAACTTTGTGAGATGATCAATCTTGGTTGAAGCAACATTTATGCCACGCCGGCCGGGCCATTCTTGGCCATCATACTATTTTTGGTTTGCGAAACTGGTCGGAGATCCGATACGAAGTCGCACTGTTACGTACGAAACAAATTCAAGGTCACGGGCTAATTTGAACATATTCTAATATCTCATATGCAGATAGGACTACTAGAACGTCAAGTGAAATTATGTAAATACAAAAATATAAATATATGCAATTCCGGGTGGAAATATCTACTCAGCAGTTTTCCTTCCTGTGGGACTCATTTTGAAGCTACTGAGCTTTGAAATCATTTCATTCTTGCTCGACCAATCGTCACTTCGTAATATCGCCTCGAGCTTGTTAATACGATATTGGAGCTTCCTATTCTCGCGAGTCTGTGTATTAAGTTCGGCTTCCAGCGATTCTTGATCTGGTGCTGGTAATGTTTTTCCAGACTTAATGTTTTCCTTCATGTTGGCCATGCTCTTTGGTAGCATCGTTCCCATAGTGTCAACTTGCCCATCTCGACGGTTCAACTCCCATACCATGGTTTGCTCGATGAGTGGATATAGGTCTTTCCAACTGTTGTCAACTACCGCTTTCAGCAAATAGCATGCCTTCTCAAGCTGTTCATCTCTCTTTTGACCAGCGGTGGCCAGTTTCTTGTAGTTCCGTGTCAGTTGCGTGGAGGTCTTTCCTTTAGATTTTTTACGCAGCTCATCAACCTTCACTTCGTAGTGATATAGTGTTTCCTCGAGCTTGTCATAGGTTTGCAACTCGGCTTCGACCTTCGAGGTGACGGCTTCAGTCCATGCTCCGACATATGCCAAAATATGTTGCTGGTATTCTGTTGAGCTATCGGAGGAGAATATTCGGGCAAGTGCATGAACGGACGACATAGATCTGGGAGTGATCATGTCGTCGACTTGAGCTTTTGCATAAGACATGGTTGCAGATTCTGGGATCTCGTTCTTGCCAATATCAAGATGTAGTGGGGTTCCATTCGTCATCGACGTGCACTCATCAAAGAACTGTACATCGTGCACAAGGTTCATTAGCCAGACAACCAGTAATTTAACAGTCAAACAACAATTGTAAGCTTACCTTTGCCTGCGTTTTCTCTTTTTCGCAGATTGCTTTATGGAATTCATTGGAATGTACTACTAGTGACTGGAGTTGCTTTGCAAACACTTCATATCTTGCGGTTAGGATTACGATATCATCCTTGAGTGATACCTTGCTGGTCACTGATGCCGTCTCGGGTTTACTTGACTGGTCGTCATCGCTTAAAGTCAACAAGTCTTTGGAAGATTTTTCCTCGCTAACTGGTGTATGCAGCGCTTTCAAAATCATTTTACTTCCAATCTTGCTATCAAATTTGTCGTAGTATGAGGGGGAAGTATTCAATGAAGAACAGACGCTGGCTGCTTGCGATGCTTGCCGGCCGTCCCTGTTTCTGGTTGTAACTATCGCTGGTAACGGTGCTGTGCTCGAAGCCTTGTGTGATTTGGGAGACTCTGGATTTCGCTCTTGTGTTCCTTCAGGGGTGCCTGGGACCTGGTCACGATTGAATGCCGCGACTTGCGTGGTACTATTGTTGGGCTTACAAGTGCTCATCGTCGATTCGTCTCGTTTCTCGCGGCTTTGGGACGATGCTGCATTTGAGCTAGCAACATCTCTTTTGCTATTGTTGTCTAGTCCAATGACGATCCTGTCGATGGTGTCCATACTAGTCGAATTTGTGTCTCCATAGAGTTCTTCAGAGGACGAAACCGTCACCTTTTGTTCGCTCTCCTCTCTTTCGTTCTCTTCTCTCTTCCCTTGGTTGTGCGATACAGCTGTATCGCCAGCAGCTTGGCGTCTTTTATCTTGAACTCCCATGACGACCCTATCGATTGTGTCAAGGCTAATCGAATTGTTTTCAGTCTGGGAGTGCTGTGACGAAGTCGAAAGTCCAACCTTGTGCTCGCTCTTGTTTTCGGTTCCACTATCTTCAGGAGCCAAGTTATCATTATGTGGTTTGGAAACTTCCGGCCTGACGTGGTTGACATACACTCCTGCCATTGTTACCATCGGGACTATACTACTCCCCGTTCCATCTTCTGTCGTGTTTCGTGTATCGCTAGGCACTATAGCTTCGCATTTAGTCGAAGCTGCACTGCTGGTTTCGCTGGTAGCAAGTTCATTCGACGATGGCTTTCTGTTGTTGATTCCAAATGTTTCGCAGCTATGCATCGTGTGTACTGCTGTTTGCGTCTCGAAAACTGAATCACCTTCTTGCTTTCTGGACTCACTGCTGCCTGTGGATACATCAATAGTTCTTGACATCTTACTATCCGAGTCATCTTCAGATACCTTTTCAACAACCTGACTCGTTGTAGTTTCGGTTTCGTCCACAAGTGCCTCGTGACTCACGGCATCGTCTTCCTGTTGCTTTGCACTATCCTCTACCTCAGTGGTTTCTGTTTGAGTCTGCGTTTCTGAGCTCTCCATAGCAGCGGATATCAAATGAACAGCAGCTTCGTCGTTTTCATTATTTACATCAACTAAATCAGACTCTTCATGGGCTGCATCTGAATTCAAGATAATTTCATTTTCCTCCCGCATAGAAGCCGATTTGATTTCTTTGGCTACAGAACTATAGATGGCTTCCTGCATCTCCTCAGCACATTGATGGGCTTCATGATCTGCCGAGGGATATTCCACTTCAATCCCTTCAGAGTCGTCAAACGTAGTGGTTGTCTGGTCAAGGGACGTCAATCTAGCTTCCTCTTCGACCTTGGCCTTAAGTCTGGCTTCCTCTTCGACTTCGGCTTCTTCATCGGCCTTCAGTCTGGCTTCCTCTTCGAGCTCCAACGTGGCGATTGCAATTTCCGCCTTGGCCTGAGCTTCTGCTACAACCCTTGTTTCTTCTTCGACTTTCAATCTGGCTTCTTCCTCCTCCTTCAATCTAGCGTCCTCCTTAGCTTTCAAGCGAAAAAGCGTTTCTTCCAAACTCGCCTCATTTTCTGCCTTCGCTTGAGCCTCAGCTGTAAGTCTAGGTTCCTCTTCAACCCTGATTTCTGCCTCTTCTTCAGCTTTGGTCTGGGCCTCATCTGCTACCCGGGTTGCCTCCTCGGATCTGATTCTTGCCCCTTCTTCCGCCTTCAGCTTTGCTTCTTTTTCAGCACTTATCATTTCCTCTCTTTTCGCCATCACCCTTGCTCGGTATACATTTTGAATTTGAACTGCTGCCATGCGTTCGGAATTAATATTTCTTCGCACCTTATTTCCGCGGTAGATCGATTGAAGTTTGCATACCCCATTGTTCCGTGGCTCCTCAATCTTCACTTTTGGCTGTCGATCGGAGGTCTTTTTCTTACTTCCTCTCTGTCGTGCAATAGATCGTATCTTCGATACAGCACGATCGCGGTTCGCCAGCATTTTCTTTGCAATCCATCGACGTCCAAGACTTGGCATTCTTTCCTCCCTTTTGGCCGCCAGCCATGCCCGACATACAAATTGAATTTTAGCGGCCGCCAAGTGTTGGGAATCAACATCTCTCCGTGCCTTGTGTCCACGGTAGACCGATTGAAGTTTGCATGCCCCATTCTTCCGTGATTCTTCAATCTCCACTTCTTGTTGTCGATGAGAGGTGAGTTTCTTACTTGCTCTCTGCCTGGCAATATATTGTATCTTCAATGCTGCACGCTCGCATTTCGCAAGTCTTTGCTTTGCGATCCATCGACGTCCAAGATTTTGTATTTTGATTATGGCACACACGTCTCGGCTGTAACATACCCGAGCAGTAGAGCCACGGAATGCTTTCTGGATAACAGAAGCTTGAGCATGGTGGAATGACTGGCTTGACCGAACCGCAATTCCACGAGCTCGAGATTGTATCTTCGTTGAGGCCAATTCGTTACGGCTGTTTTCTCGAGCAATAGACCCACGGAATGCTTTCTGGATAACAGAAGCTTGAGCATGGCGGAATGACTGGCTTGATCGAACCGCAATTCCACGAGCCCAAGATTGTATCTTCGTTGAGGCCAATACGTTGCGGCTATAAGATACCCGAGCAATAGACCCACGGAATGCTTTCTGAATAACAGAAGCTTGAGCATGGCGGAATGACTGGCTTGATCGAACCGCAATTCCACGAGCCCGAGATTGTATCTTCGTTGAGGCCAATACGTTACGGCTATGAGATACCCGAGCAATGGACCCACGGAATGCTTTCTGGATAACAGAAGCTTGAGTATGGCGGAATGACTGGCTTGATCTAACCGCAATTCCACGAGCCCGAGATTGTATCTTCGTTGAGGCCAATACGTTACGGCCATGAGATACCCGAGCAATAGACCCACGGAATGCTTTCTGGATAACAGAAGCTTGAGTATGGCGGAATGACTGGCTTGATCTAACCGCAATTCCACGAGCCCGAGATTGTATCTTCGTTGATGCAATTCGTGCAGCTTCCTTCTCCTCCTCTCCAGCAATGAGAGCAGCTTCTTCATCTGCAGCAATTGGTTTTGATTCAACTGGAGCTGCGTCTTCAGGTGATATTTCTACCCCTAGCTTAATCCCTTCGTCCGACTCTTCCGTTTGATAGTGTACAACTACTTCGACCGCCGGAGAAAGCGACTCAATGTCCACAGTATCTGTATCAAGCTGAGACCTTGGGGCAAATGATGCTTCAGTCTCCATTTGGTTCTCAGTGGCATCTGCTGTCGACACGTCTCCTGCAGAGCTTTCTTCATCTTTCGCCAACACCGTGTCACTTTCATCGTAATCTTTCTCATTCTTTGTCTCTTTCTCTTCTTCAACATTTGCCTGTTCATCGATTTGTTTCGCCTTCTCGCGACTTGGGTTGCCTTCGGTTCTGTCCAATCTTTCCTCTGTGATCGAGACTTGGAACACATCGTCTACCCCTTGGTCAAAAGTGATCTCAAATCCAGTCTGATCTTCAGGAAATAAGTCATCGTAATTTGTTTTTTGTCCGAGATCTTTTGAGGTGTCGAAATCCAAAGCCGCAATGAATGATGTGTCCTCGTTCCTTGCGCCATCGATTTCATCTTTCGAAGGCGTATTACTGCTTGGGATTTGGTGACTGAGTGGTGTGTCGTGCTGTGATTGAGGCGTTGTTTTTGGTGTTCCATTCCCAGCCACGATAGTTTCATCATCTTCGTGAACGCTTGAAACCGTCTCAAGGTCGGTGCTGTCTTGCATTTCGTCGTCATCCTTGCCCTTTGTTCCTTGTACAAAGTTCGCGTCGATTAACTCTTCATTGTCAAAATAGATAGATCTATCCAAGTCAGTTGCACCTATCTCGATAATTTCGTCAAGAGCGCCCTCTTTGGTCGGAAGAGCGCCCACTTTGAAATCCTCTAAAGATTTGGTAGTCTCTTGCAATTCCAACTTAGCATCAATTTCTAGGATTTGATCTGATTTCACAATACCAAGGATAAGCTGCGGGTGTTGCTTCAGTGCAGCTTGCGATACGAAGTCTTGCAATTGTTTTGTTGACTTCTTTCTCATTTGGGCAATTGAAATTCTCATCGGAGTGCCAGAGACCGAAGCAACGATTGCTTTTGATTTATTCTTGATGTCAGCAACAATATCAGAGGACCAATTTCTGATTTGAGCCTCCAGTAGAGCAGGATTGTCGTAGATCTCATCAAAGATAGTTGCATCTTGCGATATTTTGATATCCAATACAGTAGATCGCAAAGTGAATTGATTCTGGATTTTGATATTCATGGTTTCTGTCGCATTCGATAGAACGGATTCCGAAGGAATTTCTCCGAGTATTGGATATTCATTGGTTGATCCGAGCTCATCCTCAGTCATGGCGTCGCTATTAATAGTCATTTCGTCTGCCAACGAATCAGCTCTCACAACTTCCAGAACAAAATTGATGTTGTAGAGGATCCCAGCCTTGGCAACGTGATGATAGAGCTCTTTCGTAGTTGTGCTCTTCATCTGAGCCAGGGAAAGGACGATCGGCGTATTTTCGATTGAACAAATGATTGTGCTTGCCCCACCTTTCACTGCTGACACCACGTCTGCTGGCCATGTTCGGACGTAGGCACCGTGGACAGATGGATTATCATATATGTGTTGATACAAATTAACGTCATCAGAAACGTAAACGATCAAATCTTTCGACAGACTTGTAAATTTGTTCTTGATGTTGACTTGTATCGTGTCGGGTAGCTCCTCCATTGCGCCAGATGTGATGCTTTCGATGGTTCTTTTGGTGTGCTTTTGATATTTCAAAAGCTTTCGAAGATGTGAAGAGGTGCACCATACACATCATCACCCAAAATGTGAGCGTTAGATGTCGACGCTACGCGCGAGCCTAGTCGATTTGGGACTCAACCGACTTTCACTATTGACTCATTCGACCATATTTGTCTCAACAGACTTCAACTACCGCACACCAATATCGCAATCAAAATCAGAAGCAGACCAGTGTTTGAGATTGTGACTCAATATTGTCTCTTGTACCGGTATAGTTGCTCAACAATGTTTCGTCATCAAAAACTGATCCTCATTTTGATCGTTGCCGTGCAATTACTTTCCTTCAACCATGCATTTTCCATGACCAAGAGTGTTGTGATACCACAAAAGATCTCCATTCATCGCCTCTTCGATAGTGCCACCGATGAACCAGCAGACGAGTCAACTCCTGATAAACCTACGACCTCCGACTCTCTGGAAAGCAAGATGAAGAGTTGGGAGGCAAGCGAAGAAGAAATAAAGGCCGCGACACTAGGGGGTATGGTTCCAGGTCGGAGTGATGCATTTGATATTGGTCTTTATGTTGCATTTCCTTTGATGGTTCTATCTGGATTGGCATTCGCTTTCTTCCCTCTCATCATGGGGAACATCGATACTTCTAGTGTAGGTCCGCCACCAACGTCATAAGAAGTCACATGTTGTGCATCCGAATAGAATAATTCAGCTATCTTTTTCGCAATTGAACTACATGTACACCGAATCATCTTCGCGCTGAGAATACACTATATCTTCAACAGAGTCGTCGTTATCAAAACCAGTACCGTCGTCACTATTCTCAGCCTCCCAGGCAGCTCTATGTCGTGTGGCTTGGCGAACATAAGAGTGCTTCAGTTTGAGTCGTTCTGTGTTCGCTAGCGCTTCATTGATAAATTCCAACGTTTTCTCTTTTCGTCCAAGTGCAGTTTGCGCTTCGACAGCGTTAGAAGGTGGAAATTTCATCTGGAGCCAAAGAAATAAATCAGCGTCTGCATATAACCCACATAGATAGCTCAGATCATCGAAGCTCTTTGCCTTCTTTGGGACTGATCGAGATGGCAATCCAGACACTTGGCCTTGAGCGTACTTTGTTGCGAAGTTCTCCAAGATCTTCATTGAATTTTCATTGGTCGGACTGAGGCACAAAGTGTATTTGTCCGTGAGTAGTAGTGGGATATCCTTTAATCGTTTCGCAATGGTCTTCATCTCGGTTTGGCGACAAAGGAAAAAGTCACCGCGGACAGTTGCCATGGCTGAAAATTGACGAAGTACGTTGTGCAGCGCGCTATCGTCGTCATCGAGGTTGTAAGCTCCCAAAGCCTCTGAAAACAACTCAATGTGAGCAGTTGTCGGAAGTAACCCAGCCTTTTCAATCGGTTCAATTTCTGTCAACATACAGCGCCTGATGTATTGCAGATCCCGTGGGTCACGACATGACACCTCACCATTGGGATAAGGCGAGTTGCGTCGACCGGCTCTGCCACTGATTTGCTTAATATCCGAGTGGCTCAATCGGATTACTTCTTCGCCATTGAATTTGAAGATTGAATTGAAAACGATTCTTCGAATGTTTAGGTTCAGCCCCATTCCTATAGCATCGGAAGCCACGAGAATATCGTAACCTGAGTCCGGGTCATTGAAGAGTCGAGCCTGATCTGCTCGAGTCTGGGGTGGTAGCTTGCCATAGATTACACAGCATTTATAGTTTGTCGTAGTTTCAATTTCACGTTTGATTGCGAAAATATCGTTGCGGCTAAAGGCAACAACACAGTCTCCAGCGCAGACCTGTGGTATGAATACACGCGTACAAGCTTGTTAACATCACTGTATTCTCATTTCATGAAGTCAATCAACTTTTTAGATTCACTTACATTCTTGTAAGCACCTTCTTTGGTCGGGTCGACAGCTAGACTTTGGTCACCGACGTCTAGCTTGCTAAAACGCTCGTACTTGTGGACTTCAAACTCATCACCACATGCTTTGGCAATCTTTTGGACAATGTCCTTTGCCTCCCAACCGCCACAGACGTGGATCTCCTTGCTCCGCAGTCCCATGAGAGCTTTTGTCCATGCCGCACCACGGGAATCATCAGCAATCATTTGAATTTCATCTAAGACAACCACGTCATATTCGTCTTCAGTGCTACACATCTCGACTGTCGCGCTGGCGTGTGTCGCGAAGGGAATGTCCCGTCGCTCTTGACCTGTAAAGAGGTTGGTGTAAATGCCGTCTTCGGTGAGGGTCTCATAGATCTCTGCTGCCAGCAATCGGAGTGGACCAAGGTAGAGACCTTGTTTCGCTTCTTTTAATCTTTGCAGTGCCGAATATGTCTTTCCAGAATTTGTGGGACCACCATGGAAAACAATCTATGGAGGTATTGGTTTAGCGACTTCAAATTCTCATTGAGCTCGTTTGTCTATACCAACTTACCTTTCGACGGTCTAATCTAGCATAACTGTACCATTCATGTGGCTTTGTCAAGTCTTCGAACGCAAGTATTCACAATAAGTGCACTGCTAAACAGAACATTTGAAGTTGTTTGAGTCTCCAAACTTACCTGTCTTTGAGTCTAATGTCTGGAATTGTAAGATCAGCTTCTCGTGACGTTGACGAATGTGCTCAGCAAGTTTTCCACAAATCGATGATCGTACTTGCTCGACAATCTTGTTTGCAGTATCGTATTCAGTATCAGGCATTGGTGGAGGTCGTCGATTCTGACGGTTTTTAATCCTTTTTGCTTCTGCTGCGGCAAGATCAATCTCGCTTTGTAGCTGTTCAAGTGCTGCCACTTTTCGGCTGATTCGATTCTCCATTCTTGAAGTCTTTGGTATTTTTATTCTGGCCTTGATTTCTTCCAGACGTTTTGATCTGGCGGTATCTTCATCTACTTCCTCCTTACTCGAGAAAATGTCCGACATCATGGCCAGCGCCTGAGAAAAGAATGATTCGTCCTTTTTTGGAGGAGGAGCCGATGCTTCTCTGATGGCTTCCTTCTGTTGCAGCAGTCGACGTTTCTGTGTCTCGTGAATCATCTCAAGTTCCTGTCTCAAACGTGCTAGTTCAGTCTTGGCCTTCTGCATTAGCTGCCTTTGTCCTTGCAGCTCTGATTCAATTTTCTCTCTGTGCCTTGTCATGTCCTGGTTTCGAACTCGATATCCACGGACTTGGCGGTACTTCTTGCCCCAAGCTGGGTCTCCAAATCCCGCTTCTTCCAATGCCTTTATATCTTCTGCGAAATCGAAATTTATTTTGCGCGCAGTTCCTTCCATTTGCTCTCGAAAAGCAGGAATAGACTCGTAGTATAGCTGCTTGTACTGAACCCACAAAATTTGCATGGGGTGGTTCTTGTTGCTGGTTGCTTCAGGGTCAGTGGAAAGAGGAGCCGACTGAGCATTGATGTTCAGAGCATCCATTGTTGTGGCAAAAAATGAAGTGTCCTTGGCCAACCAATGTGATACTGCGCTGACCACTGTATGTTCCCTGTGTTTCTTCTGTTTTTCCAGCCGACGAGCTTCTGCCTTCTGTTGCTGGATTTGTGGCAACTTTTCTTGATCATGTCGATTATTTCGTCTGCGTTCCTCAGCTAACGCCTGGGCAGCAGCAACCCTCCGTTCGTGCTCCTCTCTAGGCGAAATTCCGGGCTTATTACTAGCCGAGAAATGTCGAGTAGGTCGCTGTCGGATCCGCATTGGATTTGGTTTTCCTAGTCTTGCACCATTGCGAGACACTGAGGACACTATCGGCTGGCGGACTTCTCTTCTAAGGGAAGTGAAAGACCGTAACATCGTCTATTCGATCTATTCTATCAGGAACTTGGATTCATAGCCCTTTCTTTCTTCATACATTGGCACGAAAGTCGTGAATTCAAAACAATGTTTGTGTTGTCGACCATCAAAATAAGGCAGAAACGGACAGAAAACAGACACTACAGTAATTTTCCACAAACGGTTTTCTTATTGTTCGACTACCGGTATGATTAGGTCTGGGTTTCTTGCTTTGAAATATAGTTCCATGCATTGAATCCTTCGCCAGCATGAAAAAGAGAAGAGCCATTTGAGAATATCGTCTTTGTCCACCATCGCCCTTGGTGTGGAGAATCAGAAATCGATGGAACCGCAGCGTCTGGGGCAATCTTCCCGATTGTAGAGTTGTTTTTGTGATCCAACAAGTTGACGGTTTCATACTCTCTACCATCACTGAGTACTCCATGGCAAATGACGCTATCAAGTCTCGAAGCATTCTGGTTTTGGTCATCCACAGAAATTGATACAAGCACTTCACTAACGGCATGTTCACCTCGAAAGCTTAGAGACTCTCCACGGCCAATGTTGCTTCGATCTCCATCTTCGTCGTTCTTGTTTTGAATCCATATCGTGTCTCCAGAATAGCTCGTATCGCAGCAAAGAACCCATGCCGAGGAATCTACCCTAATAGGACTGGGCATGTCTCCTTGTGGCTTGTGACCAGTAAGTATCAGCTCCACATTGGTCCGATCAAAGAATTCTCGTGTACATTGCGCCATGGCTATGTTCTCCGCTTCGGGATCAAACGCATGGGGCATTCCTTGGGGAGTGAAGGAGTTATACACCACCGTCGGATTCTTTCGTCGATCGGGCGTCATGCCCATGCCATATTGAATAATACCTGCGTACGAAGGCCCATGGTCATAACCACCTTTGTGGGCCCATATTTGAGGTCCTTCTCCTGTGCTTTCCAGGCGCTGTATTTCTTGGTTCCATTCTTGTATTCGATCGTGGCAAAATGTGTTTAGTGCGTCCAACCAATCGTCAATGCTCTTAATACCATAATCTTTGGCTGCCGACTCTCCGGGCTTGATCCAAGGCATGCAAAATGTCAGATCGTCCCAGACGCTGCTGTTACTGCTGTTGTGGTGCGGTGCCATATACTCGTCCGTCAAAGGTAGGGCTCCATGCAAGACCAACAAGGTCCCAATGGAGAGTGCTAAATGCGAGTTGGTTAGGAATTTTCCCATTTCTCCATTGGGGTGACAGGATCTACGGTACGATTGGACCACGTCAAAATCGGTAACGGGAGCAGCTGAAGTATCTTGTTGTTCTCGCTCCCATTCCAGCTCGTTCTTGCGCAATTCAAAGGCATCCGGCGACCCCATGGTATTGCCCAAGATCCACTTTAATCGTTCCACCGGATCCGATGAAGGAAGTGGTCCCTCTGGATCCCCTACACGCCCAGTCCCTTGAAACCACATGAGTCCGGGATGATCCGGTATTTTTCCATTATCTCTCTGTTCCCAACCCATTTCTTGCAAGATACGCAGTTTATTGATGTCTCGATTTCCGCAAACGAAAAAGACGCGATTGGGATACCGTCTCTTCAAATCCAAGAGCTGCCGGGCCACGTACAAATCAAAGCCGCCCTTGTCCCACAAGTCGCCTCCAAATACCAGCATGGAATTGTCCGTCGCAAAGTCGATACACTTGTCATAGGGGAATTCGGTTGTAGATTCAGACGACGGTGAGGAAAATCGAAGAACTTTGGAAATCTTGACGTAACGATCAAGGTATGGCTTGTCTCCCTCCAAGTCAGTGAGGTATGTAATGAAGACCTGTTTCTGTTCCTTTAGGAATTCGTCTTGGACAGTTTTGGCGGTAGAACAAAAGCGAGCAGTAAATGTAATTCTTCGATCGGGTATCTTTCGCCTCCTCGCAAAAGTGCTCAAGCCTCTAGGACGACCTTGTCGAGCGAAAACAGTGTTGGCAACTGGTGCAGTTACAAGAATGGTGGACCGATGGAGGCTCCAGGGAATTGTCGAAAAAGCTCGTATCCACGCCATGGTTCTAAAAAATGAAAGTGTGTATATCAGAAGTATTGTTGTACCAGGACGCGATTTTATTAGCATCATTCAATCACGAGACACCAACACCAGCAATCACACCTCCTTTTGTAACTGGCTAATCCATCAACCATCGTTCACCCATCACCTCTCGGCAGTGACAGGTCGTGACGTCACGTCAATGAATCAATTCGAGTGAGTGAGTCGCAATTTGAACTTTCTAAAGTGAGTCGGATGAATCGAACCATCGATTCAAGATCCAAGCAAGCAACACAACATCAACCAGACAACCATCAACATTCTCACACATCTTTCTAGCACCCATGAGAATGCTAGCATCTTTCATCTACACAACAATCCTCGCTGCAGGAGCCATTGACGCTTTTTCCACTAATACTGCTAGCAGCCACATTCGCACCTCCACCCCAGTCGTATTTTCCTCGGCTCCTTCCGATTTGGATTCCTCTTCTTCGTCATCCCGAACCCTGGACGATATCAAGGATGACCTGATTCGGACTTGCAGTCGTTCCTCCAAGCCATTGTTGGATGAAGTTCGGACTATCGTTAGAGAATTGGAGGAAAAGGCGGAGGATGTTGGGATTGGCCAAGCCTCGGCCATATCGGGATTGTTGGCTGGAGAATGGGAATTGGTGTATTCTCCTGAAGATGTTACTAGATCGTCTCCTTTTTTCTGGGCCTTTCGACAGGCTTTTCCGGACCAATCAGACGAGATATTTTCTATTACAGATGCCATCCCGGCACCCCTTAAGGAAGTTGGTCCAGCATATCAAACAATCGAGCTGAACGATGCCGGGCGCGGAACAATGACTGGGACCTTTGTGTCCCGTGTCAAGGTGGCAACCTTGGGTGGCTTGGCAACTTCCATGATGACTACAAGGTGAGTTGAAATATTGCTATTGTTTTTTATGTATAAGGGTACAATTGTAGTTACGAAAACTAATTTGAATTGTCCTACACCACCACCAGAGGTACGATTACTGGCACCCAAGGTATTGATGCCATCAAGATCCGTGTCGAGACCACCAAACCGGAAGATTCTACAGCTGTCAAGACCATTTTTGGTCCACTGGGAGACACGATCAATGAGGCCTTGCCCCCCTTTCCATCTGGTGAGACCTTGGAGCGAGTGAAGGAAGGCTCCTCCCTAGTAGTAATGAAGACTACCTTTTGCGATGAGGGCTTGCGCATAAGTCGGAGCACTACAAAGTACGACGATGTTTTCGTATGGAGACGCAAGGGCTTTGCCAGTTCCGAGACTCTGTAGACAAGAGCACAGTACCAGGTAGGTGTGATATCAAGATGAGATGAAATGAGGAGAGATGAGATTGCTTTACTTGGATGGTCGACTCGTTCGACTCAGTACGTCGACAATCCCACAAATTAACCACGTAGATAAAGTACCAAACTGTAGCACATATAGAGCATCTGTTTTGAAAAATTTGAGGAAAGTCAAATCCGCACAGAAACAGAAACTGTCTTGAATAGCGTTGTACTGTACCTACGTTTCAAGTTTTGCTGGTGATCCTTTCGGTTTATCTTGCTGAAAGAGTCCTGCATGTTGCAGTAGAGAGACTGACAAGAAGTACTGCATTCGATTTGACACTGGTTCCATCGCAGAAAGAGTAATATCATTCCCATTGTCGGTTCAAACACGAATCATTATCAAAGAACACAGCCAGAGGAAGAGAGGAGTTCAAGAAAACACACTTGCTAGACCAAGTGACAGACAAGAAACCTTGAATAAGAGGACAATACACACCAAGAATGCCGGGATACTACGACCATAGCGTCGACCAAGACGACGACGAAGATGGCAGGTATCCACTTTTTCGGTCAGATAGTGACAACTCTTCCAAAAAGGCTACCAAGAATGCCGGCAACATGAGCAACGGCAACCGCATCTTGGTGATCATTTCTCTGGTTTTGATTGTGTTACTGTCGATTTATTTCCAAATGAACCAAGGCAAATTGACGGACCAATTGAGCCAAGATGAACAAATGATCAACTCGATGCAAACCACAATTAGCAAGCAAGAAAAGGTCATTGCACGCTTCAATTCGTCTGTTACCAATACCGACGTCATTCATCGATTAGGTCTGTTAGAGGAAACCCTAGCGACCTCCTCCAAGGCCTTGCAAGATCAATTGGATTCCACGGTGCAGGAAATGAACGAAAAGTTGAAGAATACCATGATGAAATTGGAAGAAACCGTTGACAAGGCCGAGCAAGATATTACCGACAGTGTTCAGCAGGTCAAGGAGGATTATGAGGAATTTCAGCGCAAGACGAACGATCAATTTAGTATGGAGAACTCCTTTATGATTTGGCAGTTGGCAGGAACCTTTACACTGTTGTCCTGCTTGATTAGCATGTGGCACATGAGTGCGCATCTGCGAGAGTTGAATCAACCCATTATTCAGCGCAAGATCTTGGCCATTCTTTGGATGTGCCCCATTTATGCCATTACATCGTGGTTTTCATTGGTCTTTCCAGATACGGAAGGTTATCTGGCAATCGTTAAGGATTCTTATGAAGCCTACATTATCTATCAGGTAAGTCAATCATTTGAATGGTCTCTGCTGTTCATAAGGGCCACTTCCATTTCAAGAATCAGTCTCACTCAAAATATACTTTTGTTGCACTACTCTTTCAGTTCCTTTCCTTTTGTATCTCGGTGATTGGTAAGGGAGACCACGAAAGCGTGGTGGATCTTTTGGCTCGGCGCGCGGATCATTTGCCACCACCAGTGAGCATTCGCAGTTTTTGTGCGTGCTGCTGTGGGGCGCAAAAGTTTGAAAACGATCATGCCAAGGCTAGGGCCGTCCTGTTACAGTGTCAGCTCTTTGCCATACAGTTTGTCTTTTGGCGACCCGTTACTACGATTGCCACAGTTATGCTCAAGAAGTACGACTACTATGGGCCCTGGGGAGCGGAGAACGCCAGTGACTGGAGGGCGCCCCAGTTTTACATTTTTCTCATTCAGAACCTTTCCATCTTTACGGCTTTTACGGGATTGCTAAAGTTTTATCACTTGGTCGATGAAGATTTGGCGTGGTGCCGGCCATTTGCAAAGTTCTTGTGCATCAAGGGTGTGGTTTTTATGACGTTTTGGCAGGGTTTGGCAATTTCCGTGCTGGGAGAGACCATGAACGAGACGGGAGGAGACCCAGAACAATGGGCAACCAAGTCACAAAACTTTTTGATCTGTTTGGAGATGCTTATATTCAGTCTCGCTCATTACTACTGTTTCCCGGTGGACGAATGGAAAGAGGGATACAAGGTCAACTTCCAAAAGCTGCATCTTGGGGATTCCATTGCCCTGGGAGACTTTTTCAGCGACTTGAAGCTGGTCATGACCAAGAGCGGGTCAAAGAAAAGTAAGAAGGGAAAGCGATTGTCGTTGCAGGATACCGTGGAAGAAGGCAATGAAGAAATTGTTGATGTTTCGACCGAAGGCTATGACTCGGATGACCAGGCGGATGATGCTTCAATTAGCACGACAGCGACGGCGGAGCCAGAAGTAAAGGAAGCCAAACGTCGACTAAGCCATTTCTTGAACGGGGTGACAGATGCGGACGCGGAAACGGAAACGGATAATAACGATGATTCCACCAACGACAATCCTTCAGCGTCACCAGGGATCATGGGTCGGTTCTCATCGGGGTTCAACGGTTTTGGATCTTCTTCAAGTAGTCCAGACGAGACACCAAGAAAGCAAAATACAACTCCAAAAAACAATCGTGGCGAACCGAGCGAGACAACCAGTCTCCTTTCAAAATCACCACTGAAGCCGAGTATTTTTACTACCGTTGCGAGCTTTGCCCAATCATCAGAAACGTCCGCAGATGGGGAAAAATCCGCGGATGGCAGTGTCATGGATGTATGATGATCTTGCCAAGTTCTTTGTTTTCTGCACCAGTAATGTCTTTTAAAGCGGCGTAAATTAAATAGTTCACATGTACAGTACATATATATAAATACAATACATTGCAGCATCTTCAACTATGATTCAGTAGGGGACCGAAGACGAATCAATACCTCATTCATCGAAAGCATACCGCGGAACCATGCATCTAGACCCTATTGAAAAGCTCCATTTAAAAAATGCGGTAATATATACTTCTAATAAATAATAGTACTATTCTACATTATTTTATGGGATAGGATCAGCTATGAGGTCCCCCAGAGAAGGTTCTCTATCGGCACCTCCATTGTAGGTTGGTTGCACAAAGCCATACTGCCAGGAAGGATCGTATGTGTTGGACCATGTGAAATCCGTACAGCTCACACCGTCGTCCTCGCAGCACTGCGTGCAACACGAACAAGTAAAACGCGATTCTGCATGACAATTGGTGGCAAATGTACTGGGCTGAACATTTGCCGAATTGCAAATTGCATCGGCATCTCCCTCAAGGTGATTCCCGTCAAGTAAGACAACATCAAGGTTGGTCATTAGACTCATGGTGTTGGGAATCGAGCCAGACAATTCGTTTCCAGATAATATCAGAACACTCAAATCTACCATCGCGCCCAGAGTCGGAGGTAATGATCCGCTAAAATGGTTGTCAGTCAAGTCTAGTACCTTCAAATGCTCGAATTTCGATAGCCACATCGGCAAGCTACCATTCAAATTATTTCCATTCATAGATAGCACTTCCAGATCGACCAATCGACGGAGATCCACCATATGGTGTTCTTCAAAATTGTTTCCTTCGGTTGAAAGGTATCGCAGATTACTCATGTTGCCGATCGTATCTGGAATTGTTCCTGTCAGTGCATTTCCAGAAACATCAAAATGAGCCAAGTTCCAAATCAACGCAACTTTGAATGGAAGCTGTCCATGAATGAGGTTGTTGGAAACATCAAAATACTCGAGAATCAGATTTTCAAACACGTCGTGAGGGAGGCTTCCATCAATCATATTGTAACTGAGGTCCAAGACTTGAAGATTTGGCATGTCCAAGACACCACTAGAGATGGATTCTCCGATGATTAAGTTGTGGCTGAGATCCATTTCGATCATGCGTTTCCAGTTGGACACAAGGTCATCGTCCAAGGCTCCACCAATCAAGTTGTTTTCCACGTATAGGAACTGAAGGCCCTTTAGATTTCCAAACAGTTGCTTGACGTCTCCCATTAAATTGCCGTTATTGTCCAGTCCAAGAAGCCGCAGATTTAGCAGATTCGACAAATTGCTTGGAATTTCTCCAGTTAATTTATTCGACCCCAGCCCCAACGACGTCAGGGAGACCATTCTACCAATTTCCTTGGGAATGCTGCCTTCCAAATTACAGAATTGCAAGTGCAGTGACTTTAGGTTGGTGAGATGCGTGACGGATGACGGGAAGATACCACTGATACCATTGTTATGCAATTTCAGAGATTCCAACTCTTTGAAATTCTTGAGTTCAAATGGTAATGTCTCGGTACCAAACTCAGTCAAGTTGTTGTACCCGAGATCTATCTTGGAGACCAGGCCATGTGGATCACATTCCACACCCATTCGGATATTGTCTCCTGATTTAGTACTGACATTGGCATTCCAATCGCAGTGATCCATGGTAGAATTCAGAAAAGAAAGAGATTGTTCCCATCGAGGCCCATTCATTCCATAATACATGGTAATCAAGGTAAACCGTTCCAAATAGCGTTGCTCCATTCTTGGTTGATCGAGCCACTCTTCTGAATAGGTGTCACTGGTGGCCAAGAAAATGGCAGCCTTGCGTTGGGGCTTGCCCGAAATTAGCAAAGAGAGCTTCTCTGTGGCATCAAAATCGCTCAAGTAGTCTGTAACCCGTTTCAATCGAACTGGATCATAGTGATCGTGCAGAAAACCACCTCTTTCAGATGATTGCGTCGCAGTTCCAGTGGAATGAGTCGTCCAGATCAGAATCGTCAACAGGAACACCAGAAAGAAAATGGAAACGACTGTCATCCACATTTCTCGACTCCAAGGTCCTTTGCGAGGGAATTGACACCGAAAGACTCCTTCTCCTCTGCCATTGCTATCATTGTATATGATGGTCTTGACTTCTTCTACCGACGGCAGTTGATCGTGAATTGCAGTGGTTGGATACTTCCATCCAAAGGAAGAGCCATTTTTTTGGCTGGGAAGCTCAACTTTGCGAAAAGGACGTTTCACGGTCATTTTCTTCTTCTTTGTCGGTTGCGCACCTCTTGTGGGGTCAAAGTCGCGAAAGACGGGCAAACTGCGGTCGCCAATCTCGGGATACTCGAGTGCCGAGGTCGGCGAGTTATCATCGAGAACCAAGGCGTCGTGATGGTGTGGAGAGAAATCATCCTTGCTATTGTTGTTTGCATTGTTGGCAACATAGACATCAACAAGTTCGTTTTGTGGAATGGTTTCCTTGTTCACAGAGTTATGTTGTTGTTGCTGTTGTTGTCCTACATTTTCCTTCTCTTCATCAAAGGGACTGTTGCTGTACGAATCTTCGTTGTTTGGCCGTTCTATAGGTAGTTCTTCCAACCCACAAGCCTTTCGCCGTTCAACTAAGCGTTGAAAGGATTCCAAGTTTGTGAATTTGGCTTGCTTGCTCATTATTTGTTCTTTCTATTTGGGATTCAATCGCAATTGTACGTGCACACGTATGCTTCAGAATAAAGCAGGAACCAAAAAGAAAAGAAAAGGTTGGTACCAGTACAAGTATCAACACAAGGGAAGAGAGGTTTTGATGATTTGTGTGCTGCCTGTACGATACAGTACCAGGTACAGTACGTCGCATTGTGGTTACACTCTTCATTCAAATCCTGCTTCAAAACGTCGAGCCGTCGAATGTCACACTCGCGCACCCACTTTGGCCATAAGTGAAAATGGCAGCACGACTTGCCGTTCAATATGTATGATTTTTGAACCGAAAGTAATATTGGCGGACAGGCGATTGAGGAGAAAAAATTCTGGCCATCACAAAATCGAACAACTACAGTACTGTACATGAACTACCGGTATACCGGTACACGTACTGTACCCCGGGTCCAGTATTTGCAAGGAACACTTTTATTAGAGCTCTCGTCCTGAATGAATAAGAGGGTAAAACAATGATCGAATCATATCCAATACCAACATAATGAATTTACAACATGATGGCTTTCTCGCCCTGATTCAGCAATCCATTGACATGATTCCAACTACTTTCAACGAAAATGAAAACCCAACAACTGCTCTCACCACCACATTCCGTCATGATCATTCCAAAGTGCTGCCATCCCTCAAGGGAAATTTGCACAAGATTTGCTTTCAAAAGAAACGACTTCGAGCATCCCTGAAACATTGGATCAATTCCAAAGTTCTTGGGGATTGCAAATGTGTTTCGTCTCATGCTGCTTATCTGGATCGGGTTCGAGGAGAATTCCAATCTGCGGATAAGCAAGACGAACCAACACAAACAAGAGAGGCGAGCGAGGATCACGATGGAGAAACAGATCCAATAGTTCCCAATCGTCTCAAATTTCTCGATGCAAACACCGTGGACGATTTTCCCGGTATTGACTGCATCGATCCAGACCAATTTCTTGACATACTCAACGGAGATGTCCTGTCTTTGGGTGTCATTGATGACAAGAATGACACGATTATCAATCCAAACAACCTGATGGATTCGGCTACTCTATTGATATGTGCCGCACGACTCTACCGGCATTTGCTGTGGAGAAAATGCTTTCTGGATCAGCTGGATGCTACCACTGCCTATGGATTTGTCGTCATTTGTGGGCAGGGGCCTGGTGGTGATGACTACTACTTGGTCACGCACAAACTTCAAATGGACTTGCCGTCATTTGCATCTACTAGTACCATCGGAGCCAAGGTACCCGTACAGGTAGAGTCCCATCACGCTGGCATTTCGGTATCTGATTCACAACGTTCTGCACTCGATTTGTTGAACGATTTGGGAAGCTTTCTACTGACGCCTCATCGCTCCGTCATGGAGGTCAATATTACATCATTACAAGACAATCGTCATCTATCAACCTCGAGTAGCTTTCTGTATCCTGGTCCTGTCATGCTGCTTCCTACCGATTTGCGGCGAAGACTACAGCAGGAAGAAAAATATCCATCTCCTCAATACAAAGTCATTCCTACCATTACTGGATCGCTTGTCATTCGTTGCATAAATGTGGTGGCTGTGCAGGAACTTGTCGCCATCAACCTTGAAAGCAACACTAATAGCAATGATAGTGATCCAATTGCATCTACAGATGCATGGTATATCAAGTGCAAAACGGCTCTTCTCTATGGTCCATATTGGGAAACGAGCAAGGTTGCGATCAATGAAACTAGACGGCGGTTGCAAGCTCTATTGAAAAAAAACAAGAGAAAGACTCTTTCCAACAAACAAATCCAAGTGGCCAAGGATTGGTTGTCTATGCACCCATTTGATGCCATTCACGAGTCACATAGGAGTGTAATTGTGGTTCGGGACATGGGCAACGTCTTTCAGGGCCAATTGTGCTGGAGGGACTTTGTGGCTGCATTCGAATCCCTCCTGGAAGATACATTGATACTTCAAAATATGGTACAGCAAGTCCACGGGGACATTCATGGTGGTAACGTGCTCCTATGTCACAAAACTTCCAAAGAACATCCGCCAAAGCTAGTGTTGGTGGACTGGGACGAAGCGGCACGCGAAAAGCCGTTTCATCGCAATGCAAAAACGGAGAAAGAGAAACGCCAGTATCCCGCTGCTCTCATCAACTTTCCAGATCTCTATACCAAACATCAACTTCAAGAACTCTTTGAATATTACATCAACAAGTACTATACGGAATCGGGATATGCAGAAGCTTGGCTCAAGTTTCAACAGGAACGTGGCACTTTCATCGAACAAGGTTTTCAAGTCTTTGTTCGGCATCATCACAAGATACTTGGTGCCTTTCTTGCATCTGCATCCAGCGGAAACATAGAAAGATAGATAGTCTAGCAGGAAAGATCGTCCTCTTCCCTGATCGCTTTCGATTTGACCTTTTTCCGTTTGTTTTTGATTTTCATCTTCAAGTTGAAATTTGATTGTTTTATTCGTCTGCAATATATACCAACACATTATCCCTGATCATCTGTTACCGCCGATGAGAAACAAGCAGTTGCAAATGCTCTTCATCTCATATTGCTTACCGTAAGTGGATCGCGATCGAGCGGACGGCCATGACTTTTCCTCTTCAGCACAACAAGAGCGGGGAACGAAGACCAGGATGGCGAAACCGATCTAACAGAACTAACAATTTTCTAAATGCCAACACATACAGTAGCAGAAAGATAGATAGACTAATCAATATATGTAAATTCTACAGCTCCTGAATAGATGTATACTAGACATTCTGGCTGAATGCGTGGTTTCGGACCAAAAACAGGTTTTGCCACGCAATTTAATTATTTTGTTTGTTCACATCTCTCACTCCAAAGCGCTGGAATGTGGAAAAGTCAAAGAAAGTCCGTTGGTAGCTTGTCTCCCAGCTGGGATCATGAGAAGCAATCTCAGTATATTGGTGGCAATTTTCGTTATTGGAGCAACATAGTTGGCAACAATCGCAGGTGGTTTCCTTACAATCATTAATGGCAACTGCCAATGCCGGAAGCCCACAGATTGGACTAAAGTCGCCAGTAATATTATTGGAGTTGAGCAAGGCCAGGCGAAGATCGGAGAGATTGCTCAATTCCGAGGGCAAAGTGCTATCGAGGAAATTTCGATTCAGTAAGGCGAACTGCAAATTCGTCATGGTGCCCATTTCTGCTGGAACTGGACCAGTCAGCATATTGTTGTCCAAGTCCAATACCACGAGCTTATCTAGGGATCCGAACAGCGGACTCATATTTCCTGTCCGTTTGGTGCGCTTCAACGAGAGTTCCTTCAACTGTCGGAAGGTGAAGATGAAGTTTGGAATTGGTCCTTCTTGAAAGTTGTTTTCACCCAAAAAGAGATACTTAAGGTCGGCGATGGTACCAAGGTCTGGAATTTGGCCAAGCAAGTCATTACTGGACAGGTCCAAGTGTGTTAGGGCATTTAATGTTGTTAGACTGGGAGGAATCTGTCCATTCAAAGAATTTTTGTGCAGAGCAATGAACTTGATTGCACTCGGTGTCGTAATGGCAGCCTCTGGGATCACTCCAGTAAAGTCATTGCCGTGAAGATCGACAATCTCTAGGCTTGAGAGTTCAAAGAGATCAGACGGAAGTGGTCCAACCATGCCATTGGACGAGATATCCAAGTTGATAAGTTGCGACGCAACATTTCCCAAATTTTGTGGCAGCTGTCCAGTGAATTGATTGTCTTCCAAGAATAGATACTCCAGCTTTGGAAGCTTCCAGACGGAATTTACATCACCATCAAGCTAAAAAGAGCAAGAGAAGTGGTGAGAAGCGGGAAAATTAGCGACGAAGCAATGTCTGGCTAGCAACACTTACCACGTTATCGTTCAATGCCAAAACCTTCAAATTTGTAAGCTTTTCAACCTGATTGGGCACAGCTCCTGTGAACAGGTTGTTCGATAGATACAAGAACTCTAATCGATTGAGATTGTCGATCCACGAAGGAATAGTCCCACTCATGGCATTCCATGCAAATACCATGGTTCTCAAATTGGTAAGCTTTTCAAACTCATCTGGGATAGTTCCACTGATGTCATTGCCGATCGATTCAATGTAGGAAAAAGTGGTGAGATGGGCAAGCTCTTTTGGAAGTTGTCCAGAGATATTGTCGCTGACTGCAAAGGGAAAAGAGCGCTCAGAGAATCGATAATTGATTGACGGAGAACATCGTACGGTTGACGATGCAACTTACTGAATGAAAACCCGGTAATCTCATTGGTGTTTTCGTTACAAATGACACCTAGCTGTCCCACTGGAGGTTCAAAGAGGGAGAACCAATAACAAGTGTCGAAGTCGGATAGGAAAAGTAGATCAAAGTTCCAGTTCAGACCGTCCATTTGGTAGTAGAACAGTGTCATGACGTATCGAGTCAACAATCGGTAACCATCTCTACTTCTCAAGTCACCAGACGGAGCGTTGAGTCGTTGTTCATCAATCATTGCCAAAAAATCTAGAGCCAAGGATTGAGGGCTCTCGGGATCATCAAATTCTTCATTGGTATTGACTTCATTGTTGACCAAATAACGTTGCAATCGAATTCTTCGCTTTTGGTCGGAGGCGGTGTCTCGGGCGGTACCTGCATTTTGAATCTTTCTTGGGTCCTCATCACCACGCTGAAGTCCCAGTTCCAATCCAATGGCAGTCGCGGCAATCACAATCAGGCAAAGAGCCACCCATAGCAGCCACTTGCGCTGCGATCTGTCTGGTCGATCAACTTCATCAGGGTTTGGCAACGAATGCCCAATGTTCGATGATGAGGAATGTACTTCCAAGTCTTCTGGAATAGAATCCATATTATCCGTCGCTTGTCCATCCGACGAGATTTCTCCCGTCCAGGAGCTTCTTGCGTGTTGCTTTTGCTGTTTTCGAGTCGGCATGATGGCTTGTTTCTATACCTAAGGAGGTGCTTCAGAATGGATGCCAAGGTGCAAACAGAAAGAAATGTTGGAGTGATGGAGTCGATTCAATCCGTTGAAAAATAAGCTGGGCCGCGTGCGCGAACGCATGCCGGGAGTTGTTTTCCAGGTTCGAACTATGATAGTACCGGTACAATGTATGCTTCTCAACTAAATATTATACTCCTAATGTAATTATTTTATCTACCGGTGGGTGTTCAACTCTTTCAATTTTCAATTGGTCCTTTATAATATCTATGATCGTGAGCGGAGTTGAAAGTGATCATGCTGGTATTTCTGAGTCGGTAGGCCCTACTTCTACCACTAGTCTAGCATTTCAATCCAGAAATCACACCGCCATCAACCACCAAGTTGGTTCCAGTCGTGTAACTGGACTGATCGCTCAGCAAAAAAGCGACTGATTGTATGACTTCTTGAATGGTTCCCAGACGCTTCATTGGTACATCGTTCACTTTGTTCTTGGCAACCGTCTCTGGATCCCTTGAATAGTACGGTGATCCCGATGAGGCATGCAATTCATTTTGACGATCCCACATGAAACCGGGCCCAATGAGAGCAGGACTGATCGCATTGACTCGAATGCCATAGGGTGCCAGATCTTTCGAACAACTAACAGTCATGGCCAAGACTGCGGCCTTGCTAGACGAGTATGCGACCATGGCAGGAGTTCCATGAAGCCCGGCGACACTGGCGGTATTTACAATAGAGTAGGTAGTATCGCGTTTCCCTTGGGCTTCCATTTTCTTGGCAACGGCTTGCAAGACAATAAACTGATGGAACAAAGAGTAAAAAATTGAGAAAACCCGACAACACGCTCAGTTCGTCAGAAAAATCGCCAACAGATTCTTGATTCGTACCATTCCAGTTACATTAATGTTCATAACTCTAGCAAAATCCACTGGGTCGTACTGAAGAGTTGGCTGCAGTGTTGAACGTTATAGGTGAGAAGCAAAAAGGTCGTGAGTTCTTGTCCTTAACGTCGTCGTAACTTCTAACATTTCCTGAGTAAACTAAGAAGCGATTCAGACATCGTACATACCGTAATGTGACCTTGATATCCGGCATTATTCCAGCACATATCAATGGTCTTAAATTCAGCTACAACGGCATCGACTGCTGCTTTGACATTGGCGGCATCAGTGACATTGCAGGGCTGACAGAGAATCTTGGCACCTGGCACTTGTTCCTTGACTAGCTTGGCTGTTTCTTCCAAGGTTTCAGCATTGACCTCAAAGGCAGCGATCTTGGCTCCCTGTTTGGCAAAATAAATGCATCCGTCTCGTCCAAAGTTTCCTCCTGCTCCTGTAATAATGATAGTTTTGTCTTGAAAGTTCATCTTGTTCTTGTTGTTCGAGTGACTTCTTGTTTTGTTTCTTGATGTTTTAAAAGTATTGTGACAGCGTCCACGTAAAATAGTTTTGTTGATATATTTTATATGCTGATTCGTGGCGTTTTTGGCTTGTGTAATCGGCGTTTTTGGCTTTTATGAAATCGGCGTTCGTACTACGGGGTACCAGTACAATGAACACACAGTGTCACTGTCGGTACAGATGTGTACTGTAAAAGTACAGTGCTGTGCTGTAAAAGTACGGCACTCAGTGAGTCAGTATTGACTCGATCGAAGTTGATGGCACTCTTCATCGAAGTTGATAGAATTCTATAAAGTGTATCCCAAATCCCAACTTCAAAGAACACCGAATAAATGTAAAGGGTACCTGGTACGAGTACGTCGTACTGGGACCGGTACTGTAGGATTTGCAAATGATGCGTGCGGAAAGCCGTGAAGGCCAAAAAAATATTTAGTCGACGCAGTCGAACATCATAATTGATCGATTTGAATTAAGATTCTGACACCCGAACACAGAAGCCCACCGCACTGTACATCTCAGTTTCATGTACACCCACAAAGTAGTAAGCAAAGTTGCCCTAGGAAAAGAAGACGGACCACTTTGCAGACGGCAGCAGATGTTCTCTTTTCTTCGTTTTTGTGGCCGGTGCCGGTTCTTCTTCCGGACTGAGCAAGTCTTTACTGGACAGGTCCAGGACGTTTAGCGTTGCTAAACTGGGAGGAATCTGTCCATTCAAAGAATTTTTGTGCAGAGCAATGAACTTGATTGCACTCGGTGTCGTAATGGCAGCCTCTGGGATCACTCCAGTAAAGTCATTGCCGTGAAGATCGACAATCTCTAGGCTTGAGAGTTCAAAGAGATCAGACGGAAGTGGTCCAACCATGCCATTGGACGAGATATCCAAGTTGATAAGTTGCGACGCAACATTTCCCAAATTTTGTGGCAGCTGTCCAGTGAATTGATTGTCTTCCAAGAATAGATACTCCAGCTTTGGAAGCTTCCAGACGGAATTTACATCACCATCAAGCTAAAAAGAGCAAGAGAAGTGGTGAGAAGCGGGAAAATTAGCGACGAAGCAATGTCTGGCTAGCAACACTTACCACGTTATCGTTCAATGCCAAAACCTTCAAATTTGTAAGCTTTTCAACCTGATTGGGCACAGCTCCTGTGAACAGGTTGTTCGATAGATACAAGAACTCTAATCGATTGAGATTGTCGATCCACGAAGGAATAGTCCCACTCATGGCATTCCATGCAAATACCATGGTTCTCAAATTGGTAAGCTTTTCAAACTCATCTGGGATAGTTCCACTGATGTCATTGCCGATCGATTCAATGTAGGAAAAAGTGGTGAGATGGGCAAGCTCTTTTGGAAGTTGTCCAGAGATATTGTCGCTGACTGCAAAGGGAAAAGAGCGCTCAGAGAATCGATAATTGATTGACGGAGAACATCGTACGGTTGACGATGCAACTTACTGAATGAAAACCCGGTAATCTCATTGGTGTTTTCGTTACAAATGACACCTAGCTGTCCCACTGGAGGTTCAAAGAGGGAGAACCAATAACAAGTGTCGAAGTCGGATAGGAAAAGTAGATCAAAGTTCCAGTTCAGACCGTCCATTTGGTAGTAGAACAGTGTCATGACGTATCGAGTCAACAATCGGTAACCATCTCTACTTCTCAAGTCACCAGACGGAGCGTTGAGTCGTTGTTCATCAATCATTGCCAAAAAATCTAGAGCCAAGGATTGAGGGCTCTCGGGATCATCAAATTCTTCATTGGTATTGACTTCATTGTTGACCAAATAACGTTGCAATCGAATTCTTCGCTTTTGGTCGGAGGCGGTGTCTCGGGCGGTACCTGCATTTTGAATCTTTCTTGGGTCCTCATCACCACGCTGAAGTCCCAGTTCCAATCCAATGGCAGTCGCGGCAATCACAATCAGGCAAAGAGCCACCCATAGCAGCCACTTGCGCTGCGATCTGTCTGGTCGATCAACTTCATCAGGGTTTGGCAACGAATGCCCAATGTTCGATGATGAGGAATGTACTTCCAAGTCTTCTGGAATAGAATCCATATTATCCGTCGCTTGTCCATCCGACGAGATTTCTCCCGTCCAGGAGCTTCTTGCGTGTTGCTTTTGCTGCTTTCGAGTCCGCATGATGGTTTGTTTCTGCCAAGGAGGTGCTTCAGAATGGATGCCAAGGTGCAAACAGAAAGAACTGTTGGAGGAGTGATGGAGCCAAGGATAAAGGAGCGAGTGAGTGAGTCGATTGATTCATTCAATCCGTTGAAAAATAAGCTGGGCTGCATGCGCGAACGCATGTCGGGAGTTTTTTCCCCATGGTCGAACAAGTTCAAAGTGGTGATATGTGATACTCGTACACACCGGTTATTTACGTGCGCAAGTAACAATGGTCCTTGACCTGGGTGCCTTTGTTTTCTCTAAAATATTCAACTGTTTCAATTTTCAAGTGGTCCTTTATAATATCTATGATCGGGAGCGGAGTTGACATGTGATCATGCTAGTATTAGTGAGTCGGTAGGCCCTACTTCTGCCACGCTACTAGCATTTCAATCCAGAACTCATACCACCATCGACCACCAAGTTGGTTCCAGTCGTGTAACTGGATTGATTGCTCAGCAAAAAAGCGACTGATTGTATGACTTCTTGAATGGTTCCCAGACGCTTCATTGGTACACTGTTCACCTTGTTCTTGGCAACCGTCTCTGGATCCGTGGAGAAGTAAGGTGATCCCGATGAGGCATGCAATTCATTTTGACGATCCCACATGAAACCGGGCCCAATGAGAGCAGGACTGATCGCATTGACTCGAATGCCATAGGGTGCCAGATCTTTCGAACAACTAACAGTCATGGCCAAGACTGCGGCCTTGCTAGAAGCGTATGCGACCATGGCAGGAGTTCCACGAAGTCCAGCGACACTGGAGGTATTTACAATAGAGTAGGTAGTATCGCGTTTCCCTTGGGCTTCCATTTTCTTGGCAACGGCTTGCAAGACAATAAACTGATGAAGCAAAGAGTAACAAATTGAGAAAATCCGACAACACGCTCAGTTCGTCAGAAAAATTGCCAACAGATTCTTGATTCGTACCATTCCAGTTACATTGATGTTCATAACTCTAGCAAAATCCACTGGGTCGTACTGAAGAGTTGGCTGCAGTGTTGAACGTTATAGGTGAGAAGCAAAAAGGTCGTGAGTTCTTGTCCTTAACGTCGTCGTAACTCCTGCATAAATTCAGAAACAATTCAGATATTTTCCTTACCGTAATGCGACCTTGATATCCGGCATTATTCCAGCACATATCAATGGTCTTAAATTCAGCCACGACGGCATCGACTGCTGCTTTGACATTGGCGGCATCAGTGACATTGCAGGGCTGACAGAGAATCTTGGCATCTGGCACTTGTTCCTTGACTAGCTTGGCTGTTTCTTCCAAGGTTTCAGCATTGACATCAAAGGCAGCGATCTTGGCTCCCTGTTTGGCAAAATAAATGCATCCGTCTCGTCCAAAGTTTCCTCCTGCTCCTGTAATAACGATAGTTTTGTCCTGAAAGTTCATCTTGTTCTTTTTGTTCGAGTGACTTGTTTTTTTTCTTGATGTTAAGGTGCGATGTGACGTGTATCGTATATTCAGCGACAGTGTCCACGTCAATTATCGTGTATGCTAATTTTTGGCGTTCTTGATTTAAGAATGTCAACGATGGTTCGTACAATGAATATCAGTGACAGCGGCCTGTCACTGTGTTGTAGGTATGGTCCAAGCACGGTAGGTGTCAGGTGTCAGTTTTGTCTTGATCGGACCACGACAACTTGATTGAATCCAAGCATGGAACCCGGATCTTAACTTCAAAGAAAACCGAACATGACAGCTGTTCTTTTTTCTTCGCTTTTATTGTTGGTGCCGGTTCTTTCTCCGGTAGTTGATTGAAATAATAGAGCGTTATTCATCGTTCTTTAAGTTAACATATGTTGCATATCTTATTTTATATGGATTCAAACATCGCTAAAACAAATTATTCGTTGTATTCCAACCGTTGGCGAAAGCTATTCGCGTTGTTCTCGACAACAAGCTGTCACATTCTTTCTTCGATCGGAGTCTTCCTTTCCTTCTCCTTGACACTACGAGCTTTTCGACATCTTCTTCGATCGGACCTCCATCAAACTTTCACCAAAATCGAGACATAAAATAAACCTCTCCCAGAAATAAAACGAAAATGAACAATCATCTTACTCACCAAAGCTCAGAGCTTTCAACTCTTTCTCCACAATGGATCGACGAATCTGAAGATGGCGACGATTCCCAACTGTTTTTCGTCACCAGTTACTCTGACTTTTCTTCACTCGGTAAGTGATTAAAAAGACTCCCTTAGTGTACTATCCCATCAACATATCCATCCCCAGCGTGCTTACCTCTTCTGCCATTCCAATCGATCTTTCAAACCTTTCTCAGCCCACGGCCCTCGTGGAAGTGAAGCCAAACAATCTCTCTACGTCTATCGATTCAACCCTGCTGATGGATCGCTCGTCCTTGTGAACATTCAAGGCGACCCCAAGACAGTAATGAACCCCGCCTTTTCCCGCTACCACCCACAAAAGAACGTCGTCTACACATGTACTGAAGACTGCATGAACAACGGAAAAATCTTTGCCTACAAGATGGGGGCAGACGGCACCTTGGAACAATTTGGCGATGCTGTTGACGCCGGTGGTACCTCCACATGCTACTTGACAATTGATCGCGAGCAAAAGAATATGCTGGCTGTCAACTACTGGGATTCCACTCTTGCAGTCATTCCCATGGACCCAATGACCGGTGCTCTTGAGGGGCCCATCAAACACATGTATGATCCCAAGCACGGCCAAAAGATGTTGGCTGCCCATGGTGGATGCAACCACTCCAACAACGACGACTCGACCATCCAAATGAGACAAGCAGATCCTCATTCCCATGCTCTTGTATTGGATCCCTTTGTAGGCACCGTGGCCTATGTTCCAGACCTTGGAAAGGATCTCATTCGTGAATTCTATTACGATTCCATTGAAGGAAAGATTGGCATGGAAATGAACATTCTTCCATCTGGGCTTTGCACTGGCAAGCCAGATGGACCACGATACTTTCAGTTCCATCCAAAGTTCAACATTGGATATGTTGTCAATGAACTCAGTTCGACCGTACGTATGATACATTGATATTGATACATTGAATGCATCTATCTTGTGCAACCAGCATCAGAACTAACCTCTTTCTTGCCTTCCATAATATAAAAATTACAGATTGCTGTATTCGAAGTTGACCGCAAACTTTTGAACGAGATCCATGAAGCCTCGAAGTATGGAGAAGACATGACTCGGTTCAAGGGAAGATCCACGCTACGACTTGTACAAAGCATTGCTACCATTCCCAGTGCCTTTCCAAATCTCCTCAACACATGCGGAAGAATCTGCGTGCACAAGAACGGACGATTTGTCGTTGTTTCAAACCGTGGCCACGAATCCATCACTGTCTACAAAGTAAAGATGTCGGGATGCAAGAGAGGAGAGCTCACCTTGGTTAACCATTTCCACACTCGCGGTGAATGTCCACGTCATTTCCAATTCGATAACAGCGGCCAGTACTTGCTTGTTGCCAACCAAGATTCAGACTCCATTGCTGTCTTCAACTTCAACTTGAGCAACGGAGATCTCAGATACTCTGGCAATGAATACCGTGTCCCTTCTCCCAACTTTATCTGCTGCTGCCCCACTCGCGACGACGATACTCCCACTCCTCCCACTCCTACCGAGATTCAGCCAGTAGTAGTGGAACGCGAGTCCGGCAATGCATCTGATAGTGATGACAGTACCATGCATGCGTCGCGCATCATGCGAAAGAATGGTGAGAAACAGCTCATGGACGAGCTAGACAAGGCTCGGGCCGAAATTGCTCAGTTGAAGCAAATGCTAGAAGCCAAGTAAGCAACCGACTTGGAGGACAGCCACAATGTCCTGCTGCGAGCTACGATGGAAACAGAATCTACGTACAAGCATATATGCAGCCGAAATCCATCTGTACACACTACAGCTACTCGTGTGATTGTGACTAAATTGCGTGTTCAAGAGAAAAAACAGAGTAATGTAACTACTATATATAAAATAAGAACTAGAATAAATGATTCATTCAACAATTCTTGTGATTCACTTGTGGGTGTAGATGAAGCACTTCACCGGTGGTATGCAAAGTTATTTCACAACCGTCCGAAAATAACGTCTGCGTCGTTGCACGTTGTCATCGTATTGATAGGCAGTGTAGTCCATTGGATTTGCTCCGAAACCTATGCAACATAGCCTCATACTTTCAAAGGGCAGAGCCTCGTCATCGTCAAACCCGTCAGATCTGATCCAAAACTGATAATACTTGTTTCGTTGGGGGTAAAACGATAATACAATTCGCTGTCCATCGTACAAGTCTGCAATCGTGGCAACAACTTTGCCAACAGCAAATGACGTCTCCTTGAGATCATTGGGACTTGAATTTACTGGAATTTCTTGCTCTTTGATGCACACAATTCCACCGCTTCTTCCGGCAGAGATCACACCGCAGCAGAAAGTCATTGAATGAGGCAACGATTCTTGATTTGGGACAACTGTTGCAAAGCACTGTTGCGTATCTAATGTTTGATAGACTTTGTTCTGGGAAGCCCGATCTGTCAATGGTGAAGATACTAGTGTCACATCCAAGTTGGATCGAATCGACTTGGATGTCTTGGTTAGTTTCATGAGATCGCGGACCGAGAGAAAGGAAGCGACACGTTGCTTGAGTTCTGAGGGGAGTTCTGTTAGGGCGGATGCTTGCTTCATAGTACATCCTCTTTTGTCCCCCGCTTCCATCTTCTGAAACGGAATTTGGGTTTGCTGATCATTTTGTTGTTACTTTACTTCCATGAAGTGCTGGTTTTGTTTTGTGTACCGGCCTTTCTGGATTGCAAACATCTAGTAAAGGTTTGGGAAATTTGAGTTTTCGTGCAAGGCTTTTGCTTTGCCCATTCCATGTAGATAACAAGTCTTTTAGAATAGTTATTTCCTGTAGAGATGATTATTTCCTATTAGGCGGATCGGAGATCGCTATGGTCGGTGCCTCTGCATGACCACTTGATGGGTCGCATGTTGGCACGGCTGGTTGACAATGATGGCTATATGGGCCACAAAGTTGTCAATCGGTTTGGACGACAACAAGCCTGTCGCTTGTCTGATGTCCGCCAGAACTGAAATCCAACTTTATCTACATGGAAAACAAGGGTGGGGAGAATGGTAAGCTTTTCGTAACGGTTGTATGAGCTGATTGTTGTATTTCCACCGCTCCCACCTTCTTTCGTCCAAACTTCTTGCGTTGAGGAAAGACCGCCTCTGTGGGTCAATTCCATGGCGACTGTCCGCTCTTGGCCCTTCTTGGCTCTTGGCGCGTCGCACTTTTGCAAGTTCAATGGGAAGAAGAAAGACACGGTGGGAGCGGTGGAAATACAACAATCAGCTAACATGGAGGCGGCATCTGCCACTAAAGATCACTTCTTAACTGGAGGGGACGAATTGTGGCATGGCGCTCCTGAGTTTCCACGTGAAACTTCCAGTCGCGACGCCACATGTCCAGGCCCCAGTGCACTTGAAAAACAAGAGCTTGCCGCAATCTTGATGTTTGTCGCGCAACAAAAACACAACAATACAACAGGATGATTGGCGCTTGATATTATTAAAAAAGGCACGTCTGAAATATGGACTTTTTCAGAACTTGACTACATTCACCACCTCTATTTCCTCTTTCGCTTTCCTCGTTGCATTTGGAAGACTGAATTTCGATTTACTGAACATATTCTTCCTTTTCAGGTGTAATTGGACCAAACATAATGGTTATTGTATTGTCATATCAGCAGTTGGGAGCACTGATGGCACGACTCGAACTGAGACCCACATCCGACTCATGAAGGACTGTCAACTTCGAGACCCGGATGAAGGCAGATCCTATGCTTCTGTTCAACTTGTTCCGCTTACAATGTCCTCCTAACTTTTTCGTCGTTGCAATGCCTCTTGAACACAACGAATTATCTCATCTACATTCGGTGCAAGCGGGACATCACGATTCTTGTAACCCTTGGCACCCTTGACTGTTGCGTTTAGAATGGGATATCCATAGACTCCTACATCGTTCATCAAGCCCTGAAACATCATACGTTCATACTTTGTCGGAAAAATTTCAATGACTGCGGTTCCTGGTCTCATAAACATGACATTAGACAGTGTTGCTCCGTGTGCTGCAATGACAATATCTCTGTGCCACCACCATGAGGCCTGTTCGACCAAGTTCATCTTTTTTAGCTTTGTATTTCTTATCTTGGCATGGGGGAAGTTTTCCGCCAGTGCCTCCTGAATCTTCTTTAAATTGATGAATTCTCGATAATGCTCGCACCATTTTGGCATTTTTGGTCGTTCACATTTCTTGTAATGAGAAAATCGTTGGACCAGACCGATGGAGAGTGTGTAATTTGCTGTAAATTCATCGAGCCTAGTGTACCCACCCTCCCTTTGTTGTAGGACTGCTTCTTGAAGCGGTGCCACATCCTCGACTTCTTCAAACCAACGCGGTGTTGGCTCCATGTGAAAAAAGTCATCTGTTTCAGGAGGTTTGGCATCACTATACGAACTGCGCTTCATGGAGGTGCAATTCATGGCCCTGATCAAATCCCTCGCCCAGGGACTGATCTTTCGATAATTGAAGTCCTTTTTCTGGATCACATTGTAAAATAATCCACACGATTTAACGTCATATTTTCGTCGTTCCATCATGAAAAACGACCAACATCGAGACATGATCTGCAACGTGTGGGGAAAATGGGCATACTCCCTTCCGAGATTTTTATGATCCAACACGCACCAAGCGGTTTGAGCAGTGTCTTTATGTTGTGTGGTATTGAATGGATATTCATTTTGCAAACTGTTTCCTGTCGACGTTCGTGTTGTTCTTGTGGTGGTCCTCATTGAATCATTGTGAATTGGTGATGGATTGATTGTATGAAGTACCAACGCGAAAACAAACGGTACCAGAATGAAGAACTTGTAGAAGGTGCTGCCCTTAGATGTTTCTAGGGAATCCACCATTCCATATGCATGAAAGAGTTGTTTGTCTCTATCGTTGGTCGTACTTCAATGGTACAATAGGACAGAAGTGTGGGACATTGAATGATGTTTGCGACTTTGTGACTCTACTGTACGTGACGTGGATTGGGATAATCTTTTCGGCACTTGGGGACTTTGCAGATTATTCGGGGGAATATGATTCAAGATTCCCGAATTGCACGAGCCAGCTCACCTTGAAGGTTGGACATGGTGCAACCAATGGATGATGATGACATCAAACTCACAAGTGTCAACCCGAAGCAACAAATACGATTCAGCTCGAGCACCATCAGCACCAACAACTCTGCTGCTCTTGCGTAAAATACAATAATAACAGCAACAACAACAATAATAGCAAGAAGGATGACGGCAATGAAGCATATAAAGTTGTCGCAAACAACTTCCACCGACTCAGGTGACATTGATGCCATTCAATGTGACGCTGCAGTGCCACTTGAACCAGAAGAAGAATCAGATCATCACGAACTGCCAGCCCCAACCGAAAAAAGGCGTAGCACTACCTCCATGGTGATAAAAATTACCATTGGACTTATTCTGACGGGGTTGGTATTATTTGTACTGATTGACAGTATGACCAACAAACGAATTCCAGAAATGAAAACACGAATGTTGACATGGTGCGAGGAAAACCCATTAGAGGGGACCATCATATATACCGTCTGTTTCATCGTGGGAGTTATTATCATGATTCCAGCAACTGTTTTTGTCGTGGCTGGAGGGTTTATCTTTAGTCACGTCTACGGCTTTGGATTCGGCGTTGCAATTGCCATCTTCGTTTCCTTGATTGGAACCGCCGTAGGAAGCACATCTGCGTTCACCCTGGGAAGATATCTCTTCAAGGACTGCTTAACTCCCTCGGTGCAAAAGTATAAGCTTCTGAAAGTCCTTGACAGGGCTATGGATCATCATGGTTTTCGAATAATGGTACTTTTGCACCTAAACCCTGTCAGCCCCTTCGGGATCCTCAACTATATATGCGGGAGTTTATCCATCAGTGGCAAAGATTATTTTTTTTCAGCTGTGGGAACGACTCCTGGAGTTATATTATACTGCTTTCTGGGAGCCTCGGCGCAAAACCTAACAGCGCTGGAACATGCAGGCAAGGATAGGACTGCCACGATATTTACAATTGTCGTGGGGCTGATCGCTGGAATTAGCCTTGTTAAGGTCATGGGAAATTACGCCAAGAAGGAATTGGAAATATTAGAAGTCCAATATGCTCTAGAAGAAGACGGAGCTGAAGAGAATGTCCGTCCGAGCACTGTGTTGTCGACAGATGAAATGGACGTCGAAGTTGTAGAGCAGAGAAGTCAAGATGAAGGCGATATACCAACAATAGTTTAAAGTTTTGTTAAGTGTTGACATCCTACAAATGATTCTATGGAGGTGCAATGCAGTACCAGCACGCTTTCACTCAGCTGACAGGAAAAGACTAAGATTATGGTAAGCACATTCTTGATTCGTTCTCACTTTTTCATTCATTTTGTTTCATTTTTTCACAACTCACTTCGACCTGTGACTACTTCGACCAAAATGACAGGCAAAGTTCGGAAACTGCCCAAGCATCATCCCAGGACACTGCACAAAGCTGGCAAACCACATGGCTGTCAACCTCATCCCAAGTAACAGAGACGATGGAGCATGTTAGACTGTCGCAAAGAAGCGCAGACACTGACGTCGATGACGATCAACATGACTTGGCAATACCACGTGAACGGAACGAATTCCCTGTCACGTCCAACAGAGGGGGCTGCTGTTCCTCCAAGATGATGAAAGTTGCCGTTGGAGTTGTTCTAGCGGGATTGATCGGTTTTGCTGTATTTGACAGTATGACAACTAAACGCATTCCGGACATGACAAAGCGGATGCTAAAATGGTGCGAGGAAAACCCATTGGAGGGAGCTATCATCTATTCGGTGTTCTTCATCATTGGGGTAGTATTGTTCTTTCCGGGAACTGTGCTCGTCTTGGGTTCAGGTTTTATCTTTAGTCATGTCTATGGATTTGGGATCGGTGTAGCAGTTGCAATCTTCGTTTCTATAGTTGGAGCCAGTACAGGTAGCATAATTTCTTTCTGGTTGGGAAGATACCTATTTAGGGACTGCTTAGCTCCCTCGGTGCAAAAATACAAGCTTCTAAAAGTCCTTGACAAGGCTATGGACCAACATGGTTTTCGAATCATGGCACTTTTGCACATGAATCCAGTAATTCCTTTTTCGATCCTTGTAAGTTATCCAATAGTTCTGTTCTACCAATGTCCATTCGGTCCATGACTCACTTGGTTCCCAACATTAGAACTACGTTGCTGGTGTCACGTCTATAAGCGGGAAGAACTATTATCTTGCTGTTGTGGGAACATTTCCTGGACTTATATTATATTGCTTTCTTGGAGCCTCGGCACAAGACATAGAGGGGCTGGAACAAGCAGGCAAGGACAAGACAGCCTCGATAATTACAATTGTAGTGGGTCTAATCGCTGGATTTGGTGTTGTGTGGTTCATCACAAATTATGCCAAGAAGGAATTGGAAGTATTGGAAGCCCAATATGCTCTAGTGGAAGATGGTGCAGGCGGCTGTGTTCGCTCAGCTGCTGCTGTATCAGCCGATGGAATGGAAACTTTTTACGATAGGGAAGGAGGGAGGAGTAACATTGAGGTTGTAGAGCACAAAAGTCATGATGAAAACGTCATACCGGCGATGGTTCAATTTCATTGATTTCTGGATGAGATTGCGGTCTTTGCTCACTTGAACTGCGGTGTAGAATGACAAAAAAGACAGTACAAGATAACCGGCATCGGTGCATGCAAAATTGAGCCGGGGAGATGCATGCATGATGTTGCATGCCCTTGTGGCATGACTACTTCGACCCAAACTTGATTTTTGAAAACAATCAAGACCAGTTTTCGAAAACAAAACACGAAGAATCTCATTCACAATCATTCCCAAACTATGCTGCGGCATCGTGTCGAATGTTTGGGATGAAAGTATGCGCTTCGAGGCATAATCCCGTGGATGAACCATAGAGCAAGGAAACTCCCTGTCATCAAATCTTTTCAGAACATCATGGCAATCTACAGCTCGCGCATTCTTCTCTTGGCAGCTTTCCTTCTAGTGACACTGTGCCCCTTTACTACCGCTTCAACACGACACCACATCTTAAAAGGTCATGGTGGGGTAAAAAACTTGGAATCTCCAATGATGGATCAGCCCCGCAGTCTGCGAAGAAAGAAGAATCTCCCGGACCTACAATATTCATCTACCGTTGGAAGACTATTTGAGAGTACAACCTCTGCTACATCTGCTGCCCCTATCGCTTCGGTCACATCAAACTCAGTGGTTCATTTCACAAGCGCTCCGACGGCTTCGCCCACGAAAACAAAGTCCGAAATGCCATCTTTGGCGCCGACCTTGGTTCCTGGTCGGACGGAAGACCCTACAGCCGATCCAACAAACAGTCCAACCATCTTTCCATCAACTTCTCCTTCTACCCCTCCAACCACGGTACAATCCATGAATTCGGCGCTATCGGAAGAGGAAACAGCAAAGCAGTCGAAAATCATTTTTCTTTCAACATTCCTTGGAGTTTATGTGCTGCTTGGTGGTGGAATGGCAATTCGTTGGCTCTGGCGTTGATACAGTCTAACCTTATTATCTTCGCATAACATTGCGGATTCATTCAACAGAGTAGACTACACTATAAACTCATAAGATTGCTTGATTTTTATTTGGAGCAGTTCTGTTGTCCCTTTCGTCCTATATATTCGTTTGTATATATTCTTAGGAGTTTTCTATTCAATATATATATATATATATATATATAAATATATATATATTTTAAAAAAATATAAATGTGATTGGTCAATTTTCCGCGCCATCACCTTGGACGCCAATTTTGCTTCGGGCTAAACGATGAATGAAGGGAACGAAGACGAATCATCATCTCATCAAAGGGCGCTCATCTTCAATGGTCGAGATTTCGACGAGGCTCCTACTATAACAACGTCATCTCATCTCGCAATCCCTTCTTCCGTCGACTGGGACTGGCGATGACCTTTTTTGTGTACCCTCCTTCTCGGTCGTGACTATTAAACTGGAACGACCACTACCTCGTCATCTTTCGGTCACGTGCTTCGAGAAGGAGTTCAAAGCTGTGAATAGAAAACTTCATCAACAAGAGAAAAGAAGCATTATCGGCACTCGGTTCTGGAACAGTCGAAGGTTCAAAAGCATTTTTAAATTTTAATGTTGAGAATGTCATAGGGCTCCTCGAAAGAAGTCCCGTCTTGATTCTTGATTGCGTGACGATTGAGCGAGATCAGACCTTTCATGACCGCATCTGCTATGTATCTTTAACAGCTTTTTGTGTAGCAGCGGCATACGAACCCCTTGTCCCGTATACGGACAAACTGGATTTTACTTCCTCCGTTTGTCTTGTCAGAGAGATCACAATCCAATTCCACCTGACTTGCTGCAAAGACACCGCCATTGGGCTTGAGAAGAGAGAGCTGGGACTGACGGGTCTCTCTTTTTTCTCGCACGAAGCGTGCGCATGCAACACAGGAATGACTGGCAATTTAAAAGTTATAGACAGCAGAGTCACCAGTTATCTAGCTAGTAGGCTTTAATTTCACCACACTCCACGTGAGTCGCTGCTGTTGCGGTTGGAAGCTCATGGTGTTAATAGAAGCTTTATTGTTGAAGATATTATTAACTCTTGGTGTTGTTGCCACTGTTGCGGTCTTGTCGAAGAATGATCTCATCATAAACGAAATGCAAAGCAATTTTTCAAGTACCTTTTAGGCAAAAGAGTCGTCATCACGCATCACGTGTGACGCAAACCGTACCACTAAACGCAATGCGATGTTTGCTCCGGCCCCGCACACCATGTTACCAAACCAACAAGCACCCTCGTTGAGCTGCTGTTGGAAGACGCTGAAGGTGAAAATTACCCACTGACTGCATGGCCGATAGGGTGGATACTGAGCAATCTGAAAGTCGTGTGCATCACCACTACGTTGGAGATGGAGAAGCAGAAGCAGAAGTTGTTTCTCGAGACATCACACAAGTCACTGTTGATTCTTCGACGCAGAAAATCCAAAATGAATCATTCTTTCAGTGTCACCACCTTTACAAGGTTGATTTCTCACGTGCAACAAGCCTAGACACTATTGGCCAGTGGGCCTTTTACGAATGCCGCTCTCTGTGTGAAATGATCCTACCTCTTTCACTGGTCTACATTGGAAGTTATGCTTATTACGAATGCTCCAACTTAGTCGACTTGGAGTTACCCTATGGTCTGGAAGTGATTTCAGCAGCAGCATTCTCTTGCTGCCGGTCTTTGGTTAACATCACGATTCCTTCCACAGTGCGACAGCTTCGAGTTGGAACTTTTTCTCACTGCGAGGGCTTGGAATCTGTTGAATTGCCCTCCAAACTAGAGTCGATTGCCAGCGAGGCCTTTGGTGCTTGTTCCTCGCTGAAGAACATTGCCATACCTATGGATACTAAAGTTGCGTCCAATGCGTTTCGAGCTTGTAACTCGCTTTTGAAAGCCTGTCACATTGGAAAGGAAGAAAACCTAAACGATAATTCAACGCAACAAAACAACGAGATCATCGTTTGTGTCCTAAAGGAGCGGCTCTTGCACCACCCTTTACACAAAATATGTTATTATCAATCCAATACAAGCGGATCCCAACCAATCACTCTAGCATCAGAATCACTGATGCAATTTGCCATGGACCGTGATCCCCTTGGCATGATGCCATTGCACATTCTTTCGATTGCAGCAAAACCAAACTGGAAATACATCCACACTGCATTGCAACTGGAAGGAGGAGCTGATGCGTGTTTGCATGCAAGAGATAGTTGGGGTCACACTCCGTTTGATTATCTTGCCAGAAATAGAAATGTTGATTCAGCATCTTGGAAAGAAACATTGGCAATTCTGTTTTGGAAACGGGTTTTGCAATTGGGCCTTAAAACATGGCGGGTAGCAATGGTACAAAAAATTGGAAAAGTCGATGGATCGTTGGCCAAAGAACGTGGTCAATCGTTTCGTGAGATCGATAGTAAACTGAAAAACTACGAGGCCAGAGATAGATCGTCGATTTTGGAACTTTGTCTCTGGAAGCATGAATTGAATTCGACAATATCCGAAGTTGAAAGCAGCAGCATTGAAGCATCTCGAGTCATATGTCGATTGACATGCTGTGCAGAAGTTGTGGTTCCGAATGTCTTGGTATTCTTGTGAGGTTGGCACTATGATGCTCTCGTCGCATGGTAACAAATTGCAAATCGCCTCAGAACGGTTGCGGTATTATCGATCACTGAGGGCTAGGTATTTCAATCTAGTATCCAGTCGGTTGGATCCATCAGTTGCGCACCATTGACCGTGCTTGCATTGGCAAATGCAACGAATCGAGGCCACAAGTGGTTCAAGATCACCTTGGACAGTCCGTAGATGAAGGGAAACACCACTGTCACAGACCAACGGTATACCCTTACAGGGCCATTCTCCATAATTCTGTCGAATGTTTCCAATGCCCAAATCGATACATCTTCCATTTGGGGATTCACCAATAATTGGAGCGCAATACCCGGAATGATCCATCTCTTGAAGAAGGGCTTGGGTACAAGTGTTCCATTATCTGGATCGAATTCACCTATGAAAAAGGTGATAAAGACGTCCAAGAAGCAGATTAGACCGACAATTACTAGAAATCGCTCCCACAAGAAGTCCATAATCATTCGGTATTGTAGATGGACCCCTGAGTATGGCTCCTTGCAATACCACGGCTTACGCCAGGGTTTCCTCTTCCTCAAACGGCTCTTTTTTGGTGGCTTACAAACTTTCCATTCTAACACTGGAGCTGGGACAATAGCGAGGGCAACCAGATCACGAAAGAACTCTTGTCTATCTGCAACGGGACGGGTACAATACCACGGCCTGTTTGCTCCAGCAACACCATCAGATGGTGCCGATTCATTTTTGCCAGCGACCGGTCCTTCGTCGTCCAGTTGTATGCATACGGGGAGGTCAGAGATACGTTTAGGAACAAACTTGTGTTCAATATACTCCGTGATATTCTGGTGCCCCCCTTTGACATGAATTTGGAACCAAGATTTGGTTGCCTTCTGACCGACTTCAAATATGATGCAAAACACGAACAGGAATTTCCAATACACAACAAAGCCTCGATTTGGTCGGATAAGCATCCTCTTGTCGATCAGATCCCTTGTCTCGTGTATTAGTTGATCCTGCATTTCATACAATTTCAATGATTCTACTGCAGATAGTCTCTTGCCCTTGTTTTGCAAACGACGAATCTCTTCCTTCTTCAAGTCCAATCGTACCTTGCGACTTTTCTTGAGCCACTTCCGAAGGTGCTTTTGTATTCGTGAAATAGCGTCACGTTCTTGGTGCTTCTGCCACATCTCTAAGGCGAGGGCAGCCCTTTTTGCCTTATACACCCGAAATGCACTTTGAATAACAATTGCTGCTTCTGCGTCTTGAAGCTTTCGCGATTTCCCCCCCCAAATGAGACTTCGAAGCCGTTTAGCTCTCTTTGCTTGTTGCCTTTGACGCCATTTACTCGATGTCTCTTGGATATTGACACGGAGCTTGTTCAGGGGGGCAATCAGTGGAGCAACATACTTGATGTATCTTATTTTCGTAAGAATATCCCGGGCTTGACGACGAAACTTTCGGGGGTTTCGTATGGCTCTACGAATAAGGCGTCGAATTTGAGCCTTCCTGAACTCCTTTATCTTTGACTTCACTTCTCGACTGGTGATTCCAAAGGTTGAGACTGCAATGTACTCGAATATCACAACAAGGAATGCCTGTCTACTGTGAAACGAGAACGAATCAAAGTGGATATAGTCGCCATCCCTGATACACATAGCATCGTTCAGGAGAATATCATCTTTCCCCTTAGCTGCTGGTCCAACGCATCGGAAAAACATAAAGTAAAATCCAACTGGTAGCACCAGAAGTTGGAATGCAATATGGTAATAAAAGACAAAGATGCTTTCCATCCAGTTGCGGCTTATTCTCTTCCCTGTATCAGCATAAAATATTCGATTTCTTCTCTTCTTGGAAGTTACGAGTCGGCTCGCTTCTCCTGCCCTGATGAAACCATCCATGAACCAGACAACCGAAAACATGAGGCTAATGGTAACGTAGTGTTCCTCAAGGAAATCCACTAAATCCAAGAATCTTGGCGAAAAATGTCTACTATCGAATTTTGGCAGGATGCATCTTTGAGAAAAAGGATCATCAATGCATACGTCTGGAGCTTGTATCATTTGGGGCAGCATTGTTGCCACAATATCAAGCAAACCGGCGGTTCCCAGAAGTATGGCCCAAAAGTATCTGATTGCTTCATCGTCGGTGCGAAGTCTCATCGACCTTCTCGACCCAGCAACTACATCTCCTCTACCGATATGATCTGAAAGGGACTTTGACATGCCTGCATTCCAATTGTTGATGGTTGATGCGCGCAGTCTCGCCGACCTTCTCGTCCTAGTTACTTCATCTCGTCTATGATCTGTAAGAGCTTTTGACATGCCTGTATTCCGGTTGTCGATGGTTGAGGTGATAACACCTCTGTGCCTGAGAGGAATGCAGCAAATAAAGATACTATGAAAATGGGTAAAAATTTGACGACTTCCGGGTTTCTTCATTCAAGACGTCTCATTCGTCGGCGACTAGTGCGAATAACGTTGGGGCTGTTGAAGCTTGCAAATCTGCAAATCTGCATCCAATGCGCTGACAAAAAGAAAAAGTTGTTGCATGAAGAATCATCATATTTTCAAATGGAAAGTGTGAATACCAACCCATCAAATCGATCGACAACTACAGACTCCCAGACAGAGACAAAACGAGAAAGTCAATGGCTTACGGCCGCCTTGCAGGGCAGCGACATGGGCAATGGTAGAAACAGTATCTCCACGACAAAGTCTTGGGGCAAACAAGAAATCATGGAATATTCATGGGTTATATTGCTCGGATTTGCTGGATTGGTTGATGTATTGGGAACCATCCTGCCCGACCTTGCAACAAGCAACGGAACCTGCAGCTTGGAGGACGAGCAGTGTGAAATAACGAATCCAGGGTCAATTCTCTTACATTGGCAGTCGTTCGTTGCGTGGCTCGACCGCCATGACATTCCAATTAGCTTTGTATTCTCAGCTTTATGGTTTCTAGATGCCTTTTGGACGGCCAACAAAGCAAGGCTTCATGCGCGAGAAGTGAAAGAGATGGAAAGGTTGAATATGAGCAAGGAGGCAAAACCAGTACATTGGTGGCAGAATCCACAATCCGCTTATTTCTGGTCCATTTCATTGCAGCTTTTATGCCTTCCGACTGGCTTTTATGGAGCCTTGTTCTTTGCATTTCGCAAAATTGCGGCTGGTGGAACGATCCATGATCTTGAGCAAATAGAAAATGAGGTCTTGGACGTCGTTGAAATGGGGGACGACGGAATGAAACACCACAAACAATTCTCAGTTCGGAGCAAGAAAGCCTTCATTTTTGTAATTATACAGCACTTTGCAGGGAGAACTACTCGTTCCACAGTGAAGCATGCCAAATCCAAAGCCATTGCTCTGGTCAAGAAACTTTCGAAACAAATCTTCTCCAAAGCCATTCGCAACCCTCGCAAGTTCCGACGACAAGTGAAAAAAACCTTGAAGGTGGGACGATATCTAAAGTACGGATTCCCGTTGTTTGGAAAGTTCAATCGGATACGAGGTTTAGTGGTCTTGGCCTGGAAACGGCAGCTCCAACGTTACCAGGCCCAAAAGGCCAAACGAGCTCGGCAATTGCTTTGGGAATCCAAACCACGCAAGGTTCGAGAAGTCGACGCTGCAATCATCATCCAAAGTGTCTTTCGGGCCCGTCAAGCTCGCAAGGCGGTCAAGGCCATGCGGATTCTCAAAGCGGATAAGGAGTATCTCGCCATATCCCGAATTCAGCATGTCTTGCGGCGCAAGTTACGAGAGCAACGAGCCCGTTTGGAGGCACGACAAAAGGAATTGGAACGACTGGAGCAACTGATGGAAGAGCAAACATTGAGTGATAAACAAAAACGGCGGATATACCAGCTGCGTCACAGGGTGCTTAAGGAAACCAATGAATTTTTGAACCGAAAGATGCTGATACGACCCAATACCAAATTTTCAGTCTATTGGAAACTGTTCTTCGCGATATGTCTTCTGTGGGAATTTACAGGAGCAGCACTCCAACCACTCGTACATAAGAAGCCATCCAAATCTCACAAATCTAGCAAAGGGGATGTTGAACCAACGACCGTCGAAGAATTGATTGCCCGTACTTTTGTTCCAATACGCATTTCCGACTGGCCGCAATGCCAGAATTCAACAAAAGACGACAGCGACAAACAACAGAAAAAGAATGGCGAGCAAGGTGATACAGGAGAGCTTCGTTGGTACTGCAAAGACCCCTTCTTCTCCACACACAAATCCGCCCGAGATGCCCTGGCCCTGGCCTTGATACCCAAACCTGTCTCTGAGTGGTCCGAATGCCGTCCAAAACCCATTCCGAAGAAGCGTAGATTTCCCTTGTTTCGGCGAACGCATCCACGAGAAGCTGTCGAGCTCGATTTGGAGTGGTATTGTGGAAAACCTTATTCTAGACTTCATCAACTGTATCGTAACTTGGTGGATTGGTTCTGGTCCGAGTTTGTGGTGCTCGTCGGAGTGGCTTACTTTTTGGATGTCTTTGTCACCTTTTTCACGGGCGAATTCCACCCCTTGAGTGGCGTCTTGTTGCCCAAACCATTTTTTGCACGCTGGATTCTTCCTGGATTGGTGCTTCAGTTGGCTGTGAATCCCTACCTGAAGACAGTATCAGGTTGGACCTCTTTTACCTTGAGGCATATCACAAAGTTGGGGCCTGTTCGAGTGTACCGGTGGAACGCCACTGTCTTGCTCCCACTGTTATTTTTCGTTTGGAGGCACTCCATACAACCAATGTGGCTGTCCTTGGTAGAGTTTGAAAACAAACATGATTTGATCCCTGATGATGCCCTATTTTGAATGGATGAATCACATCATCCACAGAAAAAGACCTTGCGTGGGATAAGATGGCACTGCCATGATGTTCTTACCATTCTTGTTATCGAACTGAACTCGCTGCGGAACACACACAGCAGGATGATACAATGATAATAACATTAACTCTGCCTCTCAAATAGTACGTAACCGACTCAACCGAAAGTGGTCGATCACAACTTTTGGCGCGAATTTTTCTACGTGTCATTTTCATGTAGAACTGGTCAGTACATTGAACGAAGGTCAGACGCCAAGGTTTTGGAACAAAGTCAACATCCAACTTCATCCATCCTACAGTACTGCATCTGAATGAAATGCTGCCGAACAAGAAGGTGATAGCAACAAGTTCCTCCTCCAAACCTTAACAGAATCATGAGCCAATCGGATGATGCCACAAGCCCCCGCAAACGCCGCCGCTTAATCGACAGTGACGACGAAGATGAAGATGATTCACCAGTTGACAACCAAGAGGACCGTCCAGCTTCCTCCTCGTCTTCCTCTCGCCGCCAACTCATGGAAAGGTTGGCCGCGGAACGCCGTCAACAACGTCGAGCCTCCCAGTTACGAAAAGAAGTGGCCGAATTGCAGGCCGAAGAATTTACGCCTGTCGATCCAACAGACGTTGCCTCACCAAATCCTAGTGACAATGAAGACGAAGATGATGAATTGGATCATGACTACGATTACGCTGCTCCTCAACAAAAAGACGAGGAGGAAGAAGAAGATGGCGAAGATTTGATGGAAAATGCCGAACGAGATTATCAACGCATCGAAACTTTGGATACTTACGGAACAGAAGGCATTGATGATCGCAATTACGATCTCATTGACATGGATCAACGACTTGCTGCCGAAAAGGAATTGGAGATTCGGGATCGGCAAGTAGGTCGCACTGGACGCAGTGCGGGATTGTACAGTGCTGCTTTGGATTTAGGAGAAACTGCAGAAGATGAAGAAGCTCGAAGAGCTCGTCGTGGTCTCTTTCGCAGTGATATGGGAGGAGGCGATGATGATGGAGATGACGACGATGAAGATGAAACAGATGAAGAAGATTTGGATGGGGAGGATCCCATTAACATTGAAGCGTTTGATGTGCCACTTCGTGAATGGATTGCCCAAGAACGTACCCGACGGGAAATTCAACGTCGGTTCCGAGCCTTTTTACGCCACTTTGTCGAAGGTTCTAACGGAGAACGGCGTCGTAGAGGAAATGGCTTGTACGAACAAAAGATACGACATATGTGTGCGGCTAATCAAGCTTCCCTTCAACTTTCCTTTTTGCATTTCATGGAAGCCGAAGCCATTATGGCCTACTGGATTGTGGATGCTCCCAAAGACATGTTTGAAGTCTTGGACGAGGCTGCCACCCGCCACACGCTTAGTTTGTTTCCAAGCTACAATGCCATTCAAAAGGAAATCCACGTGCGCATCAGTCAGGTTCCTATCATGGACTCGTTAAGAGACTTGCGACGAACGAACTTGGAAATGCTCGTCAAGGTGCATGGAGTCGTCACCCGTCGATCCAATGTTTACCCTCAACTTCAGCAGGCTGTCTACAGGTGCTTGGGTTGTAAGGGAACTCAAGGGCCTTTCAAGGTGGAGTCAACAGGCAGCATGGCAGAAGATTCCTACAAACCTGACGAGTGTCCCATGTGCGACGCTGTCGGACGCTTCCAATTGGACACTCCAAAGTGCTTGTACCGCAACTTTCAACGGGTCAATCTGCAAGAAACGCCTGGCTCTGTTCCTCCTGGTCGAGTGCCCCGTACAAAGGAAGTCCTACTTACGAATGATTTGATTGACATTGCCCGACCAGGAGAAGAGATCGAAATCACTGGTATCTACGATCATACCTATGATGCCAGTCTCACTCTCAAGTCTGGTTTCCCCGTCTTTTCCACCTTTCTCACGGCTAACCATGTGAGCAAACGAGGAGATGCCTCGAGTACTTCCAACTTATCGGAGCAAGATGTTCGTGATATTTTGGATTTGGCCAAGGATAATCGCATTGGAGACAGGATTGTTAAGAGTATGGCTCCCAGTATTTTCGGACATGAGCATTGCAAAATGGCTCTTGCCATGAGTTTGTTTGGAGGAGTCCCTAAGAATATCAATGACAAGCATCGAATTCGAGGAGATATTAACGTGCTACTGCTGGGAGATCCCGGTACGGCCAAGAGTCAGCTGTTGAAATATGCCGAGATTACGGCGCCACGGGCTGTTTACAGTACGGGCAAGGGTGCCAGTGCGGTTGGTTTGACTGCAAGTGTCCACAAGGATCCGATCACCAAGGAATGGACTCTTGAAGGAGGTGCACTTGTGTTAGCAGATAAGGGTGTGGCACTGATTGATGAATTTGACAAGAGTAAGTGAAAGAGGAGTATCTGCCGTTGCCAATGTTTTGTATGCACACCTGTTCTCATTTTACCCCTTTATTCTTTTTTCACCTATCAATAGTGAACGAACAAGATCGAACTTCCATTCACGAAGCCATGGAGCAACAGTCTATTTCCATCTCCAAGGCTGGTATTGTCACCTCCTTGCAAGCTCGTTGCTCAGTTATTGCCGCTGCAAACCCTATTGGAGGAAGATATGATAGTTCCAATACTTTGGCCGATAACGTGGAATTGACGGCCCCCATTTTGCAGCGATTCGATATTCTATGCGTGCTTCAAGATACCATTGATCCAGTGGCCGATGAACGTTTGGCTAGCTTTGTGACGAGGAGTCACATGAATGCGGTTGCCACACGTGAACTACTACATGGAGAAGCTGAACTTCCTCCGTCGACACAGATTGATAGACCCGAAATCATTGATCAAGGGCTCTTGCGGAAGTACATTCAGTATGCCCGCACCAATGTTCGCCCCGATCTGAGAGCCAACGCCTTTGACCAAGAAAAGGTAGCCTCTCTGTATGTGGCTCTGCGTCGTGAATCGGCCCAGTCGGGTGGGGTTCCAATCTGTGTTCGTCACGTCGAGTCAATTATGAGAATGGCCGAGGCTCATGCCAAAATGCACCTTCGCGACCATGTGAGAGATGACGATATGGATGCCGCCATTAAAATCATGTTGGAAAGTTTCATTGTGGCCCAAAAGTACAGCGTCAGACGATCTCTGCGCAAGAATTTTGCCAAGTATATTACCAGTGGAGAAGACCGGGCTCATTTGTTGTTGCATATTCTGCAAGATATGATGCGCAAGGAACAAATGTACCAGACAATTCGTCTGCGACAGCGAAACCAATCGGAAGATTTGCTGGAATCCTTGGAGGTGCCATTGGACGAGTTGGAGAGCCGAGCTAGAGAAAGACGCATCTACGACATTCTCGACTTTTGCCGTGGGGAGAGTTTCAAGGAAGCTGGATATTACTTTGATGAAGAACGAAAGGTTATTTCGCGAAACTTTGTGCAATAGATGGAATGAGAGGATAACTAGAAAGGGCCTGTTTTATCAGAACTCCACAGTGCAAACTATCAGGTCTTGAGTGAATAATGTCGGCATTATTTTCATTTAGTTTGGAACAGCCGGCAGCCCGAACTCGTCCGTTTTTGCTGCTTCTTTCTGTTCTCCCTCTGGAAATGCCTTGCCGGGAACCGCTGGCATACTACTACTTTCTTGCAGATATGCTGGAGTTGAATCCTCCAACTCCAAAGCGTCATCCTCCAACTCATCTTCGAGCATTTCCAATTCTGCATCTAGATCGGCCTCATCAAGGTAATCTGGCGTGGCAAAGCTTCTTCCCAGTGCATCGTTGATTTCATTAAAATCTTCCATGAGCTCTGCCATGTCTGGAAGCAAATAAAAGGAAAAAACGACGAAAATGTGTCAATAGACAGATGGAAAAGGTTTCGCATTGTCTCTGTCTGCTTCTTACCCTCTGCAATATCCTCCACTTCATCAATATCCAAATCGTTCTTCATTGTTCTCTTCAATTCAGTATTCGCAGCCTTCATGGCGGCCACAGTCTCAATATTTGCCTTGGCTGATTCAATGCCAAACGATGCTTGATCAATATTGAATTGTTGGCCAGCAACTGTATCTCGTTGTTGTTCGTACATTCGTTTTCGCTTCAATACTTCCATTGCTCGCTTTTGCAGTTGCTTCTTGGCAGCTGGACTCTTGGTTTTCTTCATCTTTTCCTTGTAGCCTCGCAGTTCATTCTCTAATCCATTGATCTTTTGGTCCATAGCGGTCACTCGACCTCCGAGACCCGCTGCTGCGTTGTCCAACGACGGTGGTGGCGCCTTCGCTTTCTTCTTTCCGAATACTCTGTTCATGGTTTCAGTTTAAGAATGAGGTTGTGCTTGTTTCCCTTGTCTTGTGTGGTACAGTACTAGCCTACCGGTACTACTAGTACTTGTAGGAGTATTTGGAAAGCAAAGCTAGAGTATTGATCACGTTGTTTTTGCTTTCATTTTTGCGAAATCAAAACAAGATTCAAAAACTGTCCGCGCGGCTGATTTTTTTAAACCATCACTGGTGTGTTCGACAATGTCCGTTCGACCGAAGTGACTAACAGTCAGTCTCATCTTTCACGTTGGCTTTTCACCTTTGCAATGGAAGAATCAACGTCGTCTTACCTAAACCAAGGCAACTCACAAAACACAGAATAGAACAACGACACAATAAAAACCAAGAAGAATGGCAGAATTATTAGTCACCTTTGCTGCTGGGGCTTCCTATGGTATGACTACTGTAGTTGTGGGCCAACCACTCGACACAATCAAAGTAAGTTGGTGGTTTTGCAGACATCTTCATCATTCGATGCAGTTTTGGATGGTTTGTAGGCTCTAAAGCGATTCTCTCCCTATAAAAGAAAAGACTAAATCTCTCTTTTTCTTTGTTTACCGTTTCCAGACTCGAATGCAAGGCTTGCCTAGTGCCTCACGATCCTCGAGTTTCCAAGTGGCCAAGGATCTCTTTTTCCGAGAGAGTATTTTTGGATTGTACCGCGGTGGTTTGCCCCTCTTTTTTGGCGGAGCTTTTATGCGATCTGCTCAGTTTGGTTTTTCAGGAGCCTGTAAATCATGGTTGGAGTCATCCTTCGGCAAGACACAAAATCGTTGGATGGGAATATTCGACTGGCAAATAGTAGTGGCAGGAATCGCTGGGGGTATCGGCAGGGGGATAGTGGAAACGCCGACGGACTTCTTCAAAACACGGAGACAAGTGGAGAAGGAATGGACATTGCGACATGTACTAGATGGGACTGGTGTCACTTTGGCGCGAAACGTGTCATTGTTTTCATGCTTTGTAGTCTACCTTGATATTTCCAAGCAGGCGTGTCAAGCTGGTTATGTTCCGTCGTTCTTGATGCAACCAAGTGGGGATGGACTGAGTCCATTCGCCAAGGGGGCCATCTGTGCCAACCTAGCGTGGCTGACTATTTGGCCACTGGATGTTTTGAAAACCCAACGGCAGTCGGGGAACTACGAAGGACAAAGTGCAATGCAACTTTTGAAAACCAATCTGCAGACTGGTAGACTATTCCGAGGAGTACTTCCAGGACTCTTTCGATCGACCATTGCAAATGGGAGTAGCATGGTAGTATACGAACTTGTTCATACCAACTTGACAAGAACCTTCCAGCTTGAGCGAAAAGACATGACATGATATGATTGGACTTGGTGAATGTCACTCATTGAGCATCTCTGTCGCTCCTATGTGTACTGTATGTCTCTGCCTGTATAGAGATTATATCCCAAATTCAGCAGGTATTACTGTATTGTAGCTGCTAAATACTTTTGCAAGCATTGTTGATCAAGCAACTGCTCGTACTATTCACTACATTCTCATTTGTTAACAATACGTAGGTAAAGGATATTGCTTGTTACTCGTGCATTGTAGTGTAGCAAAAGCAGATTTTGATCCTACCCTTCTTAGATCCATGATATGAAAAGAGAAGAGACCACCGCAGGCCACAACTGAGACCAACAAGGCTATCGACTACGTAGGTAAAGTTTAGGGTGCATTTCAAGGAACTGCAAGGAATTTGAAAAAAGCCAAACCATTCGCAAAAACAGCAGCTGCCTCGAAAGAAATTGGTGCAGAGCCCATGGTCAAGTGACTTGTGTAAAGGATTTGCATTCCAGAGTTTAGACATGCAATGGAATGTTGGTCCACTGGACAACTCCACAAGGTTAGGGCATCAGTTTTTGTAAATGATAATACAACCAGACTCAAGAACTGAGGTGACGCCGATGCCATACCATTATCTGATAAGCGAATACGTTTCCAGCTTCGACTACTTTGTAAAAGATATAGAACTCTTCTTATTCTGTGTCATGGTGATTCAAATGGCCATGAAAATGCAATGTATCGTAGTATTGTGGCAAGACTTATTCGTCGAGATCTTCTCCTTGTACGTGCTTCAGATCACGAAGCCTGCCCAGGTAAATCTTTACTGAAGAATTTTCCCTAATCAATGGGTCGAACTCCGGTAGTGACTGAGATGACTGAGATGACTGAGAATCCTCTCCAGATTCACTGGAGGGTCGTTGTCGCTCATGGCTATTTCAATTATTTTTCCAGATTTTTGTTTTGCATAGAGTACTGGTACTGGTACTGGCTTAGCCCATCTAAGTCGAACGAGTCAGTCAGTCAGTCAGTCAATCCATTTTTAATTTAGACCAGAATATCTGACTCAGACGACTGTTATGTCAGTCACCCGCCCATCATGCACTCGCGATTTGGATTTCAAATGAATGACCAGTTTACGTGCAGCAGGTACAAATTCTACGTGAAAAGCTTGCTCGTGCCAGCGAAATGGATCAAAGCAATGCCACTTCGTATTGCTTGTAGTGTTACTACTTTCGGTGCATTAGAAGCTTGAAAATGATGACTTCCATCACGAAATGGATTGCGCTGAGCTCCTTGCTCATTAGCGCCAATGCCTTCTACATTCCTGGCGTTCAGCCTCAAGAATTCAAGGAAGGAGACAAGGTGGAAATGAAGGTGAACTCAATGACCTCTTACCACACTCAAATTCCAAAGGACTACTATCGTCTCCCGTTCTGCCAACCTGCTGGTGGGCCCACAATGGCCTCTGAAAACCTGGGAGAGTTCTTAACTGGTAATAAAATCCAGAGCAGTGCTTACGATCTGAACATGAAGACAGAAATGTACTGTAAGATTGTCTGCCAACAGCAGCTCAGCAAGGTCGAGGCTGCCAAGTTGCGTTTGCACATCAAGTACGGTTACCACAACAACTGGATCATTGATAACCTGCCTTCTGCATCTGTGGGTATTAGTGCTACCACCAACGAGAAGCAAACCCACTATGCTGGAGGATTCCCCATTGGTTTCCTTGATTCCCGTGACCGCGATAAGAAGGCCTACATTTTCAATCACGTAAACATCATCTTGAAGTACCATCAAAGAGATCCTGCTGTGGAATCATACCGTGTGGTTGGCTTTTCTGTCGAACCCATGAGTATCAAGCACGAATTCCAAGGTGGATACACATGGGATGAGGATGATGAATATCGATTCAGCAAGCCTTTGAGTACCTGTACTCCTGGGGCTCACATGGACCGTGACAGGATCTTTGCCAACCAAGTTGTTTCCAACGACGAGAAGATTCTTTTCACCTATGATGTCTTGTGGGAGGAGAGCGACGTTGCCTGGTCTTCGCGTTGGGATATCTACTTGAACGAGAACGATTTGGTTCCTGCTCAAGTCCATTGGTATTCCATCACCAACTCTATCCTTGTGGTTGTCTTCCTTTCCATGTTGGTTATTTCTATCTTGGTTCGCAACCTTCGCCGTGATATCGAGGCTTACAACGCCCTCGCAGTTTTGGCTGATGAAGAAGAAGATGAAGATATTGATGAGACTGGATGGAAGCTTGTTCACGCGGATGTCTTCCGCCCACCAGAGACCTACCCCATGCTCTACTGCGTCTGCATTGGAGGGGGTGTCCAAATGCTTGTCTGTACTTTCTTCGTCATTGTCTTGAGTGCCGTTGGATTTTTGAATCCTGCTCGCCGTGGATCCTTGATGAACGCCATTCTTGTTTTCTACATGCTGTGCGGTATCATCAACGGATACGTAAGCAGCAAGTTGTACAAGTCTTTCAAGGGACGATTGTGGCAACTATGTACAGTTCTTTCGGCTCTAGCCTTCCCTGGAGTTGCCTTTACTCTTTTCCTCATCTTCAACATTATCCTTTGGTTCATGAAATCTTCCGCTTCTGCTCCATTCTTGGATGTCATGATCCTTGCCGCTATGTGGTGCTGCGTTTCGATTCCTTTGGTCTTCTTGGGTGCTTACTTTGGATACAAGCAAGAATCTATTGCATTCCCAACTGTCACTTCCACCATTGCTAGAGCCATCCCACCGCCACCACTGCTTTTGCAACCATGGGTTGGAATCATCACTGCCGGTATCGTTCCTTTTGCCGCTGCTTATGTTGAACTTTTCTTTATCATGACGAGCTTGTGGATGGACCAGTACTACTACGTCTTTGGATTCACACTCATTGTCTACATCATCTTGATTGTGACATGTGCCGAAGTCACTATTCTTTTGGTGTACTACCAACTTTGCGCTGAAAATCACCGTTGGTGGTGGTTCTCGTTCTTGGCTCCAGGATCCACTGCCTTGTACACTTTCATCTACAGTATTGTCTGGTTCCGTTCTTTGGAGGCTTCCAACATGTTTATGACATACATGCTATACTTTGGTTACATGGCCTTGATCTGCGGTGGTATGATGCTTGTCACTGGTACCGTCGGTGCCTTGACATCGTTGTGGTTTGTCCGAATGATCTTCGGAACCATTAAGGTTGATTAGATTAGATTATACTGTATATAAAAGTACGGAATGAATTATTTTTGCAAGGTCATTGATTGATTGTAGTATTTTAATAGAAACACCTACAGTACTGTACTTGCGGTTATCGTGCATGATATCCGAATCCCACGACTTCTCCACTCAAAACTCACGACTGAGATGACGCAAGAAAAACAAGAAGCAGTCATAATTCGACATTACACTACTCCTCTATCGAGTGCTGGTAGCCAATCCCACAAACCTATTGACAGAACGAAGAGCATTTCTATATTTTTGAAAAGTTCCTCACAACTCCAGACTTTAGCTCATTTCCAACAATTTTACTGCCAATTTGAAGAAAACCAACATTTGACGACGCAACAACAACAAGTTTCGTTCCAAGAATGGGCTGTTCGGGTTTCTCGACGCCCAGGCTGATGTCTGCCACCTTTCTTTTTACAATACTACTGCTCGGGAATATTGAGACTATATCAGCGAGGAAGCACGAGCCAAAGAATCTTCGGCTTGGAGGCACAGCTGTAGACGACACTTTAGAAGCAAAACAAATATCAGACCTTCCATCGAGAGCCACAAACACGACTGTCCGAGAGTTGGACGCCACAGGCCTCCCATCGGTGAATGAGAGTATCAATACAGAGGATCGGTTTGCGGGTGGAAAGGGTCTTGCAGCTGAGGACAATAATGCTACAGAAATTCAAGAGAGCCTTTCCCCTGAACTCAACGATGTTGATGGCGAAGGCAAGGACGAAGAGCTAGAGGAGCTTCCGCCTTTGGAAGAACTCCCGCCTCTAGAAGAGCTTCCGCCGCTGGATAGTGAAGCCGATGAGGAAGAGGAAGATGCGAATGCTGATGAAGTGTCATCAAATGGCACTGACTCTACAGCCGAAGATGTCAACGAGGACGAGGATGACACGGATAGCGACGAAGATGAATCGGCTGTTGACGAGATCCCATTTGTGGAAACACAGAATGTTCATGTAGAGGGCCTTCCATTTGGGGATATCAATGTGTTGGTTGTGACAGACGTTCACTCGCACATTGGAGGGCACAAGCATGAAAGAAACCGGGATGCCGATTATGGAGACATCCTCTCGTTTTATCAGCACCTCAAGCACTTCTGTGATGAAAATGGTCATGATTTCTGGTTCATCAACAATGGAAATTGGAAGGATGGAACAGGTCTGGCAATGGGTGGAAATGCGTCGAGTCTCGTACCTCTGCTGAACCAAATGCCATGGGATGCCATTAATATTGGAGAACATGAACTATATCATCAAAAAACAGTTGAGTTGATGCAAGAGTCGATGATTCCTAATTTTTCGCATCAATTTGTTTCGTCCAACGTTCATCTTGTGTCTAAAGATGGAAAAAAGCATATGGTCAAGAATTATATTATATTGAAGGGAAAGAAACATAGGGTGCTTGTCTTTGGCTTCCTCCACGATCTACATCTTCCAAATCCAAGATTGAACATTCAAAGTGTTGAGAAAGCGGTCAATGAAGTGTGGTTCGAGACTGCGCTGCGTGAGGAAACATACGATGCTATCATGGTATTGGCACAAATTGATGCTGAAGACCGTTTGATCAACGTTATCAATGATAAAATCAGAGCTTTGGATATTGGACTTGACATTCCTGTACAGTTCATCGCCGGACACACACAGAAGAGACAGCACAAAAGAGTCGACCAATGGAGCCACTCGTTCCAAGCAGGAGCAAACTTAGATACAATTGGTTTTGTCTCCTTCCCAGTGAATGCGACCGCAAAAGCAAAGCCAAAGGATGCTGAAAAACTTTTTGAATATGCATATATGAATACCAGTGCCCAGTCCCTGAACCACATTCTTGGGGATCTTGAGACTTTTCCAACAGAACGTGGGCAAAATATGTCGCAAAGTATTCAAGATACGCGGCACTTTCTTGGTCTCGACGAGGTCGTTGCTTGTCCCGTTCAAGACTATCATCTTGATAAGCATATTCTCGGAAAGCAATCGCTGTGGGGTTTGTGGCAAAAGCAAGTGGTACCAAATGAAATATGCAAACACAAGACGTTTTGTATCGCTCTGATTTCTTCCTCATCATTCCGATACGGAGTAAGGGGAAGCGCATCGACAGGTGATGAAATGACCGTGGATGATATTGTTGCTATTGCACCACTCTTGGAACCAGTCTACCACTTGGGAAAGATCAATGATTATGCTATTCAACGACTAAATAGCAGTCTGAATATTGATTCAAATCAACATCATCACACGTTGCCAACCTTTGTCATGGCAGGAGAGCTTGACGAAAAGGGTGACTACGACTTTTACACGCATGGACGTGATCTTAAGTATATTCTTCCAGAGTTGGAGAGATTGTTCGTCAAGGATGTGGAACCAAAGACTACTGGCGACAAAGATACATTATACTGGCTACGTTATGCTCAAGACACATGGCTCTGTCCTGGTATGCTAAAGAACACCAAGGTCGAGCCATGGTTCCAAAATGAGAAGGCATTAGAGCTTGAGAAGGATGACGTCATTGATCTAGATGACGAAGATGTTGAAGAGGATGAGGATGAGGAGGAATGGGTACTTCCCGACGATGGATACTATGGGTATTCTCCTGGTGGAGAACATAAAGTCAAACACCCAGGAGAAGGTTTAGTGGACAAGCCCAAGGGCCCAACATCTGCAGAATTGCTGCAACAGCGCGCTGAAGCTGCCAAGCAAAGGCGCGAGAAGAATGCAAAAGCCCGAAGGAAAGCCCGCAATATTGCTGGGGTTATATTTGGCGCGCTTGTCCTTTGCGTGCCTTTGTATTACATCGGGAGAACCATTGTTGGTGCAGAAGAGGAGAAGGAAGATTTCTATGATCGTAAGGAGTTGAAAGCATTCAAGAAAAACAAGATGAAGCCCATGCAAATAGAGCTTACGTAATACAAATAGGTTTCCCGGTTTGAAAGAATTTTATTATATTCAGTGACCAAGATGTCTGGTGTCTTTTGGTGTCTCATTTTGACAGAATTCTTCTTTCAGTTCCAAGACTACGTTGGTCGCAAAGCAAAAATGCCCGAATCAGAACGGAGCGTTGAGATATATGACTAATGTGACCCAAATACATTTTTAAATTACTGATATCACTAAGTAAACCACACATCGCCGAACAAAAGATTGATTCGCATCAACTGGATTGAACTTCGAGGAAAGAAATTCTCAGAATCAAAAGCAAGATTCTTCCGTCAAAAACTTCATGTTTCACGTCGCCAACTCACAGTCAGCAGCTTGTTTCTCATAAACTGAAGTCAGCAGCATCAAACGCACTTTTCTCATAAAATCTCATATCCAACAAATCGAAAGAATATCAAAATAATATGAACTACCGTCCCCGTTCCTCCTCTGTCACAAGCCAATCCTCTGTTGAGGAAGGCTCTCCCGAACTCCGAGCAGGCTTTGTTTCTCCATCGCGTCTGCGTCGCAACGCAAGTGAGAAGAATCCTGTTATCATGGCCATGATCAAGTCGAACACGCTTCGCAGCTGCAATGATGTCCAAGACATGGTTAGCCAGTGCATGAGCAGTGGGGATGACAAGTCATTCATGTGCAAGACGGCACAAAGTTACATTGCCAACTGCAGCAAATGAGCATCTCAGTGATATCATTCACACACACCTTCTATTGCTCGTTGATACTTTCTGGAAAAGAGCCGATCAACTGGCCTACCGACTGAGTTGTTCCGTTCGATGTATACAATCTGTAATCATATCCGGGATTTAAACTGATGCATAAAAAGATAAAACTGTAAACTGCTTTGATTAATAAATTAAGACGAAGATACTTTCTTTCCTTAGATTCATGATGTGGTGGAAGATCCAATTTAGATTCTAGCATGCCGTAATGGTACGAACACGGTAGTTGACAGGAATTCGCCACTCATCTGCTGCTCTCTTCAGGAGATTCAGAACATCGTGGTGGGTTGTTTCGTTGGAAGAGAAGGGTGTCATGGATAGAGAATAGAGAACCGCCACCATGGTGAAGCCAGATTTTCCATATCCTTTGCGAACACGTACGTAGGAAATGTACGAGGGCAATTCGAAATGGCACGACAGAACTTTTTCAAAAATTCTGGAGGAAACAGAACATCAAAAGATACCACGAGTTACTGTATATTCTCGTCAGAGGCAGACGTTTCTAGTGATGTAAACGCATGACTCGGAACTGAAGAGGCAACAGTCCTATACTGAAATAGATAGGCATCTTACGTCTTGTAATGATGCCTCAAGTTGTGTGACCGTTTTCCAGTAGAGTAATCTTGTTACAACCATCATCCTGATCATTAAAGATTGATGGTGTTATATTTGCCTACTACCGGCACTGCGCAGTCAAAGCTAGGCAGCAGGGGAAAAAAGTTTCAGATGATGACTCTGAATCATCAGACAATCAAGACCTCTTCTTCCTTCAGGCGCTGATTGAATCAAAGAAAGAAGATACCTCTAATGACAGGGCAAATCGGCAACATTCATTCAGTATGTGTAAAGTTTTTGCACTCATAGAGGTCATGTGCCCATGGAGACTTGTCAAAATAGAGGTAGATAGCGAGTTGTGGCTATTTCCTGCTCATGGCCCAAGTATCAAGATTTTGCCGTTTGAAGAATCGCGAGGAATGAAAAGGAGTGAGACTCTTTGATATCACTACAGAGATGTGCATGAAAAATCGCAAAAGGTATGTATGAATTGGCACATGTCTATCCTCAATCACTGCCTTTTAACGAGGAGGAGCAAGTGTTTCATTGCACCTTCTGTTAGTTAGAAATGGAACATGGCTTACTTGGAGATCATTCAATTTCTCCTCTTTCCCTTTCCGCGCCCCTTACTTGCTTCTTCTTGATGAAGATTTGTTGAGGCGCAAGACTTTACATCGAAACGTAGATTACCATATCTTCAACAAGGCTGCCTCCGCCACTCCGCTCTCTTTCTATCGCCAAGTACCGGTAGTGAATCATTATCTTGACTGTGATAGGTGGATATAAAACGAGACGTGCTTCTTCTCATTCCGACCCTAAACTTTGCCCCTTTTATTGAGTCACTGATTTCTATAGGGCTGACTCATTGGAATGAATGAAGCGTCTGGCTGGCGTCAACCTTTGATTTCACCGTACGTTTCGGAACGTGCAGTGGCCGTTCATTTTTGAGGGTACAGGAATGAAATTTGCGCGCTAACAAGTAAGGTCATTTACCGCTTTTACTCTCGCATAATCGACTTCTCCAACCCATAAGCCACAAAGTAGAGTCGAAATAATTTTAGTTTACCGCCTTTTCGAGTTCAATTTTCCACCGTCTGTTTTCACTGGCCCTGGAGCATTGCACAACAGGGGAGCGCAAATGCTCCTGTCGTTTCTTTCCCGCCATTGCACGAAACACCAAGCGATTGTAGTAAAACAACAAGAGCTATATTCCGTGCTACTAACGACAAGAAAATGTCAGAAGAAGAACAAAGGTGTGTCAGGCATCGTCGTTGTTGAAATGCGGAGTTGCAGTTTGAAATGATTGGCTTTTCATGAAGCATATGAGTCTTCAAATTGCAATCTTGACCGTGACATATCTTCCAAACAAATGCCACGATTCGTGGCTGTGATGCGAAGCAGTTTTCTTACTTTTTCGCTTGTCCCATTCACTCCAATTGTACCAGACCGCCTGCAGAGGAAGAAGCCGGAGCCCCCGGTGGAGAACTCACCGATGCCGATTTCGATTCCAACTGGGACGAGGCCATTGAAACTTTCGATGGTATGGATTTGCCTGAAGAGCTCCTCCGTGGTATCTACTCTTACGGTTTCGAGAAGCCTTCCGCTATCCAGCAAAGAGCCGTCAAGCCCGCTATGATGGGAAGAGACTTGATCGCTCAAGCCCAATCCGGAACGGTAAGGTCTTGTTTTGTCATCGTTTCGTTTCATGTGAGGGATGATGATAAACAAAAAACACCATCTTTCGAGTCTGAATAGAGTCACCCTCGACGTGTCTGAGAACCATATAACTCGAAAACAGACCTTCACGCCCTCGGAATATGCGCATTTGCAATAGAAATGACGACATCTCATCCTGCTCTTTTTTTTGTCAATAGGGTAAAACCGCCACGTTTGCCATTGGCTCCCTTGCCAAGGTTGACCGCAATCTTCAAGAGTGCCAAGCCTTGATCCTTGCCCCCACCCGTGAGTTGGCCCAGCAAATTCAAAAGGTCGTTCTCGCTTTGGGAGACTACATGGAAATTAAGGTCCACGCCTGTGTCGGAGGTACCGCTGTCCGTGACGACATCCGAACTCTCCAAGCTGGTGTCCATGTTGTCGTCGGAACTCCAGGGCGTGTGTTCGATATGATCAACCGTCGTGCCCTTAGACTCGATAGCATCCGTCAATTCTTCCTAGACGAGGCCGATGAGATGCTTTCCCGTGGTTTCAAGGACCAAATCTATGATATCTTCAAGTTCCTTCCCGAATCGGTTCAAGTTTGTCTGTTCTCAGCTACCATGCCTCTGGATGTCTTGGAGGTTACCGAAAAGTTCATGCGTGAGCCTATTCGTATTTTGGTCAAGAAGGATGAATTGACACTTGAGGGTATCAAGCAATTTTACATTGCTGTTGACCGTGAGGAGTGGAAGCTTGAAACTTTGTGTGATCTTTACGAAACTTTGACTATCACCCAAGCTATTATTTACTGCAACACCAGACGCAAGGTCGACTGGTTGCAAGAGGAGATGCAAAAGCGTGACTTCACCGTCTCGTGTATGCACGGAGATATGGACCAAAGGGAGCGTGATATCATTATGCGTGAATTCCGTACTGGATCTTCCCGTGTTTTGATCACAACAGATTTGTTGGCCCGTGGTATTGATGTCCAACAAGTGTCTTTGGTCATCAACTTTGATCTTCCAACAAACAGAGAAAATTACATCCATCGTATCGGTCGTTCGGGACGTTTCGGTCGTAAGGGTGTGGCCATCAACTTTCTCACAGAGGGCGACGTTCGTTATCTCCGTGATATCGAGCAATTTTACACTACCGAGATCAGTGAGATGCCTATGGACGTTGCTGACCTTATTTAATACTGCAATCAAAAGAGTAAAATAAAAATGTGGATAAGTGACACCATATGTACCCGTAGAGTATATGCAGCTATCCGTAGGATTCTAATGTTTTTGTTAATGCAGGTAAAGCGCGAGTTGCGGTAAATAGACTTTCATGAAATAGTTTGCATCGTATCATTACTAGTATGTACCCCTGTCTATGACTCAAGCTTCCAGCTTACCCTGTAAGGATTGTGGTCCGCTTTTTCCAGAGGCAAGGTACCTGAATCGACAATTTTGACCTCCCTTGATGGGTGTCCACCAAAAGTTCCCGACATTTCAATCTCTATGATAGTTTTCAATCCGTCTAGCACCATGCCAAATATCTCGTATTTCCCAGTCAGCCATTGTGTTTTCACTGTGTTGATGAAGAATTGTGATCCATTACTATTTCTCCTAGTGGCCATACTTAACAGAAACCTCCTTGTGAACTTCACCTCGAACGATTCGTCTTCAAACGGTGCTCCATAAATTGATTCACCGCCTGTTCCATCGCCATGAGTAATGTCTCCGCCTTGAAACGCAAAGTTGGGAATGATCTTATGAATTTTCGAGCCTCTATAACACAGGTCCTTTCCAGTGAGCTTTGCCTTTCCTTTGTTGCATTCGCAGAGTCCGACAAAATTTGCAACTGCCTTGGGTGCAATTTCACCAAATAGTCCCAGCACGATGCGGCCAGCATTCTTGCCATCCACTTCGATATCGAAGAAAACCCTCTGTGTTACCTTTGGAAGGGTTGGAATAGGGTCCATTTTTGGAGGCATTGCTATTTCCGTTGGAATTTCATATTCAGAGACTGTCGGCGTCACGAACGCTAGTGCAAGTAATATTTTCGAAAGCATATTGTCAATTTTACCCTCGTAGTTTTCTCGAATGGATATGCTGTCCTTCTAGATGTGTTGTCCTTCTAAAGATGGATTTGAAGCCCAATCTACAGTACATGCAAAGTTTAGGTAGTGCTTCTGGTGTTTCTGCGTGTCGATCGTGTTATTTTTGGATAGCGCTCATCGGGCACGTGTGCGACCGTTAGATTTCAAAAAATAATCTTCATTATTTTTCTACTCTATCCTCAAATTGTGCCTCCATGCAGTCTTCCTTTGGATCAAGCAGAACAAATTCAGTAGAGGTGCTCTTTGTGCAACCGAAGGCGCAATATAGTAATATCGTCATTAGCAACAACCCCATCATCAACATGATGGTGGGGCAAGATTCCGTAGCAATTCCGTCGTCATCTTGGAAAATGTAAGAAGACAATGTAGCTGGTGGGGACGCTATCGGTGGGGCATCCTTGCCCAATTCTCCATGGCATGGCCAATTCTCGCGGACAAAGGCTAGCCATATCAAAGTCGACGTTGTTTCAGTGGTTTTCGGTTCATATTCTTGGTCTGGGACAGTCTTCTTCAGGGCATTTACAACTTCCTTAACATTGAAGTCATGCGTGTACATGTCATAGAGTTTGTCTTTGTTGTCGATTTCTCCAGCTAGAATGTAGTGTGGAAGACTGCCCTTTCGTTCGTTCAAGGACACGTTCAGCTCGAGGATTGCCGACCCTGCAACCTCCCCTATGAATACAATGGTATCGTTGAAAGGTGCTACTGCCATTATATCGTCCACCACAAGCGGTGACTGGGAAAACAAATCATATCTCCAGGCTTCGTTTTCCACAAACATGATACCATCACTCTCTTCCTTGAAAAAAATCTTTGGCAAAACCTCCCGTTTGTAGAGTCCCCAAAGCGATTTTGGATCGTCCAAGGGCGCTCGAGCCTTGAAATCATGTGGGGCACAACCAATTTGATCCAAGAGTCCCATCTTCTGTCTGGTCCTGTGAGCAAATTCCGAAAGTTCCAATCCATGTTCCGTATTCATGTCTTTTGGATCCTTGATACCTAAATGACCTGCAAGAATTGCCTTGTTGGCGTCTATGAAAACGTGTTTGAAGCCGTTTTCCACTGGGCCATCAGTCGTGCTGGGAGGTGTGGCCATGGCGGTAGCCTTGGTGGGTAACGAAACAAAGCCAATTGTATCAAGGTATCTTCCGGCTTCAAAGGAATGGCTCCAGTCATCCAACTCGATTTCACCTCGATAGTGTGTGTGTCCAGTGATGAACTGGATTGGCATTGAATCACCAACAATTTCACGAATGGCTTTACGAATGACTGTGACTAAGGGATCCTTCAAATCCATGTGTGCCAAAACGAGAATAGCATCTATCGATTCATCTTCTCGAGTGAGCGCTTCTTTGAACCATGACATTTTTACCACGTCGTCTACCTTCTCCACAGTGATGGATTCGCAAGCACCTTCCATATTGTACAAAAATCCATAAACCAACAGATTCGAATGCTTTCCTTTCAAATACCGGTATAAATGACCCAATTGTTGGATTTCTCCATTAGCAGTCACCTGAATATTGCCTGTCAAGTACTTCTCTCCCCACCAATCGGCCCAACCACCTGGTCTCACCATATAATCCACAGTGTCATCAATGTACAATTCGTGGTTCCCACAGGTCAGTGCGTCCAGCGGCATTTTTTGCAAGACAGGAACCAAACTACTAGGATCGCCCGGAATACTGAGGCCAGTGCCATCCACAAAGTCTCCATTGGAAACAAACCACAAATCTTGATCGTTTTCGTCGCAATATGTCTTGAGATTCTCATAAAAGGACAGCACATCACCATAGTCGGCATTCAAATTTTCTTCTTGACGACCATGTCCAGCAAGCCAGGAGTGGACATCCGTCAAAACGAGCACGTTAATTTCGCCCAGTGGAAGATCTGGTGCCACTGAAACCGCCGATGATGCATGTATCATTCTTTCATTGGTGAATACTAGTGTCGCCAAGAATAGGGAAAAGATGAATGAAGATGACATCCTTCTGATTGAACATGAAATTATAGACAAGAATTTTGCGATTGGAGTTTGGGAGATTAAGGAGTACCCTGATGGTTCAATGTGAGATGTACACGTGAGATGAAGCGTTGACAAGTGTTTTCTTTTCGCGTGTGTTTTCGGAATTTTCATCACGATGCACTCGTGACTAACTCTGGGTCTACCATATTATGTCCAAAACAAAAATGATTCCATATATCTTGACAATCGCTTTATTCTTTACTACTCCTACTATCAGCTGCCAATCGCTTGTCAATAAAATCTATTCGTTCCACCACTTTGATTCGTATTCGCTCGAGTTTATCCATGAGCTCTGATTTCTCGACCTCAACTGCAGCTGCCTTCATCTTGCTTTCACGTTCCTCGTCAAATTCGACTGGATCAAACAGTGGATCTGCCAATGTGAAGAAGTATTGGGATAGGGCTGGGCTCAAAGCAATACCATCGCAAATCGAGGCCCCGTATTGGATGCCCTTGTAGGCCCCTGCGACTTCCGGGCTGTTGGGGGCAAGAGCTGGATTCAATTCGTCGGGAATAGGATTGTCTCCCTTGGTATCAGTGTAGTTCCATACTTGGGCATCGTACTCGTCTAGAATAATCTTATCAACCCTTTCACTGGCCAAATTCAGTGCTGATTGAAAGTTGACGAGAGCTTCGGGCAATGTCACACCGAATACCTCCGTTACAATGCCATCGTCCTCGTCGTCACCCTCACCCTCGGCTTTTTGTTCCTCCAGCACCGAATCCCATGTCTCGCCCGCAAGCTGCGAAGCAAACACACCTATCAATACGCTAAACCCTAATGCAACCAACAGGAGGGTATCCTGAATACCACCTGGATCACCTGCAGTTCCATCCACTAGTGTCTTTCCAAAGTAGCCTATGTACGAATCCAACAGGTACGGCTTCAAGCTTCCCAGGAAAATGCCACCGGCAAAGTCGAAATATGGAACATTCGTCACTCCATAGACATAATTGTACATACCAACGGGGATAGGAATAACTGGTGCTAGGCGAAGCGTCAAAATGGCCTTCAAACCGTCCTCAGCAACCACTTTTTCAATACCTCGCAAAGACGGGTTCTCTTCAACAATTTCCAGAGCCTTCTTGCGAACCGGTGTATCAAGCTTGGCCGCAGCAAAGGCGACACTTGATCCAACAGTGGCTCCAAATGCCGAGGCAAGTGCACCTTGCAAGACGCCACCAAACAAAATTCCTGCTGAAAGTGCCAAAACAATACCACCAGCATCAATGCAAGATACTTTCACAACAGTCCATGCCAAGCAAAAAAGACCTCCACGTTCGAGCAGCCCCATACTATCAGACATTTCCAAAACATTATTCATCTGATCTTGCAATTCAGGATTGTCTGTAAAGAAGTCTAGTCCAATGGTAGAAATCAAGGCAGCCCGTCCACCCACACGCAAGGCAATGGCACCTGCGGCTACGACAAAGGCACTTGCTGTCAAAGCAAACTTTCCATCGGATTTGATCGGTTTTCCATCCTCGTCTAGCTCGGGGACAAAACCTGCAGAAACAGTGAAGCTGTATTAGAAAAGGTAATAATATATTCTTCATCACACGGACAATTTCTTCCGCCTACCATTCTTGATTCGAAAATTCCGGAAGGATTCAGCATTCTTCAGTGTCGTCCGAATCTGCTTTCGTCGACTCTCCCATACTTTTGTTCTGGCTTCTTCTTCAATTGTAGCATCGTCCTTCTTTTCATTGCCCCATGCATTCAGGACTACCTCTCCAGATTGCTTTGATGGTGGTTGCAGCTGATCCAATTTGATGTGAGAGGACAATTTTGCCTTGGAAACAAACCCGTAGCTCTGAGTGGCAAACCATGAGGCTATGCCACAAAGTAGGATAGATTTCTTCATGCTGGATAGTTGTGGAACTACAATCTAGTTGTTCAAGATTGGCACAACAAGACAAACAACTTCAAACTGAAAGTGACGTTCAGTGTTTTTGAAATGAAAGAAGGGGATATTTGCACATTTTACGTCCCCCAATTTCCCTGTTCATGATGATTGATTGATTGAATCACCACTTCTGCCAACAGTCCGCGTACCACACAAGGCAAGTTGCTCATCACAGAAGAGCTTCTACCTAGAGATTAGATTGTGTACCATGCGATATTTGTTAATGTTTCTATGTTTTAGTTTCATTGGAACAATTAGTACGAACTGTTTCTCATCGTCTCATTTCATTGCGATTGTGCGTGGTGTGTTTATGATCCAATCGTTTTTGCACTTTGATCAATTGTTTCATGAAAGCAATAAGCAAATCAATACTCCAGCTTTGTTTGGGGCTTGGTTTGTATCCACATGCTGTTAGACGGCTGATAAGCTTAGACAGACCTGGCAGTGATCTTGAAGCAGATCTTACTGTTGTCTTCAGGAAGGTTGATAACCAAGTCTCCCTCCAAATTTCCAGCAACTCCATTGGGAGCGCAGGTAATGTCCAAAAGAGTAGTTTCTCCTCCTCGTCGGTCCATGCGACCGACGGCGGGACTGACCGAAAGAGATGGGTGAGAGTCCTTGGAAAAGGCAGCATAGTAATCTTCGAAGGTCATGCAAACTGGCTTGACTTCAATGGTCATACCCTCGCCAGTTCCAGTGGAGGCCACTTGGAATTCATGAGAGCCATCTGGGACGGAAGAAGGAATGAATTCCATGTCGGCAGGAATCTCGGAATCCATTACAAGACCTCCAGCGACCATGGCATCTGCTCCCAAGTTTTCCAATCCGGGCAATTGAGGACCATCACGTTGGCTTCCGCCAGACTGAGATCCCATCATACCAGAAGTGAAATCAATTTGATCGTCTGCGTTGTATCCTTCAGGGAAGTAGTCACCAGTATCGGTGGACTGCAGATAGATAGAAGGCACGGGTACAACATTAGCAATACATTCATTCACAACAGCATTATCAAATCAACAAGTTTTCATACGCTGGTTTCCAGTTCAAAATGCAACTACTTACTCCCATCTTCTCGCTGTCAGGTTTCCAAGCGTTTCCAGAAACATCCATCCCAGTCGAGGTTTTTCCGCTAGAAACATAAGCAACTCCATCTGCACCACCGGTATCACGGCTCTTCAAGTATTCTTCAAAGGAAGGGGCGGCGCTGATGGATTTGCGGGCATCGTCATCATTGAACGCTTCAGGATCACGTGTATCAGCCATACCTCCAGCACCCTTTCCATTGAACAGGGCAGTTGTTGTGGAGACAGCTTGCTGATGAACAGGAGTAAATGCAGATGCAGATCCGGCGAGGGCGGCGACAAGAGCAAGAGATTGGGAAGACTTCATGGTTGGTTTGAGTACAAGATGTTTTTGTCAGTTCTCTTTTTATGACAACTGCAGTACCGGTGCCAGTACAGATGGAATCTTTGAAGTTGTTTGCAACCGAAACCAACGTCATCCACTTATTGCGCTGGATTTCGACTTTCGAAGTACTACCATGTCAATATGATCGATGTGATCGATGAGATCGAAGAAATCAAATCTTCATCTCG